GGACGTACAGATATCGTCACAAGTGAAATGGTTCTCTAAGACCAGTCCAGATAATGATTTTTCCCGCCAACGACGGACAGCAATCACAGCACTAAAATGAAAAAAAGGAAAAACAATCCATTTTTGTTTGCCTTTTATCCATGGTTTCTCACTATTCACAAGAAAATTCCTTGAATGCAAGTCGAAGGAGAATACAAGAAACAACAGTGCGAGACATTCGATTTCTTCAAGAGTTTTTATCATCGAAAAATATTACCGCAGAGTTGAGGACATTTCCTTCGAGGAAGCTAATGAAAATCTTTCTGAGCAAAACAATTTTCCATCCGAAAGAAGACAACTAAGATTACGAAGGTAGTTTTTCAGTACGAATATGTTGACAAGGAGGAATTTTTCTTTTGGAATATTGTGTGTATCATAATCCTTGAGCAGAGGACAATTTCATTAGATATAAAACAAAGCATAATCCGAAAAAGGAAATCTTGTAAACTTAAATTCAAGTTATTGAAATAAAACCGAAATACTACACTTTTAATTTTCTTGTTTAATAACTTGAGTTTAAGTTTATGAGATGTCCTTTTTCGGATTATGCTTTATTTTATATTGGTGTATGAATTCAGGGAAAATTTTCACTATAATGTACATGTCAATACTCGAAATATAAAAAGATTACTTCATGGTTGGTTCGTTTGTGAGATTTTCATTATACATTTGTTGAGAAGCATTGCGAAGGAACGAGTGAGCGGACGTGCATAAAATCGTATGCATTCACCAACCATGAAGTAATAGAATTTATATTTATCTTTCATATGATGAGGAGTGATGAGGATCCTCTTCTGATGACCAGATAATGATGATGTTATTTGACTACCTGACATATTACCATGGGCGTCATCTGGCAAGCACTGATAGTATTGTCAGCTGATGACTACAATCTCATCTTTGATAGTTGGGGTGGGAGATGTTCATTTATGGGTGTTACAATCCCTAGAAACAATTGATTATACAATTGATACAATGAAAATGCGATTTCAATCAACCTAATTAAAAACAAGAAAGAAAATTTTGTAGTAAATTTTACTCTTTATTTTAAAGTCTTCATACACGATGAAGCATAATACTTTGTACACAGGATATATATAACGTATGTGTTTATAAATATACAAATAGAGAAAAGAAATATATATTTATATATACGAAGAGTTGGATTTCTGTACTAGCTTTGTGTTTAGTATTAAGTTCTATACTTGGTTGTTTTTGATTAGTAAAGCTTCAAAGGATAAAAAGAATGAGTGTTTCGTATTACAGTAGTTATATACGACCGCGTCACTCGTGTTCTATTTATCTGAAGGATGTGGTACTCGTAAGGACTTCCATACGAATGAAATTTGTCTTAAAATAAAATGCAATGTAGTACCTCGTGTTTCAATATACTATATATTTCTTTATCTCTATGTCATTGTGTGTACTTATGTGTATATGTGTATCGCATTTTTTTTCATTGTGTCTGGAGAAGCCTATGAACTACAATGGAAAATTTGCAGCTAACTTTACGTTTCCTATTTTATTTAAAATATTGAATTTGAAAATCTGATTCTGATGCTATTTGGAAGTGTTGCATACTTTTACTGTACAATAAGTATGATGACTTGATGAACAGTCATACATGATTATGGGAGACGTTGGTGAGAACTGTCGAGTATAGGTGCAAACCTCTAAGTTCGGTCTCGGGCTTGCATTGAGTTGCTGTAGAGTTCTCCCAAAGGTCTCCTCGGTTTGCCTAAGCTTGTGCAGACACAGGAAACATGTTTTATTTCTTAATATGAACAGTTATGGTAGTTTCATGCAGTTGTGAAATGTTCACCAGACATGGTAGCTTTCATTTTATGAAGAGCGATGGTAGCTGCTTCCTGATATTAGCATGCTATAAATGTTTAGCATAGTTCGTTTATGTTCTTTCGTAAACTAAATTAAAACTGTCTTATTTTTAGTGGGACATGGTTTGGTTGAATTACGTGGTGAAGGTAAACTATTGCATGAATCATTGTGGAGAAATGATACCAACAAATGAAGTTGTGATCGAGAAATGGGAGTAGCCTCTATAATACTGTGGCTTGCGATATTGTTGTATTGCTCGATATATTTGCCGATGGATCTGATTTCAAGGGTGATTTTGGTGGTCTTTATGGAATTACGGAATTAAGAACTAGGATGAAGGAAGGTATTATTTTTATATTTTTGGTTTTGGTGGAACAAACAAGATGGGAAAAATCTCTACCTCGATATTAAAGTCAATACGTTGCTCATCATTCATAGAAATAAGTGCGGTTAGGAAGTTGAATAAATAAATTTCTATGATTCTAAGTTGAAATGTTTGATCGTAGCTATTAGTTATGTAGCATCATGAGAGCAAAGATTCTTCAGACTTTTAACGTAGAGATACAGTTCGATGTCCCAGAATTATCTGGTGCAGCAGTTTGTAGTAGCAAAAAACGAACAGAAAATTTTTATGTAATTTTTTTTTGTCATGGATTATTACGCACTAGATTGTATTTCTAGATATTTAACAAGTAAACTTTCACATTCTAGAGGTATGAGTTGCAAATCATAAAGCAGTATGTGCATATATAGATACGTTAGGTAAACATTATAGTTACTCAAGACTTGCAAGTGTTGACCGATGCCTAAAAAAGGGAGGCATAAAATGCACACATCATTCATGAAACGCATATACATGTACGCTTCATGACGTGCCTATTTTTCTTATTGGTGAGGAAAAGTTGTTAATGAATATATGTGCTTCAACTTTTTTTAACTTCACATAACAACTATAACGTGTCTATTCAAAATAAAACGAGTATTAAATGATGAAGAATAAGCATGTAACATTATTATATACATCAAAGCGCAGTTCATTGCAAGTAAATGAAAACTGTATGTATTCTGACATTCGAGTGTAGTGTCTTGAACTATGAACACGCTGATTCGGAATGTTCGTTCAACGAAGTGAAGGTTTTTAGGAAGGAATTGATCTGTTTCCTTTGGATTAAGTGAAATGACAATGCAAGCATAGATATCATCAAGTCATTGAAGATGTTTTAGTTTATAATGATAATGGATACAATATGGCAGTACCTTTGTGGAACTATGAGAGAATCAATGTTTTCGTCAAAATAAATTGCTTAAAAAATGGAGTATCGTAAGAGTTATGAGAATGTTCGTTATTCTTTACAATACTTGAGTGTTTCAGCTAAGGAATTGTGTTATGGTTCTCGGATGAGAAGGATTTCCTCGTTGTTTTGATAATCTTCATTGCCTCTGAACGTAAAATTGTGTTTTTCCAAAAGAAAATGAAGCAATTGAACGTTGAATTCATTGCTACGATCGTTTTAATCCAAAGTACAAAAATGTCTGACGCTCTAGTTACCGGTAACAGCATGTTGTAAACGATGTATCCAAGAACTGGAATGTTGACGAACATTTGACCGGCTAATCCCAATAAACAGATTGATATTTGCTTTGAAGAAATAATTTTTTTCTTTTCTGGTTTATCGTGACGAAACTTGCGATATTTGCGTGAAATCTTGAATAGTTTGTAAGTAGTAAACAGCATAGGGGGCACGTATAAAGTCAGGAATATTATACTGTGTACTTCTAACGAATAGACAAGTTTATCGATGAACAAAATATTGAAGATGGTGGCAATAAGTATACATGTAGCTAGCAGCCAGAGAAGTTTCCGTTTAGTGATGTTTGCCTTATGATATATTGGATAGGTTAGCGACAAATAACGATCGACATTCATCACCAAGAGAGCCATTAAAGACGGCGCTATTGTTAACGATACTATGTCCAGTGTAATACGTACACAGTGAGGGAAATGTTGAAACTTGTCAATAGCAAAAAATATTGCCAAAATTGTGACAAGTGGATGATTTACGAGAATAACCAATAAGTCACAAAAAGATAACACAAAGATCATAAAATAGCACAATTTCTTTCGTAGAATCGTCGTTCGCCAAAACACCAAAATCACTAGAGAATTTAGAGTGATGCCTACAAAGAAAAAAGCAATATTGAGGATAATTACTGTGACTAAATTCAATAAATCCAAATTCATGACTGAGTTGAGGTATCGGTAAAGCAGTCAATTTACAATGGCATGGGGAAGAAGTTGGAAAGGTGTCTTTACTTGTCTTGTGCGTGAATTTCGCCCAGTCCAAGAGTTAAAGAGCTTTTGTTGCATGATGTGGGCGATTACAAAGAACGTATATTAACATCCGCTAACAATTCCAAACATAATGATTCCAACGTATTTTGATTGTACATTGTTGAGTCAGATGTATAAGAATGAAGCTACAAATTTTGATATGGTGAATATGTAAGCAATAAATTGTCATATGTCAATTGATTAATCGCCAGGTGGCATGTGATGAACAAACATCACAATGTGGTTGTATATACGTGATATTTTGTATCGTTAAATCGATATTTGATTAAAAATTTTTAAATATTTACTTTGTATAATGTGGGTGAGAAATTTCAATGAAAGTTAATAGTTCTAGACAAAACACAGACAGGTCTGCATTTTATATGTAAATTACACAAAACGACCAAACACCAATTATCAAATTTACATGACATCAACTTAAAGCACTTAACAGTTTTACAAAAACACTTTCATCTTGATTATATTTAGCTGTACCATGCAATACGTATACCACGTGTTTATTTGCATGTTAGAGGCAAATATAATGAAAATGAAAGTGTCTTAGGTGCATCAATTTTTATTGTCTTCATTAAAAGTTTTTGTAAAAGTGTAAAGTGTTTTCTTTAAGTTGATGTTATGTAAATTAGATAATTGGTGTTTGGTCGTTTCGTATAATTTTCAATTTTTAATAAAGTATTGATTTAACGATACAAAATACAATCCAGTGTGTTTTGTCTAGAACTATTAATTTTTATTGAAGTTTTTACCCAAATGATATAAAATAAATATTTAAAAAATTGGGAAGAATTTTATTAATGAATGTAAATTTGTAAATGGGAAAACGTCAATTGCTAAATCATGACGTTAAAGGACAAATGTCATAAATTACATAAATTTTATTTTCACCATGGGAGGACACGAGAACACGCAAAATCTTAAAGACGATACTACACAGGTTTTTGATTTTCGTCCAGTACAATGTTCCGTGTAAAACGTTTGTTACTAACAGAATTCCGGACATGAAGTGTTGCTTTCGACTGTCGTTGTGGATATAGTCAGACGTGACAAATGAAACATTAAAGAAAAAGCTACGCAGCTAGTTTGAGTAGTGGATGAGGCTGTGTATGAAAGAAAATGTGGACGTGGAGTGAAGTTAAAAGGGCTTTATAATCGTTAATAATGGTCAGGAGGAATTAGGAAGACTTTGAGAAAAGAAAGCAAATGGGGAATGAAAGATCTTAGACAACGTTGAGAACTATAATTCTTAGAAAACACTTTGTTTCTGCTTGTGGATAAGCAGATTTGTTACCAAGTTACGCCAATGTGATGAAACATGGTAGAGACAAAGAAGTACAAACGATATGAAGGAGGAAGTTGAGAAGGACGTAGAAAAGTTTGGCTACATATATGCGTAAGTTACAAAAGAGTTTTTGTTATATGATGTGAGCAATTAGAAGGAAAGCAATTTTACATCCTCTAAAAATTCCAAACACAATGCGCGATACGTATTTTGATTGTACATTGTTGAGTCAGATGTATAAAAATGAAGTTACAAGTTTTGTTCTTGCAAATAGGTAAGGCATATCGTGTCATTTGTCAAGTGGTTAATATAATCAAAATGAAAGCGTCTTAAGTGAATCAATTTTTATTGTCTTCATTAAAAGGTTTTGTAAAACTGTAAAGTCCTTTGTTTAAGTTTATATTATGTAAATTTGATAATTATTGCTGTTTGGTCGTTTCGTATAATTTACATACAAAAGCAGACCTGTCCGTGTTTTCACTAGAACTATTAAATTTCATTGAAGTTTCTCACCCACATTAAATAAAGTAAATATTTAAAAAATTGGAAAGGATTTTAGTAATAAAAGTAAGGAATGAGTAATTAAGAAAAGGTTAGTACCTAAATCATAACCTTAATGGACAAATGTCACAAATTACAGGAATTTTATTTTCACGAAGTGAGGACACGAGAACACGCAAAATCTTATAGACGATTCTACACGTGTTTGGATTTTCGTTAAGTACAATGTACAGTATGAAAGGTTTGTTAGTAACAGAATTCGGGAAAGAAGTGTTGCTTTCGACTGTTATGGTGAGACGTGTCAAAGCAACCAATTAAAAGAAAAGCTACGCAGCTGGTTTGAGTAGTCGATGAGGCTATGTATGAAACAAAATGTGAACGTGGAATGAAGTTAAAAGGAATCAATAACAGTTAATAATGGTCGGCAGTAATTATAAAGACTTTGAGAAAAGAAAGCATATAATGATGATGATGATGAAACTTTATTAAAAGAGGGTAACACGTGACACAACAAGTGTGAAAAACTTGTGGCCCTCATATGCGGAAGCAAAGATATTAGAACTGCAGACAAACTGGATAAAGTTGTTCAAAACTATGATTCTTGCAAAATACTTTGCATCTGTTTTTGGATATAAGCAGGTTTGTTCACAGCTTATGCCAATGTGGTGAAGCACGGTAGAGACAGAACTACTAACAATAATAAGGAGGAAGAGGTTTTCTTTACGAAACGGACTCTGTCGTATAAAGAGTTTGGAGCAGAAGGAAATGATTCGGTAATTAATATGGTACCATGGTGTCAACATTTCATTACAAGAAAATTCAAACAATTGGTGTTGATGATGGCTGAAAGGAGTATTTTTACGAGTTTAATATATTGAATGAATTTTGGCATGACAAAGACGCCTGTAATCAATGACTAAAAGACTATAATCAATGCATTTTTGTGCGAAATAGTATAGTCCACGCATTTTTATAGCAAAGGCTTTAGGCCATGCGTTTTCATCCAAAGACTATAATTCATGCATTTTCACAGCAAAGACTATAGTCCACGTATTTTCGTGACAAAGAGTATATTCCAGGCATTTTCATGGCAAAGAATATGGTCCATGCATTTTCACGCAGACTATATATAATTCATGCATTTTCACACCAAAGATCGTAGTTCGTGCATTTTCACACCTAAGACTATAGTCCATATATTTTCTTGGGAAAAAGTATAATCCATGCATTTCCGTGCCACATTTTCATGCATTTTCATTCAAAGACTATAATTCATCTGTCACGTGATGAACAGTTATGGTAGCTGTGATCTGATGAACAGTTATGGTAGCTGTGATCTGATAAACAGTTATGGTAGTTGTCATCTGATGAACAGTTAGGGTAGTTGTGATCTGATGAACAGTTATGGTAGTTTTGATCTGATGAACAGTTATGGTGGTTGTGATCTGATGAACAATTATGGTAGTTGTGATCTGATGAACAGTTATGGTAGTTGTGATCTGATGAACAGTTATGGTAGTTGTGATCTGATGAACAGTTATGGTAGTTGTGATCTGATGAACAGTTATGGTAGTTGTGATCTGATGAACAGTTATGGTAGTTGTGAACTGATGAACAGTTATGGTAGCTGTGATCTGATGAACAGTTATAGTAGCTGTGATCTGATGAACAGTTATGGTAGCTGTGATCTGATGAACAGTTATGGTAGCTGTGATCTGATGAACAGTTATGGTAGTTGTGATCTGATGAACAGTTATGGTAGTTGTGAACTGATGAACAGTTATGGTAGCTGTGATCTGATGAACAGTTATAGTAGCTGTGATCTGATGAACAGTTATGGTAGCTGTGATCTGATGAACAGTTATGGTAGTTGTGATCTGATGAACAGTTATGGTAGTTGTGATCTGATGAACAGTTATGGTAGTTGTGATGTGACGAACAGTTATGGTAGTTGTGAACTGATGAACAGTTATGGTAGCTGTGATCTGATGAACAGTTATAGTAGCTGTGATCTGATGAACAGTTATGGTAGCTGTGATCTGATGAACAGTTATAGTAGCTGTGATCTGATGAACAATTATGGTAGTTGTGATCTGATGAACAGTTATGGTAGTTGTGATCTGATGAACAGTTATGGTAGTTGTGATCTGATGAACAGTTAGGGTAGTTGTGATCTGATGAACAGTTGTGGTAGTTGTGATCTAATGAACAGTTTTGATAGTTGTGATCTAATGAACAGTTTTGGTAGCTGTGATCTGATGAACAGTTATGGTAGTTGTGATCTGATGAACAGTTTTAGTAGCTGCTATAAATGCTTAGCGTAGATCATTTGTTTTCTTTGGTAAACTAAATTAACACTGTCTCTTATAAATTATTTAATGGGACATGGTTTAGTTTAATTACGTTGAAAATATAAAGTATTGTATGGTTGCTGGAGTCATGGTGGACAAATAATCCCAACAAATGAAGTTGTAATGAAGAAATGGCAGTAGGCTCTTTAATAATGTGGCCTGCGATATATTTGTTGTGCTCGATATATTTGCCAATGGATATGATTTTAAGGGAGATTTGGGTGGTCTTTATGGTATTACGGAATTAAGAAGGAAGATGAAGTAAGGTAACAAAAAAGGGAGGGTATTGGTGGAAGAAAGAAGATTGGAAAAATGTATTTGGAAGTTAAAGTGATTTCGTTGCTCAGCGTTTGTAGAAATAAGTGCGGTTAGCAAGTGAAATAAAAGGATTTCTATGATTGTAATTTGAAATGATTGATAGTCTCTGTAGTTATGTAGCTTAGCGAGAGCCAGTGGAGTCGCCGGGATTTAGCAGGGGGGGCACCAAGCTAAAAGGCAATTAGTCTTTGGGAGTTACATGCATGAAGTATAGTCTTTGGGAGATACATGCATGAACTAAAGTCTTTGGGAGTTAAATGCATGAATAATAAAAGTTTTAGGCTTCTAGATGCATTAACTTTAGTCTTTGGGAGTTATGTGCATGATGTATAATCTTTGGGAGAAGTATAGTCTTTGGGAGAACTTTAGTCTTTGGGAGTTACGTGTATGAAGTACAGTGTTTGGAAGTTATATGCATGAACTATAGTCTTTGGGAGAACTTTAGTCTTTGGGAGTTACAGTGAAGTACAGTGTTATATGCATGAAGTATAGTCTTTGGGAGTTACGTGTATGAAGTGCAGTGTTTGGAAGCTACATGCATGAACTGTAGTCTTTAGGAGAAGTTTAGTGTTTGAGAGTTACGTGTATGAAGCACAGTGTTTGAAAGTTACATGCTTGAACTATAGTCTTTGGGAGAAATTTAGTCTTTGGGAGTTACGTGTATGAAGTACAGTCTTTGGAAGTTATATGCATGAAGTATAGTCTTTGGGAGTTACGTGTATGAAATGCAGTGTTTGGAAGTTACATACATGAACTATAGTCTTTGGGAGAAGTATAGTGTTTGGGAGTTATGTGTATGAAGTACAGTGGTTGGAAGTTATATGCATGAACTATAAACTATAGCAAAAGTATAGTATTTGGGAGTTACATACATGAACTATAGTCTTTGGGAGAAGTATAGTGTTTTGGGTTATGTGTATGAAGTACAGTGGTTGGAAGTTATATGCATGAACTATAAACTATAGCAAAAGTATAGTATTTGGGAGTTACATACGTGAACTATAGTCTTTGGGAGAAGTATAGTCTTTGGGAGTTATGTGTATGAAGTACAGTGGTTGGAAGTTATATGCATGAATTATAAACTATAGCAAAAGTATAGTATTTGGGAGTTACATACGTGAACTATAGTCTTTGGGAGAAGTATAGTCTTTGGGAGTTACGTGTATGAAGTACAGTGTTTGGAATTTACATGCATGAACTATAGTCTTTGGGAAATAGATGCATGATATATAGTCTTTGGAAGTTAGGTGTATGAACTATACTGTTTGGAAGTTACATGCACAAACTATAGTTTGGGAGTTAAGTGTATGATATACAGTATAGGGAAGTTAGATCCATTAACTATAGTGTTTGGGAGAAGTATAGTCTTTGGGAGTTACTTGCTTAAATTATAGAATTTGGAAGTTACATGCAAGAACTAAAGTTTTTTAAAGATAGATAAACAATAGGCTTTGCGAGTTAAAATCATGAAGTATAAAAAATTTAGGAATGAGGAATCTATAAGTATAGTGTTTGGCATTTAGGTGTATGAAGTATAGTCATTGGGATAAAAATGTTCACGATTTTTCATGCAAAAGACTATATTTCACGAATTTTCATGCAAAAGACTCTACTTCACGAATTTTCACGCAAAAGACTATAATTCACGAAGCTTCATGCAAAAGACTATAGTTCACGATTCTTCATGCAAAAGACTATACTTCACGCAAAAGACTATAGCTCAAAAATTTTCATGCAAAACACTATAGTTCACGAATTTTCATGCAAGACTATAGTTCACGAATTTTCACGCAAAAGACTATATTTCACGATTTTCCATGCAAAACACTATAATTCACGCAAAAGACTATGGTTCAAGCATTTTCATGCGAAACACTATAGTTCACGCATTTTCACGCAAAAGACTATAGTTCAGGAATTTTCACGCAAAAGACTATAATAGTTCACGAATTTTCACGCGAAAGACTCTACTTCACGAATTTTCACGCAAGACTATAGTTCACGAATTTTCACGCAAAAGACTCTACATCACGAATTTTCACGCAAAACACTATAGTTCACGAATTTTCACGCAAAGACTCTACTTCACGAATTTTCACGCAAAACACTATAGTTCACGAATTTTCACGCAAAAGACTCTACTTCACGAATTTTCATGCAAAGACTATAGTTCACGAATTTTCACGCAAAGACTCTACTTCACGAATTTTCACGCAAAATACTATAGTTCACGAATTTTCACGCAAAAGACTCTACTTCACGAATTTTCAAGCAAAAGACTATAGTTCACGAATTTTCATGCAAAAGACTATAGTTCACGAATTTTCACGCAAAAGACTATAGCTCAAAATTTTCATGCAAAAGACTATAGTTCACGAATTTTCATTCAAAACACTATAGTTCACGCATTTTCACGCAAAAGACTGTAGTTCACGAATTTTCACGCAAAAGACTGAAATTCACCCATTTTCATGCAATAGACTCTAGTTCACGAATTTTCATGCAAAAGACTATATTTCACGAATTTTCATGCAAAAGACTCTACTTCACGAATTTTCACGCAAAAGACTATAATTCACGAAGCTTCATGCAAAAGACTATAGTTTACGATTCTTCATGCAAAAGACTATACTTCACGCAAAAGACTATAGCTCAAAAATTTTCATGCAAAACACTATAGTACACGAATTTTCATGCAAGACTATAGTTCACGAATTTTCACGCAAAAGACTGTATTTCACGATTTTCCATGCAAAACACTATAATTCACGCAAAAGACTATGGTTCAAGCATTTTCATGCGAAACACTATAGTTCACGCATTTTCACGCAAAAGACTATAGTTCAGGAATTTTCACGCAAAAGACTATAATAGTTCACGAATTTTCACGCGAAAGACTCTACTTCACGAATTTTCACGCAAAGACTATAGTTCACGAATTTTCACGCAAAAGACTCTACATCACGAATTTTCACGCAAAACACTATAGTTCACGAATTTTCACGCAAAAGACTCTACTTCACGAATTTTCACGCAAAACACTATAGTTCACGAATTTTCACGCAAAGACTCTACTTCACGAATTTTCACGCAAAATACTATAGTTCACGAATTTTCACGCAAAAGACTCTACTTCACGAATTTTCAAGCAAAAGACTATAGTTCACGAATTTTCATGCAAAAGACTATAGTTCACGAATTTTCACGCAAAAGACTATAGCTCAAAAATTTTCATGCAAAAGACTATAGTTCACGAATTTTCATTCAAAACACTATAGTTCACGCATTTTCACGCAAAAGACTGTAGTTCACGAATTTTCACGCAAAAGACTGAAATTCACCCATTTTCATGCAATAGACTCTAGTTCACGAATTTTCATGCAAAAGACTATATTTCACGAATTTTCATGCAAAAGACTCTACTTCACGAATTTTCACGCAAAAGACTATAATTCACGAAGCTTCATGCAAAAGACTATAGTTCACGATTCTTCATGCAAAAGACTATACTTCACGCAAAAGACTATAGCTCAAAAATTTTCATGCAAAACACTATAGTTCACGAATTTTCATGCAAGACTATAGTTCACGAATTTTCACGCAAAAGACTGTATTTCACGATTTTCCATGCAAAACACTATAATTCACGCAAAAGACTATGGTTCAAGCATTTTCATGCGAAACACTATAGTTCACGCATTTTCACGCAAAAGACTATAGTTCAGGAATTTTCACGCAAAAGACTATAATAGTTCACGAATTTTCACGCGAAAGACTCTACTTCACGAATTTTCACGCAAAAGACTATAGTTCACGAATTTTCACGCAAAAGACTCTACATCACGAATTTTCACGCAAAACACTATAGTTCACGAATTTTCACGCAAAGACTCTACTTCACGAATTTTCACGCAAAACACTATAGTTCACGAATTTTCACGCAAAAGACTCTACTTCACGAATTTTCATGCAAAAGACTATAGTTCACGAATTTTCACGCAAAAGACTCTACTTCACGAATTTTCACGCAAAATGCTATAGTTCACGAATTTTCACGCAAGACTCTACTTCACGAATTTTCAAGCAAAAGACTATAGTTCACGAATTTTCATGCAAAAGACTATAGTTCACGAATTTTCACGCAAAAGACTATAGCTCAAAAATTTTCATGCAAAAGACTATAGTTCACAAATTTTCATTCAAAACACTATATTTCACGCATTTTCACGCAAAAGACTGTAGTTCACGAATTTTCACGCAAAAGACTGAAATTCACCCATTTTCATGCAATAGACTCTAGTTCACGAATTTTCATGCAAAAGACTATAACTCAAGCAAAAGAATATAGTTCACGCATTTTCACCAAAAGACTATAATTCACGCATTTTCATGCAAAAGACAATAATTCACGCATTTTCATGCAAAAGACTATAGTTCACGCATTTTCATGCAAAAGACTATAGTTCACGAATTTTCATGCAAAAGACTATAGCTCACGCAAAAAAACAGAGTTCACGAATTTTTCATGCAGAAGACTATAGTTCCCTCAAAAGACTATAGTTCACGCATTATAATGCTTAAGACTATAGTTCATGCAAAAGACTATAGTTCACGCATTTTTATGCAAAAGACTATAATTCACGCATTTTTACCAAAAGACTATAATTCAAGCATTTTTATTCAAAAGACTATAGTTCACGCATTTTCATGCAAAAGGCTATAGTTCACGCAATTTCATGCAAAAGACTATACTTAACGCAAAAGACTATTTTTGACGCATTTTCATGCAACAGACTATAATTCACGAATTTTCACGCATTTTAATGCAAAAGACTATAATTCACGAATTTTCACGAAAAAGACTATTGTTATGAATTTTCACCCAAAAGGCTATAGTTCACGCGTATTCATGCAAAAGACTATAGCTCACGCAAAAAAATGTAGTTCACGAATTTTTCATGCAAAAGACTATTGTTCACGAATTTTTACGCAAAAGACTATAGTTCACGCATTTTCATGCAAAAGACTAATATTCACGCAAAAGACTATGGTTCACGCATTTTTATTCAAAAGACTATAATTCATTAATTTTCACGTAAAAGACTGTAGTTCACGCATTTTTATGCAAAAGACTATAATTCACGCATTTTTACCAAAAGACAATAATTCAAGCATTTTTATTCAAAAGACTATAGTTCACGCATTTTCATGCAAAAGACTATAGTTCACGCAATTTCATGCAAAAGACTATAGTTCACGCAATTTCATGCAAAAGACTATACTTAACGCAAAAGACTATTTTTGACGCATTTTCATGCAACAGACTATAATTCACGAATTTTCACGCATTTTAATGCAAAAGACTATAATTCACGAATTTTCACGAAAAAGACTATTGTTATGAATTTTCACCCAAAAGGCTATAGTTCACGCGTATTCATGCAAAAGACTATAGTTCACGAATTTTCATGCAAAAGACTATAACTCAAGCAAAAGAATATAGTTCACGAATTTTTCATGCAAAAGACTATAGTTCACGCATTTTCACGCAGACTGTAGTTTACGAATTTTCACGAAAAAGACTATTGTCCACGAATTTTCACGCAAGAGACTATAGTTCACGCAAAAGACTATATATAGTTCACGCAAAAGACTATAGTTCACGCAAAAGACTATAGTTCACGCATTTTCATGCAAAAGACTATAATTCACGAATTTTCACGAAAAAGACTATTGTTCACGAATTTTTACGCAAAAGACTATAGTTCACGCATTTTCATGCAAAAGACTAATATTCACGCAAAAGACTATGGTTCACGCATTTTTATGCAAAAGACTATAATTCATTAATTTTCACGTAAAAGACTGTAGTTCACGCATTTTTATGCAAAAGACTATAATTCACGAATTTTCATGCAAAAGACAATAATTCACGCATTTTCATGCAAAAGACTATAGTTCACGAATTTTCATGCAAAAGACTATAGTTTACGCATTTTCACCAAAGACTATAATTCACGCATTTTCATGCAAACGTTTATAGTTCACGCATTTTCATGCAAAAGACTATAATTCACGAATTTTCACCAAAAGACAATAATTCACGCATTTTTATGCAAAAGACTATAGTTCACGCATTTTCACCAAAAGACAATAATTCACGCATTTTCATGCAAAAGACTAATATTCACGCAAAAGACTATGGTTCACGCATTTTCATGCAAATAACTATACTTCACGAATTTTCACGCTAAACCTTATAGTTCAGGAATTTTCACGCAAAGGACTATAGTTCATGAATTTTCATACAAAAGACTATAGTTCACGCATTATCATGCTTAAGACTATAGTTCACGCCAAAGACTATAGTTCACGCATTTTCATGCAAAAGACTATAGCTCACGCAAAAAAATATAGTTCACAAATTTTTCATGCAAAAGACTATAGTTCACGCATTTTCATGCAAAAGACTAATATTCACGCAAAAGACTATGGTTCACGAATTTTTATGCAAAAGACTATAATTCATTAATTTTCACGTAAAAGACTGTAGTTCACGCATTTTTATGCAAAAGACTATAATTCACGCATTTTCACCAAAAGACAATAATTCACGCATTTTTATGCAAAAGACTATAGTTCACGCATTTTCACCAAAAGACAATAATTCACGCATTTTCATGCAAAAGACTATAGTTCACGCATTTTCATGCAAAAGACTATAGTTCACGCATTTTCATGCAAAAGACTATAGTTTACGCATTTTCACCAAAAGACTATAATTCACGCATTTTCATGCAAAAGTTTATATTTCACGCATTTTCATGCAAAAGACTATAATTCACGCATTTTCATGCAAAAGACTAATATTCACGCAAAAGACTATGGTTCACGAATTTTTATGCAAAAGACTATAATTCATTAATTTTCACGTAAAAGACTGTAGTTCACGCATTTTTATGCAAAAGACTATAATTCACGCATTTTCATGCAAAAGACTATAGTTCACTCATTTTCATGCAAAAGACTATAGTTCACGCATTTTCACCAAAAGACTATAATTCACGCATTTTCATGCAAAAGACTATAGTTCACGCATTTTTGTGCAAAAGACTAAAATTCACGAATTTTCATGCAAAAGACTAAAGTTCACGAATTTTCATGCAAAAGACTATAGTTCACTCAAAAGACTATAGTTCACGAATTTTCACACAAAAGACTATAGTTCACGAATTTTCATGGAAAAGACCATATTTCACGCCAAAGACTATAGTTCAAGCATTTTCATGCAAAAGACTAAAATTCACGAATTTTCATGCAAAAGACTATAGTTCACGAATTTTCACGCAAAAGACTATAATTCACGCATTTTCATGCAAAAGACTATAATTCACGAATTTTCACGCAAAACCTTATAGTTCAGGAATTTTCTCGCAAAGGACTATAGTTCGCGAATTTTCATACAAAAGACTATACTTAACGCAAAAGACTATTGTTGACGCATTTTCATGCAACAGACTATAATCCACGAATTTTCACGGAAAAGACTATAGTTCACGCATTTTCATGCTAAAGACTATAGCTCACGCAAAAGACTATGGTTCACGCATTTATATGCAAAAGACTGTAGTTCACTATTTTTCACGCAAAAGACTATATTTCACGAATTTTCGTGCAAAAGACTATAACTCACGCAAAAGGATATAGTTCACGAATTTTTCATGCAGAAGACTATACTTCACGAATTTTTATGCAAAAGTGTATATTTCACGAAAAGAATATAGTTCACGAATTTTCATGCAAAAGACTATAGTTCACGCATTTTCATGCAAAAGACAATAATTCACGCATTTTTATGCAAAAGACTATAGTTCACGCATTTTTGTGCAAAAGACTAAAATTCACGAATTTTCATGTAAAAGACTATAGTTCACGAATTTTCATGCAAAAGACTATATTTGACGCCTTTTCACGCAAAAGACTATAATTCACGAATTTTCATGCAAAAGACTATAGTTTACGCATTATCTTGCTAAAGATTATAGTTCACGCAAAAACTATAGTTCACGATTTTCCTGCAAAAGACCATCGCTCACGCAAAAGACTATAGTTCACGAATTTTCATGGAAAAAGACCATATTTCACGCCAAAGACTATAGTTCAAGCATTTTCATGCAAGACTATAGTTCACGAATTTTCATGCAAAAGACTATAGTCCACGAATTTTCACGCAAAAGACTATAGTTAAGCATTTTTATGCAAAAGACTAATATTCACGCAAAAGACTATGGTTCACGCATTTTTATGCAAAAGACTATAATTCACGAATTTTCACGTAAAAGACTGTAGTTCACGCATTTTTATGCAAAAGATTATAATTCGCGCATTTTCATGCAAAGACTATAATTCACGAATTTTCACGAAAAAGACTATTGTTCACGAATTTTCACCCAAAAGGCTATAGTTTACGCATTATTTCCTCGTCAACATATTTGATAATAAACAAAAACTTCCGCAAGTGAACACATTCATGATGCATGTAGTTTTGGTCTCGAAAGAGGCCAAAAATGCAGGCACTAAGCTAGGATGGTTTTATATGTACATAAGTAGCTGCTCCAATTTTTAAATAGTCGCCAAACTATTTTCAGACTTTTTGAACTGGCCTTCTAACTTTTCTGTCATCTTGAACATTTCGTCCAATTCGTGCTAGATTGGAATGCGTTCTTTTATATTCTTCGATAACCATCAAATTATGGGTAAGACAATCTTCAACTGCTTCACGTAAACATCTTTTGAACGCTGATTTGAATTCTTCAATGTTCCTCATCACAAAGGGTCTAAATACCTGTAAGCAACAAAATAAAGAAAAGACAAATTTAACAACTTTGTCCATAATATATATACATATGTAATATAAATACAGCAAAATATACAGTAAAGAAACTTTAAATATAAAAAGTAAACTTTGAATCTTAGTCAACAAACAGTGAGTGAACAACGAAAGTAATTCAAACTACTTCCATGGTAAATCCGAAATTTCCAATCTCCCACGAACGTCCATAAATGGAAACACCATGCCATGAAATATGTTAATTATGCACACATGCAACGTCACGGTACGTATGTGTGGCACCGGCAAGGGTGGTCCAGTGGAGGCCATTGCCTCCACACCCAAATTACAATATGGGAATAATTGGCAAACCAAAAATAAAAAATCGCCAATATTCACGACCAAGCTCTGAAAGAAAATCTCGCCGGTGCCACTGAACCAATTATAGTTATGTAATATAACAAATCATGCACAATGAACAAGTGTGCATAAGAAAACATTTCGTGTACCAAGAATTACGCTCAAATTAGTTTATTTGTCAACACATAATTATTGCAGAAGAAATTGTAAGTCACTTATTTCAGTTAAATCTCATAACTTCCTTTCAGACATCACAAATCACATTGGGTAATTTTTGTCCATCGATGTACATACAATATATATATTACATACCTGCTAAACAGCTCATCTCCGTAAACGGTACGAAACGCCGCAACCTGTCCATGTTTCTCACAAAATTTGTATTTCGTTCGATGTTTTCACCATTTTCTTTCCTCTAAAATATTGAAGACACATTTAGTCAAATTTAGTAAATAAAATCCATAGTATCGTTCAATACGTTTGTCCTCATTTTTTCTGCAAATAATCAATGTATATGATTCAAACACCTAAAACAAAATAAATACAAAATAAATACAAAATTAATTTAGAAACTTTCTCCAAATCTGCAATACTCGCTTAGCAACTCACTTCGTCAAGTTGCCAATAACTTTCAATAAAATTGCCATGTCGCTCAATCTTTCAAACTTTTCATTCCTCTAAAATAAAAAAAAATAGCAGTTTGTCATATTTGAAGCAGTTAATAAGATCCACAAAAACATTCATTACCTTTAAGTCCAACTTCTCTGCAAATATTTCATAGCATGATTTAAACACCTCAAAGCAACAAAATAATCAAGAAATTAATTTAGAACCTTTCTTAAAGTCTGTAATATTTGCTAAACAACTCACTTTTTTGACTGATTGACACACGACAAATTGCCATTCCCCTCAATCTTTTAAAAGCTTGTCGAATTTGAAGCATTTAATGAAATCGACAATATCATTCATTACTTTTTGTCCATCTTTCCCAAGTATTTCATCAAAACGAATCCCACACCTGAAACGAACAAAATAAATACAACATTTCATTTAGGAACTTTCTCCAAGTCTGTACTAGTTGCTAAACTACTCACTTTTTTAACTGTTCGAGTCCTTACAATTCGCCAAAGGTTACATAGAGACACATAAATTTCCCATTTCGCTCATTCTTTTAAAATGTTTGCTGTCTCTAAACATTTACTATCTTGCAACCAATTCGTCACAAATACTAAAAGCCAAAAACTTCTTCGAAGAATTCCATACCACACACGACGCGAGATCGACTCAGAAATCAAGTGACTTGGCCGTCTTCGACACGTACTTTTAACCAATTTCTAACAAATAACAAGAAGCAATTACTTCACACTGCATGACGCAAATGAAACTACCAAAGCAATGATAATAACTTTTAATGACATCGTTTCTTAACAAATCTATTGCTTTTCCATAGAGTTTTAATTTTCAAAAATGCGTATTCTACTATAGACATCTTCATCCTAAGTTGCTTTGCATTCACTTCCTCCGTACGAGCACAATCTTAATTAAATTTCGGGCATTAAATTCGAACCATTATTACACTAAATGCAAGTGATTAATCTCATTTCAATCATCATTTCTATGAACCGTCGACATTCACACTTATAGAAACTAAACCATACGCCTATTACAATACGCGTGAGAATCGTAATTTTCGTAATTGCCTAGAATCCCTTATTCACACGAGTAAGATAACCATGAACGCATAAACATAGAATAACAACCTTTTCTCCTTATTTTGGAAGGTCAATATTTCTCAAAACGCGCTTTCTTTACTACCATAGATTAACGAAACATCACGCATTAAAGACATGCATATACACAGCTAACCAAATAATGTTAAAATATCTGAATATCTCCAAAAACCTTATAACCGTCCACAGAATGACATCATTTCAAGCACAGCTGCCTCAAATATTTTCCTTTTAAAACAGATGAGACGCTTTTAAAGATTTGGCGGACTCATTCAATCTTTAGCTTTGCAGCGAAGCAAGAACGACCAAGTGAATAAAACGTTAGAACATTTTTTCATCGTCAACAGAATTGTCAACCTACAGCAAGCTAAATTCGACTCGTGAAGACAGCACAAGGGTCAAACCGTCAACAACTTTTTCACAGAGTTCTGCAATACAACGGCGGTGGTTTCGGTGCTCTTCACGAAGAATTGATACGTGAAAGTTTCACCTAAATGCAGATTTTATCTCAAGAAAAAGCGTTGGACTTCGTTCGTTGAAAATATATCGTTGCAAAGCAGCAAGTCGACATCAAAAATCGCCATTTTTAAAAGACAAAGACATATAAAGAATCCGAAAACGGGACCTACAGAGAGAGAATTGTAGAAGATGTTCGGGATCGCTGCATCTAATAGATGAGCAAAAAGTCAAAGTGCTATAACTGCTCACAGTTCACTATCATACGCAGGTAATTGTATAAACGTATATACTATATATATAAACGTATATACTATATATATATAAACGTATATACTATTTATATAAACGTATATACTATATATATAAACGTATATACTATATATATAAACGTATATACTATATATATAAACGTATATACTATATATATAAATGTACATACTATTTATATAAACGTATATACTATATATATAAACGTATATACTATATATATAAACGTATATACTATATGTATATACATACGCAGGTAATTGTATAAACTCCTCATTTGAGTATTACTCCTCATTTGACTCTGAAGATGACTACCGCTAAGGTTGTCGAAACGTCAGTCAACAACAACAAAAATAGTCCTTCTCAGGACTATACCAACCTGGACGATCTACATTTACAAAAACATATCATTGTACTCACATTATCTCTCATCATGATCGTCCCATGAACAAGCTAAGACAAAGCTACGAACCTAAACAAAATAAAAAAAATTAATTGACAACATATGCAGGGACGGAATAGATTCACGAGAATTTTACAGGGGGCTGGGCTTTAGTTACGATTAAATTTCGAGGGCTACTTGTTCCGGTTGAACCGAATGCCGTACACTTTTTTCTCAAATCTTGTTACCTTTTTATTTATGATTGGGAGATTTTTGGAAGTGTGCCATTTGATAGACCCCAATCCTGTCGATATGCTTGTCATTGTCATATTACCAAATGGAAATACTTATAAATTATTATCACTATTTACTTCAGAACTGAAATCATCGCATGCATGAAAAATGTCCGAATCAAACTCGTCGTTTTCAAGAAAACACTCTGCAAAGTTTTGTCAATTAGTGCAGTGGCACAAGTCCCAGCATTTTAGCAATGATTTTACGCAAGAACACTTTCTGTTCTCGCAGCCTTTCGTACATCTACAGTGGAGAGTTTCTAGCAATGAGTCTGGAGCAGGACGCATTGTCATCCTATCAACCACAACGTCCTCTTTTTCTATTTTCCAACCGTGATTAGAAACTGACAGAAGATTTAATATAGGCTACACTGCATGACACCATATGTAGCTTTGGAAGTTGGCTCTCCGAATATGTTGATTAAGCGAATCTTCGTTTGGTGGCAATATCTCTTCACTAAATTTCCCTCTTTTCAACACTTGATATGGGACGTAATTAACATCTGCGCATTCTTCGTATCCATACAAGTGGCATACATAAGCGTGCAAATTCTCAATTAATTCGTTGGATAATGTTGCTTCTCTTCCTAGACTCCCAAAAACATCTGCATAGTTTTCCTTCTTTCTTGCCGTCTGGAGAACTGTAACTCTGCCTTTACCGTAAAATGAACTAATTGTGTCACAACTTTACTTACAAATTCTCAGTTTTATTTTACTTTATCGCTTCTAACCTGTAAATGCGTGAAAGCCAAATAGAGCTTTACATCAGTGCTCCCCAAGACCATTTATCATGTTGGGAAGGGAAATTATTTGCCTATTGTTGCCAGTTCCCAATTCAATAAAATGTCAAGAAAGCTTTTGATCTCATTGTCGAGGAAGCTTTTGATCTCATTGTCGAGGAAGCTTTTGATCTCCACCGTGTATTAGCACCAACTGGACATCGCTGATGTTGGCTCGTCTGTGGGGCTCTAAACGTAGAGCAGCGTCTACAGTCTTCTCCAGCACCAGTGTCGACATCTCTCGAAATGTTTTAGGAAGAACTGTTAAGGTTTGTAGCATAGCCATTCCGTCCAAAATAAAAGCTGTGTCAAGAGAAAATAAATTTGTAACTGTTGCATTGGTTACATCTCGTTCAATAGCGTGCAGCAGCTTGGCTTTTGACGTTCTCCATCACATATGGCTAAAGAACTACGAAAGGCCGAAGAGAATATTTTATAACATCTTCCATACGCAAATTGCGTTATTTGTTGTTGTTCTGGCAATCAACAACACTTTGGTGAATAAGGCTTTCGAATTTTCAAGGACGCTACATCTCCATTTTTTCTTTTCTTTATTACTTTTTTCCCAAGATGTGAGAAAGTTTTCAAGTTTGTTTTCCTTATAATAACGTAAATATTTGGTGTTCCTTCGACAATGTTTGTCCTCTTGTAATTTACAGCTTTGATTTCACCCTTCGCCTGTTGCAACTGCCCCACTTGCCAGGTGCACATGTTCTTTATATTCTTCTTGGAAAGGATTTATCATGGTGTCTGTCTATACTCCTCATCACATCTACCACTGCCTTTTCATCAGCTTTCACTCTGCTTTTGTCTAGGTTCTTCCTGCTCCTGTAATATAATTAAACAAAATGTAAGAGCTTGCAATTTTGATTGATTGTAGAGTAGGGAAGCCAGCCATTGCATTTTTCCATGCTATTTCGTGGTTTTTATTTGGTTTAAGTCCATTCACCATGGTAATTGCTCTTTTAAGGTGATATTCAAATTTGTCACCACAACAAAATGTCTGTTTTACTATTAAGACAAACATTGTACCTAACCCCAATTTAACTACATTTTTAACAATTTCCTAACTTAACTCTTTACCCTAACCAATCATAACCACCCATTTCCATTATTTCATATAAAGTACACTCTTTTTGTAACTTTCCAACTGTAAAACACTCGTTATTATTTTCTAACAATAACTATACTGCGGACTTTGTTAGGAATAAACTCCGAGTTTGCCTTAAACATAATTTGAAAATGTTGAGTTCGTGTTACTCGCCATATCTCAATTTCGTATTATACTTTTCTCTTTCAGTAACAACAACGAGTAAACTTAGTGAATGAACTGATCTTTATTATTTTACAAGGCAGTATTTATAATATTCTCTACAATTAGCTAACTATATAAGGTATATAAGGAAATTCTACTAACGTCAATAACTGTTCCTTGGGTGTTAACCGCATGGGAACGGATACAATGGTTGACCAAACTACGTATTTACTGCTTCCCTTTACGTAACTCTGCGGTTTATGAGCATGACTCAACAGAAAAACAGAGGAATAGCCAGCCCACAAGTTTCTTCGAGCTATGTAAATTTTTTATCATTAGCATTATTCATTTCTTTAGCAATCTATTTTTTTTTTACTATGAGTGAGCACCAAAATATTTACATAGCATGAACAAACTTGTGGACTGGCTTACGCCACTAAATATTTGTAAAAATTTTATATGAAAGCAAACAAGCCATTTTCTATAGGACAACAATAACAATTTGAATATAAAAGGCCTGAGAGATGAAACTATTAACCTCATACTGATTTGCTGAATAAAAAAAGAAATTTCGAAAACAAGGAAATAACTTTTCATTCATCCTATCTGGTAATATTTATTTTACATTGGTTTTGTTACAACATAAAAAAATCCATTAACATTGCAATTCTGAATATTAAACCTGAATGCATTACACACAACAGAATAAGAAAAAACAGCCTATTCATTCCAAACTGCACCCGATCTATAGCAATGTATAATTGCAAATTTTTGCAAAATATTTAATGACAAGCAAATGTTTCCAAAAGTACATTTAAAAAAGTGCATACAGACTAACTCATAACTCTGTTATGCAACAACTTAAAAATATCCCCAAGGCCTTATACATGCACAATATATTTTAACTTGTATAATGTCTTTACTTCATGTTTTAATTGAGCGATTAATTTCAAGCACTTACTTGATTTTAAAACCACACTTGCTACATGCTTGTTCCACATTAGATCAATGCTGAAAAGAACATTCAAAATTGCCCACAACTTCTATAATTTTATCATTGATAGAGATTGGTGAAAGCCTGTTTACATACAAGTTGTCAACCGTAGTCAAGTACTCAAGGGGGGACTGAATAATAAAAAATATTCAAACGATGGTGTGATCAGGGTGTCATGGTGGTCATGGCGTGATTATATGAAAGGTAGTCGAAGATGTCAAAAATGGCGAATGATAATTTGAGTGCAGTTTTATACGAAATTGATGATTTGCGTATGGTAAAAATACATATTTGATTATTTTTCAAGATATTGATGTATAGATATTACTAAATAAACTCTGATGTATACTTCCTAACATTTTGTTCACGACAAATTTGTTTCCATTGACAAGCCATGATTGCTGTGAGTGTGGCTTGCCTTACTAAACAAGTTTGTTGTAAACAAAATCATTAGAAATAAAATTGAGTTGTCCATTTAACATACTCCTCTACTGTTTCTAATTATTGTTTTGTTTACCTTGTCATTACTTATTATACATTTTCAGTCATTGCGTATTTTATTTTAGGAGCAACGCGAAATACGGAAGCCGAGCAAAGGAGGTAGGCAAAACTAAAATTTCATTTGATATTTCGATACTTGGACAGTGTACGGCTTGAAAAATCTTGAGTATGTTAAATTATAGAAGTTCAAATTGAAGTACATTCAGTTGGCATTTGTGGCTCGGACGTGCATTATCTCCGAAAAGGGAGAATCGGTGATTTTATTGTCACAGCCCCAATGGTCCTTGGCCATGAAACCAGTGGAATTGTTAGTGCTGTGGGAGATGGTGTGACTAAACTGAAAATTGGTACGTGTGCTGTCTAGCCTCTCGTTGTTTTTCTTAGTTGTTTCAGTGGTTTTTGTTGTTAACTTCAAGGATTCCTCTCTTTAACTGAGAATGCATTTTTCCTGTAGGTGATCGTGTGGCAGTTGAACCAGGTTACCCTTGTCGAATGTGTGATTTCTGTAAGACAGGTCGATATAACCTGTGTGCTGACATGAAATTTGCTGCAACTCCACCATTTGATGGTACTCTTTGTCGATACTATTGCCATCCTGCAGATTTCTGTTTCAAGTAAGTGAAATCCTTTGTTATTATGCATGAGTCAATTCCAAGAGTTACCATCCCCCCCCCCCGGGAATATGGCCGAGCATTTGATTTTTTTCGTTTTAATAGTTCAATTTCCCCGCTGCCGGGGAAAGGCAAGAAGGCAAATACTCAGCCCCCGGGCAAGCTGCCAATGGCAAATGCCCTGCTCCGGGACCACTTAATTTTAAATTACAAAAATTAGGAACACTTTTTAATACTTTATTAAACAAGATATATGAGAGATCCTATAAAAAATAAATGTAGTAAAAGAAATTCTTTCCTGAGTTCCTTTCCCTTGCTCCGCTTTTCTCTTGTTGCTTTTGCTTTCCAGCACCTCTTTTCCTGTTCACAGAAATTTGCGTCAAGTGTTGAAGCCACAATTTAACATCCTTGGTTGACAGCAAACATTTCTTGGCAAGCATGCTTATGTCAGTATCCTCTAACACATCCACCACTGTGATTCTTGTGAAAGTCTGCCAGTATTTCAGACGGCGACGGGCTTCTTATAGCTTTGCCAACTGCATATAAATTTAGCAGCTCTGACACATCGGTGACATAATGCCCATAGCAAGCTCCCGTGCATGTTTCGCAATCCTCCCCTCCCCAAGGTCTCTTTACATCAGCAACTGGGTAAGGAAAAAACCACACGATGGTACGTCTGGATACCGGGAGATGGGAATCGGTACTTAATGTCGCGATTAATAGAAATCAATAGTCGCGATTAATAGAAATCAATAGTCGCGACTCGCGTACTCAAATGGTATCAAATCCCCGGGGGTATTATTGCCGGAGTAAATACCCGGCTCCCGAGCATCTCTTTTACGAGCAAATTCCTGACCCCCGAGAAAGGTCTCCAGGGCAAATGCCCAGGGGTATCCCGGGAGGGGGATGGTAACGCTTGGAATTGACTCATGCATTACAAGCTTATATTTTTTATCATTGTTTGGTTTTGCATGTTCCACTAAATTTGCTCTTTCTTCAATATGGTTTTCTACAACTGTATCCTAAAATGTAAAATCATGATGTTTTCAAAAATATGCATGCATTTATTTTGAAATGTACATGTGTATTCTTAAATTTAAATGTCATTATGTAAATGTCTTCAGAAATGTGCATATACATACTCTTAAATGTACATATGTGATGTGTAATGAACACATGTTTATCCTGAAATTTTCCCATAATTATTATAATTATTATTATTATTATCATTATCTTCCTATAATTATTATAATTATTAATTTCTAGGTTACCAGACTCGGTAAGTTTTGAAGAGGGAGCATTGCTTGAACCATTGTCTGTTGGTGTGCACGCATGTCGACGTGCTGGAATAACCATGGGTGATACTGTTTTAGTGTGTGGTGCAGGTATGTCAACATTTTTAAAAAATAATAAACATATTTCTTGTACCTCTATAATCGCATTTATATTTAGGTCCCATTGGATTGGTTAATTTACTTGTTGCTAAATCATGTGGTGCAAGCCAGGTTGCCATTACAGGTAATGTGATTTGGCTTTGTGTTTATGTATCTTCCAGTGAAAATTTACTGAAAAATTAACAAGTTCAGCATTTATTTTAGACTTGGATGAAAAGCGACTCAAAGTTGCTAAGGATTTGGGTGCAGATCATGTCATTACTGTTGAAAGAGGAAAAACGGCAAAAGAAGTTGCATCAAAAGTAAAGAAATTGCTGGGAAAAGCACCAAATAAGGTTATTGAATGTACAGGAGCTGAATCAAGTATTATCACTGGAATATATGTAAGTATATTATCATTTACGTACTTTTTTGCATTTTTTTTCTTCATGGGGTATATTAAGTAGAGTAAGCTGAGGGATTGATATCTATCATCATATTTAATACATGTATGGTTATGTGAAAGCATGAACAACCTAGTCTACGTTTTGGGTTACTTGGAATCATGGATGGATTTTAGGGAGTGCAAGGGGATGCCATCCCCCAAACATCACATCTCACCTCTCTAAATAGATTATTCACCCCTCTAAGAAATATTAACCACCACCATCCCCCTATTTCTGCTCCACTTTCAAATGCATTGGATAATGACCAGCTTCTTCAAACTTTGCCTCTTATTTATGTTTTTACCTGACTTTGCCCTACGTCGAGTGGCAACTGGAATGTCCGAATTAAATACAACGCTGTCCATTGTAATATGAAACATAACATTTTCAATCTAAGTTCAAACACAAACGTTCATTGCGTTAAAACACACACACGTTAGCCGAATGCAACTCTACTAAATTGTTTGAGTTCACAACGACTCGAAGCTCAGCTGACTGAGCTACGTAAGATTAGTAATGAAGAACGTCCGCTTGCTTAAATCAATGCTGAGGAAGACCAAGTCGTTCAACAACCGTAGTAGATATTAGGGCTACTACACTTTCACATTTGGAGGAGAACGAAAGTGACAATTGCAAGGATTTCGTTTATTGCCTTAAAATCGTTGCCATAAGTGCGCGAATTGTACAAATTCTGTGGGTAGTAAATAAAAAATCGGTGTTCCAGGGGGTTTCAAGAGGGTTGCGAGGCAATTCTTTAGCGATAATTCCGGACCCTGAACCGCTTCCTACAATATTAACCTTGGTTACTGTGTAACGTCCTCACAAATATCATAATATTAAACGTTTTTGTAGGCAGCAGAATCAGGGGGAGTGGTTGTTATTGTTGGAATGGGAAAACCAGAAGTCAAGATGCCCGTTATTGATTTTCTTGCTAGAGAAGTTGATATTCGTGGAATTTTTCGATATGCAAACTGGTGAGTCTACGTAACAGATTTATTTAAAAAAATTCTTTTCACAACATTGAAGGCAATCTTTCTTGACATCTCTTCACTACATCTCCATTGACAACATTTCAATTGATAACACCTCTGTAGACAACATCATTATTGATAGTATCGTTATTGACTATATCTCCAATGAAAATATCTTTATGTATTGACAGCAACTCTATTGAAAATATCTCTACTGACAACATCCATTGACAACATCTCTTTTGACGACATCTCTATTTACAACATCTATTCACATGGTCTTCATTGATAACGTTTTCATTGCTAATTGTCTCTATTCAACCATCTTTATTGCCAACATGTCTGTCAGTAACATCTCTCCTGAAGACATCTCTCTTGGCAACATGTTTTTGTTGGCCACATGTCTATTGAAGACTTCTCTCTTGGCAACATGTTTGTTGGCCTTATCTTTATTGAAGACATCTCTCCTGGCAACATGTTTTTGTTGGCCACATCTCTATTGAAGACTTCTCTATTGGCAACATGTTTTTGTTGGCCACGTCTTTATTGAAGACATCTCTCTTGTCAACATGTTTTTGTTGGCCACATCTCTATTGAAGACATCTCTCTTGGCAACATGTTTTTGTTCGCCACTTCTCTATTGAAGACATCTCTCTTGGCAACATGTTTTTGTTGGCCACATCTCTATTGAAGACATCTCTCTTGGCAACATGTTTTTGTTCGCCACTTCTCTATTGAAGACATCTCTCTTGGCAACATGTTTTTGTTGGCCACATCTCTGTTGAAGACATCTCTCTTGGCAACATGTTTTTGTTGGCCACGTCTCTATTGAAGACATCTCTCTTGTCAACATGTTTTTGTTGGCCACATCTCTATTGAAGAAAATCTCTCTTGGCAACATGATTGTTGGCCACATCTCTATTGAAGACATCTTTCTTGGCCAACTCCATTGACCGCATCTCCATTGACAACTCACTCTTATGTGTAGCTTTCCCCATTAGAACATTTTTAATGAATATAATTGTCTATTGTTTAGCTACCCTACTGCTTTGTCCCTGGTGGCATCAGGAGCTGTGAACGTTAAACCACTGGTAACCAATCGATTTAAACTTGAGGATAGTGTGAAAGCCTTTGAAGCTGCTGAGCGTGGTGAAGGAATCAAAGTTATAATTAAGTGTAAAAGAGATGATGACAATTTCGATTTTCTTGCAAAATCAGGGTTGGACAGAGGGAAAAAAAGAAAAATTATTGATGAAAATACTTTATAATTCCTTTTTTTTATTGTTTATTTGTTGGTAAATAATGAACTTAGCTTAGACCACCCCAACTCCCCACTAAAATTATTTTATCCTTAGTTAATGCCTGCCTGTGCATGGGGGGGTTGTTAATTTGTGAATTTACATACGTCAAACATGCAAATTATTGAATTGAAATGATTTTAAAGGAATCATTTCTGTAATAGCAACTCTTTAAATGAAGTAGCGTATTTTGAGTAATTTGTCTGTTCTTCTCAATTGTAAGGAAAATGTTTTACGTTCATAGCCTTTAATACAATATGTACCTCACTCGTTTAAATGTAGATTTAAGAATGTTCAGAGTTTAGACACTTCATGGTATTAATTATTAACATGATACTTGGCAAACACTTGTCTAATCAAACGTAGTTGTTAGCTATGTATTCAACTGTAAATTACTTAGTCAATATACTTGAAAATATTACATGAAATGCGCAACATTAATTTTAAAACTTAATGAACATCATTATCCTTTTAATTATTATTTCAGCAGAGAAAGCTGTACACTTTAATTTTAAAAGCAGCAATTACTGTAAGATAATGTTAATGTACCAGTACTTTTGCAATTTAGTTGTTGGTCCAGAATTTTTACTAACGTTTTTTTTTTACCATAGATTTTCTTCATATCAATGTAGGTGTTCTATAAAACGCTAATGCATTGATGTCATGCGAAAACGTTAATACCAACACTCTTACGACACGCAGAGGATACGTTGGGTCTATTCTTAAACGCCGGAGCCCACACGGCATTTGTAAGAGTATCTTTTAGAGTTATACAGGCTTGTAACCAATAAAATGTGTAATGCTTTAGTTGACAGTAGTTCCAAGGCATTATGATTTCTTCGTTAATGCATTTTTGCTAAAAGTAGAAACCGGTACTTTAATCACGTGATAAAATATTTGGATACGTCATATTTTGCATAAGTAATGCCCTAAAAATTTAAAAACAAACACTATTACACAGCAATAAGGAAATTATATTTAAAAATTAACACATCAATACATTTATCGTAAAAAGATTTTTACCTTAGAGTTCCAAGATGGATTATCACGATCCTTAGTTTGTTTTTCTTTCAACAGGCTGTTTTCAATTGGATTGAAAACTTAACCCAATAACGATGCAAACCTTTCTTGTTTTTTCTTGTAGATCCCAAACACGGCGACCCTTTTTTGTTTTTGAGAATACTCGAAAGAGTACTCAGTGAGGGAAACCGGCAATACGCCGGAGGAAAACCTTCAATCAAACTTTGGATTGATATATATTGCTCGAGATCACATAGTCTATTTTTCACCTTTATTTTTAGAAAAGTTATGTTTACATTCATAAGGCCTTAGTTATATTTACAACAACAGATAGACTGTGCTTATCTTTACAAGGTTATCGTAATAGGTGATTAAAGCAACATACATCCTTGTAAAAAAAGTCTTTTAAACTAAACCGAATCCGTCACGTATTGTCATTTTGAAGTCGTTTTTGACATCAGCGTTTTTTGCCTTTGTGCAATCTTACTTAAACCTGTCGATCATTGGCATAAAATAACCTGGATTTGAAAATCTATCTACGTGGTATATATGTACTCCAGAAAAAAATTAAATCAAACATTTTCACTATGAGACACGTAGCTACTGCAGAGCAACACAAGTACCCACGTCGAAAAGGAACCTAATAAATGGGGAACCGCCTCCCTGGGCCCTTACACATTACCAAACGGTGTCCCAACCAATCTTTCTTGTGCCCAACACTCGATCACCAAGGTACCAACTTGGCACCATTTGCAATTATTCCTGTATCTACATTTATTCTAATACGTCTAACTATCGTCGTGGCCAGACCGATTTTTTTCATACAAGTTAAATAATTTCATTTTGTAATTTTTAACTCGTACATGCCACTGTCATAACGTTAATTTTGATTTTCAAAAGCAATGCCAGGGTCTTTTGCACCTATTCTGTTTCGTAGTTTATCTGACGGTTGTTAACTTAATTGTTTTTTATTTATTAAAGATGTATTCATCTCAATTATTTTTAAGCTGCAAACATTTTCAAACACATAAAAATTGTTTCATTATGTCGCATTCACTGATATTTACATCATGCAGATGCTTGCTATGCCGAATTTCATTTTTCCGTTTTCCGCGAAGCTGGATTCCGTCCTTTTGGACAGGTTTTTTCATGTTTCATTTTTAGCATATCCGATCAATACGCCATTTTTTTGCAGCATCGCTGTTTTATTCATGCAATAAGACTTTTAATGTTTAGTTGATGTTTAGTTTCATAAAAGATGTGAAATATTCATGCGCACGACCAAAATTCAAAGAAACCCATGCTTTTTTCGTTGAATTTAGGATCATGTACCCTGGTGATAAAAAAAACAAACTTTTAAAAACAGCTTCATTGAGTGTAAACATGCTCAGACCATTGGACATTTATAACATCAGATATGTAGCTGCGCCGTTTTTAGCTGTTTTGCGAAGCCTGTGAATGAAAATATCCGATCACATTTAAAGATAGCAATAGGCAAAACCTTTTGTACAAGACAAGATGAATGTGTTTTTCAGAGAAATGTTTGCGATGAAAATGCACTTCGTTCTACTGCAACCAATAAAAGCAATATAAAAATCATATTAACACTAACAGGAATTAAGAGAACAACCAACTTTGTATTTTATCTCAGTTACTAGGGTTCACTTATGTTCCTGTCAATGTTGATCACCAGGATATTAACAAATATAAATCATTGCACCTTTATCGATGTCCTTTTTGCAATCTTGACATCATCTATGACATAATACACGATTTCCATAGTATTTTCCACGACATTAGAGTGCCCATGATTATCCATCATAATCCACGACATCCCCAATGTAATCCACTATATTCATAATGCATTCCACAGCATTTACGATGTAATCGTGCAAAATCTTGATCATCAACGACATCTATGATACAGTTTGCGATATTCATAATGTGATAGACGACTTTCATGGTAAATTTAATGATATTTATGATGTAATCCAAATGAACGATGTACTGCTTAATGTCAATGATGAATCTATTTTTGCACAAAATAAAAATTTTTGATATCCTTACTTTAAAGTCAGTATTGACAAAGTCGGTGTTGAAGTATTCATGATGTGCGTAATGTAAGTTGATCAAATCCTTCATGAAGTCTTTATTGCCAATGATATAACAATGATATCTACGACGTTTATGTTTAGTCCATATGTAATAACGATTTATTTATGATGTCCGTTTTGGAAGTCCGTATGTTTATGTTTATGTTTAGTCCATATGTAATAACGATTTATTTATGATGTCCGTATTGGAAGTCCTGATATCCATGTTGTAGTTCAAAGTGTCAAGTTTGTTTCCACGACATCCATGACGTTGTCCATAAAAGCAATGTTGTATAAGGCCTTGATGTATTTTCTTGATTTGATGTATTATTCTTTGATAAAAAGAAATGAATTTTCGAGAGAAAAATTAGCATTTTCGTTTATGAAACATTTAAAAGTAAAATGTTTGTGGATGAAGATCGTGTTGGTATTGATGTAGACTGACGTTTCGACAACCTTAACTGTAGTCGTCTTCAGAGTCAAGTGTCACAAAACCTCAAAAACTGATGAAGCAACCCGGCATATGAAACACGATATGCTAACTTGCAGGAAACGTTAAGATAACCTAGCAAATGACAGTGCTGCATTTGCAAGAACCGTCGAGGCAAGCAAAAATATGAACACCCAGTGCGTTAGCCTTCAAGAAACGTTGAAATAACAAAGCAAACAAAAAGCCTGAGCCACAGCACATGAATACGGTGCAAGTAGAAGAACTTTAGAAAGCAGAAACTTCATATGAAGACCTGCTAAGGCAAGAGCCGTGGAAGCCTCAGAGAAAATGAAAACGCACTGCGCTATCTTGCAAGAAACGTTATTGTAACACGGCAAAAAAGGATGTTACGCTTTCAACAACCATTGGGTCAAACGAACATATGAAGACGCAGCTCTTGAAAGAGCTGCTTAAACAAACCTCCACATGAAGACGCTGTACTTGCAAGAACTGATGAAGCAACCCATTATATGAAGATGTTGCGCTTGAAAGAAGTGTTGAAAGCTGAAACAACCAGCACATGAAAACCCCCACTTGCAAGAACGTTAAAGCATCCTTAACATATGAAGACGCGTTGCGCCTGCTTGAACATCGCTTTAAACCATTATCTTATAAAAATTTGATTCATTTTGGATAGCAAATTTCCTTTTACCTTACAATATTTTCATGATTCAATGTAGAAAGTAACTTCTCTACTCGAGTAATTTTGCGATTAAACAGCACACCGGATTCAAAGGAATTCTTTTCATCGCATAGAGGCAACTTATTACGTATCTAAGAGTATATAAAGCATTTTCAAAACACGTACAAAATTTCCTTCGCATGACCAAATTATCGTCCATTTAAACGATGCATATGTACTAAAAATTTACTTTGACAACTGAAGCAAACCTCCTTTTTCCAAGCATTTGCAACACCTCAAATTCATTCCGAAATCTTAAATTTCTCGCAGCGTAGCCGAAAGGAATAGGCATCAAATCAGGAGACTCATCTCCATCATCACATTTTGATTTCTCCCTTGATCTTTTTCAGGGTCAAGCTTATTTGAAGTGATGTTATGGCTTAAACCGCGCGACATGGGATTTGGAGAGATAATATATGGCTGAAAATTTGCTAAGCGCATATACAAGCACCAATTTCAGAGCTCGCTCCGTCACAAATTAATTGAGATTTGGTGCGACTAGGGTTTGCACTGGCTTAGGGCCCAGACTTCGGTCGCGACCGCACTCTCCCTGAGTACCCCGAGCAAAGCATATCGCATGCGATCTCTGGGTGTGATGGGCGGAAGCTTGCTACGTATTGGCATCCCCAAGTAGGATAGCGCGGAGAAACCGAAATCTCCTACCGAAACGTTAACTTGCGGCGTTCTAGTGCCTTACGCCTAAGAGGGTATCGGGAAGAATGGACCAAAACGGGGGTTTTAGCTTTCGAATTTTATCTTATGGTTACGAAAAAGATAAAATTCATAAAATAAACCAAGCAATGTTTCAATCAACTTCTTCTAGCACTGTGCCTTTTTCTGACACTTATAATTTAAGACAAACTTAAACTTGTTTTATAAAATTATGGATAATCTTAAACAAAGATTTAAAAGAATATTGCAAAGGTGTTTACAAGGCATTAGGCATAACAGGATTTTCTTTGAGGGGGTAGGAGGCAAATTACTTGCTTCCTTGCATAATATTAATTACAAATTAGAATACTAACCTAAGACATGTGAATATAATTGGTCAAATATAATAGGGAAGTAAGCTTGACGTTTTTACATTATGCAGTGCAGAAGGATATCTAAAATATCAGGTTTGATGAAAAAGCAATACTTAAGTACTGCTAATGAATTTTTTTAGTGAAATTGCTAACATGAAAATGGAATTAGAGAATTACATCTTAAAATGGGATTAGGGAGAGAGAAGTTAATATCACTCATATTTAACTCTTGCCATGATGACATTCATGAGTATGTTTTAACCAATCTTTAAAGCATTATATAGTTTATGAGGAACTTAAATTCATTTTAAATTCATTTCTTTGTTTTTGTGTAGGCAAAATACTGGTGTTTGCAAAATATGCAAAGACAATGATGGTGAAGATTGGCTTGGATGCAACAAACGATTTCAGTCATTCCCTTCCAACTGTTCAAATTTAGACTTTTCTCCTCTCTTCTCCAACTATTTTGTCTGTCCATGCTAAAACTCTTGGCATGATGTCACACAAATGTCAGCATTTACCATCTCAACATAAAATAAATTTCCAAGGAAACAGGCAAACAGTCATAAGTGCTTCAATGATTGTGTTGGATTTTGAAGAATTAAACTTGAATGGGTGGCATTTAAAGCTTAGCACAACTTTGTCACAATGTCCATTTCCTGTATTCTGCTTGCAAACCTCTTGCATCATACACTCCCTAAGCATGGTTGTGGTGACTTAATTCAGATGCTTAACTCAAAAGTCAAAAAATGATTACAGTCAAAATACAAAAACAGTTAAAATAATGAAAATAAATGAGAAAAGAAGGAGAATACAATATAAATACCTGCTTTTGACTAGTGCATCGTTTTTTTGGCTCTCTAGTTTCTACATAATTCCACTTATGATCACATATTGTCAATCTCTGAGCACCCTCTTTCTCTGTCCTGGATTTAATGTTTCCCTCATTTTGAGTTTGCCATTACCAGTACATACCAATGGTACATATCCTGTATGAAACATAATGACCCCCCCCTCATATTCTGTTCGTTAAATTTGAATAAAGTTTCTTTTATTAATATTTTTTGAGATGGTTCTAGGTTTCATGTTGTTTAGACCATTGATTAAAAAACAGTACTTTTCGGTTTAATGTTTTCATAATAAGTCCTATACCACAAAATAAGAATAAGAATTTTTGTAAGAAAATTTACGGGGGGGGGAGGAGCACAATATAGATATAGGGATATAATGGTTCTTCGTGCAATGGCGGCGAAAGCAAGCGAACGATCTCAATCAAATTATTTGAATCGAAAGAGTTACTGTATTAAATGTCGTCTATGCAGAACACAACTGATAACATCAAAAACACCGAATCACAGTCTTGAGGGAAAGACGAAACGCTGTGGAAATTGTATTTTCCTGGATGAAGACGTTTTGCCCGATTGGATTACCCACGAGATCCAGAGATCTTCATGGACGAAAGGACGACTAAAATGCCATAAGTGGGAGTGCACTGCCCGTGTTGGTGGGTTCGATTTCATCCAAGGCATTTCATGTGCGTGTGGGAAATTTCACATTCCAGCGATTTGGCTTCAGGATTGCAAAGTAGATGTGATTTCAGTTGATTGCAAGGATTTCTCAGTCACTGATACAATTTTTAAAGTATGAGTATGATTTACGCTATCTACGTTGAACAAGAGTCCCTCATTTGTTATAGGTGCTTTTTTGTCTCTATGTTATGCTTTATTCATCCCGGAAAAAAACGATGAGAATGCACTCATAATAATGTTTTTAATTTTTCTCTAATTTCTCATATAGCAAGAACCTGTTGATGCAACTGTTGAAATAGATTTCCAACACCCTTTAAAACACAGAGTCAATATTCCAAAAGACTCCTTTATCCATGTGTATGATCTTGAGAATAACTTCCAAGTACCATTCAATACAACTTCGATTAAAGTTAAAGAAGCTCATACTAATAAACTTAAGGAATCATCATATGAGGACAACAAAGTTTCATCTGCCAACAATGGATTAAGTGGTGTATTCAATGAAACAAGCACTTCTATTTCTAGAAGGAAACATAGATCACGTGCAAGGAAGGAAAAGTCAATGAACTTCAACATAGAAAGTAAATGCGAACTGCACACACCGCATGCACTTAAGAAAGAGAGTTCAGAACTAGTTCCCAAAAATTTTAACAGGTTTGAAGCCCTTGCGGGGCTTGATACAACCAAAACAGAACTCACACAAAATCAACAAGAGAATTCAATTAAGAGAGATGATTTAATATGTGCAGTGTGTCTGGACTATTACTACCAACCATATCAATGTCCTTGTCTGCACATTTTCTGTGAACCTTGCTTAAAGCAACTTTACCATTGGAGAAATGGTACTCTCTTATGTCCTATTTGTAGAAGTGCAGTCAAATATATCAAAGTACCTGAATCAGTCAGACAAGAAATCAACAGCCTTCAATTACCCAGCATAAAACAAAGGACATTTTATGAAAGGAATGCAAAGCATCGTAAATGGCCATTGCCCCCGATTGGCTTACAAACATTTCCATGCAAGCAGACACGTCAGGTTACAAAAGTAAAAAAGAACTTCTTTGCTTTAATATGTTCAATGTGCATAGTCTACATCATTATTTATGTATATGAACTCCAATAAACTGAATATGACTGGAAGGCTAACTTTGAAGCTGGAAATTCAACTAGTCCCAATCCTTCCCCACTCACAGAACAAAAAAAGTTCATTACAACAGTGAGGTGAAATGCTGAAGTCTCCCTAGTAAATGTGCTTTTATAAGGCTTCATGCCAGTACAGGTACTTATACTGGAGGGTAGCATTACCCAGTTATATATTTAGTTCAATGATTAACACACACAAAACTTTGTAAATTAATTTGAAATTAATCTACCCTCACACATACACAAAAATCCTCTTTATTTAATGAAAAAATTATAACCCATATACATCGGCCTACAAACTGGGATATGGTACCAAGAAGTTACTATTAAAATAATATGCATATATAAATGCAAGGACATCATCTTATCATTGAATGAATAAATTAATTATATATGACCAACATGTGAGTGGAGTTCATTATTCTTAGTCACATCTGACTCTCTCAAATACAAAATGCAGACCACTGCCAAAGAAAGTAGGAACTGCAGCATAGATCAGAGCCTCATACATAGTAGCACATGTGATTTTCAAATAAATCTTTAAGACATTGGAACATGAATCAATAGACAACTTTAAATTGGATCTAGTTGAAACAGATAACAAGTACTCAAAACACAACAAATAGCAAAAGTGGAAAACAAACACAATCAGTTAACAAATAATTATATGTAAACAAACTGCAGCAGAAATGTTTCCAAATGCATAAAGTTCTTTCATTTATATGACAAACCAACACCCTGATAAACAAGCAACAAACCTTAAATCACATCATTTCAAACTCATCTACACGTTGCTTTGTGTTTCCCATTCTGATCTGTTTTAGTGTCCTATACTTGTCACGTCCTGCCCTAACATTCTCCGCATGCAACACATCTAGTCGTGTTAACTTTGTATCATCTTTGGTCTCTTGTAGTTCACTTTGTAGCATCTGAAATCAACATGCAATATTATGCATGAAAATCTTAACAGAATTGGCAAAAATCAGTTTCTTGAAATACCTTAAGCTGTTCACCAACACTGGTGTTTTTGGAAAGTTGAGTTGTACGATTCAACTCTGTCTGTTGTTCAGCCTCAGAAGTAGCTTCCAACTCACAACTGTCAGCTTCACCTTCAGCCTCTGTATGGGACAACACATTATGTGGAACTTCAGCTAGCTTCTTACGGTTCTCCTCTTCTTTTTGCTTGGTCTCCATAAGCTAAAAGGCAGAAAGAAAAAGAAAATTTCATTATCACAATTTTCCCTGAAGAATATTTAATTCAATGAAGTTCATTGTATAGTATTATTTTTTTGCTATTTCACAAAACCTTCAATTATATTGATAAGGTTGACAGTGACAGGTAAAACTAGAAACTTTACACTGATTTATAATTCATATATAATGCCATTCTTAATTTCATTGAAAACTTCAGTACTTCTTCCTGTAATTTTTGGGCAGCCATAGCTTGTTTGTCGGCTTCCTCCTGAGCACGTTGAGCCTCTTCAGTGGCCTTAACATATTCATGTTTCTGAAAACAAAAACAGATTGCATTTAATTCATGCTAATGATTTTATGTTAAAATATTAATAAATATACACACAAGTTCCTCCTTCTCATGAGATTCACTTTCAAGTAACAACTCCATACGATTCTTTTCTTCTTCGGCTTCTTTACGTTTTTCTTCAAGACGCTTTGCTTCTTCCTCAGCTTCTAAACGTTTTCTTTCCAGTTCCTCTGCTGCTGCAGCAGACTTGGCAAGTTCTGTTAGAAGTCAATAATTCTTTATAACTTTCTCAACCCTATAATTACCACAATGCATTGCTGGGGTTTATTGAACAAGAGCTGACTTGGAAGCTAAGGTAATCCATAGCAATGTGCATCTTATTCAAGGTGTTATTTCAGCAGCAAGGTGTTGGCGCAGAAATAAACAGTTGAATGGCCTAAATTTTTTAACAGTCTGAATCATTTTGGTACAAAATACCTTCTTGAGCCAATCTCGCTTCTTCTTCAAATTTAGCCAGTCGTTCTTCAAGTTTCTTCTTTTCTAGTTCTGCCGCTTCACGCTCTTGTTTTACTTTCAAAATGTTTTGTCTATAAAAATAAAACAAGTTATGCATGAAATAACACAACCTGGATTATGGATAATGGCAATAATGCAAATTATAGCAATTGTGCAAAGCTGATAAATTCACACCTAAACAAATTATTTGTCCAAATAAATAAAAGTACACCAAAATTGCACTTAAGTCAGGGAACATGTACCTTCTTTTAACATATTCCAGTAAGTATGTAAGTATGAAAGAATGGGGAAATCAACAAAAAATCACTTGTAACAATTAACTAGAACCCCTTAACAAAAGATGGTACCTTTCCATTTGTTTGTTGTGCTTTTCTTCCCTTGCTTGGGCCTTCATTTGTTGGACCTCAATTGTATCTGGCTTACGTCTTCTCATGTAAAGTTCGTGGTTACCCATGCAAAGCGCAAGAATACGTTTGTTTGTGCGAAGACGTGGGGCATAAAATATGAAATCCTATGAAGCAAATGCCATGAAAATAAAAAAAGCACCTGTTAAATTCTAGGACAAGTTTTTGAAAGAAAGTGCATTTGAGATTAAAACAAAGATGAACAGATTAAAATAGGCTGCAGTAAAAACTGGCTATGTAAAACCAGAGTTTGAGCAATGACATAGCCAAGTTACAGAGGCAAACAAAATCTACTTGTTTAATATGTCACTATGCTAGCTTGTGAAATACTGCTTAAGCAAAAAGCCACTGTGTTTCAAGTAAACCAAAACCAACATTTGCTTTTACAAAGAAATGCACATTTTTTTCAGCTGTTTTAAGACAAATCGAGTAATTCACTTACTGGTGCTTTCTTATCAATTGGTTTAATAACAAATTTCTTATCATTGAAAGATATATTCCTTATGTCACTCCATGGAAATCCAATTTTTGGCGTCAACCTAATAAATAAACAAAGAAAGAATAAATTTCACATAAATATCCTCAGTTTCCTAGAAACAATACTTAACAAAACAAAATCTTACAAGAGATCACATACTTGTCTTCCTTCTCATACACATTCAATCCAAGAGCATCCACTCCCAACCAAAGACTTGTTCCCTTTTTGTTTTTAATTTCAAAATAACTAACTCCATACATTTCAAGATCTTGTGCAATCTTTAAGTATTCAGTCATAGCATCGTCTCTGGAGAGAAAAGCAACATTTCTCATGTGTAACAACATGCTTTGTACAAATGTATGTACATTAATGTAATTAAAATAAGTATAACCATAAGTCAACATTTGAAGACAACTATTCAACTTGTCCTAATCTTTCCACTAATGGCCATAAGCAAACTTCATTGTGAAAATCATCTAAAGAGCAGCACTTCGCATGTATGTCTCTATAAGGCAAATTTGGCTTCATGCAAGTATGGACATGTTTACTTAAAATGACAAATACTCACTTTGTTACATCTTTATGCTCTTTCCACCATTTCACAATCCTTTCCTCCCACTCCTCCCTTGACATTTTATGTTGCTCATACACACTAACGAACAAAGTGATGATAATTTCTACTCTTAATCGGTACTTGTCTTTATATTTAGCCTTATGTTAGGTTTTTGTAACTTTTAATAAATAAATGTGGCTTAATTGCTTTAACTTTTCTTTGAAAGTTTGCATCAACATATTTGTAAAACATGTTTTCAACATTAGCAATATGAAAAAAAAGAAACTGCCAAACACAGCTTTGTCTTTTTTCAAATGGAATTTAAAATAATGAAAAGCAGGCTTTCAAAATGTAAGTTAGCACATTAGTAATATAGCACTTTTTCTACATCAAAAATATTAGACACTCAACCTCGTGATGACTCTACAAACAATTCATTACGAATTTAGAAAAAGCTTTGTAAAAATATGGTCCAATTGGTTAGTACTTAATAAAACTTTCTTACTTATAAACAAATTGTAAATCTTGCAATGAATTGGGGCTAAACAATAGATTCAGATGTAAAAAAATGACAAGAGAGAATACCGATGAGGCAGAAGACGATCGCTAGAGAGAAATCCTGGCTTGTATGCTGTGTCAACTTGGTCCCCATATTTAGCTTGGCACTATAAATATAGAAACCACATATTAAAAATGAATACATACCTTTAAAAACTTTATAAAATAAGAAATGAAGAACAAGGAAACTTTATATAATCACTAGTTTCACATAAAATGAAACATTTTTAGTTGTAATCATGATTTCCCATTCAGTAAGGAATATAAAAAGCAAACATGTCAACAAAGCACGCATCCATTTATGTTTGTTTTTGCCATACTAAATTTTTATATTCCACCCCCTACCCTTAATTTGCATGCACATAATTTTTAGAAATGATTCTTATTTCCTAACAGCAAGTGTTGTAAGTAAACACAGTAGCTGTATTGTATTATGAGTTAATTTTTTAAATAACTTCAGTTCTTTGGCAAACAGCTTAGCTATGCATGTTTTGAATTGATTCTTCCTTTGGTATACTTACAGCATACGATGCCAACAACACAGCTGTTTCAGGAGGGCAATAAATTTCATCGGACAGAATACCATCTTTGACTTGCAGGAAAAACAGCCGCTAAAAAAATCAAACCAGTAATTGACATCACTCAATAGAAAGTGCTGTATCATCAATTTCAAATAAAACACACACCTGGATAACTTTTTCATTTAATTTTTCAATAAAACATACCTGGGTTACTTCTTGAATCAATTCCTCGCTCACATCCTCTGGGAAAAACTTAGATCGAAATTTGAACTGAAACGGTGTCTCCTTCTTGACATCTTGGGATAGCACCTAGTTAATATTGTGAAATACAATGCAAAAGTTAAAAGTACATACTGTACAATAATACAAATATTGTCATTTGACATTGCATAAGACTGATGGTTTGCTCATTTGAGGTTGCATAAGACTGATGGTTTGCTCATTTGCTAGAAGCATTGGTTTGGCATTTGCTAAATCACTTGACCTACGTAAGAGCCATGAATTTGAACAAGGCTACCTTAACTTCCCCCAACACATTTACTAAATTTATATATTACATTTCATCACGTAAATGTAACAAATTAAGACAGGAAAGTCTCTAATGGAACGTTAACCATTAAATTACTTTAGACACATGTGATGACTTAGAAATAAATATAAGTGCATATTTCAAAACAATTCTGTGAGAACTGCATGACAAATTTAAACAAACAACTTTCAAAACTTTCGCTTCAATGATTCTCCTACGAAAATATCAATTCGAAAACAAAATAAAGAAAACGGATAGTCTGGCTATTCACGTTGTAATTCCTGTTAAAGTATACTCGATACGGCTGCGGACTGCACACAACATAAAAGTTCAATGAACCAATCATGACATTAAAAATCACACATAATTGCAGTGTTGTACCTTTTTGTTAAGTTTCAACCAGGTGGTTAGGCCTTTAGTATCAACGTACTGCAAGCCAAAGAACCAAATTTCTCTTAAGCCAATAGTCTTGACTACCTGGAAATACGAAATACTCAGTTTTTCTTTCCAATGTAAGAACACGACAATGGCGAGGACAAACAGCCTTATTCAAGGTTACGCCATAAAATTGGCGTGATAAGCAAAGCAAATTCACTGAAGCCTTTGAATTTCATGATCAACCTGGTCAAATAGTTGTTTCCCTGTTGTGCTTGGTTGGATGGCGAACTCAAGTTCAGCGTCCATGGTTGTAACGCGAACATTTACCTGTTTCATATCAAATTGATTATTTTTATTACACAATAATGATAGTCAATTAAAGTACTCGCTATTCTAGTTCAAATAACAGAGGATGCATTATAAATATGACTTCGTTAACAGCAAAAGCTAATCTAATCAATTTGATGCATTATATTTAAATTTTAATTTTATATCAAATATACAGGAATAAAAATCTTACCGATTTAGGCATGTTTCCCGAGAATTTCAGCCAGCAATTGAATGTTTATGTTTCACCTAAACGTAAATATAATATAACATAAATATGTCAGTGGTTTAAAGTAGGTTTGAAAGACTTGAAAAAGTTGCACGAATCATCGAACTGCCGGTGAAAAAACAGATATTTTAGTATAAAGTAAACTCCACACACGAACGACAAATCATATCCAGATAAATTACCCGGTCCTTTTACAACGACGCAAAAGAGTTCGCAAAGCTTCGAAAACTTATACTATACTCAAGTGAATTTCCACACAAATCAGAAAACTTTAGGGAGAAAAAAGCAAGAATACCTTTCGTACAAAGAATATTTCAACGCTCCTGCTGGCAGAGTTAGTTAACCGCGAGGTGGGTGTGGTACTGGAACTAGATACGCTCGATTGAGCCCTTGAAAATAGTCTTGACAGCCCCGCACTTCCGTTATTGTATTTAAATGATTTAACAACTACATGGGCCCGGTGGCCAACGCAACGCAAAAACGCAACCATTGCTGTTTCACTAGGAGTTACTATAGTAAGGAAAGTGCTTCCTTTCCATCGTTTAAATTATCCATCATTATTAGTTCAAATTAATGGTAAAATTAGTAGGTCATTAAAGGGAAAAATTTAGCGCATCTCAAAAACGTGCCTCAATCAAAATGCAAATTATTCCAATTCAAGCGTCGCCAGGCAAAAACAAAGGATGAAAGCTGTACAAGTAAGAAATGAAATAGATCACTTGATCAATTAATCACGATTAAAAGTGCTATCGTCTGGGAATCTTCATATTTTGTCAAAAGTAAATTTGAAAACCTTTGACTTATGTGTCGGTGCTGATCTCCTATATAAAATTGCATATTTATATAAAGCTCCAAGTTTCGTTTTCCTTTCGTTCATATCAACGTGCATGAGCCTTTCAAAAATACATTTATTGCACTAATAAAGGCATTAAAAAAGTTGCATGATTCGTATGACGATGGTATTTAAATGTAAAGCGTGTGATATCACAAGAAAAATATTAAAATCAGAAAGGTAAGAAAAATACCACGCTGTATGTCTTTATAATAAATTTTTGATTTAAGGGTTGTGTTTGAGCATACCTAATTGCATATGAATAGTCGATTATCGGTTAATGGTACAACAGATTTAGTTGTTATTACGAGTGGCTGAAAATTCGCTACCACGCGATAGGGATTCGCGATAAGCTGTCGTACATTCAAACAAACACCAAGAACAAGAACTAACACATAAAACCTTTTTCAGTCTAGTATGAACCATATTCCTTCTCGTCATCAATTAATGAAACGAAAAACATAGAAGTGCAAGCGCACATATAGTTTTCCTTTCATATAGACAAGTGTATTTTGCACGTGACGTTAAAATATTTCTGCACATTGACTATTTCTAACAGGAGAGCTAAGTTACAGTTAAAAACTCGTAACTTTATAAGTTGTGATTAGAGGGATACGTTTCAGAAGTGAGATCTACACTACCGTACATGTATTGAAAGATAAAAAGACGTAAGGGCATCCTCAATTAAACAAAAAGTGCATCTATTGAAATTGTCGAAGCTTTTCGTACATGGCAACAGACATGGCTATCATCTTCAAACGGTGTTTACAATAATAGTTTACGTGAAAGTCAAAATAATGAAGTAGATTATGATTGTTTTTGTCAATTATATGCATCGTTCACGGTTCTATTGGATTGAAGAACAATAGAAATTGAAACAGAACTTTTATGTATTGCCGAAGAAACGATGTCTGTGGAAAACTTTTCATTTGATAACTGTTGATAAATCGTCATAAATTTTTGGGCAACATGTACTTTCAAGATAGCATCTGTACATTGAACAGGATTACGTCAAAAAACCCATATTACCGATACGATGATGTAACACAAAAATGACACCAGATTTTTTTTTCATAATAATATATGAATCCTATGATAATTATAGCTCTTTATGAAGCCATTATAGCCTAATTTTATACAGAAACTCAAACGAATATTCTGCAAGCAATGCTTTGTCACAAAAAGAGAGGCCATAAGGAGATCTACAGATTTCAATCGGACGATGGAAAAGAAAAACATAAACAAGAACAAGTATGTATATTTGTTTGTCTGCATCTTACTGACGCTATTTACTTCTTTTAGTAGCGGAGGACGTAGATGAAGATGACAGATGTATTTGTACTTGTTTGCGGTTTAAACCTTTGAACACCTCTCCTCAGTATTTGCAGATGATCAGTAAAAAAATGGATTGTAGAAAATAAATTTTAAATGGATTCTTCTTGATAGTAAAGTCATGGGTAAATACACAACAATCTAAGCACGCGTGCATTATAATTTATAAAATAAACACAATGAAACGTGTGCAGTGAGTGGTCAAGAGCTGTGTTTGCATTATCCTGTACAAAACACATCTGACCTCAACCAATCAAATCAATTAAAACAATCAACTAGTCAAAGAGAATTTGCAAATCGATCATGAATACATTTTAAAGGAAAAATTAAAATGCTTGTCTTTTTCGCATTATTGTTATTTTATAAAAGAAACAAAAGATGTTTTTCGTGTTTCACTGGCTTATGCAAACCTCAGAGACGTTTGTGAGAACTCTCGAGCAGGTGCAACCCTCGACCTTCGGTCTCGGGCTTGCACTGATCTGCTCTTGAGTTCTCCCAAAGGTCTCCTCCGTTTGCATAAGCCTGTGCAAACAAGAAAAACATCTTTTATTTCTTAAATGAATTCAAGTATTTACATTCAGTGGCGTAGTCAGCCCGCAAGTTTGCTCATGCAATGTAAATATGTTGCTCTTCATTTACTTTAAAACAAATACATTCGCAAAGAAGTTAACAATGCTGAAAATGTGAAATCTACATATTACGAACGAATTTGCGTGCTTGCTGCGCTACTGTATAGAGGGGGACTTCAATTTAGAGGGATTCCAAAATCCAAACCAGGCTTACATTATTTATTTTTGGAAAAGCGGTGACACAATTCCTAATGTTCTGCTCCCACCCCCAAGTAATGACACGGAAAAACTCAAGACATGTGATTCGAGTGTTGCTACATTCAATTTAAAAAACCGGACGGAGTTCACAGTGTACCAAAAATACCGTGCAGCCCTCGCTGATGCCCTGCAGCAATAATAAAGGTACTCGCAGAGGGCTTTCCCATTCAAATTTATAAAAAAATATTGTTTAGATATTACACTTGGTATATCCGGCACATGCACGCTGCCGAAAAGTTTGTTTATAGAGAAGCTACAAAATTCTCGACAACACGACATTTGTAAGTCAAGCATGAACAAGCAGAAATTTGCATTTGCTGCATTACACAATGTTCCGGGTGTTTTGACGTTTCAATACTCTCGCTGGGTTTATACATTGCAATCACACTGGTTTTTCTTGGCGTACCTATTTTTAGCAAACGCTTTAGTATATCTGAGTCGAATCATAAAAAATCGTAGTCGGTTAAAATTTCATCGGCAGCGCATCAACACCACATCAAAAGTTTGACTTCAAAATTACCTAATGAAAACACTACTTTCTTCACCCGTCTAAAACATCACTATCTGTTAGTTAAGGTACCAATATGCTTTATTTTAAGATACGCAATGAAACATTGAACGAGTGTATGTGATCTAGTACTGTCAATAGTAAAAGACCTAAAAACTCACGATTTCCACAAGTTTAAAACAGGGTTGATGTGAAGTAATCTTATCTTCTCTCGACACCTTGATTTCGATGCAATCTTTAAAAGAGGAACCACTATCGAAGCGATTTTTTGGGATTAGAGTAGCTTTGTCTTCTGAATGCACTCACGGTAAAACGAAAAATATTATACGTGAGATGATCAACGCATCTTGCGCAAGAAACCCAACGCAGTTATATTGTCATCAGTGTTGCCCACTCATTCAAGACATCATATATCCGAAGACATATTTACTGTTATAGACTGTATAGAAGGTTGTATGTTTATAAATGGTGTCGATAAATACATCGATTATCACTGGATGCTGCCTGCTACGTAAACTGAAGATTTGAAATATGTAGGGCCCACTTAAGAAACCTACCAATATAAATAAAATGTATGTTGAAATATCAGGAATTGTTTATTATTTATTTATGACAAGGAAAAGTTATGCAGTTTTTGCGGGTTTTTTTTGCTTAGCAAATTTTATATCTGTTGAATCTTACTCGAAAGCACAAAAACGATAGTTTTCAGGAATGATAAATTTCATATTTAGGGGGGCAAGAATGACCCAGACTCCCAAAAGCTTTTCGTGCGTTCAGCACTTACTCCATCTTGGTTTCAACATCATTGGCCTATCTCTCCGCTATACCGAATATCTATAATTTATAACTAGCTAAATCATCTTCTCAAATGCTGTACTTGAACTGTCGAACGTTAATACGAAATGGAAATAGTAAATGATTCATTCAACGGCATTCAATAACAGTAAACACAATATAAAACGTGATATTAAATATCAAGTGGACAAGGTTCAGTCAGTGAACTCAATATTTAAATAACTGAAATGATACTGGAAGCAAAAAATCGAAGCCAAAAAATATTTATCGTCATCATTCGTCATCACTCGTGCTTCTCGCGTGTTCGTAAACCATTTGTATTTTTTCGGATCCCAGATTTTTAGTTTGATCTCAGTTGATTTCATTTTACAAGTAAGTTTTATCTTCACGAAGAAAATCTTTTGAATTATATTTATTTCAATTCTAAATCATCCTCAATGCAAAAGTATTATTACGTTCTTCAAATAAACTAAAAGTTGTAATATAATCATTCTGAAATACAGCATAACATTAAAATGATGCTATGTGGTGATTAAAACATTCACATTAAATAATGTCATCAATTAGTTGTCTTCACTGTATCACCATAGCGTGCAATATATACTTGTTGAAAATGTTTAATATGTTTTAGTTGTGGATCCCTATTGTCATGGGATCACACCCCCTGATTCCAGCTCCATTCATACCACTACTATATATATCCCGGTAGAGTTCCTCTAATGCGATTTCTGGATCTTTTTGACTTTCTTCAACAGCTTCGTCCACTACCGTTTTGACATTCTTGTCAATCGCCTACAATGAAAGATAAAAGCTTTCTGATTACATAGATATTAATATCATGTTATGTTATGTTGCTTATGTGAAAGTTACATATCTTTTAGACAGAAATAAAAACCATTATATCTGTCACGAGAAAGACATTACATTCTGGCTTATCACAGTGCTAGTACGTTACATATCTTGGAAAGGAACAACAACACATCGATTCATTATGTATTTGCGAAACGTTTTTAAAAATGAAGCAAGTCTAGTTCCCGAGTGATGTATAAAACGTTGCATAACAGATCACGCGTCAAGTTACGCAAGCGTTTGCAACGTCGGATGGCGGTGCAAAAATTGAAGGTACGTTGTGTGACGTCACTTGAATGAGACCAAAGCACATGGGGAACATAGAAAGGTTTGTTAATAGTTTATTTAACTAGCTCACTTAGCCGCCATAATCTGAATTGCGTGTATGAGTTATTATGCAATTGTAATAAGAATATACAGTAGTTGAGATGATAAAGAGGATATTTAAAAGCCTAAAAAAAGATAAAACGATTGAATTTACTATTTAATATTGTATCTATAAATGCAAGAGATAATAAATGAATTTAAGAAACGTCGTGTTTTAATAGCTGGGACATTTTGGTGTCTTAATTCATATGTAATGTTGTCAATTGTTTTAGGAATTCCTTTCTGAAGTTGTTTTAGGAACAATTAGGATCGCGTGAAATTTTCTCGAACAAACCGTTAGGTCAACTCTTCCTGGTGATCACCAACGATGTCATCAATGATGTCATCAATGCAAGGTAAGGCTTGGGAGTATTACACCCAAGATTCTTTTTTGTACTCTCTCAAATTCATCAAGCACGATGATACTTCCGTGGAGCATGGTGGAAGACGGTGCAAGCACAGTCCCGAGATGCAAAAACAAGCACACTAATGAAAGACTTATTCAGATGGAAGCACGAGGATACTTCCGTGGAGCATGATGGAAGCCCAGTCCCGAGATGACAAAAACAAGCACACTAATGAAAGACTTATTCAGATGGAAGCACGAGGATACTTCCGTAGAGCATGGTGGAAGCACAGTCCCGAGATGACAAAAACAAGCATACTAATGAAAGACTTGTTCAGATGGAAGTAATCCAGTTCGCTTTAATCGAACCCAAGAAGTAATATCGCGTTCAGACTAAGTGCTGGAGTACGATACCCTGGTTCAGACACAAATCTGCATGCCTTTCATACTACGTGTTACCCACTACGACGTCTTTTAACAAAATAATTTAAAAATGTGTTCATCCCAAAAAAACAATTTTGAGTTTTACGTTAAACCAAGCAATTCTATTTTAGTGACATTACCAATTGGTTTACCATCTACATTAATTGGAGAAAAAAATATTTTCTGATTTTCAACGTCCGTAATTAATGTTGAGCTCTTTCGTTTCATCACAATTTATTTGGAAGCAGTTAGACTTTGACCGTTGATTTACTTCATCAGCTGCGAACTGTCTTTTGCTACGTCATTTTGTTATGTCTTGGCGATAGTCTCAGAGAGAGTGGAGTCAACGACGTATTTCCACACACAGAAGAGACTGGACACAGCCAGGTCGTCTTTCCTGACTAGAAAAAGCCACCGCAAGGACCACGTTTCGTCCCTTGAAGTACACCGTAGGGTACACTTCCCCATCCCTTGAAGTACACCGTAGGGTAACTTCCCCATCCCTTGAAGTACACCGTAGGGTATACTTCCCCATCCCTTGAAGTATACCGTAGGGTACACGTCCCCATTCTGAGTAGCAACGTTTACAAAGTGCAATCCTTTGCAATCTGCCTGTTAAAAAACTAATAATCCAATTTATAACTGTTCCCGGAATATCCAATTTTGTCAGCTCAGCAACAAGTATCGAGGGATCGATAAGGTCAAATGCTGTCCAATAAGCACAAAACAAAACTCTTACGGTTGATCCTGTGCCATCTGTGGTACTATTGAGGTAGTCAAATTTTGTACCGTGCAAACTTGATTAAAATCAATAATTTTCATAACCGCTGTTTTATGTAATTAAACACAATGATGCCTTCAGAATTTGTAGAAACAGTAGGTGCAAGGGATATATGGGACCTTGAGAGACCATGAGAGATGTTTGACCTTGGGAATTGGGCAAATGTTCGCACGTTTCAACAATTGGGCAAAGGTGTTAATTATTTTTGTCATAGGGTCAACCAGAACACATCTGTATATTCATCAAGGAAAAAATTTAGTGGATTATCTGGAATAGAGACTTTAAATTTGTTCAATTTTAGCAGAGCATCGCGAACTTGTATTTCAAAAACTAGGGGCTTCATTGTTCTCATCAACACTCACTCGTCATGTAGCAAAATCAAGAGACAGGAAGGATTCGACGGGCCCCAAGATTTCTAAATTCATTAAGTTAGCGATTTGTTGGTGTGTTAATCAAGAGGCTGGAAGGATTCGACGGGCCCCAAGAATTCTAAATTCATTAAGTTAGCGATTTGTTGGTGTGATAATCAAGAGGCTGGAAGGATTCGACGGGCCCCAAGAATTCTAAATTCGTTAAGTTAGCGATTTGTTGGTGTGATAATCAAGAGGCTGGAAGGATTCGACAGGCCCCAAGAATTCTAAATTCATTAAGTTAGCGATTTGTTGGTGTAATAGATCACGGAGACCAGAGATGTCCAATTGATTTATCAAGTAAGTTGATTTATTCTCGATAGAACCTCTTCACTTTTTTACTTCCTTCCACTATTTCCTGGAATTTTCCCCTTTTAAACGATGAGCTTTATATTGGTAATACCTAGCCTTACAGATTTTCCTTTCCCTGTTAACAGCACTCCTCAAGTTTTAAAACGTCCTACTTCTTCTGTCCTCACGAAAAGCTGCCTTGTGGGATAGGATCAATTTTTGTAAGTGTAGTAGACATCCGAGAAGCATCTTTAGATTACAGGCGTATTACTTTCTTAGGGATAATATTGCTCATACAAACATTTAATATTGCTTCAAAGTTGGAGAGCATACTTTTAAAGGGCCACTCTATTGATATTTTTTGTGCCACGCATATCTTATTACGCATGTGATTACCATAGTATCAGCCAGTCGATTGCATAGGAGTGCAGAGCAGGTAAATGACTGCCGGCAACACACAGGAACCTACTGTTTCTTCCTCATACTATGACCATAGTAAAAGGAATAACAGTAAGATGATATCACTGATCAACACGGCTTAGATTATTGGTTGTGGTGTTCCCACCTCAGTGTTCCTATTGGTCAGAAAATACAATCGATTGCCTGCCACTGTGACTAATCACATGTGCAATAAGAAACAAGTAAGTGACAAAAAAATTCAATAAAGTGGCGCTTCTTTTTGTCCCTTATGCTGAGGTTGTACTTTCCACTGTGGTTCTATTATTTCAAATCACATGGAAGTACTCAAGTGATGTCCATACTCATAAAATGGTCGCGTGATAAAATAAATATCTTGGAGCTCATCGTATGATTTCTTGTGAAATATTTTTGATATAAATTAGAAACTAAATATGTTTAAGCTTAAAATGTTAACATTATCGAAGCATAATCTGAACGACAAGTTTTTACTGATTTGTAAGCCAGTTGAAAGGCTAGAGTTTTTAACATAACATAATACTGGAAAAGGTAGGTAAGAAGGTGCGCAAAAACTCATTAAAAAATTGTCAAACAAACACAATCTTACCTAACTATTATACAGTCAGCAAAAGTAGTGTAACGTTTTTGAATATAGCTTTGCGAAAGAAAGTGAACAAGTATTGTGTAATAGCACAATCTAACCTTTAGTTCATCTTCAGTTACGAGGTCTGCTGATAAAATTTTTTCTTTAATGCTAGCGATAGGATCTTGAGTCTTTCTGACATTTTGAATCTCATCACGTGTGCGATAACTGCAACAAGTATTACACGTACTTAAAGTAAGGCACATTGTAGGATAGAATGGTACTATGTCATAAATAAAGTATGGTACATTGTAGAATAGAAATGCACTATGTAAATAATTAGAGTATGGTAAATTGTAGGATAGAATGGTAATATGAGAATAATTAAAGTATGGTACATTGTGGAATGGAATGGTGCTCTATTGTAAGCAATAAAAATATGCATGCAAGGAGATAAGAATGACGATAGAAATCTAACATTCGAAATGGTGTTTCCCAATTACAATTGAAGATAGAATGGTTCCCTGAAGATTAAAATGGCACTGTACGATAGGATGGTACTCTGTAGCCTAGAATGTCATAGTGTAACACAATAATACCGCCATCATGAAATGAACAAAATAAGCTACCCTTAGTTATATCCAACACCACCTAGTTTGCAGCTGGTAGATCTGCAAAGAACCATGTATAGTATCATATCAAGCATTACCTTACCTTACACCTGGATCACTCATGCTGTGACCATAGTAACGATACGTCACACATTCCAAAAGAATAGGACCCTATAACAATACAATCTGCTCAAAACCAAACAAAAACTCTTCTCATGGTGAAAAGATTTAAAAATAAAAACAATCGACAAAAGAAAAATGCAAGTACCATTTCCTAATCATATACTTTCATTGTTTTTTCAATTTTCAAAAGACTCTTGTTTTGTAAAGGCAATTTTTGCAATCTTAAACATAGGCGAAGGAAATCCCGAACTTTTACTCATACAATTCAAATTTTTCAGCGCAACTTTTTTTTAAAAAATTAATTCTGGCTACTGTTTTTCCAGCGAATAAACACAAAAATATAGCAGTGTCGAAGTAAAAAATGGGCAGGCTTCACAACTGATCATACACTTGAAGGTCGTTTTCCAGTTTTGTAACGTAACACGTCGTGGTGTACCGTATTTTCCCCACATTTAGTTTTGCCGACGTGCATAAGTATCACAGGTCAATGGTAATGAAAAACATGACTCATAATATCCACGAAAATTTATGTAAGTATCGCCTATGACGAGTCAGTGGTAATGAACAACATGACTGCCTCAAACTGATACAGTTTAATATTGCAAGAATCAGGAAGGCTGTAAGGAGATTTCTACTCAAAACACCTGCTGAGATCTTGCTTTAAATCAATGACGTAGCCAGCTCGATAATTGGGAGGGGGGCAATGCTCATATGTTCATGTTCTATCGTAATTTCTTTTGGAAATCGATTATTTTCTGCGGAATATAAAATGCATACATAAATATACCCCAACACCCCCTCCCCCTTCACTTCTAATTATCGACGCTAAGCACGGCACTGCTTAAAACGACATACTGGTGATGTTTGTGGGGACACAAATGAATGACATTAAAATCGCAATGAAGTTATATTTATTGCAAACAATTGCGTAGTTTAATACGAAGTAATCCCCAAAAAATTTTGTTCATGAAATCCGTAGCTTGTATCAATAAGTTCAAACGATAAAGTGCATTACTTGAACGTGACATTTCGTCGTAACTTTCAGAATGGTCGATGAAGATTATTTTGAAACAATTACACAAGAACTATAGCATTCAAGTTTTTCTTTATCACCCGAAAATGAACGTCGAATGTTCACGTTCAAACGAATATACTTTACACTTTTGCAGGGATTATTTATTGTTTGGTTTTGGTAACATTTAAAAATAACAATAATCGATAAAATCAAAAACAGAACGTTTCAAAGTCATAGTTTTTCTTATCTTCAAAAGAAACTTATTACGTAAAAGCAATTTTTGCAAGGGTAACATAAAGGCATTTTTCCACTTTTCCAGTATCGCAATGAAGTATTTAGTTGTGTAACGTATCTCACCGTAACATATCGTGCTGTGACGTATCATACCGTAAAATACCGTAATGTAACATGTCGTAATGTAGTGCTGTAATACTATGTACTAGTAGTCACACACCTTGCCTGACCTCACAAAATCTGCGGCAAACTTCGTTGCCTCTCTTACAGCGAGCACATCCATACCATCAACCTTGGTAAAAAAACAAAACCATCTCATTCGTTAAACCAATTTTTGTTTGGGCATTCGAGTAAGAAAAATCAACCAAAACGAAAGCATATCCGAGCGGCAGCTTTCACTAACCTGAATTCCGGGGATGAAATCACCGCGGGTGTAAAAATCTGTGACGGCAGATGCACGATTTGCTGCAGTACCCATTCCGTATTGGTTGTTCTCGCAGATAAAGACACAAGGCAAGTCCCAGAGTTTTGCCATGTTGAACGTTTCAAATACCTACGGTGCAGCAGATGAAAAGATGTTTTGTTGATTGCCAATATCTGGTGTTGCTAATACATGTGCATATATAACGTTTAATGTTTCTATTTTCTGAGAAGGGAGATAGCTAATGAATAACATGAACTACAGTATCCATTAAGATATATGTAAACATCGCCAATTACAGGCCAGCATGGCCCACATTATCCACGAAGATTTATGTAAGTATCGTCGATGACAAGTCAGTGGTAATGAAGAACATGACCAATATTATCCACGAAGATTTATGGAAGTATCACCTATGACTGTCAATGGTATTGAGCAACATGACCCACATTATCCAAGAAGATTTATGTAAGTATCGTCAATGACAAGTCAATGGTATTGAGCAACATGACCACATTATCCACGAAGATTTATGTAAGTATCGTCTATGATAGGTTAATGGTAAAGAAAAACATGACCCACATTATCTATAACGAATTATGTAAGTATCGCCTATGACAAGTCAGTGGTAATGAACAACATGACTGCCTCAAACTGATACAGTTTAATATTGCAAGAATCAGGAAGGCTGTAAAGAGATTTCTACTCAAAAGGCCTGCTGAGATCTTGCTTCAAATGACATACAAAAAAAGCCATAACAAATGAAACTGGTGATGACAATATCACGAATACGTGAAATTAAAATCACATTAAAGTTAAGTTAATTGGCAAACGATTTTGTAACTGTAAACAAAGTAAAGCACCCCCCTACTTGGCTGCACGAACTAAATGTGATGTTGCATACTGTTTTATGAATGCTGGAGGAACTACGTATGATGTTGTAAACTGCTCCCTGATTGGTGTTATGAACTAAGTATGATGTTGTAAACTGCTCCCTGATTGGTGTTATGAACTAAGGATGATGTTGTAAACTGCTCCCTGATTGGTGTTATGAACTAAGGATGATGTTGTAAACTGCTCCCTGGTTGGTGTTAAGAACTAAGTATGATGTTGTAAACTGCTCCCTGATTGATGTTATGAACTAAGGATGATGTTGTAAACTGCTCCCTGATTGGTGTTAAGAACTAAGTATGATGTTGTAAACTGCTCCCTGGTTGGTGTTATGAACTAAGGATGATGTTGTAAACTGCTCCCTGATTGGTGTTAAGAACTAAGTATGATGTTGTAAACTGCTCCCTATTGTTGTTATGAACTAAGTATGATGTTGTAAACTGCTCCCTGATTGGTGTTATGAACTAAGTATGATGTTGTAAACTGCCCTGATTGGTGTTATAAACTAAGTATGATGTTGTAAACTGCTCTCTGATTGGTGTTAAGAACTAAGTATGATGTTGTAAACTGCTCTCTGATTGGTGTTATGAAATAAGTATGGTGTTGTAAACTGCTCCCTGACTGGTGTTATGAACTAAGTATGATGTTGTAAACTGCTCTCTGATTGGTGTTATGAAATAAGTATGATGTTGTAAACTGTTCCCTGATTGGTGTTATGAACTAAGTATGATGTTGTAAACTGCTCCTTGATTGGTGTTATGAAATAAGTATGATGTTGTAAACTGCTCCATGATTGGTGTTATGAAATAAGGATGATGTTGTAAACTGCTCCCTGATTGGTGTTATGAAATAAGGCTGTTGTAAACTGCTCCCTGATTGGTGTTGTGAAATGAGGATGATGTTGTAAACTGCTCCCTGATTGGTGTTATAAACTAAGTATGATGCTGTATGTTGCTCTCTGATTAGTTGCAAGAACTAAGTACGCTGTTGTACATCGGTCCCCGATTGGCCGCAGGAGTTGCGTGTAATAATATACATCTGCTTTAGAATGGCTGCGCATGTAAAGTATGATATCGTACCTGTCCCTGATTGGCTGCACCATCGCCATATAAAGTCAAGCATATTTTCCCATTGTTTCTGTACTTGTGAGCAAACGCAATGCCAGCACCAAGAGGCACCTACGAAAAATACATGTGGTTAACAGTAAATAATAGTAAACTAAAGATCGTTCAATTTTAAAATATGAAAAACCTGTGCACCAACAATCCCATTGCCACCGTAAAACTCTGAGCCGTACATATGCATAGATCCACCTTTACCCCTCGTTGTTCCTGTCACACGACCTGCAACAAGTAATTATAACCTACATTACTCGCATTAACTAACGCAATGAACCTAGTAGTGGCATCAGCTGGCGCTAGGTATGAAATAAATTCCCCGCTACATTGCAGCATCGTCAAATGTTAATTAGAGGCAGTTACAATGTAAAAGTTTCACAGTAAACTTAAGGAAATGAAAGAACAGAGCTTTATATGTTTGTCTTAACTATGTGAGACGTATGAGAATCGAACCTCCATGATTACTAAAAACAGAACCGCGCCAAAATGACAAGGAAAAGTACGTGAAATTAAGTATCGTATGTTCAGTAAACATAAAAATCACCGGGAGGTCAATCTAGGGATGAAATCCTCATAAATTAGCAATGTTTTGTAAGCTTTATCATTAACATGAGCGTTTGTTTGTTTGAAAGTGACGAATGTAAAAATTGAAATAATCATTTTGCTTTGTGCCAAAATTTTCGACAAAATTATAGTGACGCGTTTAAGTTTCTCTTTTTCAAAATGCACTTATGCACGAACTGGATTTTCTATTTTAATACATAGAAATTAACATTAAAGCATGAGCTCAAACTAGTATGCCCTAGCCATTTTGAGTGTATACTTATTCAGCCCCTTCCCATAGCCCCCACTCCCCGCCATGAAAGGTATGACAAGCGTAAGTGCTGCGTAACTTCAAATGAATAACCACGCTTTAACACTTTGCCTAAAGCAAACAGCAAAAGCACAATTGTCTCATACAATAAGGCAAACTTTTTATCAAGCTAGCCTGCTTGATCTTTACCAAGAAATATCAAACTTCGGTCTTTTAGTACAAACAATATTTCTCGGCTTTCGTTGTTAAGAGCATATTGTTGAGCCATCTGCTCGTCATGTTATATTCATCAAGAGGGCAATATTTAGGAAATGAATGATGTCGTTAAGTTATTTTATTACGACAAACATAAAATTGTAAATTATGGATTTTTAATCAACCTGTCAACTCTGCTAACACATCTTTTACTGATTTTCCTCGCATGTATGTCCATCCATGACATCTGTATGCCGTTATGACACTGTCTTCTCTATTTATGGCATGTTCCATACCCACTGCGCATGCTTCCTACAAAAAGACAATGCAAAACAAATGGTGAAGGCGAATTCTGTGAAAATAGCACAATAATATTATAAATTGCATGAATATCAACAATTTTCTTGTTATCGAGCAACTCCACAAGTGTTTTATTCTTTTATCAAAAACACTTATAGTAAATTCTTCAGCGTCAAACGCCGCAGTGCTTATTAAATTCTGCTGATACTGATTAAGGTGGGGGAAGGGGAGCTTAACTGAGAGGAGCGCCTAAACGAGCATTAACTGTATTCAGGACGTCACAACTAGCAATGCCATTTTTGACTAACTGTAGTCTAATCTTTGAAAAATATTTTCTCGCAAAGTCAAAACTTTCCTCGTTATCACTTAAGTATTTATCTTTTCGAGGAAAATGTCAGCGAGAGCCCGGATTGAAACGCAAGCATAGGAATAAGCAATATGTTTAAAAATACATTACGAAAGTGAATAACAGCGAGACGAAAGTTTAGACAATTTGCGTGTGAAAATGAATGTAAAACAGCAAACTGAAAACAATATAAAAACCAACCATAACAACGACATGGAGAAATTTATTTTAGAACAAAATTTTTTCTATATTTTTGTCATTATCATGGCTATTCGCGCTTGCCATAAGCTGCGCTTTGCTCTGCTACTGTACTCTGTGGCTAACTTAAAAGATATTTTTCTGGCAAAACTGAAATAATGGCATAAATCATTCAAGAATCGGGATATTTGTCGACTTTATAAAACTCCACCATGAGACCCCTTGAAAGCCCACAAAAGATGAAAAACTGGCGACAATGGTTGTAATATATATAAGTGATATATATATATATATTTATGAAAGTAAACAACAGCAAACTACGTCTTCAATTAATACAGCTTTCTTTGCTAATTGTAAGTTACTACTCGTTCTTTAACAATTTTTTAAAATGAATATTATAGTTGAGATATAAGACAAGTGGAAAACTACATTGCGTTAGAATATTGAAGCACAGGTGTCTTTAATTATAATTCTATCTGTAATAAAGTAAAAACTTCAGTAGAATGTTCACCACACGAACGTCACAAGTAAGATACGACTGGAAGAACGACGAGAAACATGCTACGATGAATCCACTTGGATCCTGCTGAATTGGTTGGTGCGGTCATGTTTGGCGATGGTGAGGTCTTATTTTTACCATCGTCGCCATTTGTGCAATGACAATTCACAATCATGCTGATGCAAAACAGCAAAAGTCCAAGATGTAAGTTATCAAACATTTCTCCGCTTTGAGCAAGATAAAAGCTTCGTGACGCTCCTCTATCGTACACCAAATATCTTTTGACAAAAGCCTTACGTAAACGAGCATTTTAATCACTTGCCAAAAGATTGACCAATCAATAGTCAGAAGTTTCATCCTCAAGTGTTTACGTCATAAAAAACTTCACTAAGACCAGGTCACAGAATAAACAGAAGGCCCACTCGGCTAAAATCGTGGCGTATTTTTTCACTACGCATGCGTGACTTCCCAGCAAGATACTTTCACAAAATCAATATGGAATAGCATTGCGCGAGAATGCTATTTTATTAATAATTCACGTTTAAAGCAAAAGTTTGCCGAGACTTTTACAAAGAGTTATCTTAGGAAGACAATAGGTTTCCAAGCATTTGTATTGCAAAACGACATATCTGAAAAAACTATATTTTCTAATGCGATCTGGCGGAAGTATCTTGCTGGAAGGCGTGTCTTCTTTAGAATTCGCTTCAGAAAAGTGAGAGACACGAACATCAAAGGTTCCGACACGAGTGGACCTTCTGTTAAGATATCTATTCCGTGACCAGATGGTCAATTAAATGCATGTGGGAGTAAACAGTATTCTGTTAAGGGATGAATTTCCAATCGAAAGATACGGTTCATAAGTAAGGATGCAATTTTAATATTTTGCTTTAGTGACTTGAAGTTTTCTTTTTTCTCAAAATCTCATACAGCATTCATTGAGATAAGAATAATACTGTAGTTCGTGTCATTCGGCTAAGAAAACCTTCTTGTATACAGACAAAGCACTTTCACTCATTTCCAGAGATGAACATGACATCGGAGAAAATTGCCATATTGCTGTTCCATAAGGAAAATAACTTTATTAAAATTCTTTTCAAATGATAGAGCAACATGGCGACATGTGAAACGCTCTACTCTATTGACAAATAAATATTAATGCTTGGGGAAAATCTACTCATATGCACTTATATAAATTTAGTCTTTTCGATAACGTCATGTCGAATTTTGTTTTATTACTTGCTTTTTTCTGCAGTTTGTCGAAGCTACAATTTGAAGGTTGAATTGCGTTGATAATTTAAAATATATATTGAGTGTTATTTCCTTGACTGTATAAGATAAACTTCACGCAATGCAGCAGATGGTGTCAAACGAAATACACGATTATACACCTCACGTTCGATGACACCTTCTCAAGTGGAGAAACTTTGCGTTTGTTTAAGACGTCAGAAAATTTAACGAAAATTATGGAAGATGTTTTTATTGAAAAAAACTTCGTATACTAGTGAGAGATTATTTTTCAAAATTCTTATATCCGACGGAAGGCAAAACTTTCGGCTTATATAAATACATTACACAAATATATACATAAAAATACAGATGTTTAACTGGGGTTTTTTATTGAAAAGTTTTAATGACGTAAACTAATGTTCAAAAATTCATCACCCATTTCAATAATTCGTTTTGCCAATCATACTTTAAATGTACGTGTTGTGAAATTGTCAATAAATCATTTTTTCATTAGACATTGTGCAACAAATGCCAATCAGTTTGACAGATATTTTGGATGCGAGTCCATCTATAGATATTTCTGCATTTAATCAGATGAGAAGGATATTGGACCAGCAGAATGCTGACAAGTGAGGCTCATGTGGTTCCCTCTATTGCATAGTTTTTAATAAACATTTACTCTATACAGCTACTCCGATAATTATTTGAAAAACACTGCGGCATTTATTAAAAGGCAAACTATGTCTATTAGAGTGAATATCGATTTGAAAAATAAAGCATATATATAGGGGACTTTAGGGAAACTTATGAAATAATACATAAATTATGTTGCTATAATTATGTCATTGGGGAGTGGGTGGTGGGCAGATATCCCAAAAATTACACCTTGAGGGATAGGGAACTACAACACATTATTGCACATGGGGGACAGGTGTTACTTGATATAGCTACTGGTAAGAAGCAATTTAAAATTTTCAATCACCTGTCCAGAATACAAATGGCAAAACCCACGGATGATTTTTGCTTTGTACAGTTTATCTGCTGCATTCTCCATTCGCCTTATTGTTGTCATTTGTTTATAATAATCAAGTCCTTCGTCTCTAGTCATTGTGGCTTTGTTTGGTGGACCTTCGTCTAGACGATGGAGCTTAAATTCCTAAAGAAAATGTACAATGATTTTTCAGCCTAGTATAATAAACACAACTTACTTCTGGAAAAATATATTGCTTGAATAAATACTTTAAAGATTATTCATCATATGATATTATGTTTTAGTCAAAGTTGACATCAAAGTAACAGCAAGCAGATTTACATAGGCATGTGATTTCCCTAATTTTATATTGGCTTTTTTTATCAACAATATTTTTACGTGTATTGCTTCATGATAGATGACATTCAATTTTAACTTATTCTTAAAAAAATGTGAAATATTTATAACCACGAGTTTTACAATTTACACTCTTTATTGAGCTTGCTATTTTTCCATTCCAATAAACTTGTCAAGTAACCGATGGGAAACAAATTTCAAAGTAAACTTCGACATACTGGAAAAGTCTCCAAATAACTATTTGAGCACGCGAAGAATTTTTTTAATTAAAATCAAGTTGACGTCTGCAAACTATCAATTACTCACTTCGATGTCAAATTCACCTAGAGTGGCCAGACGTCTGAAGGCTCCACCGGTTCTCTAAACAGTCATAAATTACAGAATGATGCTATTTCAAATCAATTTCAGTAAATTTTTAACGGTTACATTTTCAGCACAAGTTTTAGAAGCTAAGAGATCTTGTGCAGTGGTGCTGGCGTCTACCAGACACCAAACAAGGTGCAAAATTTACGAAAGAAATAAGCGAAATCGTAGAGATTTTTACAATTATAAACTCACCAATGCTTTCCGAGTAGATCTGCAGCAAGTAGAAGCAAAAGAAAGCAGCATTTTGGAAGAAAAACAACAAAATCACAACGAAAAATAAACACTGCAATACTGCAGTTTCTTAGGCATTGCAAGAAAGGGGCTTGGGAACTAAAACATGGCGTCGCGATAATCTACTCACTTCCTTTCTTTCTCAATCAATTCCACAATGCATATGATGTACCAAACTGACAATACTTCGTTATTTAGTTAAACCTTTTTAGTCAATTCAACTCGATTAATCGAAGATGTCGATAAAGACCGTTATATTATACGCCATCTTATTGATTTCATCCATTGGGGGAAATAGTATGGAGCTTGACAGCTTAATTCTGAACGAAAATACGGTTGAACTTGGAGATAAAGAAAAGGAAAGGGAATGCTCCGATTTCCTTCGAAAATTTGCAAACGCAACTCGTCATTATTCCTCATGCATTGTTAAGTATGCTAAACCAGTTCGTATTTGTGAGAGATGTACTAAACAATACACGCGCGTGTTGCGTTTAAATCCGATAAGTTATAACCAAAGCACATGTGTGTCGGACTTGATAAGTTCCGAACGCTTCCAAATCCTTTTGAAGGTGTACGATTTTCAAACCGGGGTTTGGGAAGATGGAAACTGCCGAAGTAAGTAAGAATTTCTAAGAAACAATGGCGTTGTTAGTTGTCTTTATTCTAACCTTATCACATTTTTTTATTTGCCACAGTCTGCAATGTTTGTGGGTGGATTGGGAAAAGCACATGCACAATGAAGTGTTCAAACTTCAAAGTGCTCACTAAATATAGAAACACTGCACAAATTTTCCAGTCTAGTGTGTGATCTTAATGAACGTTATTTCCACTTGTGCAAGTGTTGTTAAAGTATTTTTTTATTTCTCCAGAGTGCTATGAGGACGAATGGAAATTCACCAAATATACCAAGCTGTTCTTTGCTGCTTATAAAAACGTAGTATCTTGCTTTAGCAATTTCACTTCGTTCAAACTGGTAAGGAGGATTAATTGCTATGGGTTTGATGAAGTTGCTGTATTTTGAGTCCAATCAGTCATAGTAGGATCAAGGGTTATTCAATACCAAATCATCAGAGGTTTATAACCTTAAAGTTATGATTTTTCCCATTGTTACTAAAAAGACAGGTATCTCACATGTCATGTGAAGAAACCATGGAGAGATTTTCATATTTTCACAAGGGTGGTGCTAAAAATTTTACAATGGTGAGCTGGTGAGGAAGTGGTGTAATAAAAAGTGAGGATCTTGATTTTAGAGGTGGTGGGGTAGTGCAGCCACCGAATGTAGTGTACCAGAACTATGCCCAGAAAACTAAGTTCAACTCTACAACTGTGTACTGATTTGTTTTGCTAAAAATTTTTGAGTTAAACATTTCTAGAAGGGGTGAACAATTTATTTAGAAGAGTGAAATATGATGTTAGGTGAGGCATCACCCTGCATCGCCTTTCGAAAAATCTGTTTGTGGCTGGAAGAAACACACTTATAACTATTTGAAACTTCTAGTTCTGGCATTTGCGTAATACTGAGATGAATGGAAGCTACAGATGAATTTCACATTGCTAATCAGAATAATGTAAATGCATAGATCCCCAGAAATTCAGTTATTTTCACAGTAGGTTTACCATCTGTATAAGTGATGTTTCTAAACATTTAATTCTAGGCTCATTAGAAAAGACAATGTTACCGAATGTTGTTTTGATGGGTGGCATGTATGTAGGTTCTTAGTCTTTGTTAAATTCATTGAGATACCTGGCTCATTCACTTTCTCCAAACTGCACTCATTGACCCTTTGGAAATGTATAATTACCAATGCTTATACTTCAGATGGTTTTCATGCTTACATAGCAACAAGAAAACGTTTATAAATTCTTTGACATTCGCATCCAGTTTTGCAATGATAAGAAGGCTGTCAAAAAAGTCTTGCTCAAATATTTACCATTGGTTTGTTACAAACTACAGAGATATGGAAACTTGGTCATTGGGTGAAAAGTTTGGAGAAACAGTAAAGAGACATCTTGAAAAAATGTGTTCTATCCTATCAGAAGCACAAGAAAGACATGCGAAGAAGACAAAACTTAGCACATTATGAACGTGAAATTAAGACAAAAGCAGTGGACGTGCAAGTACAGGTTCACAATACAAATACATTTGAAACTAACAGAGATAGCTCAATTTTTTATGAGTATAACACACAATTGCCTTTGGCACACAATTTAAAAAGGACTTTTTAATTATGTATTGCTAAATATGCACAATCAAAAGCGTTTGGTTTCGTTTAACGAATCGTATGTACTCCTCAAAGAACAAAACCCAGGACTGAAGATTGATTTTACAAAGTTTTGTGCTCTTGTTCAAAATGGTGCATGTCGGCTGCTTCAATTGGCACACTTTGATTCTACTTTAACTACGGAATTTAATCTATTAACAAGCTATTTCAAGTTTGACGTTGTTTAAACTATTGAGTAGGAATCCGGGAAAGAACTTCATTTTATCTTGTGATTTGGTACTTCTTAATAGTTTCACAGGCATTTCTTCTTTCAGCCTGTCCAATTTCACTGCTTTTTATCTTGACGTCTTGTGTTGTGCAAGGTTCTTTGTACTTTTTTCGCTTGCATTAATCACTCTCCAAATGCTCAGGCATATGCATGTTCTGATAGACCTGCCTACAATAAATTGACCAGACCTTTTCAAGGTGTTTCTTGATTATTCCTTCGGACTTCTAACGAATGACCAAGTTTCCATAATATCTCTTTGTAGTAACTCAATGGCGTGAGTTTTTGACAGCCTTTTTACAGCCTCGCAAATAGATGCAAATGTCAACTAATTTAATGAATTTTGTTAAGAATGGAATTATATGTTCAAAAATATCACTTGTTCAGATGATAAATCTACTGTAAATACAATTAAATTTCCCAAGTTCTTTACATTTACTCTATTGTGATCGGTGATGGACAAATGGGCTTTCAATGCCAGGAAGGTGTCCTGCAAAAATGTTTGTAAACCGTACTTGTCTCTATCGTAACCAACTTGGGACTTAAATTCTTACAGTTTCAGATAGTTTAAAGTGTGCTTCTTCACATAACACGCGTGGGATATTTTCGTTTTAATCTGAGACATGTTGAAAAAGTCATTATGTGAAAAACGTGTTACAACCGGAGGTCGAAATAATTTGTCTGGCAAATAAACTAAGCGTGTCTTTTTACAAACAGCATTTATTGCTTTGTTGCTAATTTCTGTTCAAAGTTGTGTGGTCTTGTCCGTAGTTGTAATTATAGTTATAATTGGTGTGTATATTCGCCATGTTTTAAAAGACATACGAAAGGTTGTGATACAATGTGATAGCGAGGGATAATATAAAAGCATGAAAGTTAATGGCATCATTTTTTATGTTTCTATGATTCAGATGGAGAGACAAAAGTCCAGTGGTTTGTGTGTGAAATGTAAGGAGGACTATCGTAATCTGACAAAAATTTATAATTTGATTTTGGAGCAAACTACAACAAATAAGGATGAAAGCCAGTTATGTGTTGACATCATGTCCTTGGTACGTATGTAATGTCTACTTTCTTCTAGTCACGTGCATAACATGTCCTTGGTAACGTATGTAATGTCTACGTACTTCTAGTCACATGCATAACATATCCTTGGTAACGTATGTAATGTCTACTTACTTCTAGTCACATGCATAACATGTCCTTGGTAACTTATGTATTGTCTACGTACTTCTAGTCATATGCATAACATGTCCTTGGTACGTATGTAATGTCTATGTACTTCTAGTCACATGCATAACATGTCCTTGGTACGTATGTAATGTCTACTTACCTCTAGTCACATGCAAAACATATCCTTGGTACGTATGTAATGTCTGCGTAGCTCTAGTCACATGCATAACATGTCCTTGGTACGTATGTAATGTCTACTTACTTCTAGTCACATGCATAACATGTCCTTGGTAACGTATGTAATGTCTACGTACTTCTAGTCACATGCATAACATGTCCTTGGTAACGTATGTAATGTCTACGTACTTCTAGTCACATGCATAACATGTCCTTGGTAACGTATGTAATGTCTACGTACTTCTAGTCACATGCATAACATGTCCTTGGTAACGTATGTAATGTCTACGTACTTCTAGTCACATGCATAACATGTCCTTGGTAACGTATGTAATGTCTATGTACTTCTAGTCACGTGCATAACATGTCCTTGGTAACGTATGTAATGTGTACTTACTTCTAGTCACATGCATAACATGTCCTTGGTAACGTATGTAATGTCTACTTACTTCTAGTCACATGCATAACATGTCCTTGGTAACGTATGTAATGTCTACGTACTTCTAGTCACATGCATAACATGTCCTTGGTAACGTATGTAATGTCTACTTACTTCTAGTCACATGCATAACATGTCCTTGGTAACGTATGTAATGTCTACGTACTTCTAGTCACATGCATAACATGTCCTTGGTAACGTATGTAATGTCTACGTACTTCTAGTCACATGTACAACATGTGCATTGCGCCATTATCCAGCTTGTTTAGATAATATAGTTTTCTCTTGCTATAAGAAGTACCATTAAAATCACGTTTACCTATTGCGAGAAATACCACAGGAAGTACGTTCTCGTACCACACCAAATATGTACCATCTAGATTACACATACTATATGAAGTATCATTCATCTACCATTTTTACCACGAGAAGTACTATGTAATAGACCATGTTTGCCATAACCAGTATGATGTAGATTACGTTTACCGTGAGAACGTGATGTTTTTCAGAAGGAAATTTAATTTACAACAGTTCTCCATCGTTTAGATGAACGGTACACGTCAAGATTGGATGAAATGCACCCATACGAAAAAGAAGGACTACATTGTGTTGTCATTGAGTGGCATGTTCTGTTTTCTTACTTTTTTCTATTACATAGCGATGAGACAGTATGAGAAATACATTGGCAAGGTGAAAACAAGTACGTACATTTTTATTACGTACAACATAAAGTACCGATGAATATTTGTGCGAGGCAATTTTTTTGCGCACTTGGACTTGAACGATGGCTGGCTCAAAACTTTCTCAGGATGGATTTTGTGGGGAGGGAGAAAGGGGATGTGCACACCTGGTCTTTGCCTCGAGGAAGAAAGAAGGATGCCAATTTCGCTCAGAATTATTAATAAACCAACTAATTATGCAAAAGTAATTTTGACCTGTACTTGAGGGAGCACACCTTCAAAAAATTAATCTCTTAATCATAATAGCTATAAGAATAACAGAGTTTGCCAAAATGTCTGATATGGCACAGTAGCTAATACCCAAAGTATAGGCATTAAAATGACCCGGATACATTCCAGTCATAGTGTATTTCTAATAAGTACGAATGTATCCATTGAATTGTAATGGTATTGTGGATTTTTGTCCTGTTGCAGGAGAGCAAAGATCAAGAAAGGTTGTGAATTATGATTCCGAGTAAAAAGAGAGCGAAATTTGCTGAAATCGGACTGATTAATGTCGGTAGGATTATTCATCTGTTTCAATGACACATTTTCTCTCTTTCTCGTCTTACGTATTTAAATTTGAATTTAAATTTATCGAATTCTTAGAAGTATTCAATAATTTGAGTTGACGAAGCGCGATTATTGTCGGAACTAATCGGAACTTACGAGTGAATTACACAAGATCATAATTGATTCGCTCTAAGGGGCTGTTCACATGAGCCCAGGTAACTGGGATTTTGCGAGGCGTGAAATGATTTTGAATCATTGAAAGGAGTAAAAATATTAAGCGCAAAACTTACATCCCTTTTCGTAACTGTCATAAGTCATTTTAGTTGTAATTTTCAAATCAGAATAAATTATTTTCTTTTATTTTTAAAGGTTTTGTAAATTTGCAAAGTCAGAGCATAGAAAAATTTCTCAAATAAGTTTTAGTTCTGAAGTATTTAATCTTTTCCATTTGCCAAAAATATTTAACGCTTCGCTGAATCCCGGCTACCCGGGCTCATGTGAGCAGCCCCTAAGATGTTGTAATTTGTACTGCCTTGGGTACAATTTAAAACTGCACATAGAAATCATAGAATTTTGCACACTAAACTATGAAGCTCATTTAAAAATTCTAAAATCAAATAAAGCGTAAACGATTAAAGACAGTGGGCTTTATATTTCCATCAGTATGTCTAACTTGGAAATTTTATTACTCTGTCTCAGGTCCAGATTTCTGTCGCGAGCTCGCCTCTTCTGATCTCTATATAACTTCGAATTTCTTGTACTTGCTCTGTCGGCTGTGAATTTTAAATCGTAACTTCGGTGCGAATTGGCGAGTGTGAATGTTTCCCGAGGCTAAGACATTCAAAGTATCATATTATGACTGGTCGTGTGCATTTTTCATTGTTTTGCCTGGCTTTGCAGTAAAACAAACAAAGCAGGCTAAACAACCTTCTTTGGTGGTATTCTTTGATCATCAACTCCTTGATTTCTATTGGTTTGCGTGTGCCGACTGCCGAAAACCTGTGAAAAATTCTTTACTGTGCTAACTAACGGTGTGTGGTAACGTCTGAATGCGTCAACTATTGCCTAAGGCAAGCAATAAATATGTCAACTCATCTCCTGAAATTTTCAGGATTTCACCGAATATTTTTATTTGCTCGTACTAATGGGGACTTGCTATGATTATCGATGTTTTTGTTTTTCCAGCTTATTAATTGATTTGTGTTGGTTTACATTAGACGCTATTTAGCAAGAGGTGTATTGCGAGTTTCAAATGGCTTGCACTCCCAGAACTCTCTAGGTTTTTGTTTGTTAATTGAATATTTTCAACACGAGGTTGTCTTTGCACAAACAAATATTTTCATTAATCATGTGCGGGGCTCGCAATTATTGTTCAAACAAAGACCGCCTTTTGCAAAATTTGCAATGATAAACACTTTTTTGTTTTTTTTTTATTAAAATATTTTTGTTAGAGTTCTCGGAGTCGTTTCGACAATGGAACCTTTCCTCTGCCTTTTTTTGTTTTCAGTATATGCTTTTCAATTCAGGTTTATATCATGTTCTAATTTTGCCGAAGTATCTTAAGTTAGTTTGCCGAAATACGATTATATGTATTAAATTGACGTCATTGTTGATGTTCAAATGCCTTTTATTCATTAAAGATGATGATCAAAGTAATATGATTGGTATCTCTTGCTTTAAGCAGATCGTACATGGAACGAAACCAAGCGACGATTAAAAGTGGCAAAAGAAAGTACGCAACACTTGCTTTTTGGGGTTCGCTTTTGCAATGTGCAACATATGCAACAAATATCTGTAGATGGCCGGACTTTGTAATGTTTACTGACCAATGACCACTGACCAGTAGTGCAACGTCTGATTTTTTCATTCATAAAGAAATTGCGCAAGCGAATCTTAGTTTGGTATACCAAAAAGCCCATTGCTAATCATTCTCATCCATGATCAGTCCATGTCTTACCAAATTATTGGATTAACTCCAGACATTTTATCTTGTTTACAAAAGGCAGCTCTAACGCAATAAACACGAGACAAGAAAATGATCTGTTATTTAGCTTTTATTTGTTAAATTACACCTGACTTTTTATTTGCTGTAAAACAATTTTTGTAATGATATGAACAAGTATATGTACAGTGCAATCAATAGAGCAGTGTTTTTGATACATCCCATAGTGCTTTGACGGCGTTCAACACTTCTATCGATGAACAAACGGACGGACGATGTAATAGGAATTCGTCGGTCTAAAATACTTCTGCATTTGACGCAATATTAACATACCTAAGTCCCTTGATTTTATGCAAACGACCGTATACGTGTATATAAGATGACACAAGAGCGAATTTTGTTTTGTTAAAATCGCCAGCTGTCTTGAGTAAGAAGATCTCTTTCCTCGTATGTAATTGAAATGTTTCGTCTTCTTGCACGCTGTTTCAGTAATTAGTGTATTTTCCCACAAGTTTCCATTATTCAAACACCTATCTCGCTTGAGAAATCATCTCTTAGAAATTACAATAAATCCTGCATAAAATCCGAATTAAGAACGGGCAATTCCATATTTCTATCCAGTCCTAACTGCGCAGCGACACTCAACAGCCAAGCTTCGTCCAAACAATCCGTGTCGTGGGGTAAAATTTCCGTCGAGTTTCTTACCATTTTCTGCCTTTCGAACGTGCTCTCGTTTTGTCTACGTTTTCTTGATTGATCGTGTGCATTGTATACATTCCGTTGTTGGTTCTTTATTTCGTTGTATAAATGAAGTAAATGTTTCATGTGCATCTCCGTACGCGTAGGAGAAACATCTGCTTGTTGTGTTGCCTGTACGTTGTTTATCTTCGGTGGCGAAGCGTTATCATTGTTGTCCAGTAAGTCTTCCAGCCTTACGTCTGTCTGTAGTTTCAGTACAAAATTCGCCAGCTGATTGTGAAGCGAACCGCTGGGGTCGTTAGCTATTCTCTCGTCCATTGTTTTCTTGATGTTTGTCGCCGAGCAATAAGACGAAAAAGCACAAGACATCAACGCGACTCTGAAAGAGAACGAAATAAGACAAAATGTTTGCTAATGGTATCTGATACGATTATTCTCAAGTCGATGATTGATGACGTAATAGAGTGCATGCTGTGATCATGTGACCTATGCAGTGATCCGCATCAAGTGAATGACTTTCGAAGTTCGAACAAGTAGCGGGTGGGTAGATGGGACCAACTGTTTACATCAATCAATTTATCTTTGGTACATTGTCTTTGAGTACGAGAGATATTTTATTTGGTTGTGGTTTGTGTGTTTGGCCAGCCTTAATATAATCTACGTGACTGAAGTTCCTTGAAGGGGCCAACCAATCTAATGCATACCATGTGTGTCGATGTGCTAAGCATTTTCCCGCTTGTGCAAGCGTGTATTTGAGCTACAGGAATTCCTGAAATTTACTGAAAATACCAATGACCAGATGATTTTAAATGTTTTAGCATGTGTGAGATTTTTGTTGTTTTCCTATTTTGTTCGTTGCCCTGGTGGGGATGCATATTCCGGGCAATTATACAACGCTATGGATTTCTTGAGAACGGAAAAGCTTATTTCGACTAATGCTTCTATGACTTTCATTTGCGGCCGATTCCGTCACACCTCTGTCACATGGATCAGGATATCTCGATAAAAAATAATTTACGTGAATGAAAATTATAAAAATCGCGACCAAAATTCAACATGAGGTCAAACACAGGCAGTCAATTATACGGCGATTGCGGTATTTTAAACCACGAAAAACTTCCTTTAATTGATTAAAGAAGACTTTGCCAATGCGTTGCCAATGAAATGTCTCTGTCGGACTAAACAGTTACGATGTTCATTTTAACAACGTGTTGCCACGCAGATTTTATGTAAAAGTTTCACTGTATTGCAGCTCGTTTTCAAGGTCATTTACGCATTGACAACAGGAAAAAATACTATGAACATAATGAAAGGGATTGCGGTGTTTTTGCAGTCCTCGCCCCGGGCCACTAATATTTTCAGCACGGTCAGGTGATGTTATGACTTGCTGCAATCAAGGAGTTCTGTTGCGAAGCACTGTTAACCATATATTGTGTCAAGTTTAGGACTCTTTGTACATTGATGTGCGTTGAATGAAAGTCGGCGTATCGCAATGTCGGCATGCTTTGCGATTTGCTTGGTGGAGAAAAGCCAGTGTATTACAGGATAGAATTAAGCTGTAGTTAGTAGGGGTAAACCAATTTGAAAGAAATGTCTTCCTTGGTACATGGTCTTTTTGCACTTCCTCTAACGTACGTATTTTCAAATCAACTCAATCAATGCGTTCCTTTTCGATAATAAAAAAATTAGAATCAAACAAATCATTAATCAATGATCTCTACTTTTACCATCACTCTCTGTAGCTTCATTTTTTGTATCCTTGGCATTCAATACCTCAAGGAAAATTTAATCCTTCATATAATTATTCATTTATTATCATCCCTTAGTAACGTTTATCAACAAACAAAAGCATCATGCGCCCCTTTGATTTCATAGGAAAGTTTGTCACGTGCGTCGCTACGAAAAACAATCCGTGCGCATGTATAATTATATTCTAAAGTGTGATAACACACATCGAGCTATTTATAACTGGCGTTCTTTGAACTGTCGTTCAAGTGCTCCATAAGCACTGTGTTGTTGTCTTCGTTGAGACATAGATCATCTTCATGTATTTAACTCGGTGGTTTTTTAACTTGGAACGTCTGGTTGGAACGTATCCTACCTTATCAGTTTTCAAACCTCTTCATCTTCTCATCCCAGGTTAATATTCAAAGGCAGTAGACGTGTAAATCCCCGCCGCAAAACTTTTATTCAAAATTGCGTTGTTCTCATGATTAAAAATTTACACCGGTTAGGGCGAACTCAATTTTCCGTCTTAACGATAACATCAAATCGCGATTGACGTTTGTTAACAGCATCATCTTCGCTTGAAAGTTTAATTAGTTTCACATCATAACATTTTGTAAAACAGAAAAACCGAACAAATGATCCCCGTTTACTCACCTATACACCTTTTAATCCTTTCCGAAACTTCTCCAAGACTACGCCAAGAAGTTCGAAATGTGAACGAGCTTTACTGATACAGCTAAGATCAAGACTTCTTGTATTGATAAAAATAATAATTGCGTGCTGCCTCCTACGTAAGCGAAATCGACAATATAAACAGTCCGTCTGATTTCATCTCATTTTATTTGGTCGTGCCCAGTCTTACAAAACCTGGACTCTGCATTTCCTGGATACAATATATAGTTTCCGTCGTCAAAGTTGATTGGACCATGGGAGATGGTCAACTATCAGGGTCACGATGGATGGAAAGAATTGTGTGAATAATCCGATGTGTAATTAAGGTAATTTTTTATAGGAAAGCATTTATTTTCGAATAAACGGTGCGAGCTCTGACGAACTCGTTTGTTTTTAAGTCCATTACTTTTCAATTTACAAGAATGCCTACATCGCCAAAAAGAACTTAACGTACGTCCAACCTTTCATTTTTGACAATGAAGAGAGGATTCGAGGGATGACGTGTCTTTTTCAAAAGGTGTTAGATGTTGGCGATACCTTTGAACTGTGAATTCAATTCCAAGGATATTTCTTATATCTAATATTGATTCATTTCTTTTTATTTTCGCTTTTGCTTTAAGTTATTGCCGCATCAGAATTCTTTTTACCACTCCAGGTTAATTCTGTACTGCTCATCACACCCATTGCGCTTTTACATGGATTTTCTCTTCTGTTATTGTCTACTGACGTCATGCGTAATTTCTCGTTCCCACCTGCTATTGAAATCGTGCGGAATATGTCTTCCCATTTCGTCCTTCATTCATAGATCACGCATTTCCGAATTTGAGACTGTTGCTTGGTAACGTCGGATTGCTTGGGATTTTAACAAATGATGGTTTTGCTAAGTTGCATTTTCTACCTTGGAAAAAAATTTCATTGCGTGTTTCGATGCCGACGTTTAATTTGCGTGTACCGGAAAACGGCACTTATAGAAATTACAGCTGCTACATCCTGTGAACGATTTTGGAAGTTTCATCTCATTACTTATGAAGGCTTGGCTGGTTATTACCTTAAGTGCCTTTTGAGACTTTCCATGCCATGGTATTGTGAGTCTATGCAGTCTAGACCCGTGGCATGAGTGCTTTGCCTCTCTATAGTTGCGTCGGTTAACTACGAAAGGGCAATCTTTGGGAGATCAAGTTTCCAATCATTCTTATATGCCTTTGTGAATAGTGGACTGATGAAAACGGTTTCTATCAACGTTCCTGTAAATTTATACTCGAAAATATGCTTTTTTGACCATTTATGTCGAATCTGTGCTGAAGATTAGTTGAATTACTTTTGCAAAAGTAATTTAAATTTTAACTTATTTGAAAGTTATAGATTATATGGGATTGAAATAGAATCTGTTTATAGGCAGTAATCATAAATCATAGCTTCTAATTTTAAATTTGAAATACCTTTGTAACAATGCCATAGGCTATGAATTTCCAGGTTTATGTTCTGGATTATTCAAAGTTTACATAAATAGCTTTTGACGTCTCTAAAATGGAAATATTTATGAGAGCTAAGGTATCACTCAAATGACGTTCCGGAACCCAGGACGATAAAAATCGTCCAGTTGGAAACATTTTCCAATTGAAAGTCTCTGTCAAGTTGCCAATTAAATCGTTTCTTCTTCAGACCATTCATATATGATGGTGAAAAACTCTGAAGACTTAAATTTCTAAATGAATTCATCCCAGTTTCTCATTTTTTAAAAATGATCTAGGTTCAAAATTGCACTCTACATTTCCATGAATAATGTTTTGAATAACAAAAATTGCAAATATAGCATTCGCTTTTTACATCGATAGCTGTTCGCCCTGTTTAATGTTTTCGTGCATTTTACACTCACCATGAGTACATTTCTTAGCAACGGGAAACCTCTGCAGATTTGTTTAACCGATAAGCACGTCCAACAATTTTAAGCACTGGGGAGGCTGTTCATCACAGTTGCAAAATAAATTCTTTTGAAGAAGTATGTTTTTTATGTTAATATTATTATCAATATTTCCGAATTCTTAGTGCATTGTTAAGCCTTTGAGCACAGTGGTAAAACTAAGTCCTTCCTAAAATGTGTTGCCTTGGTAAGTTAGCTGAAGGTTTTCATCCAGTTATAATTTGTGCTCCAGCTAATAAAACGTCTGCCGAAAGAGATAGTTTCGAGGCGAGATTATAATCCATTGGTTCATTTAAAACACCATCAAATATTTACACTGCCGGAAATACAAAGTACATGCTGTGCAAAATATATTTATCTGCTTTCATTTGGTGCATTTTTTGCATATGAATAAGAATTAGTTTAAGCGTTGAACTTTTCATGTGACGAACCAAATTTCACGATTAAGTGGGATTGTAGTGCGACTTCGAAGTCGATCAAGAGAAAAATGATTAGGTTCGCCAGGACACGAAATAGACGTCGAACTTTTTATGCGTCGACTCTAATTTAGAAATATTTTTATTATAATTACGACGTTGACATATAGTAGCATTCATTGAAAAGCGATAAATACCCGAAGTAATATTCAATTAAACTTCCTCCTGGTTTTCGTTTGGCACAATGTTCAACTTTCAAATCATTCGCCCTACTTTTGTCGCATCAAATTCATTTCGATTCGGCGTACGTGTGAATTTCTACGTGTAAAGTACATCTCAATGGACACAAACTAAGAATCTATGTACAATTAGGCAAAAGAAACATGTGCCTACTTGTTGTGTATAACGGTTTATGGTCAAAAACTCGGACCTAAAATGATAAAACATGCTTGTTTAATGATAAACAACGATTCTCCTATGACATTGTCAAAACTGTGATAACATCCTTATGTAATTCTGGTAGATACTGCATTTTGTCAACTTCCAGTTCGCGTGCAAGATTCATCAATTGATTGTCATCGACGGCATTAATCAGCTCATCATTTCCATTTCTAATTAGGTTATTATTAATTGACCGTCTTTTGGCAGTGTCTTCCGCGTCATGCGTCATCTCAGACGACTTGCGTTTAATTCCCTTTTCACTTTCTCTCCTAACCATTGTTTCTGGTAGTGGGTTGTCAACGTCTAGTTTATTTGATGACGTCATCCGGAGTTGTTCTTGCATTGGTGTCCAGTACTCTTCTGGTGATACATCCCATTGTATGATATCCAAGAGTAAGCTGTAATCTCCCTGGCAAAGAGAACAAGTGGGATTGCTGCACGTGTACACGATGATACCTGGATTGCTCCATCCATCAGTAGATGTACATATATTACACATGGGATCCTTGCATTGTTCAATGTTGTACTTCTTTCCTGGCTTGATTTTATGCATCGCGAAGAAACCTGGAGAATTCGTTGAAAATAAAGAGATCGATTCAATCTTTTCAAATATTTATATAGAGAAGAAAATTTTATAATTGCGAAAAGGTACGGCAACATGCTAACGTGGGAGGGTTACTCAAGAAGGCAGAGGATAGTGATGGATGTGGATGGCTACGTTGGAGCATTGCAATAAATTATGTGGCTGACTTATCATAAGATCATGTTTAAACATATTGTTGAAGACAGTTTAACCGTCTGAAGAACCTTCCAACAACTTCCTTTAGCAAGATAAAATATTGCTGTTATCTTAATCAATTCTTGTTCCTGTTTTGATTTTCCTCAAACAATTTTAGCTAATAGCGTCTTACATTGCGGTGTTTTTAAATGGGTGTCGCTTTCCATCGTGCATGTAAAAGAAAGAGTTTCAATCATTATTCTGACTAAAATAAAGATGATTATTCTGATAAGGCTTTGATTGCCTTTCATGAATATTCAAAGCACATTGTTTCAACCATTTATCAAGTAAATATGAAGCATTATTCATTTCTTCCCAGTTCTTTTTGATGAACTCCTTCGTTGCTTATATTTATTGCAGCTCTATGAATTATATTGAAGTTTTTTATTATAAGATCTGAATATCGTCAACTAAAATCTTTCATCATATTTCATGTTGCTTTCAACTTATACTGAAGTTCCATTTGGTCAATTATCAAATTTGTGTCTCTTTCAATGAATGACGCTCTGCTGTTCTTTTACATACATTAACACATCCATCTATTTGCTAAACGAATTCTACGTTATTACATTTTTGTTGATTTCGAAGCGTTCTTGTATGTGATGCATGGCTTGTGCTATTCTTGCATGAAAGTCAAATTGATTGCTAGCATTGTAGGTTTGTCGTGGCTATTCTACTTCTTGTTCGTTTTTGGTTTAGCTTTTTCCTAGCTGTTCTCTCCAATCAAAATTTGGTTTTCTGGTTAGCGGGTTGTTATTTGTTATGAATATTGTGTTTTGTTATGAGCAGCATTACACAAATAAAATATGGAGAGAGTTCATTTCAGTCTTGGCTGAGCGCACATGGAGAAAGTATAAACGACAAATATCTAAACAATTGCAACGTTGGTATTTTTCTTAATAAACAATATATCACTTAGTTCTCTTCGTAAACGAAGCAGGATAATGACTTGTCAAGTCTAAATCACGTTGATCAAGAAATCATGATTGACTCTCCATGAGGTGTGGATTTCATAAGTTCTAAAGATACGATTGACGTGTACTGTTTGCAGTATATAGCTATGCCATTTTGTGTATCAAGTGTGCATAACAGACAACAGGCTTTGAATGCATGTTGAAATACTTCATTCAGCAGTATGCCTACGTTTCAAAATGAAATATGTACATCCATCAAACCTTTAGACACCATATCGTATCAATAAAATGTATTTAAATAATACCTTCATTGGTCTCCCAAAACAACAAGAGCGCTTCACTTTTTCAGTTTGTTTACCTTACCTTTCGTTTCTAAAGTTAACGATATTTTTGTTGTCGGCTTTACGCGTCTGCTTGTAATCTTGCACCCTCCGAGAGCGTCTGTCTTCACGGCTTTGCATTGCAATAAATAATTCTTCCCTGGAAAACAATCTTCCCTGGGAATGACGTCACAAGGGCCTGGTTACTCGGACAGATGTTGAAGGGCAATTGGCATCTAAAGATAATATGGTCTTAATATGGATTTATCTGTTGTTCGTAGTTCTTGTTCTTTAAACAGTCGACGCCATGTGTGAAAATAAGTTTGTTTTAGTTTTTGGAATTGTGCTTATAGATTTTCAATGAAAAGGATGTTGTGATGTTTACGTTATATTATATATTTTTTAAACGGAACTTTTGATTTGTCAGTAGTCTTTTAAGCTTTTTTATCAATGTCCAATTTACACTACCAGTGACGTCGTATAGCATGCTGAGTTTCCGCATCGTTTCAAAAATTTTTCGGTTATCTAGCAAGTATCGCGTGAAAAGCCTGAGAAAAATTTATACGATTAACAACTCGCCACGAAATAGTCTATTTTAAAGAAAGTTCTCGTTGTCCTAATTTGACCTGTTGTGTTCTGGTTGTTCCAATGTGACATGTGCATGAGCTGGCTATAGGCTCGATAAATATTTCTTTTCACTAAAACTCGCATAAATGAATGAGTGCAATACCTCCCCAAGTTTTGACAAACATATATATAAATATAAATTCTTCTAACGCAATATCGTGTGATACAAACAGGACAATCAGATTCAGAGGAATTGTATGTATGTATTAAAGCAATATTGTCGACTTTTATATTATCATTTGTCAGCTTTGCTTTTATGAATGGACAAACATCGGTGTCGTTGAAAAACAACATCAGTCTGCTTAATATTTGTTTACCGTTTTGAACAGGAAACTTTGTTTTGTCTTTGATGGGAAGAGATGTAAAGATGTACCCAGCACGGCGTTAAAATTACTAGCTAATTATTTTTTGCTGTCTTGTCGTTGGCCTCCTGTTGAGTTGAACGTCATTGTCGATAAAAAAGTGAACTCAGGAAGTATTGAGTGAAAAGTATTAAACAGTCTTTTACTAAATATAAAATAAGATGACGTGTGTCCGTGTAGATAGTGATGAATGAACAACAGAGAAAGAGATCATTTGCAAACATGTGGCGGTGCTCCCGGGTTCAAACCATTTACTTTATCAGTCTTTACACTACCTAAAATATAAACTACGATAATGTGTGTCAGTTTGGGTAGTGATGAATAAGCAACAGAGAACGAGAACAGTCTTTACACTACCTAAATTAATTATAAACTATGATAACGCGTGTCATTGTAGGTGGTAATGAATGAACAACAGAGAACGAGAACAGTCTTTGCACCACCTAAAATATAAACTACGAAAATGTGTGTCAGTGTAGATAGTGTTGAATGAACAACAAAGAACGAGAACAGTCTTTACACTACCTAAATTAATTATAAACTAAGATAACGCGTGTCATTGTAGGTGGTAATTTATGAACAACAGAGAACGAGAACAGTCTTTGCACCACCTGAAATATAAACTGCGATAATGTGTGTCAGTGTAGATAGTGTTGAATGAACAACAGAGAACAAGAACAGTCTTTGCACCACCTAAAATATAAACTAAGATAACGTGTGACAGTGTGGGTGGTAATGAATGAACAAAAAAGAACGAGAACAGTCTTTATAGTTTATACTACCTAAAATATAAACTTAAACAACGTGTGTCAGTGTAGATAATAATGAATGAATAACAGAGAACAAGAACAGTCTTTACACCACCTAAAATATTAACTAAGATAACGTGTGACAGTGTAGGTAGCGATGAATGAACAACTGAGAAAGAATACAGTTTTCGCATTAACTAAGAAATGAAGTAAAATAACGTATACGAGTCAGTGTAGGTGTAGGTTTTGATGAATGAACGTAAAGAGACAAAACTTTTAATTATAGTATTAAATGCCACTTCCTCGTGTTGGGTATCAGCCATGGGAAAATTGCCAATACATCACCTCTATCGCCGTTCTCGTTTACAAGCGTTAAAGTTCAGGGTTAGACAAACAATGTCCGCTGTGAAAACATAATGACTGATCAAATCATCTTTGAATCTCGTTCACTTGTCATCGCTTATCGATGGAAAAGTCTCGTCTTCCAGTGCTTTAACAATTGTGTGACAATCCTACATGTCTCCGACATTTTTTCAACTGTTTACGTCGTATTTATCATTCCCATGACGTCGTTCACTATGATTAAGTGAGCGCACTATGTAAAACAGGAAATTCATTTTTTCTTCTTACATCATTCATATGTTGTTGCCGAACGCGTACATTTAACCTGCTGCGAAAATTCATGCTGTTTTTACCATCTGTCTGTAAATTTTGATGTAACTGTCTTCACACATTCAGGAACTCCCACTGCAGTATTTATAGTTTTCCTCATATTAATTCGCGAGTTTGTTTTTTTATAGTCTTTAGTTCTTTCTATTGCAGTCTTGATGTTTGTCTTTGCTACCATTCCTTTGCAGTTTTCGGCAATTGTTGCTATAGTCTTCATCGTTTGCCTACCTAAAACGCACATTTTATGTAAATATCATGCGCGCTCAGTTTTCTACAACATATTTAACTGTTGACATTATCTACCAAAAAAGGCTAAAGCTCTCTCACTTTTTAATGCTCCCCTCCTATAACCTACAATTATACAGTTGTCAGCCGACCACACCGGCCATAGACTAATAAGTCCATGTTTTATAAAAGTTAGCACAATAAATCACAAGCATTTTGAAAATCAGACAAAAAGACACAAAGGTTGACAAAAACCTAGACATAAATGGAGACACAAAGAGACACACAAAGATAGACACAAAAGTAGACAAAAAAGGTAGTAATGTAGACACAGAGTTAGAAAAACTTTTTTGACATCAGTAATCCTTTTTGTATCATACAGCGTTCATTTTAGTAACTTAAAAGTGACATAAAGAAGCCCCCTGCTCCGCTGCTTTTTGTAAACTGCTGCAATCCTTTTTGTAACCTTTTGTGATCCTTTGTGTAACCTACCAGACTACATAACAAGTCAAGAAATTAACAGTCAATGCTTCAATATCCGGTAAATGGTTCAGGTAACATGGCTGGCCATGCTGTAAGATGGTAAAAATGTTTCGCTTTCATGTAAAGAATGTATTTGGTGAAAGGAAAATGTTTCAAAATCTTAATTCAAACCATATCGTAAGTGATTATTTTTCCATTACATTCAATGAAGATGATTAACTTGAACAGTTTCATACTTTGACATAAAAGAGTGTTGTAGCAATTTGTATAAACTTGCAAAATGAAGAAAACACATAAGATTTTCTGACAAAATTGTTTTTAATATTCCGATAGTAATTTCATGTAGAATCAACGTAAGCCTTCCCTGCAGACATTTGCAGTTTATGGCTGTCTCTTGAAAACCATGATTTTATTGAAAGTGGCAATAAATTTATCTATAAGAGTTGTGAGATTTCTTGAATATATCAGTATATAATAATATCACTACTTTTTTGTGTTTGGGCGTTTGAATACTATTAACAAAATTACTACCTAAGAAAAAAACAGGTGGTAATAATGATGGTATACGTTTTAATCGTTGAAGAATGTTTTCACTAAGCTGTGAGAACAGAGCATATTATTGTGAGAAAGAAAAGTGTCAAAGGAACGGAGAAGAAAATTGATTTTAGCTCTGTGGTTACCCAATACCCACACGTACGCACTGCGTACCTGTTTTCAAAATTGTTTGCGTCCTCATGGTCCTCATTCGCTGATCCAAAATATCACCCAAATTTCCACACAGAGAATCCTCGGCATGGCAGCGGCCAGCATGTACACTTGCTGTCTGTCTGCAACTTGTGAATTGGAGATAACAAGTTCAACATATTTTAAATTTAAATGGTAGAATTATCGACGAAGGCAAGATGAAATACGAAGTTCTTCGTGATAATAGTGAGAATCGTTTAGATAAAGAAGGGAATGCAGCTCCAATCAAAACACTCCAGGTTCGCTTGTGTTTCAATTTTCGTATTGTTATATCGTGTTAATGTTTTATTGGAGTTACGATAATTGAAGTGTCCGTAAAGAAGTTCAAACATGTTGTTTACAGGATAAATGGAAGCTGGTCGAAACATTTCTTCAGGTAGAGTAGTTTTAAGGTGTATTGCATCAACATATTTACTCATAAATTGTTAAAATGACTTTTGTCAATCAAACTATTCATTATTTTACCATTTAGGACTTCTTTTTAGATAGTTTGGCAGTTGTTTCTCAGTCATGTTCTTTTATAGTGCAAAGGCTTGGTAAAGCAGCATATTGATTCATATAATCACTTTATAAATACTGAGGTACAGCTATTCAACATAATTTACACATATCTTGGAGCTTTAATCAAAAGCTGAAATAAATAATTTGTTTCTTAGAGAACTCCATCTTTTCAATCTTTTCTTTTTTGTCAACATTCGTAGATCAAGAAAATAGTAGAAGCAAATGCCAAAGTTGTATCAGATGCTGATCAAGTATGGTACTTGAGGTACCTTGATGTACGAGTTGGGATGCCCAATGTTGAAGAGTCGTTCAGTATTGCAAAACCTGTCAGTCCCCATGAGGTCAGTTGATTGCCTTGTTCAAATTAAAATTCTTAGTTTATGAAAGCTTAAAAAGAATTTGCTATTTTGATCAATATGTTATTTTATGTTTTAATTGTAGTGTCGACTACGGGATATTACTTATTCAGCTCCAGTTACTGTGGATATTGAGTACACTAGGGGAAATCAGGTATAGTAAATCAGGTGTGCCCGTTGCATCAAAAAAGCAAATTTTGGAATATGTTTTTATTGTGATAAAAATTGCTCGTGTTGCTTCCATCGCCTAATAAATGAATGTTTTTTTCTTCTTTTTAGAGGGTTGTAAGAAATAATCTTCCTATTGGCAGGTATCGTGATATTTTTCATGTTATCTATGTTATTTTTTAAGAAACTTATTGAGGCACTTAAATGATTTCCATGTGCAGGCAAACACTAGCTCAATTTCAATGAGAAAGCCTGTTGTTTTGTTCATCTCAGCTGTTGAATATCGGGTGCATAGTAAATTGTCAAACTTTGTGAAGGAGATGTACACTAACACTTAGAATATTTAGCCTCTCCTGCCCTGGTCTTCCACTCTGATTTTGATGATTTATGAACAGGATGCCTATTATGTTGAGGAGCTCAAACTGCATACTGACTGGAAAAAGTCCACATGAGCTTTCTAAGTTAAACGAATGCCCTCTTGATCCAGGTAATGTATACCAGTGACATTCTCAGTCTGTCCTGTCATATACATTTGTTTGATACTTTTGTCATAGGTGGATATTTTGTTATTGGAGGAACAGAAAAAGTTATTTTAATTCAGGAACAGTTGTCGAAGAACAGAATGATATTGGAGCTTGACAAACATGGAAACGTTGGCTGTCAAGTGACAAGGTAAACAAAAGCAAAACTAACGTTTAAACTAATTTTGCGTTAACACATTTGATGTTAGCATAATTGACTTTAACGAAACTGACTTTTGCACAACTGATTTTAGTAATTGTAACTGACGTTAGCACAACTGACGTTAGCACAACTGACGTTAGCACAACTGACGTTAGCACAACTGACGTTAGCACAACTGACTTTAGCACAACTGACTTTAGCACAACTGACGTTAGCACAACTGACGTTAGAACCACTGACTTTTGCACAACTGACGTTAGCACAACAGACGTTAGAACCACTGACTTAAGCACAACTGACGTTAGCACAACAGACGTTAGAACCACTGACTTAAGCACAACTGACGTTAGCACAACAGACGTTAGAACCACTGACTTAAGCACAACTGACTTTAGCACAACTGACGTTAGCACAACTGACTTTAGCACAACTGACGTTAGAACCACTGACTTAAGCACAACTGACTTTAGCACAACTGACGTTAGAACCACTGACTTAAGCACAACTGACTTTAGCACAACTGACGTTAGCACAACTGATGTTAGAACCACTGACTTAAGCACCACTGACTTTAGCACAACTGAGTTTAGTACAACTGACTTTAGCACAACTGACTTTAGCACAACTGACGTTAGCACAACTGACGTTAGCACAACTGACTTTTGCACAACAGACGTTAGAACCACTGACTTAAGCACCACTGACTTAAGCACAACTGACGTTAGCACAACAGACGTTAAAACCACTGACTTAAGCACAACTGACGTTAGCACAACTGACGTTAAAACCACTGACTTAAGCACAACTGACGTTAGCACAACTGACGTTAAAACCACTGACTTTAAGCACAACTGACTTAAGCACAACTGACGTTAGCACAACTGACGTTAAAACCACTGACTTAAGCACAACTGACGTTAGCACAACTGTCGTTAGAACCACTGACTTAAGCACAACTGACGTTAGCACAACTCAGTCACGTGATCCATCATTAAAAATATTTTGTAGATAGCAATGTTTTCAAACATCGTCAACTTATATTCAAACGTCATTTTCCTCATCAACAAGGACATTATGAATGATTGTTTATAGCTCTTCCATAACTCACGTTCCCTCTTGATCCGTGTGATGATTTCAATAATGATTTGAAGTTTATGCACGCGAAAGTGAGATTAGTACCTTCTATTTACTGGCGGATAGTTTTAATGATTGATTGCTATGAATTGTTCTCGCTTTCTTGCCTTCACTGAAATATTTCCTCGCAGTTCAACCCACGAAAGAAAAAGTAGAACCAACGTTGTTGTGAAGGACGGACGGTTTTATCTCAACCATAATTCACTGTCGGAGGTAAGTCGTGAAAGAGGTATGTTATCAACGAATTGGATATATCTCAAGGAACAGGACATTTTTTCTAAGATCATGGCGATTTAGCGAAGATTTGTTTATCTTATCAATTGTAGTCCTGTCGTCCTGACGATATAAAGGCTGTAATAAAAAGTTGACAGTTTTGAAAATGTTTATAAATTAATTATCACGCAAGGTTCGCCAAAGCTTTCTGCGGAAATAGATAGTTAGACTTCCGTTAACTAGTTTAACAGTAAATTTGTTGTAAATAAAAAATATTTTTAGAGTGATTATTTTTTACCGGCAAGTTGTTTTAGAATAGTTTGCGTCAAAAAAATGACATCCAAAATACAACTAGAACACGCACGGTCAAAATATAGCTTACATGTTGTTGAAGTTGATAAAGCTTCAGGAAAATTGGGCAGTGGGCAGGCAAACACGGCTTTGAAATCGAAGGTTTCGTGTTTAAATGAAGGATTAATATTTTGTGTTTAAATGCCATTTTACTAGAAACTCTATGTTTCTATTAATTTAAGTCTCAATTTTATGCATAATTAGTGGTGCCGATTTGGTAACGATATTATACCTGTCTACTTTCTTTAATACACCCTGTATGTGAGAAAAAGGTTAACTGTGTGACCGCTCCCTTAGGATGCACCCGTTGTTGTGATCTTTAAAGCCATGGGAATTGCCACTGACCAAGAGATTATGCAGATGATTGGAAGCGAAGAGAACGTGACATCTGCTTTTATGGCGTCATTTGAAGAAGCTCAGAGATTAAATATTTTCACACAACTGCAAGTAAGAAGAAAATGTTTGATACCATTCCATGAACAGGCAGCTATCTGTCTTTGAAAAACATTCATCTCTCTTTAACATAGTCATCTCTTTCAAATTTGAACATCTCTTTCTAATTTCAGACGTCTCTCTTTAACAACGACATCTCTCTCTAAATACAGACATCTCTTTCTAAAACAGTCATTTCTTTGTAATGCAGACTTCTGTCTAATATAGACATCTCTCTCTAGCACACACACCTCTCTCTAATACACACATCTCTCTCTAATACACATGTCTCTCTCTAATACAAACGTCTCTCTCTGAAAAAATCATCTCTCTCTAATACACACTCTCTCTAATACAAACGTCTCTCTCTGAAACAATCATATATCTCTAATACAGACATCTCTCTCTAATTACAGACATCTCTAATACAGACATCTCTCTAATACAGACATCTCTCTTTAATACAGACATCTCTCTCTAATACAGACATCTCTCTCTAAAACAGACATTTCTCTCTAATACAGACACCCCTCTCTAATACAGACATCTCTCTCTAATACACATCTCTATCTAATACAAACGTCTCTCTTTGAAACAATCATCTCTCTCTAATACAGCCATCTCTCTCTATTACATTTCCCAGATGGATTTCCTGCTAATTTTAAAAAACTTCCTTCAACAGGCGTTGACGTACGTAAGTGGCAAAATCAGACAACGTCTCTTATGGGGAAAAGTTCGATCCAAATTTGAAGAAGCAAAAGAGCTTCTAGCTCACACTATTCTGGCCCACGTCCCAGTATGTATGAACTGTTGCATGCATAACAAAAACTGTATTTCCGTAAGCAAAAGTTCTCTTACATTTTCACAGGTTGTCGAATTCAACTTCAGATCAAAAAGTGCATATTTAGCAGTCATGATACGTCGTGTGATTCTTGCAATGAGCAAAAAGGTTTGACATTTGACGAGGGAAATGCGTCCTTTTATGCAAAATTTAAAACAGCGTATTTGAGATGAGGGAGTAAAATAGATAAAGTTTTCTTTACTGTAGAAACAATAAAACTGAAAATTTAAAACATGTTTGATGTGTTTAAAATATGTTACTTCGGTAAAGTCTTTATGCTCTATCATCTGTAGGTTAAAGTAGATGATCGTGATTACTATGGGAACAAAAGATTAGAACTAGCTGGACAGGTAAGAGTCTTAATAGAGCGATAGTTTTCATGCCCATCCTACTTTGGTCATTCTATTATTGTATATAGTAAATGTTTATTATATGTTTGTTATTCACTAGCAAACTATTTATATAGTAATTTAATCCATTGCTAGTTCATTATGGAAGCAAATTTGTTATAAAGATATGTTTATATTTAGTAGGGTAGTTAAAAAAAGGCACTTCTATCAATAATTGCATATTCCTTCCTTAGCTTGTTTCCTTACTTTTTGAAGATTTATTTAAAAGATTTAACAACGAGGTATCGTCGACGTATGATTATGTTCGTTTTAACCTAAGCTAGTCAACTGATTAAGTTTGAATTCTTTGTTTTGTTTGTAGCTTAAAATGATTGCTGACAAAACGATACCGAAGCCTAGAGCTGCTCAGGTTAGTTACTTTGTAGAGAAAAATCTTTTTTGTGGAAAGCGGTACGAGTTACTTCTGCCTACTTACGATTTTGTTAACAGTTGTGTTAATTTTTAAATGCATTCCATTTTAGTTATTGTACGCACAACAAAGCTCTTGATTATTAAATACGTCAGAATGATGGATAAAGCAGTTTTTTTTTGTAATTAAATATCTGAGTAGTTTTGTAAACTAGCTGGAAAAAGAAGCTTTGAAAACTGGTTGTCTGGATGGTGCAGTGAACTAGTTTTTTGGATAGCTTTGTAAATTAGTTGTTTTAATAGATTTTGTAATAAAGTAAATGGTTTGAACCTGGGAGTATCGTTATATGTTTGTCAATGTAGATCGTCCAGGTTTGTATAGTACGATCTACATTTACAAACATTTTGACTCTGAAGATGACTACCGCTAAGGTTGTCGAAACTTCAGTCAACAACAACAAAAACAGTCCTTCTCAGGACTATACCAACCTAGATTTTGTAAATCGTGAATTAGGTTTAGCTATACTTGAGTAATTATAGACTATTTTTTATTACTTTTAGTTTGATATAGTAAAACATATGCGACAAGACGTCATTACCAAAGGACTTGTTTACGCCATATCGACGGTAAAGTACTTTCTTCTTTCCTGATCTTATCACTAAGATCATCGTATCACTAAGATCATCTTATCACTAAGATTATCTTATCAGGCAAAACAAATTGAGAATATTTACGTAACAGATCATGTTCACTGATATTCGTTAGAACAGCAGATTGGCGCACACCATCTAACGCTGTTCAAATTTTCATAATTTTTCTTCTTTTTGTACCTATAATACAATGAAGATATTGTACAGTACATCACATCCCCTACTCTCGTTTTTATATTGATTCGAGATCATTTTTTAGGGTAACTGGACTATTCGTCGATTTAACATGAACAGAGTTGGTGTAACACAGGTATGTTTTGCTTTGCATTACAAATTTACGATATTTAACTTTATTATTAACACTACAACATGATGTAAGATATTGATAAAAAACAAATATATATGCATCTTATGTTAATACATTAATTATGTTCATACATGTTGTGAGGGTTCTATCTTAGAAATTATCGTGAGACATAACAAGGAAGACACTCGTATCATCTTTACCCGTAAATCTTTTGGTACTTTATAGGTTCTTTATGTATTTGTAACATAGGTACCCTAAGGTACCATTCAGGGAATCTGTTGTTATGCAAGTAAAGCTGTAATGTCCTCTATCTTTGCCAATATCATGGTAGCAAACATGCTTAGTATTTCTTATATTAAGATTTAATGATAGAAAGTAATATATTTCTTATTGCAAATTTTTTGGTCTACCGTGTAATCCGTATTTCTGTTGCAGGTGTTAAGTCGTCTTTCCTTTATATCAGCGTTAGGAATGATGACACGAGTCAACAGTCAGGTTAGTTTTTTTTTTATAAATACTGTCGATATGGGCATGTTGCTGTCAAAATTACTAATTTACTCTCATCATTTATCTTTATCTCTCATTATTTAGTTTGAGAAAACTCGTAAAGTTAGCGGTCCCAGGTCACTTCATCCTTCACAATGGGGCATAATGTGCCCATCTGATACTCCTGAAGGCGAGGTGCGCGCATTTTTTTTACCTAACGATAGGCTTAAGTGGACAGCTGAATAGTCTCAAGCGAACGTTCTTTATTTTTATCATTATCCATAATTTCGGCAGAAAGTGGAACTTATCTTTCCATGACAAAGAGGGAACTCTTGCCCCCATTACAAACAAAGAGACCCTAGAACTTAAAGCTCCAATGATCAAACAAGGACTTACTCTCTCATGACCAAACAGCAAATTTCTCCACCAGAAATACCAATCACAATAAACATTTTTCTTTTTGTTTTTCTTGTGATTTTTTTTTACGATTTCCTTTTTACTTTGTATGATGATGTTTCTTTCATTTCGACTTTTTCCCCTCAAACCCATGATCAGGTTGAAGACTTCATGAATCTGTCATAAAGAACGTTTTCTTTTTGTTAGTCTTGTGGCCTTGTGAAAAACCTCGCTTTGATGACCCACGTTACTACTGACCAAGAGGAACAACCTCTCATTAGGCTTGCCTACAATTTGGGTGTCGAAGTAAGTATGTAAAGCCACCTACAGTACTGTACTTTATCAATCTTGATTGTCGAGTATTTTTCTTTTCTTCAGGAATTAAATTTGTTGTGTGGTGAAGAATTAACATATCCTACTGTTTATACTGTTTTCCTCAATGGTATGCTATCCATAACTGTTTGTCCCTACTGTTTTCCTAAATGGTTTGTTGTCCATTTTCAACTATTTATCCCTCTGTTTTTCTCAATGGTATGTTATCCATTTTCAACTATTTATCCCTACTGTTTTTCTCAATGGCACGCTGTCCATTTTAACTGAACAACCTTACTGTTTTCTTCACTGGTATGTTATCCATTTTCAACTATTTATCCCTCTGTTTTTCTCAATGGTATGCAGTCCATTTTCAACTATTTATCCCTCTGTTTTTCTCACTGGTATGTTATCCATTTTCAACTATTTATCCCTCTGTTTTTCTCAATGGTATGCTGTCCATTTCAACTGTACAACCTTACTGTTTTCCTCAATGGTATGTCATCCATTTTCAACTATTTATCCCTCTGTTTTTCTCAATGGTATGCTGTCCATTTCAACTGTACAACCTTATTGTTTTCCTCAATGGAATGCTGTCCATTCTAAACTAAATAACCCTTCCATTTTCCTTAATGGTATGTTGTTCATTTTCAACTGTTTATCCCTCTGTTTTCTTTAATGGTATGTTGTCCATTTTTAACTGTTTAACCCTTCTGTGTTTTTAATGATATGCTGCACATTTTGAACTGTTCTTCTCTTCCCGCCCTCCTTATTCGAAAGTCCTTTGTTTTTTTATTTTTTTCTTGGAGTTTTTGTCTTTTTAGGCAATCTTCTTGGTGTGATTCAAAATCATGTAAAGCTTGTGAGAACTTTTAGAATACTCAGACGTGGTAAGTTGAATTCATTACGTCATTGATGCATCCTTACTCCTGTAGATCCCCGCAAGTCCTTGCTGGATCGCATTAGTCTTTACTCTCGTGAATCCCTGATTATTATAATACATCCCTTGTTGATTAAAATATATGTGTCACGTATTTAAATGAGCAAAACTCTTCAGCATTTGAGATTTATTTAAATACAAGTATAAAAGTCTTCAAAAACAAAGCTATTGATTTATATACAGCTTATTTCTTTGAATTCTTTAATTTTCTTGCTTCGACGCTGTCATGATTTTCAATAACCCTATCGATCCCTAGTTTCTGCTTGATTTCTAACACATTCTTCTCAAAACTCTTTTTGTGATGTGTTTTCAGCTGGTCGTGTTAATGTGTTTGATTCTATTTACGTGGACGAGACGAACAGGTTGGTCCATTAAGATAAAAATAACTCTTTTTGTATTAAGTATCGCTCTCTCTATATATGTGCATTGTTATCTTAATACAAGTTTTTATCATAGTAAAAATACGATGCTTCTCAATTGTTCTTTCTGCGGTATGTTTTAGATCCATTCATATGTCTTCTGACGGTGGAAGAGTTTGCAGGTGCATTTTTATCTGGGATATTGTTTAACATAATGTAATGACTGAAATGCAACTGATCCCTTTTTTTAGTTATTTAAAACCAAATACTGAATGTGTTCATCAACATTATTCCTGAACATCAACCTTATTTCCCAATTTGTTCTTAGGCCGTACATAATCGTCGAAAAAGGTCGTCCAAAAGTTACCCAGAGACATATTCAGCTTCTAGATGAAGGATTAAGGTTCTGTAGTTGAGTTTTTTTCTATATCAAGGATTAGGTTTTGGGATTATGTTCGTCTTCTAGATCAAGGGTTGAGTTTTTGGAGTAGAGTCGTCTTTGTTCTACATAAAGGCTTAAGATTTTGGTATTAGAATCGTTTGCTTTCAAGATAAATGATTGAGTTTCCTTCTAGATAGAGGATTAAATTATGGGCGTAGTGTCATGTTTCTTCTGCATGAAAGATTAAGTATTGAGATGAAAGTCGTTTTCCTCTAGATAAAGGATTTCATTTCAGCAGTAGTGTTATGATTTTGCTAAGTAAAAGATGAAGTTTTTGAATTATCAATTAGTATGTTTCTTATCGTAATTTAATAAAAGATTGTTATTGTTACTTTAGATCTTTTCAAGATTTTCTTCATGATGGTTTAATAGAATATTTGGATGTCAACGAAGAAAATGATAGTTTAATTGCCGTTTACGAAAAACACATCACCAAGTAAGAAATGACTTTACAACGATTCAATTACCACATCTGATCCTCAAATGCACTCTTCTCACCTTTTATAATTTCTACATTTATCCATGAGATAATATCCTATGATCCTGTACATCTTCATATTCTCTCCCAATGTCCTCTTATATAATCATCATCAACATCGTATCAAAAATATATAGTTAATATCTAAACAACCTTCTTCCTTATTGAAGCAACATTCCATAACACTATCACATTCCCACTTACTTCTTACACAGATTCATTCGATCATATTAACCGGCATGTGCTTTTAAGTTTCACACAGATACCATTACTTTCATGCAGATCTTCAATTCTATTTTGCACTAAAGTCGGTTTTCTTTGATATTTTTTCAATGTCGATCGCTGATTCCAAAACTATGTCAGTTAGGCTTTCATCTCTAAGAACATCTCGTATTTTGACTACGTACTCAAGCTAGGATCATTTCCATTTTGACCAACTAAACTAAGACCGTTTCCTATTTTGAGTACTTAGTTTTTCATCTTGCATTGTAGAGAGACAACTCATTTAGAAATCGAACCGTTCACAATCCTCGGTGTTTGTGCTGGTCTCATACCTTATCCCCATCACAACCAATCTCCTAGAAACACATATCAATGTGCGATGGGAAAGCAAGCAATGGGTAGGTTTAAGAAAATTTACGTCATCACGATACCTTAGACATTGATCTTAAATTAGGTAACTAATGATATTGTGGACATTTATGTTTCGCGCTCTAAAATGACGTCGTTCTTACTTAGGTTCTATTGGTTATAACCAACGAAACAGGTGTGTTTGCGACAAGTTTGAAATATGTAGAGCGTCATTTGGGTATAGATGTGTACGCATTGGAATATAAATATTTGTGCTTTAAGAAAAGGTTGTATTTTTACATGTATATCTGCTTCGGTTTATCGTAGAATCGACTCGTTATTGTATAACTTGGTTTATCCTCAAGCTCCCATGGTAAAGACTAAGGTATATCATAAAAATGCAATTTATCATTCTCAAATCAATCATAGACATTGTATAGTGCCTTCCAATCAACAGTAGGTGACTTGGACGTGATTTGAATTCGCACCTTCGGGATACTAGTCCGCTGCTCTACCTGTTGAGGTACCAAGCCCATAGAGATTGGAGACGAGTCAAATATCTTTTAAGTTGCGTATGGACGATAGATTCTCGCCACTGTAGCAGAAGGTGTGAGTTTAAATCTCGTCCAAGATAAAGTTTTTCATGTGCATATAAAACTGTGTTAGGATTAATTTATTATATGAATTCTCTGATGATGGCTTTGGAATATGTAAATATCAACAGTAGGGATTTTATAGTATCTTCCAATTGACAATAGATAATTTATAGTACCCTCCAGTGTGATTTGGGGGATCTGGGCAACATTTTAAGTCTTTCAAAATTATTGAGGGCTTGCTCCGCCTGGTGTCCGCCTCCAATCAACCATAGAGATTGTGTAGTATCGTTCAGTCAACCGTAGAGTTTGTGTACTATCCTGGAGATTTTATGGTATCATACTTAACTTTTTTTCAGACCATTGACTTGATCCACTTTGACGAGCTGCCAGCTGGTAAGCACATTGTATTCTTATACTTACAATTTTATTTCACCTTATCATACATTATGTATGTTAATTCCATTCATTTATATTTCTTTGCGTTTATATTTCTTGGCAAGGTCAAAATGCAACAGTTGCCGTAATGAGTTACAGCGGTTATGACATTGAGGTATTGAAGAAGTACTTCAACCCGCTTCACACTAGTAATTTTTTTTATAAAAGATACTATTCGAGTAATGTTATTTGATTTCGTGTACACACAAATAGCTAAAGAAACATGCTGTTATTTGTATTAGTGGTTGCTCTTGTGATCCTTAGCTCTTTAGGCTTTAGGAAAATATGTAATCCCCCTTTATTCCTATGGACTATAGAGAAATAAGTATGTAGACTTTGAAATTTGTGAAAATTGCTCTTTGTGTAGTCAGGACGTATCTTAAATATTCTCTTTTTTATAAGCATGTCGAACAAAGTTTGGGAGAAAGGAGGGTTATAAGAGGAAGAGGCGAAATGTATTCTGAATTCTTCACTTATTTGGTGTTATTGCTTAATTTCTTCCGTTTTGTGTGTTTATAGGATGCTCTGGTATTAAACAAGGCGTCACTAGATCGAGGTATGATGTAACAGATATTATCTCAGTTCATTCACTTCTTTATTTTCTTGAATGTCTCTCTTAGTTCATTCACTTGTATATCTTCTTGATTATCTTTCTCAATTCATTCATTTGTATATCTTCTTGAATATTTCACTCAATTCATTCAATTTTTCATCTTCTTGAAATTCTCTGTCAGTTCATTCACTTGTATATATCTTCTTGATTGTCTCTCTTAGTTCATTCACTTGTATATCTTCTTGATTATCTTTCTCAATTCATTCATTTGTATATCTTCTTGAATATTTCAGTGAATTCATTCAATTTTTCATCTTCTTGAATTTCTCTGTCAGCCCATTCACTTGTATATCTTCTTGAATATCTTTCTCAATTCATTCATTTGTATGTCTTCGTGAATATTTCTCTTAGTTAATTCAATTCTTTAATATCTTGAATGTCTTTCTTAGTTCATTCATTTGTATATCTTCTTGAATATCTTTCTCAATTCATTCACTTGTATATATATTCGTATATCTTCTTCAAATCTTAGTGACCGTGAATTCAGAAAGTTTTTGATAACTTTCTGATGAACGACTTGCACGAAACGTCTAAAGATACAATTTATCTTTCAGACAGTCTTCACAAAAGCCTTGTGTCTTTATAGTTTATAGTTTATAGTTTATACTTAGAACGTATAGCTAAATGTTAATTAATCGGTGAATTTTTCAACTGAAAGGTTTTGGAAGATGCTTAGTGTATCGTAAACAGAATTGTGTGTTAAGGAGATATGCCAATCAGGTAATGAAAACCAGAACTTTATAATAAAAACGTATATTTTATAATCATATCCAGGATTATTGGGAAGATGTATTCTTCAGTGATGGACGAGTAATGGCTGTACAATGGTAAATGATGAAAGTGGAAATGTTGTGGTGCGATGATGAATAGTGAAAGTATGAAATGTTATGAGAATTAATGATGGAATTGGGAAATGGTGTGGTGTTGAATAATGGAAGTATGAAATGGTGTGGTGTTGAATAATAGAAGTATGAAATGGTGTGGTGTTGAATAATGGAAGTATGAAATGGTGTGGTGGTGAATAATGGAAGTATGAAATGGTGTGGTGTTGAATAATGGAATGAAATGGTGGAATGGAAGGAAGGAATGGAATGGAAGGAATGGAAGGAATGGAATGGAAGGAATGGAAGGAATGGAATGGAATGGAATGGAATGGAATGGAATGAATGGAATGGAATGGAAGGAAGGAATGGAATGGAATGGAATGGAATGGAATGGAATGGAATGGAATGGAATAGAATGGAATGGAATGAAAATGGAATGAAATGGTGGTGGAATAATGGAATAATGAAATGGTGGTGAATGAATGGAATGAAATGGTGGAATGGAAATATGAATGGTGGTGGTGGAATGGAATGAAATGGTGTGGTGGTAAATAATGCATGAAATGGTGGTGGTTGAATAATGGAAGCATGAAATGTGGTGTTGAATAATGGAAGCATGGAATGGTGGTGGGTTGAATGAAATGGAATGGTTGAATGAAGGAATGGAATGAAGGAATGAATGGAAGGAAGAATGGAAGGAATGGTGTTGAATAATGGAAGTATGAAATGATGTGGTGTTGAATAATGATAGCATGAAATGGTGTGGTGTTGAATAATGAACGATGAAATGGTGTGGTGGTGAATAATGAACTATGAAATGGTGTGGTGTGATAGTAAATGATGGATGTGAGATTTCATATACTTATGTTAATAAACACTAGACTCGACTTTTTTATCTTATAGACGTTTGATCGCGTAATGGGTAAGTATTGAGTTAGAAAATCAATATTATTTGTGATAATAAATGAAATTAAACTTTCACGAAAATTTCAATATTTTGAACAAATCGTGTCCCACCAGCTAACGGATCAAATGTTTTCTTCGTTGTTAAAGTCGTGTTTTTACCAGGCCCCAGTCGCGATGCGCTGACCAAGGAAGTAATATGGAAGCACAAGGCACTCGGTGAAGATGGAATCGTTGCTCCTGGTGGGTAAAATTTCGTATTTATTTGCTGCAGGTGCATGATTATTAAATAAAATTACATCACCAGTACATATTCCAATTTTTTTGTTAACATTGTGCTGAGCATTTCACGTCTACATTAAATATACTTTAATTGAGTGATTAATCCTACAAACTGATTGGATAATAGAGTTCAAGATCGCCAGAATGCATTGTTTGCCAAAACATAATCGTGTCGCTTACCAGCCGATCATTTATACCATAACAACCAATCGGCTTGAGTGTGTCGGTATCCAATCAAATTGCAGAGGAATACGATGGTACATTTTCTTCTCAAATGAATACTCAATTAAAATTGATGAATTTTTTCCATTTTCCATTCAGCAAAAAATCAGCATTGTATTTGACTCTAGAACAAATTTTATAGGATTTTAAAAAAAATGCAATGAAGTGAATATCATTCATATATGTCATAGACATTTTGGTTCGAAATGAAACTCGTGGTTTACAAATTTACTTTCGATTTCACTGTGAAATGCACTGCGTTTTCTGCCATCACAACGATTAGTTCGTAAAATTTTGAAAACGCGGGCGAAAAAATTGTCGGTGGAAATGCTAACTGTGTTTTTATGGCAGGCGAAAAACTGGAAAATGGCCAACTTCTTGTGAACAAATCCATGCCGATTGCATCGAGTAGACAAGCAGGTACATTATCTTACAACTTTTTGAAGTCCTACTTGATATGACGAAATGCGTCAATCTGGCGATGGTTGTTGTTGTGAAGTCGAAAGCTGTCACTTGTATTTGCAATCTTGAGACGTAAAATAATGTTTATGTGATGTGAAAATCTAATTTTATTATTGTTATATTATTTATGTACGTATTGTATGATTTCCAGGTCAAGGAATGGCTGCAAGTGCCGAATACCAAGATGTCCCTGTGAGGTACGTTTAGTTGAAGGTATATTCTCTTATGAGAATATTTTGCGATCTATGTATTTTGATGTTATTGTTTTCAGCTACAAAGGTCCAGTTGGTTGTTTTGCCGAAAGGGTATTAGTATCAGCTAACGAAGATGGGGTAGGTTATACAAAAAAGTTTGTCTTAGTCGACCAAACCTCTGTGCTAGCAGTTGTTATACGAGACAGTTTTTTATAATTCATCTTCCTTCATGACAACATGTGTCATGATTTTATCGTTCGTTTGCGTCATCTCATGACTTATATTGATCTTCGGAAACTTCAAATATTTTCTCTTACATCACAGGATCCTTTGATCAAAATACTATTACGTCAAACGCGTCGACCTGAGATAGGCGATAAGTTCAGCAGTAGACACGGTCAGAAAGGGTGTGTTTAATGCTCTTGTTACACGATTGATCACGTGATATATTTACGACAGTATTTTTCATAAACGAAGTATTGTTGTACGACTGTCCACATCGTACAAAAAATTTTGTCACGTGATTTTATTGATTGTTCACGTGATCTTTTGTCACTTTTTCTCCTTTAGTGTCGTTGGTTTAATTGTAAACCAGGAAGACATGCCTTTCAACGAACTAGTTAGTGAACATTGTCATCATAAAACCAAAATCTCGTGAAAATCTGTTTTCTGTTCTTAGTTCTTGTTCACACACGAAGCTTTTGTTTTATCTCATTTTCTTCGGGTTCTTTTTCTTCGTTTTAGGGTATTTGTCCTGATGTGGTACGTAATATTACATTCACGATTTGCGTGTTATCTTTCTCGTGTAGTAATGATATTTTTTGTCTCCTTTTTTAGATTATGAACCCTCATGGATTTCCATCTCGTATGACAGTGGGTAAACTTATTGAACTGCTCGCTGGAAAGGCAGGACTTATGGACGGTCGACGTCGATATGGGACTGGTAGCTACAATAACTTGACTCAGTGGAGAAGCCAGCTAGTTTTTCCTAATATAACACAAAATTTTTAGCCAAGCTTCATTCATTTCTTTAGAAAATTCATTTTACTCAATTTTTTCCCAATAAATGAATAAATGAATGTTTGAATGGTAGGAGTAATAAACGGGCTGGCTTCTCAACTACTCTTACTGTTTCTTTGCATGATGATTTATTCCGTTGCATCGCGGCAATATGCAGCAAACATTAACCGTTTTTCATCGTGGATTTTGTAGCTTTTGCTGGTGATAAAGTACAAGATGTCGGTCAGGTTCTCGTTGATAACGGGTTTAATTACGACGGTAAAGATTATTTTACCTCCGGAATAACTGGGTATGTACTTATATTAACCTACATGATCTTTATTCGCTTTTGAGATCGAACATTTCTATAGTGTAGTGTACTTTATTGTACTCCGAACCAACCATAAACCCTGATGATATTCGTAGATACCGACCTGATCTTCACCTCCAATAAATTTTCTTCCCTTTGTTTTCACATATGTACCTTCGTGTCCTCTTTTTATTACACTCTGTTTTCACATATGTACCCTTGTCCTCTTTTTATTACACTCTTTCAGCGAACCTTTGGAGGCTTATATATACTCGGGTCCAGTGTATTATCAGAAATTGAAACATATGGTCATGGATAAAATGCACGCTAGAGCGAAGGTAAGGTTTCTCAAATCTTTTATGACAAGCCACTGATATGATCGGAGGTATTGGAGGTTAGTGGGAGGGGTGGGGCGGGTGCATGATTTCTTTAATTTTTTGTAAAATGATCAGATGACTGTCGTATAGAGAACGACTCATATTTTTGTTATTCATCTCAAGGGTCCACGAGCAGTTCTTACGCGTCAACCAACCGAGGGTCGTTCAAGGTACTTTAACCTTTCTATGTCTTCTGCGGTCACTAATGGAGCCGGTAAAATCAGCGCAATGCTTAAGGGTGCATTTCTTTATAGAGAAGGAGGGTTGCGTCTTGGTGAGATGGAAAGAGACTGTCTGATTGGTTATGGAACAAGGTGGTTTTTTTTTGAAATCGTTGTCATCTTTCTTTGTGTAAAGCTTGTTTGTGGATTCTGAAAACATTCAATATCACTCTAATTTCACTTAATTGCGTTGAAGCTTATGTCCAATTTGCAAATTTGTTGCAAAGTTTCGGAGTTCGTTAAGACAGGTCCCCATTAACAGAGAATTTCTTATTCCTTTTAATCTGCAACGAATTCACACAGTTTGAGACATCCGCATCAAATTTTCGAGCGACGTTCATTTTTCTTTTTCAGTATGTTGCTGGTCGAACGTCTCATGATTTCCAGCGATCAATTTGAGGTCGATGTTTGTGCAAAGTGTGGATTAATTGGTTATTCAAGTTGGTGTCACTACTGTCAATCTTCTCACAATATTTCTTCCATAAAAATACCTTACGCTACAAAACTTCTTTTCCAAGAACTCATTGGAATGAACATTATTCCTAGGCTAACCTTAAAACCGAGTGTAGAGTAAATTGTGTGTGTTTGAAAAAGTGTTTATGTTCGTGTACTTATTTGCGAACTGTTGAGATCAAAAAGAATTGATTGGTATAAGTCACATATGCCGAGTGTACGTCTCCCGGGCTGGGAATTTTTTCCTTGTTCTTTTACCCGGCATACGTAAATTTGTGGTGTGGAAATGTTTTTTTTTAAAGAAACTTTTATGTTTCCCCTATTATGTATTCAAAAAATTATAAAAGCAATTAATTTTGCATAAACATGACTTTTCAACAGCATGTTTACGGTGGTCAGTGATGCAGGCACTTGAAAAATGTGTTCGAAACCTGTGTAATATCAAAATCTTACTATTCGATGTGTCATTTTCATTAATATGTAGTTCTCTTAGAAGCAGTTGAGAAACTGTCGTAACAATGTCCCAAGACGTTTTGTTGGATCTAAGCTTCCTAACCGAAAATGAGAGAGATTTGATCAACAGCGTACTTAACAAAGACGCTGTATTACGACAGTCCGAACAGCAACGCGTTGGGTAAGAAGTTTTCATAAACAAATTACTGACTTTTTCGGTTCCCCCTTCCTCGATAATTGTAATACTTTAAATGAAGATATGAACATTCTTTCAAATGTAATACGTATTGGCATGTGTTTGTGTGTATTTAAAGTCGAACTCTATATGTATTAAGTTGCGTGTAAACTTTTCTCGATAGTTCTTTGAGGAAAGACTTGAACGATTTGAAGGAGAATGGTTTGCCCGAAGAAGAAATTCAAACACGAAATGAAAAGTACTGCGCCAGGTGTCAGACGTACTTCGGGATAATTTTCAATCGCGGAGCTTATTGTCCTAGATGTCAACTAAAAATTTGCAACTCTTGCCGTGTACCAAATGCCGAAGATGGGTGGATATGCACTTTATGTCACAGAGTCAGGTAACATTTCACAGATATAATGAATAGTCGTGGAACTTTTAAACACTTTGTAGTCATTAAACATTTACGCAAAGATAACACAAACCGCATACTGCTTTCATATATAAATACAATAATTTCAAACTTTTGTGGCATTTGTGCGGTGAGAATTTATTAAAGCGTAATTGAACAAATGTTGCGACAAAAGTATTTCCCCTGAAATATTTGTATCTCTTTATCGATTATGATAAGAGTTAAGAGATACTTTCTTTGCTGGCGTTGATCGCCTTTTCGCCGATAAATATATTTAATTTCATGATAGTGGCGCCTTCTGATATTTTTGTTATTACACTGTCAAAGATTATAACACAGATTAAAATTAAATACCGGCCACTCCGCGGGGATTCACTAATCCACTATTGAATATTTTTGTAAACATTCGATCTTCGATGGCAACGCGCTCGTATAGAGTTATTATTAACATTGGTTTAGTATTGTTATTGCGATAGAGTTAACGAAATTTTTTCTCTCTGAATTGATATTTTATGTGGAGTCAATTACGTAGCGGAGCGACAGATATTTATGACTTATCGTGTATTAAATGTTTCAAAGTTTTGAAATTAGACATAGCTAGACGTGTTGATTTGAAGATACACACAAAGTACATGCATTTCCATTTCGTCATTTTTTAAAGACGTCATTTCTTGGGGATGTTAATATTCCGCCCTATTCTTAAAATTTTAATGTCACTTTAAACAAATTCTTGACGTCAAAATATTTTTAAAAAGTTTCATCTTGCACTATGACGTAAAATTGTTTTTAGTAGGAGGCGCAGGGAGGAAGGTGGTTCCCTACGGTTTAACCTTTGACAAAGACATTTTATACGCTATTCATCTTTTCTAACAGAACAAAAATGCTCTGCTGAGCTGCGGTTCCTTTATGAGCACAGACTACGTTGTTATTGAATAAGATCCAAATAAAAACAATACATTTTTCCATTTCAGAGAAGTGAAGGCACAGTCTGGTGCTTGGTTTTTCCAAGGTCATAAACAGAAAAAGGGCAGTCTATTTGGGAGTACGTTGGTCCGTCAGTCTTTACGACGTTACCCTAACAACGAGACCCAACCTTACAAAGGTCTGTGTTTTGAAATGCTGTTATTATTATTACTTTATTGGCTAGCAGTTTTTACTGAGGGGACTTAATTTGGGTGTCAAGTTTCGGAGGAGGGAGAAAGGTTGCTTTGCCTGACAAAAGTCGTGTGTGTATAATTTTTTAAATTTTTCATGGTAAGAGTTGTATAACTTTCTTTACTGTTGGGGGTAGTAAGATTTGTATAACTTGCTTTACTGTTGGGGGTAGTTAGAGTTGTGTAACTTGCTTTACTGTTAGGGCTAGTTAGAGTTGTGTAACTTACTTTAATGTAGAGGGTAGTAAGATTTGTATAACTTGCTTTACTGTAGAGGGTAGTAAGATTTGTATAACTTGCTTTACTGTAGAGGGTAGTAAGATTTGTATAACTTGCTTTACTGTAGAGGGTAGTAAAAGTTTATAACTTGCTTTACTGTAGAGGGTAGTAAGATTTGTATAACTTGCTTTACTGTAGAGGGCAGTAAAAGTTTTATAACTTGCTTTACTGTAGAGGGTAGTAAGATTTGTATAACTTGCTTTACTGTAGAGGGCAGTAAACGTTTTATAACTTGCTTTACTGTAGAGGGTAGTAAAAGTTTTATAACTTGCTTTATTGTAGAGGGTAGTAAGATTTGTATAACTTGCTTTACTGTAGAGGGTAGTAAGATTTGTATAACTTGCTTTACTGTAGTAGGTAGTAAAAGTTTTATAACTTGCTTTATTGTAGAGGGTAGTAAGATTTGTATAACTTGCTTTACTGTAGAGGGTAGTAAGATTTGTATAACTTGCTTTATTGTAGAGGGTAGTAAGATTTGTATAACTTGCTTTATTGTAGAGGGTAGTAAAAGTTTTATAACTTGCTTTATTGTAGAGGGTAGTAAGATTTGTATAACTTGCTTTATTGTAGAGGGTAGTAAGATTTGTATAACTTGCTTTATTATAGAGGGTAGTAAGATTTGTATAACTTGCTTTACTGTAGAGGGTAGTAAGATTTGTATAACTTGCTTTACTGTAGAGGGTAGTAAAAGTTTTATAACTTGCTTTACTATTAAGGGTGATATGAGTTGATTAATTTCCTTTACTGATGAGGTGATGAAAGTTATGTGACATTCAAGAGTTTTATTGCATCTTATTAAAGAGAACGTTTTTTTTAATCATTATATTCCAGGAAATTCATACATCAAAGATGATGACAATAGACATAAATTTCAAAACAAAACAATCATTGATATGGATGAATCAGAGGATGAAAGTGAATTCGACAGTGAAGACGAAAGTGTGGATCAAAGCGCAGTGTCTGACGAAACAAATTCAAAAGGTTTGTACTGTTATATTACTTCAATGTTAAAGTACATACTGAACTATAACTTTGTAAATTGGGGATTATTGTCGCACTATAAATCACCATTATTTTAATCTAGTACAAATTATATTAACATAAATATATTTACGACATAGAATACCTCATTATAGAGGAATTTTGAGGCTTTTTGCACAACGCCAGGTTAATTCTATCCAATGGATAGCGCCTTACTTCGAACATTAAACAAGTTTGTTTCTTTTGACGAAAGAGCTTTCCTTCTTTCTCTCTGTTATCATCTTTGAATCGACGTTGTAAACTATTGATTTTGCACTTAGAATAATAGCTATCTGCGTTCAAAAAGATCTTTTCAATCGATTGTAAACATATTTCTCATCCAAGCATCGTGCAAGAGGCACCACGGAATATTTTGTACTATCCAAAGCTCTCACTACAAGTCCGACCAATTTAAACTTACGTATGAATAGAAATGTTGAAATTTTTGTAAACGGCAATGTTTTATAAAAACTTACTCGTAATAGTTGTAAAAAGGCACAAAATTAATAAACTAAAGTGCGAAGATGTTTTCTGACCTTTTTTCTGACGTTAGGTGGGTCGGACACTAGTGAGAGTTTGGATTCTGATCATGATGAAATATTTGTCTCGTATACCGAGTACTCCACTCCCTTGCCCGAGATGAGGATAGGACAGAAAAAAGGTAACATTGGTGTACATCGAAGGTCTTTTACCGATAGCGAGAATGACGATAGTGCTGCGGTTGGCAAGAACAGTAATTCAAAAGCTGACGACAAGAAACCAGGTGGACAAGAGAGGACAACGGGGAACATCGAGAGTTATATGAAGATGAAGGGGGTTAATGTAAATGTTCCCAGATTTTCTGGCAGGTTAAGTAAAGATGAAGATATGGCTTATGTGTCCGCTCCAAAGTTTGAAATTCCTGGTAAAAGACGTTTGTTTGGTAGTACTAACGATCTTCTACATGATAATGAACAACAATTCTCACACTCAATCCGTCGGTCTAGCTCCGAGGAATTGGTGATGAAACAGCCAAACATGTCATTAGAGAATGAATATCCAAATGTTAAAGACAAATCAAGAAATGTCACAACACTTCAACAACACAAGGAAAGTTTAAAGGATTTCGATGTTGACGATCATTTGTTTGAACAGAATGTTAATAGCTTGGAGAGTTATCAAAATAAGTTAAATGTGGAGGAAATGGAGCATGTTCCGGAAAATAAAGTTGAAGAGGAGGAAATGGAGCATGTTCCCGAAAATAAGTTTGATGAGGAGGAAATGGAACATGTTCCTGAACATAAAGTTGATCAAGAGGAAGTAGAGCTTGTTCCAGAAAATGAATTTGATCAAGAGGAAGTGGAGCTTGTTCCAGAAAATGAATTTGATCAAGAGGAAGTAGAGCTTGTTCCAGAAAATGAATTTGATCAAGAGGAAGTAGACCATGTTCCTGAATACAAATTTGATCAAGAGGAAGTAGAGCTTGTTCCAGAAAATGAATTTGGTCAAGAGGAAGTAGAGCATGTTCCTGAATACAAATTTAATCAAGAGGAAGTAGAGCTTGTTCCAGAAAGCGAATTTGGTCAAGAGGAAGTAGAGCATGTTCCTGAATACAAATTTAATCAAGAGGAAGTAGAGCTTGTTCCAGAAAATGAATTTGGTCAAGAGGAAGTAGAGCATGTTCCTGAATACAAATTTGATCAAGAGGAAGTAGAGCTTGTTCCAGAACATAAAGTTGATCAAGAGGAAGTAGAGCTTGTTCCAGAAAATGAATTTGATCAAGAGGAAGTAGAGCATGTTCCTGAATACAAATTTGATCAAGAGGAAGTAGAGCTTGTTCAAGAAAATGAATTTGGTCAAGAGGAAGTAGACCATGTTCCTGAATACAAATTTGATCAAGAGGAAGTAGAGCTTGTTCCAGAAAATGAATTTGGTCAAGAGGAAGTAGAGCATGTTCCTGAATACAAATTTGATCAAGAGGAAGTAGAGCATGTTCCTGAATACAAATTTGGTCAAGAGGAAGTAGAGCTTGTTTCAGAAAATGAATTTGATCAAGAGGAAGTAGAGCTTGTTCCAGAAAATGAACTTGATCAAGAGGAAGTAGAGCTTGTTCCAGAAAGTAAATTTGATGAAGAGGAAGTAGAGCTTGTTCCAGAAAATGAATTTGATGAAGAGGAAGTAGAGCTTGTTCCAAAAATGAATTTGGTCAAGAGGAAGTAGAGCTTGTTCCAAAAAATGAATTTGATCAAGAGGAAGTAGAGCTTGTTCCAAAAAATGAATTCGGTCAAGAGGAAGTAGAGCTTGTTCCAGAAAATGAATTTGGTCAAGAGGAAGTAGAGCTTGTTCCAGAAAATGAATTTGGTCAAGAGGAAGTAGAGCTTGTTCCAGAAAGTAAATTTGATCGAGAAGAAGTAGATCTTGTTCCAGAAAATAATGTTGAGGAGGAGGAAATGGAACATATTCTCGAAAACAGTCGCAGTCTTGAAATAGAAGACGATGTATCATCGTGGCATGAAAATCTTGAGGAACATTCTGACTTTGAGAATGATTTTAGGGCTATGGGAGACAAGGATGATTTCGATAATTTTGTTCAAAGTGTTGAACACAAATCCAATACAGGTTCAAAGGATAACCTACCCACAATGCTTCAAGGTAAAAGTACTACAACCGACGGGGAGACTTGTCCTGTGCACGTGAATAATAAAGAGTTTTCACAAGAACAGAAAATATTCGAAACAGAAATGGAAATAGCCGATGATCAGAAGGATGTTAGTCTTAGTTTAGAGACTGGAAACGATTCTTTGTCTTTCCTTAATGTTGGTAGCTTGGAAAATACAAAAGAGTCCTCAGTGAATGACGAGTTTTCTGAGAAGAGGGTGGAAGATAATTCTTCCTTTATTACTATCTCATTATATCCACAGATGACCTCAAACCATCTTAATGACATGAAAAACGATGCACATACTGAAAACGATGCTTTTTTCGATGTAGATGCCAATGAAGATAAGAAGAACAAAGAAACGGCCGATGACATGGCAGCCCAGGTGGATCTTGAATTCAGTGAAGACTGGGAGAATAGAGAGCTAGCCGACTACATGCCCGTCCAAGTAGATTTTGAACCCAATGAAGATATGCAATATAAAGAACCAGCTGACAACATAGCAACCGTTGTGTATCATGAACCTATTAAAGTTTGGAAGAAAAAAGAACCAAATGACGACATGGCAACCCAAGTGAGTTATGAATCCAGTGAAAGTGGGGAAAATAAAGAAGCCCTGATAGATCATGAACCCAGTGAAGATAGGGAGAATAGTGAGCTAGCCGACTACATGCCAGTCCAAGTAGATTATGAGCCCAATGAAGACAGTGAGAATAGAGAGCTAGCCGACTACATGCCTGTCCAGGTGTATTATGAATCCAACGAAGATGTACAATATAAAGAACCAGCTGAAAACATTTCAACCGTTGTGTATCATGAACCTAGTAAAGTTTGGAAGAAAAAAGAACTAACTGACGATATGGCAACCCTGTTGGGATATGAATCCAGTGAAACCGTGGTGCATTTGAGTCAGTTGAAAACAGATGACAAGCTCATGGAAAATTCTAGGGTACATTTGGGAAAAAGTATTCCAGTATCAGTGAGAGAGAATACTTCGGAGGAGACCATGTTGAACGACCATGAGAATATTGAAGATTTCACCACGAATAATGCCCATTTTATGATCTCAAGAAATGTCCACTCAGGTAATGCCTTGTGTTAAATAGTGTTTTGGGAGAAATGACTGCCAGATACCTGTAAATGACACGAGAATAACAAGTGATGTGGCTACAGTTATCTACGGTCAATCGGAAATTATGGTTGGCTGATGCAAATGCTAGCATAACATTGTAGCACTTTCTGAATTTGATATCAACAACTGAACATCGAAATCTCATTCATTTCTAGAGCCCGAAGATTCTTCTGAGTTGGAAATGAATACTCCTGATCGATTACAAGACGTTAGCAAAGAAGGGCTGGCGATCGATGTCGATCAACGAAGTTTGGATCTCGGAAATCAAAAATATTCAGAGTTTGATAAGGAAGCTGACGAGGTCATTGTGAACGATCCAAATGAGAGCGAAAACGCAGAGAAAGGTGAAGATTCATGCGAGATGAGAATAATGGCTTTAGAGAAATTCTCAGAATCATTTGCTGTTGTTAATCATAATACAGGGAAAGAGAACACTCAGTTTGATGGTTCAGACGATGAGAGATCAGCCGATCGTTTGCAATATAAAGGAGTTGCCCATACCGACATGGATTCGAAAACACTCAACGATTCGGGATACGTGGGTTCAAATGTAAACTTTAACGTTAAACAAACACCTTCAATTTCAGGCGTGGAAGCATCATCTTCACCTCACCAAGATAGAACAATAAAGTTTTCGGTAAGTAGAATTGCAAAGTTTGGTTTTCTAACTCCTTGTTGTAGTCACAATATAGACACAAACAGTAGTCCCACTCGATAGGAGTTTTTTGTGCAGCGCATATCTTGTTACGCATGTGATTAGGATAGCGGCAACCAGGAAATTGCATTTGCTGACCAATAGCAGCGCATTGAGGTGGCTAGCCGCAGCCAGTAATCACAGGACTAAGTTGTACAGTGAAGTGGGACTACTCTTTGTTTCTATACTGTGGTTATAGTTAAATGAATGGTTTAAACACAGGAATGTTGCTACCAGGTGCTAGAAACCTAATGGGAGGAGGGTGTATTGTATATTCAGTTGTGCCCGACTGATGTCCTGTGAATTGGCATTCGAAAAAATCAGTTGGGCACAATTATATATGATATATGAACGTTCTAGCGTCTTCACTGATCGTTGCATGTTTGTTGATGTATGGATTGTCCAGGTTAGCGGAGCCCTTGAGAACAAGGTTGTCGAAACGTCAGTCAACCTTCTCAGGGCTCCACTAACCTGGACCATTTGCATCTTTGTTATAGTGTTGTGCACATTTTTCTCGGTAGGGGATTGGGGGTGAAGTACATTGAGGGATCCCTGCAAGGGTTGCTATTTTATGGTCTATTGATTAGTGACGTAATGTTTATGAAAATGTCTGTGCTCTTGGGCTTGTAATGTTACTTAATCATAGGATTATCACGTGAGGCAAACTGTCCATTTTCCAAGCGAACCTTTTGATATTTTTCTGTTGTAATTTTGTGATGAATAACCCTGAGACCAGTTTTATAAAAATATGCATTATTTAAAGCTGGTATTTGAACACGATTTCAAGAAGTGATGGTCGATGGTAAATCCAAGGGCGGTGGAACATTAATAATTGGGGGCTATTATTCATATATGCATATTTACATTATTAGCTTCTATTGAAATCAATTGTGTTTACGGATTATAACATACGAATATATGAATATAGCCCCCCCCGTCCTAATTATCAATGTTCCTCCGTCACTGGGTAAATCAGAATACATTGTCGTGATTTTAACAATTTTTTGGCTAAAAATTTTCTAACCAACGTGGTTGTTATTTTTGAAGCGATGTTTTGAATTTCAAATGAGTTGCTGTAATGTATTCTGACTTCTCAGGACACGCCACTGATTTCCAGAGCCTCTTGAAAGTTTTCTTTATCGGAGGTCATTTTTTCTTCATCAAAATTATTCAAGCGTGCGTTTTCGAGCATTTGCCATTGTCATGCAAACAAACCCTCAAATTGATGGCATTAATACCCATAGACGCTGTCTAAAAAATACGATACACTTATCATAAAGACTTCTCTAGTTCTTGACGTTGCGATCCTATCTCTATCGCTGTCCTGTATCGTTGTAATAAGCGAGGATGTTTTCTCATAAAACAACCACAGTTGAACAAACTGTTTTTTGTAAAAAAATGAATCGATAATTCGAAATGTTGTGGACTATTATTTCTTCCACATGGATTACCACACGTTTCCTCTCGGGGCTCAGCAATGTGAACGCGCTCAACCAACACTTCACAGCAAGAAATTGCCTTTTTCGTTGATGTGTTGCTGTTGCTATCGGCATAAAAGTACGAAAGAGGTAAACGTTTTTTTCTACTTAAAGTTCGTTGGCTGTTTGTATTTGCTATTTGTATTTACAACGAGAATGAACACGAGTCAAGACGATGAACTTATTCGTGCGAACTCACTACAGTTGTTTCTTACACAACAGATGTAAGAATTGTGCTGTAAAAGTACGTTGCGCATTTGTTTCAGGTAATCAACTTTAAGATCAGTCTTGGCAAAAAGCCTGCCGCGGAAGCTCTTCACTGATATTTATTACGAATTGTAAATTTTGTTATATTGATACGTCCGAGTGTACCCCCATGAAGTTTTATTGGACGAGTGGATATGTTTGAAATACTGGCTGAAAACATTTGCTGTATTTCTGTAATTATTTGTATAATTAACATGGTTGCCATGGGACCTTTTGTAGTTACAGGGACGTTTGCTGACGTATTTCCCTTAATTATAGCGACGATGGGTATTAAGTACTAAATATCCCTTGTCAATATTGAAACAAGTACGCCTTGCCTTGTTTCCACATTTTGTTCTCGTCATGTAGGAATAGCGTCAGCTTGCATCTTCATTTACTCACCGCAGAATCGTTTTCAACTCTACTAAACGATAAGGGTTAATAGCACGATGTCTTTTCCAAGTCCTTTGAAGCCACACTACTTCGAGGGCTAGTTCACCAAGTCAAAAGTTCTCTTTGTTTGACTGCGACATCCTTTTTGCAAAGAAAATTCATACACAGGTTCAATGAACCAATTCAAAAACTGAATTCAAAATAGCTGGGTGAACTGCTGCTTCATTCCATCGCTGACCATAAACAATATACGCTTTGCACACCATCAATGGTTGTCAAAATTTAAATCAGTGAACTGAAAAATTGATAAAATTATTGTAAAACGGAAGAGTCTAAGTCTGATTATTCCCTCCGCAACCATGTTATTGCAAACTAAACGCATGTTTTTGAGGATGTTAGTGATTAAATATTCCTTGAGCCTCGATGTAATGTCGAAACCAGCGCCAAGTTTTTTGTTTTATTGTTTTAGGAAAAAGCGCCTATCATTATTACAAGCAAACCTCCCGAGGAGAAATTAGATCATGCTCATGCATCAATCGATGATTATGAGGAAGACATGGATGTTTCGTTTAAGAGATATGGAATAGGTCTTGGAAATAGACCGCTGAAGGATCAGTTGAGTCTAGTAAGTTCATAACATTGGCTTTGAAATTCGCCATCGTACTTGTAACCTTTGGAACTCTCGCCATCTTGTGTGTAATCTTTGTAACTCTCGTCATCTTACTTGTAACCTTAGTAACTCTCGCCATCTTATTTGTAACCTTAGTAACTCTTGCCATCTTATAAGTAACATTTGTAACTCTCGCCATCTTACTTGTAACCTTAGTAACTCTTGCCATCTTATAAGTAACATTTGTAACTCTCGCCATCTTACTTGTAACTTTTGTAACTCTCTCCATCTTAGTTGTAACCATTGTAACTCTCGCCATCTTACTTGTAAACCTTTTTAACTCTCGCCAACTTACTTGTAGCCTTTGTAAAAACCAGTTATTGCCTCAAGCCTCGACAAGTTGTCGTTTACAAATGCGCGTCGTGGCTGGATATTACTTTGATATTACCTTGATTCTTTGTGTCCTCGACTTATTTCCATCTTCACTATCGTATTTTGGTGTTATTATATATCATGTGCGAACCTTTATCTGTTTATTCTTTGTTTTTGAACGCACGCTATCCTTTTTGATTATTATAAAAATTCGCAATAATCTCACCCACAAAACTTGCTGCTCCGGAGCTGGCTCTGCCACCCTGCCCCTCTCTCTGCACCAACCCACCCACCCCCACCACATCAACTTCTTGACAAATAACTTCTGTGTGAGATTCTCTCATTTCTTACGTCCCATCTGATAATTTGACATAAACTTGTGTCCTCTGCAGGGGAGTCGTGAAAGTATTATGAGTTACTACAGCAACGCCGGGGGTGAGGTGTATGGAAAATATCCAGTGAGTGGCGAGATCCTGTTTGGCATGAAATACGATCATCAGGGTCAAGAATTTCAGATTCAGGTCCATCAAGCGCGTGATATAGCGGCCGTTGATAAGAAGCATAATATATCAGATCCGTGAGTATCCGTCCAGTTATCATGAAATTGAGAAAATAGATTACATATACAATAGCTATAACATTTAAGTTCATGATGACTCTACTGTCTTTGATACCAAAACTAAAGTAATAATCAGTGAGTATCCGTTTAGTTACCATCATATTGACAAAGTAGATTATATATAATGTAGCCATATGGTCGTAAGATTTAGATCCATTATGACACTAATTCCGTGAATACCAAAAATAAAGCAATACTTCATGTCTCGTTTAGTAGATGGAATATGTGGAATTATATGGAAATGAATTATAACCCGTTTTATCCGACTCAAACCCTTCACTATAGTGTATTCACTGGGAGCTGCTCTCTCTAACTTCCAAGTTCGCTAATGTTTTTCTTGTTTTTCTATGAAGTCTTGCTCTTCTTTTTTTCTCTTTTTTTTTCATTTTGTTTGCCCTCTCCTTCTCCTTTTTTCTTATTTGAGCGTTTCTTGCCTTATTTTTAGCTACGTTAAGACTTACTTGTTACCCGACCGCAGTCGCGACGGAAAGAGAAAATCAAAGATCATAAAGAAGACCATCAACCCTATCTTTGACGAAATACTCACGGTGAGTTGACGTCAAAAAAAAACAGTGCGCAGTCTTGTAGCTACACTCAACGTCTCCTTATCGTTACCGCTGTTGCTATGTCTTTTTATATAATTGTGATACACAATCTACTGAAACTCTGTTGTAACATCTTGGAAAAATTTGACAACGAAATCTCGCGTGTTGCCTATAATCACGCTCTTTTACGGTTTCTACCAAATTGTACGTTGTTTTAATCCATCTTTAATTTTTGTCGCAAGTTGATATAATAAATATATTGTTGATATACAAGACGTGGGAGTAGTTAGGTTTATCGCCCGATAGGGAATAGGTTGCTTCTGCGATAGAGAATACGTATCTTCGTTGGATGATATGAAGCAGTGATCTAAAACGCAATCTACTACATATCCGACTCCGCCAAAATTTTATAGATACGAGTGAGGCAAGCTGCCATCTTTAAAGATGGCAAAACTGACTGTGTTCTGAGTCATTGGTATGAAGTAATCAGCTAGAAGATGGCATCGTTTGTGCAAACTTTATCTTCGTTGTATTTTTCAGTACCGGATTAGATATGACGAACTCCTGCAAAGGACGTTGTGGCTAGCTGTCTGGAACAACGATAGATTTGGTCACAACGATTTCCTTGGCGAAGTTGTTCTTTCCATTGATGAATATCAGAGTTCTGGATTCAATCTTGAAGATCCAGATCCTATGTGGCGAAGTCTTTGCGAGCGGGTGAGAGTGCGCTTGATTTCACGCAAAAATCGATTAGGGGAAATTAGCTCGTGTGAAACACTTGAGGCAGAAAGTTTTCAATTTATTCTTTCGCTCATAATTTACAGCAGTCGGAAGATGTTCAATTCTCCTTCAACGGAGAGATCGTCGTTGCCCTGAAGTATGTACCACCATCAGCCGTAGTCGACAACTCGAAGAAGAAGAAGAAAAAGAAGAAGAAAGAGGAAAAGGGAGAACTTCATGTAAAGATTATCGAAGCAAGGGATCTGATTGCGAAGGATTCCAATGGGTTTTCAGATCCGTTTTGCAAAAGGTTAGCCAATGATTATATTCTCGTTTACACGGCAAATTGTCATTATTGCTTCTTGTGTACAGATCAATGATTAATGTATAGATTTCTCACGTATCTTGTACGTACATTGGAAAAAAATAGTGTTAACACAGCTCATATTGTTCCAGTTACTTGCTACCAGACAAAAGTAAGAAAACTAAACAAAAAACGAGCGTTGTGAAGAAAAGTCTGAATCCAAAATGGAACTACCATTTCATTTATGACAACCTCACTCACGAAGAGCTGATGGACAGGGTCCTAGAACTGACCGTGTGGGATTTTGATCGTGGATCCAGTAATGAGTTTCTTGGTGGAGTGCGTTTAGGTTTGGGAGCTGGGATCCAGGAATGGGATGATGCATCATCGGAGGAGCAGGCGGCGTGGAATAAAATGTTGAATAATCAAAACGAATGGAATGAAATTTCTTTGACCTTACGTGATCACATGGGCAAAAATAAGTAAGCTTAATATACGAAATTTATGTCATTTATAGATATCTATAACTGAATCCATGAGTGTGAAGGGAACATCTGGCGATGAAAATGGCGTTCATTTATACATACATGTGATTGAATAGTTGGTAGTATAAGGGAACGTTGGGTGATGTTCATGGATGTCGATTTATAGATATCCATGATTGAATAATTGGTAGTATAAGGGAACGTTGGGTGATGTTCATGGATGTCCATTTATAGATATCTATGATTGAATAATTGGTAGTACAAGGGAACGTTGGGTGATGTTCATGGATGTCCATTTATAGATATCCATGATTGAATAATTGGTAGTATAAGGGAACGTTGGGTGATGTTCATGGATGTCCATTTATAGATATCTATGATTGAATAATTGGTAGTACAAGGGAACGTTGGGTGATGTTCATGGATGTCGATTTATAGATATCCATGATTGAATAATTGGTAGTATAAGGGAACGTTGGGTGATGTTCACGGATGTCCATTTATAGATATCTATGATTGAATAATTGAGACTCAAAGGGAACGTTAAATTATAGTAATGACGTTCATTTATCGATATCTATGATTGAAAATTTGGGAATGAAAGGGAATATCAGGTGATGGTAATGGTGTTCATTTATAGATATCTGTAATTGATCATTGTGTGCTAGAGGGAACGTCTGTCAAATTTTATTGGACGTTTGTTTATGCATAGATATCATTGAATCATTGGGCGCTAAAATAATAATTCGTGGAGGCCACTCAGTTTAGTGGGGTTTTTTTTTTAATCAAATTGCTCCCCCGCTATTAACTGGTATGTTAAAGTCGCTCCTCGAAGCTATTTTTTGTAAGGTTTCGTTTACATCACTCTTACATCCGTAGTTTTTAACTTTATCCTTATCATTATTGACAATAATTTTGTAGGTTTTGTCTAAAGAAATATATTCTAAATTACGTTTTGATAAATGTGTGTTGTGTGGAGCAGTTTTTGTCTTTTGGAGTTCATCGCATTGTATAAATCGCAATTTATCGTTTTGATGGCAAACTAACACATTCGGCAAATCTGCAAGTCCGGCCATTGTGATTTTCTATAATTTTGATTGTAAAAATCCCCACGGGGGGAATTTGTTGTACATCTAAAAGACGTAGTTTGTACGAAGACTTGTTAGTCGGGCGACGCAAGACTTGGCATTCATTAGAATCACTGTTCTTTTTCAACACTATACAGCGTGTTGTTTGCTTAAGTAAGGTATGTTGTTTGGTTTTCTTTGACATTTCGAACAAGTGTTTCACTTCGTTTGTGTTCCACGCGTTACACAGTTTTTCTACATCTTTAGTATTTTGCTTTCTTGGTCGCTTGTTCTAGATATTTTTCTTGACCTGTAAACGCAAGAGTTCTTCAATAGGACTTACGAGGTATGGTTTTTTATTATTCATTTTGATTGTATCTTCTATCGAGAGTGCGACATATAACTATACGTCATTTTCTACTTCACTTAAATGTGTCTGTGATTGTATATGTACTATCCACATGGATGTTTCAATATCCTTAGTTATCTAGGGATGGACATATTTCGTGTTGTAACGGGAGATATGCGAGGCAATCCAGTATTAAGACCAGGAAACAAGAAACGAGTGTTATCCTTCAGCTCTGAAGCCTTCGTCATTGAAGAGTCATTTCCGTGCATTCTTGATCATTCAAATTCGTTTTCAAATCCAGCATTTAGTAGGAGCAAGGCAAGTAAAGATACACTTTATCAAACTACGACTTAAGTCACGCTACTCTGATTTTGTCGGATGAAATTGTGTATTGTGTATACACTGATTGTTCAAAGCTACTGGAGGTCGCCACAACTGCTCGTATTTTCTTATTAAATTAATTACAAAATTTCACTGAGTTTTCAAAATGCTGTTTTGGTAAACTAGTCCTTCGTGTCTGTGCAGATAATCGTCATGTTTTCCTGTTACTGGTTAAGTTCTGACCATGGCATGTTAGACATGCATATCCATAAAAAAAAACTAGAGAATTTGCTATTCAAATCGTCTGTAAATTATTAATGTCTGGAATTGTCAGACATGTATATTTTATCAGGTTGATCACGTACTTTTAATTCATAAAATTCCCTGAAGAATTCATCATTAATTAAAACAACCAATAACAAATTCAATGAGAACTCGTTAATCTACTATGAAAACTACTTGTTTTTGTAAAAATAGGCCTGTTGAACGTTTCATATTTATTTGTATTGTTCGGAACATAAGAGCGACTTTATAGCTAGTAAAATGTTGATGTACATCTTAGATAACCGTATTTAAAGTACTTATTAAGATAACGCGGTCACTTTTTCTCTATAATACATGTATGTGCATAGTCTGAAAACATGATTTGGACATTTATCGTTGTGAAGGTGACACGACCGCATCGGCGATGAAAGACGCGCAATTATATGAAAAACAGGATTTGCAAAATCTAAGGAGGTGTTTACGTAAAACTATTTGTCCCAATTAGCCGAGTTTATGGAACTGAATTTCATGAAGAGAAAATCCTTTTTTCCGAAGTTATTTATTTTATCTAGTGTGCGTTACAACTTCATTCAAGTAAATCTACCTCCTCCTCGACAATTGTCCTGACAAAAATTCAAAGCTTCATTATTCATACATTTCTTCACTTGCAGGATGATTTGGTAACATTTTCATCTCCGTTGGAACGACTCTCTGACGATAAGGAACCTTGTACGTCCACTGCCTATGGACATTTATCTCCAGAACGTTTCGACAATTCCTTTCATTCCGAATGTTTCAACAGAAAAGGAAATAGAATGGATAATGGTGGTCAAATGGGGATCGACAATAACATAGTTGATACATCGGAGTCGGACGAACCAGAAACCTTCAAAGCACGAATGGAAGACGCAATGTCAGAAATCGTAGCAGTTGCGAATTGCTTACCTGCTCAGTTGGATGAAACATTCCCTGAGAAAAAGAAGACTTTACAAGAGTTGGCCGAAGAATGGAGCACTCGTAAAGTACGTGAAAATAGTCGTTAATAGAAGTTTCGACGTAAAGCGCCTTAACCAATGTAAACATTGCACAAAAAGAAGGTTCCCCTAAAAAACATACTGCTATAATTTCTTAATTAATGAATCCCAGATAACACATCATTACTTACATCACTGATTTGTTAACTGACATGTGAAGAATGACGTCACCTGAATTTAAAAATACTCGAATTCAATATTAGCATTGAAAATTGGTACAATGAGTTTTACTCAATATTTATAGCAACATATTTTTTGGTAACCGTTATTTTGCGAAGCAGTTTGAAGATTATACCCGCTTATGTAGAAGCAATGTAATCGCATTTGGCCTTTTAGATACTTGCTAAGATTCATTGATTTATCAAGTATGATTTGTCAAGGGGGGACTTTCTTTTTGCGTAATGTCTAGATAAGATATTTAACAAGTTAAATAGTAAATAGTTTGGACTCTGAAGTAGAGTTAGATGTTTGTAGATGTAGATTGTCCAGATTAGTTGAGTCCTGAGAAGGACTGTGAGTGTTGATGTTAACTGACGTTTTGACAACCTCAGCGGTATACATCTTCCTCACTTCCTCACTTGACTCTGAAGATGACTACCGCTAAAGCTGTCAATACGTCACTCAACATCAACTTGGACGATCTACTTTTACAAACATATCGTACAGGTGCTTATTCGGTGAAGTTGCATGAAGAAAGTTTTATCAAAACAAGTGAATACGGATACGGATTGTTCATTGACAGATATCAATGACGAGTTAAAAAGACAAGTACCACGTTGGGTTACTGTAAAAACCTTCCTCCGTAAAACCTTTTTCAAAACTAAGAACATAATATACGGAATCGATACAAGTCGAATTACGTTTTTCAAGGCAAATTTGTACCAAATCTTGTTGAATCTATGTGTGCACTTTGACAATTTCTCAACCTCAACTTATTTAGGCTTACATGAAAACAAAAGAAGAAAACAGAGACGCGGAAATTGTTGAAGAACAGGAAGAGAACTTAGTACACCATTCTGTTTACTATTCTACATCTTCACCTTACCACGGAATGTCAGACGAAGAATACAAGTTTAAAAAAAAGCTAGAAGCTAGGCTACGCTACAGACAGGAAGAAGTGTGTATTAAAAAGACACCAGATACTCAACCTTTGATTAAATTATGTCAGATTGCCTCAATGTAATTTTCAAGTAATCCAGAACAAAGTTCATATAGATTAGTTCGAAAATATAGTATGAATAAAACACTTTCATATAGTGTTATACAATATAACTTTGTAACTTGTTATGCGTGAAAACAGTCACTTTGATTGAAAAACTTACCTCTCTCTGTTGCCGTCTTTAATTTTCCTATTTTGTTGTAATCCACGTTGTTTTCGATGTTAATTCCTCATTGTGAGCATGCCTACTTCAATTTGTTTGCTGTCTGTGAAAATAACTAATCTAACTATTGTTTCTTTGTGCACCTAAATTTTCTGATATTGTTTCTTTGTGGCTAATTTTGAGCTTTAGAAGCAATTTACTCTCGGCGTGCTGTGCAATACATATTCTATGTAGTTAATATTTAATATTATCGAACACTGCACGATGATTATATGAAGACTTCAAAGCAGTACATTGACTGAGAAATGTTCTTATGCATGTATTTTCATATCTCTGTTATGTCTTATTTAGTTCCAATGTGATTTCCTTTGATACCGAACTTGACGAAAACATCGTGGAAGCGAAGCAAAATGGTCATGTAAGTCTGCTTGATATTCAATATTTTATGAAATATATCCGTTCTCTGTTTTTTCTTTTTAAATTGAATGTATGCAACTGCAATATTCCATAACTTTATTCTTAGACCATAATTATTGACCAGTTACATGGTTGTAAATTGTTCATGTAATTTTTGAGAAGTTAATCAAATACCTTCCTTCTTTATCGTTACTGTTAAACATTCGCGTTTGCCAACCCCGTCATATCCGTATGTGTACCTATCCATGAAACCCGTTCTTGCCAAATCATATCCTATTCTCAAGATTTGAATTTTACAACCGTTGAATTTCTTCTATACCCACTGACATGTATATGTTATACTGGATGACGCATCTCGTGTTAAAATTGACGCAGGATGAACTGGCTCACAAATGAGATGAAACGCGAAAAGTGATTGATATGTTGGGACCGATATCTCTTTGAACTTCAATGTTAGCTGTATAATTTATACGTGGATGCGTAATTCAGTTTCATATACACGTCAGTTACCATGCCACCAATAGCACATGAAGACGATGCCATTTTGTAATTGCCATCAATATTTCTTAGTCAGCGGAGTCACGTGAAGTGGAGTCACATGACGATCATTTGGTACGTCATGATGAATACTACAGCCCAAGAGAATCGAAAATTGACGCTGCAATGAGGTTGAATCAAGAAAAATTTACCAAATCTTTGCCTGGTCAAACGCAGCCATCAAAGGAAAATAAGATGACCCTAGCTGAACTGGCAGCTCAAACTTCCAAAAACAGGGTATCAGTTCGTTGTCCTTTTTGTGTCGTTCACTTTTGCTAATTTTGAGATGAATTGCTTATATTTTTCTTGTTTAGGGAACATCTTCGCCATCCCGTAGCCCCGTTTTATCCGCTCGTAAAATCCAATGTCCTAAATACTTGCGTCCATTATCCGCTTCTTTTACCTCCGTTTCCACTCCAGATATCAGTTTGCACGGGGAGATCAGTTCTGGAAATGGATCCACGGGAGAGCAACAGCACATTGACGTTACGGACGAATCCCAGACTTCCATTCGGCGTTTTTCGGACGCGAGCGTACTATCGTCACGTGATTCACGATTGCGTGTGGGTTCAAATGCATCAGATTTTCTTCGAAGGCGCAGTTTGGAAACCAACGTGAGTTACAAGAGTGTTTATCCTGTCGGATAATTGTATATTTAGGAGTCGTCATTGAAGATTGTTGGTATTAACGAAAGAGAATGATTCTTATTTTGATATTTTACAGAGTTTGCGTAGTGGTAGTACGTTGAGTGTCGACGAGTCTTGGAAGGTAAGAGTTAATTCTTTATTTTTACTATGGTGGATTGCCGTAACTCTCCCCCCCCCTCTCCCAACTATATTGATATAGATAACATAGATAACATGGAAAATTTTTGAGAGTGATGTCAACCTTAGTCCCAGGGTTCACCGTTCACGTGCGCTTGTAAATATTTTAATATTGTTTTGCGTGGGCACAAATTGTCCTCAGCTTGAGGTTTTGTTTGTGTGTGGTAAGGATCGCAACAGCGGAAGTCATAATAAGATAGTTTTCGTCACCACTTTATATTCCAGGTTGCTCGTAAATTTTGAAAAGAAATTTTCTGTTTGCTGATGTCAAGCGTACAACAGCAAGAGTAGTACATCTCTACATCGCTATCTTGTCATCATTTCTAGGGGAGTCAAACGAGCGTCTATAGCATGGACGATGTCAGTGGCAGCCACGCCGTAAGCGGTGACATCATGCTAAGTTATATGTATTACAAAGGAAATTTTAAAGTCAAAATATTCGAAGCGCGAGGATTGCTTGCCATGGATGAATCGAAGAATACAAGCAACCCGTACGTCGTATTTTATCATGTTGCTTAAACCGCTTTGTTTTTTATAAGTACGAGGAATATGTATATATATATATATATGATATGGATTAATTGTTTTAACATAGCAGCCAGCTGCACGTTTTAAACAGGCAATTACAGATCCTCTTGCGTGATTCTATACATGCACGAAAATCTATCAAGTGTAACAGATATATGTTTTTTATGTCGTGTTTTCTTTCGAAAAAGTGGAGGATACATTATATCTGTAAACCAAAAACATGGAACTACTTTCTATCTTTTATGAAGTGAAAAAGTATTCAGGTCATTATTTTATTGTACATGAATGTATTCCAGGCTTTTGTCTTCCCTTTTATCGAAAGTTCCTTTTATTTTTAAGTATGTGTTATCGAATGAACAGTAGTCTTTAATCAAGAACAATTTAGCTCTTGAAAAATACATAGATGTCAAAAATATGCATTTCATCTTAATCAACGCTTGTTTTCGTTTTCAGGTATGTCAAAGTTTTTCTATTGCCAGATAAAAGTCGACAGGGTAAACGAAAAACGAAGACAAAGCATGAAACACTGCATCCAGAATTCAACGAAGAATTATTGGTAAAGCAAGGTTTAGTTCTTGGTCTTTATTCACAAACATTATCTTAGTTTAATTTTAGTTAGTGTAAAAAACTGTTCTCGTTCTCTGTTGTTCATTCATCACTTACTACACTGACACACGTTATCTTAGTTTATATATTTTGGGTAGTGTAAAGACTTTTCTCGTTCTCTATTGTTCATTCGTCACTACCTACACTGAAACATGTTATCTTAGTTTATATTTGATGCAGTATAAAGAATATTCTCGTTTTCTGTTGTTCATTCATCTCTATCTACACTGACACACGTTATCTTAGTTTATATTTTATGTAGTGTTAAGACTGTTCTCGTTCTCTGTTGTTCATTCTTCTCTACGTACAGTGACACACGTTATCTTAGTTTTTTTTATGTAGTGTAAAGACAGTTCTCGTTCTCTGTTGTTCATTCATCACTACCTACACTGAAACATGTTATCTTAGTTTATATTTGATGTAGTGTAAAGACTGTTCTCGTTCTTTGTTGTTCATTCATAACCACCTTCCCTGTTTGTGTTTTGTTTTGCTCTTAGTTTGAGATCGGAACGATAGAGTTGTTACGACGCACACTTTGGGTAACCGTGTGGCATTATGATCGCTTTGGAAGAAATGGTTTTCTTGGAGAAGTAAGGCTACCTCTATCGGACTTTCCTGGCAGCGAAGTTAAGTCTCATTGGTATCCATTATTGCAAGCGGTAAGCCTTAAAGATTTGGTCATAGTATCTTTTTTATACAAGATAGATTTAGAATGTACGACACAGCGTTTCAAAACGACGTTGTGAATGCTACACTTTGTCTTGTTGTCATTTATTTTCACTGTGAAGATTCCGATAGCTATATTATGTATAGCTTACTATTGAAAACGCAATCAATATTTTGGCCTGTTAAAGTGGGTACGAAACTAAAATTTTTTAAATTATATTTTCATTGAACACATTAGACTTTCGAAAATAGTTTTACAGTTTCAAGCGTCAACTTGTTGTATAATATGATTGTGTGTGTAAATTTGCGGCAAATTTTTGTTTTTATTGGCACTTTAACGCACTTTACAAAACCTTTTATGAAAAGTTACAATATAAACTAAATTGACTGTAAAAGATAAAATTTTATAGGCAAAGGTCTCTGTCCGTAGATTTAAGTAAATTAAAAAGCTCTCTATATTTACAAACAGGGACCTAAGGAAGATGGTGAAAGCACTTTAACAGGACAGTTGGTCGTTGCCCTTATGTTCACAAAGGAAGAGAAAAAACGAAAAAAGAGTAATGAAAACGGCAAACTTCACGTTAAAGTTGTCGAAGCCAGAAATCTTCCTGGAAAGAACGCAGATGGATTTTCAGATCCGTTTTGCAAATGGTTTGTACAAAATATGGCATTAACTCCCATTAAGATAGGATTGTGTTGTGTTTCATTCATTTGATATTACTTCTGATGATGAAGACTCTCTTCTGAGAACACAAATCAGTGACCGTTTTTCACTCTTTTTTCAGTTGCCTTCTGCCGGATCCTTCCAAGACAAGCAAACGGAAAACGCCAGTTAAGAAACGCAACTTAAATCCAACATGGAATCATAAATTCTCTTATGACAATCTAACAATTGAAGATCTGAAACATAAAGTGTTGGAGCTGACAGTATGGGACAACCACTTGTTGTCCAATGTCTTTTTGGGCTGTGTACGTATAGGCATGGGGACTGGTAACGAGTCCTGGGATGATTGTCGTGATGAAGAGGTGAAATTATGGGAATTCGTGCTTTCTAAACCAAACACATGGGCTGAAAGTACTTTACCACTTCGTTCTAATATTGTCTGAAAAAAGTCTTGAATTCACGGACTTTTTTACTTCCATAATGAAATACGTGGTTTTCTCGCTGTTTTAACGTGCAGAGAGAAATTGTTTAGGTGTCCTTTCGATTGGAAGAATAACAATGTACATTTTCCGGAGTCATTTTGATGTCAAAAAGCGTCTTTTTCATTTTGGAAATAATGATGAAGAATTCATGAAGAGTGTTTCTTTCTTGGACGAAAGAAACGGGAAGAGTAGAGAGTATTTGACTTGTGTTGATGTCTTTGGTGAGAAAAAATAAAAATTAAACGATGAAACTTCATTAATGTTAGTTGCTCTAATAAAAAGATAGCTCAGACCAGTGTCAATTCTCTGGTCGCATTAATACATATAATTTCTAACGAAGTAATATTGTCAGTCTGTGTTCAGTAAAGAAAACCCGGTAGACTAGGACAAAGACGAATATAGTTGGGTCGTTTTCGAAATACTTAATTAATGTGATAAAATGGTAAGGTGGGGTCAATAAAATTTATCGTATCGTGGCCATCACATTTTACCAGAGGCCTGCACGTGCCCCGTAGTTGATTTCTGATCACAAGCATAATGGGCTCATAAACCACCATTAATGTTCGGACTTAGGAAAGTTTCATGAAACTCATATAAAAAGTTAGTTTTAGTAAATGATTTCAGTATGTACACAGAACTGACAAAAGAGAAGTCGAAGCAGAAAGGTTTGTGTTATTTGGTAATAGTTGATGTGATAAATAGTGCATATAACATGCTCCTTTTGACGATTGATGTTTACTGTTATACTGAACGAGTGAGTTCTAGAGGGCCAAGGGCTGGGATCAATGGGTTTGTGGTTTAATTTGCCAATGAAATTTTGTTGCACTGACTACGGAGTTCGTGCTAAATGATTTTTGGAATGACCTTCATTGAGATATCAAGTCTTCATCGACGGTTTTATTATGTATTCAACCTGAACTAAGTTTTTATCCCAAAAGTCGCCATATTTGTTAAATGACAGAGTGAAGGTGACAAAAGCGAGCAAATTGTATGAAAGTAATTCGCCAAGCGTTGTTAAATTAATATATGCTTAACTGTAATAGGTTTTTTTCTTATTTCACAAAGCATTTTTCCTGAATTTAAAATGTAAGTTTCCACAGAAAATACTCCAATTTATAAGTAATTTAGCGATTTCGTGAAAATGATAGTATTCCAAGCTCCAATATAAAGAACTTGTGAACATGCAATGTTGTAAATACAAATCTAACTCTAGTCATTATTATTTCATCAAATAACCCAATTCTACTCTTTTGCTTGGTGATTAGGCAGATTAGCATCTGTTGGTGTTGAACTCAGTTGTTCTTCTTCTTTCTCGTCTAGTGATTGGTTGCCAGAATTTTCCATGAAAGAGGACAGCAACAATGAATTTTTTGCTTTATTACTTTGGTCATGATGAGTGTCTCCTTGGGTTGTTAATGAAACAGCAGGTAAGGAGCCTCGTCTAACACCATTGTATAACTTTGGTTGATTGAATCTCATTGTTGTCAACGAGTTGGGAAGAGATGAATGGTTGATTGCAGGTAATGAACCCCTTCTTCTATATGTGTTTGCTTTGTGCACCCTATTGGTTGAAGGTTCTCCATCCTGGGATGTAACCAATGATATTCCTTGTTGGGATGTGTTAACCAATGATATCCCGTGTTGTGCAAGCAAGTTTGCATCAACCAGTAGCAATTGCGTTGCCTTTCCTTCTCTTTGTGATACACTACTTGGTTTGAAAGCAATGGCTGGCAATGATCCTCGACGCGCACGAATACCACGTGGACATATATTACTACTAAATCCGGTAGATGAGTTTGGTGCGGTATTACTGTTGCTTCCGGAGGTTAAGTTTGGAAAGGGACATGGATAGATGAATGTCTTTTCTGGTGTTAGACTGTTCGGTGTTGAAGGAGACGAAACTTGATTCTTATTCGTTGTCGCATTATGATAAGGGCTCATGTGAATAGCCGGCAGGGAACGTCTTCTGCCTCTCGTGTAGTTTGCCCGCTCCACGGTAACCTGTGCTAGTGCTGGGAGATTGCCATTTCCGTCTGAGGTCGAAAGTACGTTTGTGTCTTGTGGCAAATCTGACAGCAGCTTACGACGGCTTTCAATCGATGCTCTTCTTTTGTTTTCAAACAATCGTTCCCACGCCTCCGAGTGCTTCTTGACAAGGCGCGGTATAAGGAACATTGTTAGAAAACCAAGAAAGCTCGTGCCGCCTGCCACGTAGAAGGCCAGGTCGTATGACTGCCAGGCATCATATATCCAACCTATCAATGGTGAAAACAGTTAAAACGTAAACAGCTCTCGTGAGAGCACGAAATTTTATTAAAAAACAATGTCGATAAATAGAGGTCTGGAAGGGGGTGGGGTGAGTCCGGGGATGTTGCGTGTAGTTAAAGTACCTGCCATGGGAGGTCCCATTGTCATGGGTATAGCTATGGATCCAAAAAGATAGCCCATAATGTCGATAAATAGAGGTCTGGAGGGAGGGTGGGGTGAGTCGGGGATGTTGCGTGTAGTTAAAGTACCTGCCATGGGAAGTCCCATTGTCATGGGTATAGCTATAGATCCAATAACATAGCCCATAATGTCGATAAATAGAGGTCTGGAGGGAGGGAGGGGTGAGTCGGGGATGTTGCGTGTAGTTAAAGTACCTGCCATGGGAGGTCCCATTGTCATAGGTATAGCTATGGATCCAAAAAGATAGCCCAATGCGACCGCAAGATGTTTCATTCCAACTATACCAGATGTGACTACGGCAACCTGACCAACAAAACAACCGTCAAAGAAACCAAAGGTGATGGCGTACGCAAGCAGTAAAGCGTAATTCGTAGCCAGCGAGAGAAGAGCTGTTGTGGCGCCAATTATCAGAATGGACAATTGAAACATGTACAATCTGTTAACTCGTTTCAAGTCTCCCAATTTTCCAAATACTACGCGGCCAACTGTTGATGCGATGGAGAGAAAGGCGATGAGCCAGGCCGCATCTTTACTCTCTACACCATGTAGACTTGCTAATCTCACCTAAAGTTTGGAAAAAATGTCGAGTCTTTACTTTTTTCCAATGCAATGAGTTGTCAAGGACTGTTTCGTATTGCCAGTTTCAAACATTTTGTAAACCTTAGGTACCAATTAAGAAGGTAATAATCAATAATCAGCTCTCACTTTTAGAGCTGGTATGAGAAAAAAGATCAAAGTAAACAAAAATTGACGAGTCAAAACACGAACATCGAGAATTGACTTCGTTCTTCATATTCAGATGTTGAACTCTTGATCAACAGCGTAACCAGAAAAAAAATTTTGTACAAGGTGTATCAAAAAAGGTAAGTTCTTAGCATTCGTTGATATGCGCTTCTTTGTACCATATGATGTTTGGCCATGAAATCTTGACTGCAGTCAATCGTGACAGAAATTCAACCACGAAATAAGGAACATGCGCTCTATTGGAATTTTTGGTGCCACTCATATCTTATTACCAAAGCAATTAGCTTAGTGGCAACCAGTAGACTGCATTTTATGGCTTGCCATGGTCGGGGAGGGGGGGGGGGTGATAATCGCAGGAAAACTTACCAAATGAACGTACGGTATAAAGTAACCAAATAGGAAGAAAGAAATGGCCAAGACCCAAACAATGAATGCTTTATTTCGCCATATGTTTAGATCGACGCAAGGATGTGCCGTCTCCTTGTTTTCCTTTTGCAATCCTTTCAATGGTCGAAACAGCCAAGCGGATACAAACAACAGAATAGCGACGACACCCACGATACGAAATGTTGCACGCCAACCTGGAGGTAAGAAATGTTTACATTATTATACATAGAATGAGGAATGTTTAGCTTTAATTAGGATCAGTCAGGCGGTTCGGATCAAACGTTTGCTATGATCGTATGTGGTCTTTATTGGTGATTTTTTATAAGAATTAGTTTCCATTCCGTAAAATCATTACTTTTTCTATCTTTAGTATGAAGTTTTGAGCAAAGCATTGCAGTTCCTAATTTGGCAAATAAATACTCGATTCTCTAGGCTTATTTATTTGCTTCTTCTACAAAACGTAGTGCGATCTGTTTGATGTTTGAAATATGCTTCTTGTCGCATCTGCAAAATGGAAATTTTAATGTTTTTATGAATCAATTTTAAATTAAGAAGTAAAAACTTCCAATTAAAAAATATTGCTCTGAGCAGATTTAAACAAATACAAAAATTAAAATGTTTAGTGTTAAGTGTAAATCGTATGAATTGTTCAAAATACTTCCAAGAACAATACTGCGGTTGGTAGCTTAACTTTTCTAAAATATTTAATATTTTGGCCGTGCAATGTTTCCCACTTGTGAGAGCCTGATGTAGACTGCGCAGCGTAGTTACCAAGTTACGTACTTATAGCTAACGGTTTCTTTCGTTGAGGTCGCGCAAAAATATTCTTCAGCAACTGTTTTGTTCAATATCAGACCTGATTAAGTCTCCAAAAATTAGCTAAACAATCATAGTGATGTTCATACCCACTGTTGTTAGTAGCTTTTGTATAACTGGTGCCATGACAACGGTACCAACTCCGCTGCCACTTGTCCCAAGGCCATTGGCTAATGCCATCCGTTCATCAAAGTATTGTCCTAGTATTACCATGGAAGGTACATAGCACATACTGGACCCAGTCCCCCACATTACGCCGTATGTTGCATACATTTTTGAGACATCGTCGCGTGCGATAAATGATGACAAGAGCAGTCCAGCTACGGATAATGTAGCTCCGATCAGCGTCGTCATCTGGCATCCTATTCGCTCGCAAAGAGCGCTGGCAACGGGTCCAAATAGAAAGTTCAAACCCATCGCTATGGAACCAATCCACGCTAAAATGAACACCTGTGTATTAGCGGTAATACTATAATCTATGCACCAAAATGCAATGCGCTCGCAATTTACCATGATGCAACACGGTGCAGACAATTAATATGTTCATTAGATTTTAATGGATATATGCAGTTGTGTATTTTTCAATGTTAATTAAGTGTACAATGTCCATTTTCGGAATATTCTTCACTTTATTTTTGTCAGTCTCTCAGCTGGTGAAGAATTTATTTGCATGTATTTAAAACTTTACTCCTTAAACATATGCCTTGTTTTTTTTTAGCATTTATACTTTGACTATATATCTTTGAAAGATAGCATTAATGCGTTAATTACGACGCGCTTGTATTTTAACTTAAGTGAAATCCTTATCTAAAATTTCATCGGTTTCTTTGAAGGCTTAGTGTTTTATATCGTAAACAGACTAGCTCTTTCTATTTTGTCGGTGTCTGTTCGTAAATTAACATAAAACATTGTGTTTTTTCGTGATAACAACATGGTTTGCGGTTTATGGCTACTTCCTCCATTTACATATTTTCTGCTTGATAAACTATTTTGATACAACATTCAACTAGTTTGTATATCGATCATTTTTCACTTTCTTTTGACTAGCTATCATGGAACTGCAAAAAATCATTAGTTTGATGGATTTTGACTGTAGTGCGCACGTGCAGTAATTTTCCCTTTCATATTGACGTGTGACTTATTTTGACAGTGCATGAATTCCTTTGTCGCGATTTCCTTTAAGACAGCGGGGTCATTCGATAATTTTTACGACCGAAAACTCTACATTTTGCAGTCAGGAGAATGAACGAAAACATTTCTATACTACACTGATTTTAGTTTAAGTTTTTCTATAGTTGCACCTTAGTCCGAAACCGTTAACCCCAATGTTGATAGCATGCTCTTACAAACAAGAATACGCACACATTTTTATAGCACGTTAGCCAGTTATTCATCTTTTGACTGTTGTGTGTCGCGCAGTTGTTGCTCTTACAAAGGCCTAAATTAGCTGCAAATGGATCATTTTGCTGGCGTTGTTTTCGCGTATGTTCGCTCTCCCCAGATGAGCACTATACTATACAAGATATGGATTGAGGAGAGTGTATATATGATTGCTTGTTAACACATTAATGCTCGTTGCGAATATCTATGTCGGCCCCCCACACTAAAAGCCCCCCACGCTGAAAGCTTTTGAAAAAAACTTGTGAAAAACAACATGTAATTTTTCTTGTATATTGAGTCTTTAAAAGACGTGAATGTGTTTCAAATGCTATTACTATTTAAAAGCATTTTAAACGGTGCGTTTTTTCATTATATTATTATATTAGATTTGCATTATATTATCTGATCGGTGCTTTATCTCTTTGATTGATGGAAAAGGGAAACATCCTGGTGTAATCTTCTTTTCGAATATAAGAATCTCGATCTTAGTTTCCAACAAATGTTGGAAGGAAATCATGTTGAAGTAAAGGCATTTCATCACTTCCCATATAAACTTGTTGTGCTTCCTCGGTAGGGGTGGTGTTACGTAATATATATAGATTATATATCCATACACATCGTTTTCACTTACCTGTTTCCGCACTACTTATGTCGAGCTCTTTGATCAGGGTATTATAGATCACCCCGAATGAATTGTGTGTTCCAAAAACGACAAAATTACAAATGAAGGCACCAAAACAAACACACCAACCCCATGCACCATCTGGCTTGCGTACATTCGCCGTATTTTCTGATTCATTTACTTCATGTCCCTCACTCTCTTCGTTCTCTTGTTTTTTATTGATAACGTCGATACCATCTTTAACTTTTTTCATTTCCATCGAATTTTCTTCGCTGTTCGTCATATATATGTTTGTTGCACCCGTACGGCATCGTAAATTTCTTCGTTGTTATTCAAACTAAACCATGTGACACTCTTTGTGTTTTGCACACCAGTTGGTCAAACATGTTTACAGGCCGTGTAATTAAGGGACACTTCTTTTCGGCCATCTTGCTTTCGCTGGCTTTTTGAGTGAACTTGGTTTGCAACGGTTTTCTCATTCTTAAACTAGGGCCTTATTAATTGCACGGTGATCTGTTGAAAACTTACAACATTTGCTTTTCGAAACGAACAGTTTATTTTCTCTTAAGTCATCCATTCAAGTTTTACTTTAAAGTTTACTTACACTGTCTACATTTAACTGTCAAATTTGTGTGACGATTGGTTAACGAATGTTTTGTTGGAATCCTTTTTTTTTTGCTAATCATCATGATGCCATATTACAGTTGAGAACATGTTATAGTTACTTGACGTCACATATAGTTACATAGTTACATATAGTTACGTGACGTCACATATAGTTACGTGACGTCACATATAGTTACATAGTTACATAAAGTTACGTGACGTCACATATAGTTACACAATTTCATGGTTAGATAATTACATATATACGTAATTTTATTGGTACATGATGTAATAGTTACATGATGACATGCTTACATGACGCTTATCACAGTTGAGTGCTGCTGCTACGGTTTGTCGGACCAGATCCTGTTGTGGTAACTGCCAAGCCAATGTTTGTGAAGCCTTTCATCGGTGATGGTTCTTTTGGTTTATTGAAATGAAACACCTTTTTGTAAATCGAAATGTATTCTTTTCGAAAGTGTGAACTGTAAACACCATACAACGCCGGATTCCAGCAGCTGTTTGCAATGGACAACATTATGAGACAGTAGTGCAGCAAACTATTTGGATCCACAACTCCGTACTTACTCATCATGAAAGTGATTCTGCTTGGAATCCAACCTAGCACTATGGCCGTCGACGCTGCTAGTGCTACAATTGTGACCTTCTTGGTGGGACGATGTTCAGCTGACATAACTGGTAGACGGCGCAATGTCACAAGTATGTGTATGTAGAGGCCAATCATGACCAGCACAGGTAGCAGAGTTTGTAATGCGAAGTCCATCCATGGCAGTTCATCGTTGGCGACACTTAAGGATGTCCATGTACACGATTGCTTGCCAGGGATATATTTGGCTCGGAAGAGGGTAGTGATATTTATGGCAATTCCCCAAATCCACACGAATACCACAGCTTTTATCGCTTGCTCTGGTTTAATCGCACGATAAAGGTGGGGCTTGGTGACTGCGAGCCAACGCTCAACTGTGAGAGCGGCGCACGTGTAAATGGAGATGTAACCAAGAGTAAAAAGGATCCACGCTGACCAGATTGTCCGACAGAATATCTCTCCTCTTGTTTCATTATCAGGTGTAGCGGGCAAGTAGAGATATCTGCTGATTATCTAAAAACATTAGCAACACGTCAAGTTAGCTCTTTTCTGTCAAATTGCTTTTTACTCGATACCAAGAAGTCATGATTTCGGTTTGCTGTTTTAATGCAAGAGTTAGTTTCCCTCGCAGTCACTTAGGAAGCATTCATTGCGTCTATCCGAAAGAGTGCGTCTCAGGTTGATCGTGCTTTGCACTCTTAGATGACTCTTAAGGGAAAATCAAAGTTTGAGGCTTTCGTAGATGGTAGAGTCGTATAATTACGCCAAAACTCTTATAAATATTTTAATGTTAGTTACAGAAATATTTTACAAAATTTTTAGCGAAACAAATGGGCGAATTCTCAACGTGTATTATGTACAAGCACGAAAGTTTCCGTGTGAGCGTATGAAAACACTAGGCGCGCAAAGTAACTGACACTCATTCTTTAAAGTTTCAAATCGAAATATATTGCGAACTCCACACTTCTGAATGGTATTTGAACAACAGAATAGCATGATTCAACACAAACACTGATTCAAACGCATGATCTTGAATATTCTTCGATATTATGATGTTCATTTTAGCTCTAATTAAAACTTGTTTTTAGTTTGCTTTAATTAAAAGTTTTTGTAAGAGTTTGTCAATTAAGTCAAAGGGCTTATTCCCTAGCTAGCTTGCTGTAAACAACATTTATATTAGCGTGTAGGGTGTAAAAACTCTTTGCTGTCATTAGTTGTGGTGTTGCTTTAAGGTAAATTTCAAATTTTGTATTTTCTGTGATTATTTTTACCCATTCATCATCTTTCCGATATTATACAATCATTTGCAAAAACTACCTAAGTAAACACTCTAAAGTAAAGATTTTTGCTTCATGTAAGAATTTTCAGTTTTGTAACTCGGATATCTGCTAACTTAACTATAATTGTTACACGAAAGCCCCCTTTTCTTCCTCAAACCTAAAATGAGAATGGACAGTACATACCAAAAATATTGCGGACAGGACATCTGTTAAAGCCAAACTGAATATAAAGATGTTGTAAGGCTGTTTCAAGTAATGCCGTTTCGTGGTAAGAACAAATAGGACCAGTGTGTTGCCTGCCAATGCGAGGACGGCAATTATTGAGAAGAGAGTGTATGTCCACCATGTGTTACCTTCGAAAGCCATGAGGAGACCTTACCTCGATCTGTGGGATATTAAAAGATGAAATGTTTACAAATATAGATCAAATTTCCGAATGTCAATGTCTCGACCATATGGTCTCGACCGATAACAACTTTCTACATCATCTGTAACTCGTGCGTTATTATTGGTCAAGAAATTAACGACGAAATTGAATCGTATGTTTTCCTCCGCACAATACATAAATTTGCACTTTTTAATGCATCCCATCAACACCTACAAATTTTCACGTTAAATTTTTTTTCCGAAAAAGAAATTTATCGGTGCGATGTGAACTATCTTTTTTGCGTAGAGCTCTCGATGTTGATGGAAATTGATTATCAAAAATAAAACAGTCTTATCACGGAAAGCTATCACCAGCTCCATCTTAATTGAGAATTCTTCTTTCGTGGACTTTTCAAGAATATGTAAACATTACAAAATGCGACGTCTACGTTTTGTATGAATTGTGTAATTGAAATTCGTAAATTTATCAATTTTTAAATGTATTACTTTCGGTTGCCAAGGTTGTGACTAAGTTTTAAAATGGGTTTGAAACATCTTGTTGTTGCAAGTTTAGCTAATATCGCGCGCGAGGAACGCGAAGTTATTAACCAATCAACATTCTGGACATGTTACTATTATCCTTGATGTACCTAAAAGGCTGTTTTAATGGCATAATTAAGTAAGTTTTTTATATTTAAATATTGCTTATCTTTGCTGAGTTGCGAATGGCTGTAAATTTTATTAATGGGCGTATGGGGAATTTTGAGGCGACGATCTATACAAGCAGATTGCTAACGAACTGAAATCGTTAATTTGCGCAAAAAATGCCCTGAGCATCCTAGATATGATCTACTCGATAAAAATGCTTAACTTATTCTTACCTTATTATCTCAATCGAAATTCTTAATATAAAGACGCTGAAGAATAATCAGATCAAAATGTTGAACATGCACAGATTTCGAAAAGTACGTAAAATCCAAGTTAAGAGTATTTTCCATAACTAAAGCGGTTACGAAATCACGAAGTCAACCGATGTCTGTCTTATTTACTGTAAAAATATGCCGTACATCTCGTGTAAGTTGGAAATATGACATTTCTGCCTCGGAAGATCACAAAGGAAAATTTATTTGCACGGTTGACAAGATTTTCAAATTTTTGACAAAACCAAACGTTTTAAAATCTCATGCTGTAGCTCAAATCATTTCCTGACCTCGTACCGAGAAAGTAAATCCCAGATGTTTAAAAGTTTCAAAAAACTATACTGTCTAAATTGTACTGTACCTTTTCATAGTCTATTGTGTGAACAGCTCTCTGTTTTACTTACTCGAAAATCAACTCAATTGACATTTTAATGACGCTTTAATATCCCATGAGCTATTTAATATTAAGTTCCCCATTTAAAACGAGCCAATGAGGACATGTGTACTTTTCGGTATAACAAAACAAGTGCAGACAGGTGTTTTTACTGCAAGTTAAACGTTTAGAATACTGGGTTTGTGTATATAGAGCTAATTTTACGACTCGTCAACTTTGCAGATATAGAAGAGTGAATAAGTGTATTCCGACTTTGGTTTTTATTTATCGATCAGTTTTGATTTCACGGCTTTGTGTATTTAGTGTAAATTGCTATGGCAACTCGACCGTTAACTGGCCAATCGTTGCATGTGGCATTCCAGGCAGGACTTTCTGCTGTTTTCTGACGCAGTCCAGTGTAGCCATTCGGCAAGTTTTAAGTGTGCCATTTAGGTATACATGTGTCAGAACATTATCATTAATTTCTTTATTCATTTCTTTAGAAATCTGCTGTTCTCGCAGTCAGTGAGCAAAGAAAAATTTTAACGTATGCTGTTTTGAAAAATCGGTATGCGCTGTTTATTAGGCCTTTCCTCGGTGGCGTAGCCATTTTGCGAATTTAGTCCTACTGTGGACTATCCGCCTTGCCTTACTTACATCATTATATACAATATACATCAGTAGTAAAAATACGGCAGTAACCATTAATGTCACGTATGAGAACAACAGCCGTGTTTTTGATGACTATTGTTGAAATGCTCGTTATAACCATTTGGTTTTGAAGCATTTTTCATAAGATAAAGTTTCCTTATCTATCGTGAAAAGTGCAACCGGACTGCAAGGCATTCACCTATGAACGTGTTAGATGTTTTTCTTTACAAAAAGTGGAGCTGTAATTTCGTTTTAATGTGCCATAGCTCATAATATACGCCTATGGCTGCGTCGACAACCTCTCCAGCTTATTCGCCATCCTCTGCCATTTCTTTTCCCTGCTTTGCTCCACTGTATTTCAACTAAACATAATTCTTTCGGCTTTTTTATCCATCTTACAATAGAAGCAGTTTATCAAGACCTTTTGTTTCACTTTAAAAGGTAAAGATTAAAGAATGTCCGTTGATTTTTAAGCTTTGTGTTTGCAATTAAGGAAAAACATCGTTGTCAAAGCTTGTCTAAATCCATCGCAGTCTCTCACGTGATATCCCACCTCTAATTTTCTCGTCAATTTCCTCGTAAAAAAATGGCCCTTTAAAATTGTAATTTTATTTGCTTTCGTAAAGAATTTTTTATTACTAACCAGATAGCGAGGTGGATGCGGTCAAAGTCATTCAATCAAAAGCAATCATGCTCAGCTCGTTAAAAATAAGCTGTAACTTTCCATAGAGCGAAATGCTCAATTACTTAATTGTGACGTTGCTGACATGTAACATCTGGGCGAAATCACACGTGGCGAATGCATTTATTTGATAGCGATGTCATGTCGATTGCTATGTATTTAGTAATAAATACATGGCAATTAACATGATATCGCCATGTAATCGTAGCTCTTGTAAATCTTAACATTCCGCAATTTATTTCTGTACTCGACTTATGTCATATACTGCCATTGTGAACATTGTCATTACAGTGTTATTAATAGCAAAGAACTACCCGTCATTGACTATATACATTAAGACTACTTTTAATATCCTGTTGTACTTAATCTTTTCATCGTCGCAATCTATTCCTGTGCAATTGTTTTGAAATTGCATGGACGTCCCTCTGAACTGTCACTTCACAACCACCACCCACCCCCACCCTCCAAAAAAACACTGAACTATTTCATTTTGCTAAGTTTGCAGCGTCAAATGATTTTCCTCAGGTTAATGCGACTCCTTCTCGATTCCCTGTAAAACCTGCCTATCCATCGAGGTCTTTCTCTCCCCATGTTCAGATCATCCTGACAACTTTCTTGTCGGCGAGGTCACGTGACTGACTTCACTCGATTTCGATGTCTTTCTCGAGACACGAGTGCCCGATGATGGCTTCCCTCTGACAGGAGATGTTATTGGACTTGCTTCGAATCCTCGGCTACCTGAGCGATGGCGTCTATTTAGGTCGCTATTTCGTGTTCGCCTTCTCGAATTCCGCTCCTCTTGTCGTGCTTTTCTCGCTTCTTGTCGTTCCCTCTCCTTCTCCTCTTTTCTTCGTCTTTCCTCTTGTTCTTCTGCTTTGCGCTTCTTCTCCTCCTCGGCAAGTTTTTCACGTTGTTCCACGCAGGCGCGTGCTTCCTCTATCATATTAGTTGCCTGAAAGCGAGAGACAGGCAAGGACAATTAACAATATGATTTCTCGACTTTAAGTAATTAATCTTCCCACGCACGCTGTCGTTCAACGTTAATTTCCGGCTAAATTGTGCATGAAATGAGGTTTATTTGCGTGTGAAACACCTGCTTGAAGATAACAAATGTACAGACAGACGAAAACATTTGATTGCAACCAACTTGAGATAGAGCGTCGTTCAAATATGCATCGCAGACATAACTTTCTGTTTTGAAAGACTCATTTTTGTAGACTAATTTTTATTTTCATTGCATTGCACTGTGAATGTTCACGAACACTTATTTTTATTGAACTTGTTCTTATTTTAATTCCATTGCACTCTAAGTGTTCACAAACACTCATTTTTACAGAACATATCCTTATTTAATTCCTTTGCCATGTATGTTATCATGCTTTAAGGCTCGATTTCAAAGGCAAAATTTCTCAGAGCAATGGCGAAATCGACTCACGCGAACTAATTCTACGCATGCGTGATGTCGACAAATGTGATTTCGTGAGAAAGAGTTTATCTTCGCCCTGTGAGTAGAGTTTGTTCATTGTGCTCACTGCCAAGACGAGTGAAGAAGTGAAATGCAATAGAATCACTCGTATGCAGCTATCTGCATGTTGTGCATGCATCATTTGTTGCGTTGAATTTCGCTCTGGGAATCACAGTCAGCAAGAGAGAGATTTTTATGTATACTTTGCAAACTATCTTCGTCAGCACTTAGTACTTACCCAAACGTAGAAAGTTGCTGCCCCCGCGCTTACATCACGTATTGTATCTAACTGATGTTGCTTTAAGTAATGGCGTTCTGTGTAATCGGCTATAGAGTCGCTCACTTTAACCGGATCGAGTGACGTCACCTGTCTCTTTAGTCCTTCTTTGCCAGTTTTACCTAGCAGCGCCTGCATGTTTTTCCAGTTTTTCAGCGGTTTCTCGTTGTAGCTCAACAAAAGATAGGTGGCTATCATCACCTGATGCACAGCCGGTGGAGGGTTTTGATAGCTGCGTATTTCAGAGATTGTGCTTTGCTTTAATTCAAGGATTTCTTGTCTTATCTTTTCTAGTCGTCTTAGTCTGTTGGCGAGCCTCTCTCCTTCGCTAATTTCGATGCCATAGTATTTCTCCAAGCCTGCTTTTTTCACGTCTTTTATCGCTGTTTCTAAGCGTTCTAGATTCCTTCCCTGACATGCCTGTTTAAGGTTAACACCAAGCTGTACTTCATGTTGGGTCTCCTCGGCTTCTCGTATTGGTGCTTTTAATTCTAGGAGTAAATGATTGATAATGCATGAATGCTCGTCCAAATTCTTAAATTCATAACGAGTCAATCACGTGGCGCCCTCTTGCTCCATTACAAACTCAACCTACTTGCTATTTTACTTTCTTTAGCTTCTTTAATGGCCTTGTCCAACTTTTCAATTCGTCTGGATTTCTGTGCAGCCTTCAGTGATGCTTTGTGTTTCTTTTCTTTATTTGACTGTGCCTCAGCTAGCGCTCTTTTCTCCGCTTCATATGCTGCTTTGCGACTTTCCTCATCGATAGCCTGTACACGAAAAGAAACACTTATCTGTATTATCATACTTTAACTACATTTGAGGCATGAACTAAAAAGTTTGGGGGCTATAGTTCAATGGTCTTATGACATAAAATATCTCAAAATTACATCAAGTTTAGTTCTGTGTTCTTCCTCATGATTTTCTTTGCATCGTACCAATGTCAAATTAATAGAATAGTTAATTTTGATTGGTCCATTGTGAAGCATGAACGCTGTCATTGGTCCATTGTGAAGCATGAACGCTGTGGTTGGTGGATAGTGTAGCCTAAGCACTGTGATTGGTGATAGATGAAATGATTCTTCAATACAACAGTTGCTAGTGCCAAAAATGAAGCGTTTTCAATACCTGTTTTGCGGCCTCGGAAGCCAACCTTGCTGCCTCAATAGCTTCTTCTTCAGCTTCTGCAGCAACATCTGCCATTTCCTGGTCTTTTTCGGCCTCAAGGTTTTCCAACATTTCTTTTTCGGCTCTGTCTATTCATCAGATACAAGGTCAGCTTACAATGTGCTTTACTTTTAACGCTAGAGACTGCTACTTCTGGTATATAAGTCATATATTTATGAACTTAGAGCGATTATGTGATGATCATTATTAATGATACGTTGTCTTCTTTTGCGGTGTTTTGCTAATCTTCTTTAATGTGCTAAAAAGAAGGATTGTCTCACCTCGTTCCAGTTTTTCTCGTTCTTCGTTCTGCTGACGTAATAGCTCTTCCTTTTTCCACTTTTGACTTGCTTCCCATTCCTCTTTTTTTCGTTCTTCTTTGGCTATCTTCCTCCGCAGCTGCTCCTCCCGAAGTTGTTCTTCCTTTTCTGCTGCCTGCCTGGCCTCCTCCTCCCGCCTGCGGGCTGCTATCTCTTCCAGACGTCTTTCTAAATGATTGAATCGAAAGCAAATACGTTAGATGCTACGTCACGGAGACTTCGATGTCATAATTTGCTTCGCGTGAATACATTTATTTTATTGTCGCAGTTTAAATTGTTCGTATTCTTATTTTTACCTTCTTCTTTCGCTTTTTCTATAAAAGAAAAACATACAGGTGAAGACCGTGTCAAGTTTATTCAGTTGAAAGAATAATTTTCAGTTTTCAAACATATTACTTTTTTCTGTTTTGATTCTTTCTTGTTCTTTTTGCTTCAACATTTTTTTTCTTTCTTCATTCCTTTGCTTTTCTTTCATGAGACGAATCTCTTCTGCTTCTTTCTCTGAAATGAATTATACCGCAAGTCATTTGCAGGTATGCCTTTCTCAATTTAGGTAAACAATCTGGAGGCCTCAGACATTTCATCGAAGGCTGGTAAACTTCGTGTGGGTTTTGGCATTTAGTGAGCAAGAGACAGACTTTTATGAAGGCTTGAATTCGGCAGTTTGTTTCAGTAATGTTTATCAATATGCTGCCAGAGAATGAAGAGGATCGCTGTTCATTTTGTATGATTTGTCATTTTTGCATTCATATTATACATTCAACTGCCGTAGCTTTTGTCTATTAACCTTTTCTCTTCAATTCTTGCGCTCGTTGGAAGCTCTCCTCTTCTTCTTGTAGTTTAGCTTGATTAGCTTTTACGAGCTCTGGATATGAATAAATTGCGTCAATTTTTTAGTTTGGTGGTCGCGTTTCTTTGATATGGATTATATTCACAAGGGAGATTGGACACAAGTCAGGTAATTACTATAGTATACGTGCAAGCGATCTTTTATCATTGTATAATAATATTATCATTATTATTTGTTTCAAAGGAAGAAAGAGAAGATAAAAAAAACTCTTGTTGGTATATGAATGGTCCACAAAATTTGGCAAAATCTGCACTGAAAGATATTGTATAGAATAACTCTTCAATAAACATCGTTAATACCTTGCCTTTCTTCGTCTTCTTTCATGGCATCTTGCTCGAGCCATTCAACCGAGGGTATATCACACAACTCTACTTCGATTTCGGCAAAACTTACTGCGCTCCCTGGCACTCGACGTGATTTAATAAATTCAAGCCATCTTCTATGCGAGAAGAAATCATCATAGACAGCTTGGAAGAGAAATTGTGCATCTTTTTCGCTGATAAAGCCAAGTTGTTTGCCGTCTAGCATCGCAAATTCCCACTCTAGTTCCTTCACCAGAAAAAATCGTCGATCCATTTCGTTTAAAACGTCCATGAATTCACAAATATCGCAGGTTTCAGCAGCGCATATCTCCGCTATTGCTGCCTTTGTTTGACGTATACTCAAGCCACCAGGCCGTAGAGACGCGTACACATTTCGCAGTTGCTCGGCATTTAATTCTCCCATGTTTTGCTCGTCTGCGTCATTAAAAAAAATTGCTAAAAGCTGATCCTTGCTTACTGAATCAAATAAGAAATTCATTTTCGCCATTTTTTCATTTGTTTTTGTTTACATAGCAACGAAAATAGTTCAACTATTGACACTATTAAGTACTTTCGTTGATTAGTTTAATGAATTCACCCAACTGCGCTCAGTTGCGTTAGCGATTGGGTATAAATAGACGGCTTTAGACGCACAATAACTATTTCAACTAAGTTATCAGTTACATAAAATTGTTAGCTTGTCATGAAATAGCGCCGCAGGGTTCACTAGTCATCTTCTATATCAGAAATTTCTAATTTCATAGCGGTTACATAAATTGTATCGTAAATCTCGAAAAGTTGCTTGGAGCAAAAGATATCTACGCAAGCTTGATAACTTTCGTTTGAGATCAACGCTACGGCAAAGAAAGATTGCAAAGTGAAAGTGTCACTTCATATACTTAGCTAGCTTCCTTGAGTATTTAAGATCCCCCTTGAAGATTATAATGTTTACCGTATGGGCAGTATATTTCTTGATAAGTTCGATGTAAGCAACATGCACCCAACGATACGCCTGTGTTCATAGAATTCGCACTCGCAATAATCAATGGAAAACTCATTTCTCCATTGTTGCCAAAATTTGTGTTAAACTATTTCAAATCAATCAATTAGTGAAGTAAAGAACAGTCTTTGTATTTTTATATGGGGTGATTTTGAAGCTCCACTCAACGAGTGTGAGTGAGCTTTTAGAATTCAGGCAATTGTCTGTTGAATTTTGATTATCGGAAACACAATTATTTCAAATTGCCCCGTTAAGCCCCCCCATTGAGGTACTTAACCAAGATATGTTTCCATGACAAGAAATAGGACACATGTAGAATATGTCTTTGTAAATGACCAGAATTTTCCACTGTGCCTATTTTTTTGTCAATCATTACGAGTTATAGCAATCCAACAATTCTTTGTTTAAAACAACAGGAGTGTCAGGTTTTCAAGTAGTAACCTCGCCACCGGAAATTTGTTCATTTCATCTGCGAGAACAAAAAATTACATATGGCAACCTTGTCACAAAAAATTATTGTGACTATGTCACAATTGCTATTCGACGCTCTTTGAAAACACATTTTTTATTCAATATAATTCTCCGACATGACTTTGAAATTTGTGTCATTTGCTTAAGGAAGAACAAATAGAACAATAGTTAATTTTCTGTGGAATGCGAACACTGTGTATGTGTTTCTAAAATCCAGAGCAGCTACATAATTTGGAGTTTGATATTCAACAATTATTATTAAAGAACCCCCTCCCTCCCGTACCCCGCCAACAATCATCGAGGTTGATTGAGTACGACACTGACTCCAATGGAAAAAGTAAAATAGCAAAAAGCGCAACGCTTCGAAAGACAACTGAAAACACAGAAAACCGTAACTTCATGTTAGCAGATAATATACTGGTTGCTACAATAATGCTGCCTTTATACCGAACTCGCGCATCACGATATCTTCATTTGTTTTAAATGAATAAATGTTCGGAGTAAATGCTGTGTCAGCTAAGTTGATAGAGGTGCACATACATGAATTCACTAAGGGAAATAATGTATCCCAGCACATCACAGCATTCTAAAGAATGTTTTCCATGTAACACACAACGACAAATACCACGCAATTGTTTACTTTGTGTAAACGCATGAAAATATACAATTAAAGATACTAGGTGGGTTGAAAACAATTAAACAACACAAAAGTAAAAGTTACACGGGCTTGAAATAATCAATATGATTTGCGCGTTATACTCAAGCGATTCAAAAGATTTCTTATGGTTTTTGAGTTCATGTCAAGTTCACACGAAACGTGACAAATTCATTTCAATCAGCTTGTACACAATATGAGATCGGACTGTATTAGCTACTCAGTGTAACACTTGTAAATACTTTATTAGAGCATCGTTATCAAAGATTTAAATGCCTCAAACCATTTATACATTAACATTTGAAAAAACTTACCGTGAATGGTAGAAATGTTATGAAATGACTTTGAGTATTTCTATGTTGGATGTCGATCTGCCTCAGACCCCGTCTAAACTGAGAGGTTCACGGAATTGCTGGGAACATGCTTTATGATCTACTCATGACCAAAAAGCATTCCCACAATGCATTGTGCTGAACAACAATCTAAGCACTCTTTCTGCAGATATTGGGCTGTCACGCTCGCTCGCTTTAGGTCCGCTCGCTCCGCAGCAGATTAATTGTTGATACCTGTGGAAATTTAAAAGATAATGAAAAATAACCTTTAAATTGTACATCTCTAAACTTTGATATCAACACAATCGATAAAAAGGTTTGCATAAGCCAATCTTGCGAAAGTGTTTCATGCTTGTTTCTTCATCAACATCTTATATTTTTCACACTCGTAAAAAACGGACGGATCTCTTTTTCATTAGATCACGTACAGGATAATTAAACTACCATAAAAGCTGTCAGTCTATCACGGCATTATACAGAAGCGACAATATTTTAGCTGACATGACATGGACTCCGCAGTAACAGCTTTGAAATATTTATTAGTTGAGAGCCCTTAGAGGGATCTCATTAATTTCTGATCTAAGATATTTCGCATCTTAGTCGTTGACTTGAAAACTTTGCTGTGAATTGAAAATTTTACTTGTAAATTTTTTGTTAAAATAATCTTGAGATATCCATCATACCCAAATGAGTTGTATGTGCATGATTATTATACTTGATGTTTTCTTATGCGAACATTGGTGTGCTAAGCTTTTGAAGCAGGGGGTTTCGTTCTTTGACAGTTATCTTTGACTTCTTTCAATCAATCATAAAGTTATAACTGAAGCCGATATTCTATGATGTTTGAATTTGATGTTGCTTCAAAACATAATCTCGTTTTGTCTTTGCAATGTTAAGTGTTGCTGACAAGCAATTTTAAAAGAGAAATGTAATTTCTTGTGGTTTGAATAAACATTCACACAAAAGCCTGTATAACACAATAAATGATATGCGGAAGTTATTCCAGAAATCGATACGAACTGTACCCTCAATCAATTCACTTTTCCCATGATTGGAGGGCCAATATTGATTCCTTTGAGATTACAAAACATAAGCGTTACTCAGGGATACTCTAATTGTAGATAAACGTTACTCAAGGTCATTCTAATTGAAGATAAACGTTACTTAAGGTTATTCTAATTGAAGATAAACGTTAGTTAAGGTTATTCTAATTGAAGATAAACATTACTTAAGGTTATTCTAATTGAAGATAAACGTTACTCAAGGTTATTCTAATTGAAGTCAAACGTTACTCATGGTTATTCTAATTGAAGATAAACGTTGCTCAAGATTATTCTAATTGAAGATAAACGTTACTCAAGGTTCTCAATATAAATATTAGAGCCCAACAAATAATTTTGAACATAGTCATAAACAATTTGGTTTTATGAAATTTATTAAAATAGTGACGTTTCGTCTTGACTATTTTAATAACTTGACTATTTTTGTCTTCACTATTTTAATAAATTTCATAAAACCGAATTGTTTATGACTATGTTCAAAATTATTTGTTGGACTCTAATATTTATATTGAGAATCCGTTTCCCGCCTGGCACTTCATTGGTTACTCAAGGTTATTCTAATTGAAAATAAACGTTACTAAATGTTGATAAACGTTGCTCAAGGAGTCAAATTCACCCTAAAGGTTATTAAAAATTAACCTTAACCTTCATACGTTTGCTCTTAAAACTTATTCTAAAAATTATTGTAACTTACTTAATTAGCGTTGATTAATGTTATCACATTATTCACTAATTCTCTATTCTCTGTTTTTGCTTGTTATTTGAAATCCGCGAATTTTGCGTGGAAAGCATGTGTGCTTGACATATTTCTTACACCTGTAAATACTGTTTTCTCACGCAAACGCAAAAAAATTGCCAGCTAGATATCATTTAATACTGTGACCTGCTTGCGAGCTAGTGGGTTGGTTTGCAATTCGTAGGTCGAGGTTATCTCGGAGGTCGCTAACAAAGCAAGATACAGATAATAGAATTGAATCCTAAAGCTCACTTCCTTTGACTTTTTCAATCATATGTATACATCTACATACATTTGTCGAAGAAAAAAGTAAAAACAACTACACTTTTATCACGACAAGCCTGTTTCGTGATTGCTCACTCGTGAGGGGATATAATAAAAGAATATTCACAGTTATAATATTTGTGTTAGGTTACATATTTGTTTGATATTGCGTAGAAGTATTTTCTTCCTATGGCGAAGGGACGGTACTAGTTCATTGCGTTTTTTAAGGGAAGATAACTCAGGCTGGCAGATTATAATGAGTTTTTCTTTGAGGCAGAGGTTGTATCTTTTTCTGGATTTGTGGTACATTCCGCAGGAAGAGATGACACGTTAGGATATGGAGTGATCGATGTTAGCCTTTTTTAGCGTCCATATGTGTTTACTAAGTTCGGTTGTGTTTCTGCGCTTTTCTTGTCGGGAATAATGTTGTGTGTATCCCGTATCTTGTTTTTAAGACGTTTTCAGAAAGTCCACTTGTATGTTTTACGAAAGAATCACGAAACAGGCTCGTCGGGATAAAATTGTAGTTGTTTTTTACTTTCTTCTTCAACATATATATTAAGCTCTACTTATATGTATTGCGCACTCTATAACGGAAACAATCATAAACGAAAAACAAAAACTTCCTATATTTATAAATATATGTCGTGATATTGAAAAAAAATCACGAAAACTACAGATTCATCCCGACAAGCCTGTTTCGTGATTGCTCACTCCCCTAAAGAGTGAGCAATCACGAAACAGGCTTGTCGGGATGAATCTGTCGTTTTCGTGATTTTATCAACATCACTACATGTATTTACGCTCTGCTCTCGGGCATCGAGCACTGTTTTAAGGGCTCCTTTTAAGGGCACTGTTTTAATCCCCTCTTAAGGGGATTAAATCCCCTGAGAGTGAGCAATCACGAAACAGGCTTGTCGGGATGAATCTGCACTTTTCGTGATTTTTTTCAACATCACTACATATATTTACGTTCTGCTCTCGGGCATCGAGCACTGTTTTATACGGAGAATCATCACATATAAACTTCTTATATATTATATATATATATAATCCCGGGCACATCATTGCACATATGGTTACATATGCTAACAAATGTACACAATACATAATATTTACAATTATATTAAGTCTTCATCAAAACTCGATGATGATTAAAAAGAAGGTACCAAGTGCAAGTGAATTGCTTAACGTCTACGTTTTGTTGTTGTTGTTGATCCTGTACTAGAATGTGGTGAAGGAGGTTGTGATGTGTTCGAGCCTCTTGTACGTTTCCTTTTGGGTGATGTGTCAGGTGTACTTGGCCTCGGTGTGGTTGGTCGTGACCCTGATCCACTAAGAGATTTTGATTTGTGACCTGGACTGGGCCCAGGTGTATCTTAAACACGAGAAATTATAAATGAGGGCTGAAACAAGATATCAAAAATCTTTAGAAGTATTGAACGAATTACCTTCTTCGTTGTAATCCGAGCTCGCCTGAGGTTCAAATATTTCATCAGGCAAATTGAATTCATTTTCCTCATTGGGGAATGGGAGGCCTTCAGTTTCATTCTGAAAGGTGACTTATAACTTGATGTTTTGCAAGTTATTTTTTCTAAGATCTGAGCAGAAGGAAGGATCGTTGGCAATTAACATTCATACATAAATTATCACGTACATACCAATGCTTGTAGATTATAAAGCTCTTGCAAATGTTGCCATAGTTGTTTCGAAGAGATGTTTCTCTTACCAGTTGCAGTGATAAACTTGTCGTGTATACAAGCCATGTGGAAATGTCTGTTTATACCTGAAGACAGCACGTCCATTGGTCCGGATAGGATCATGATTTCAAAGTAGATATGTTTCGACTCACCTGTCGGCTTGTGTCCTTTCATTGAATGAAATAATGTCACTTCTAATTCTGGTGTCCAAACTAACACTTCTTTGGCGTCCATCTTGAATTTAGGAGTTAATACTTCATCTTATTTTATTACTATTGTATAGTTAGATAGCGAGGTAGCCTTACCCTGAGGTAGCAGACTATTTGCAATCGCTCTCTTTCACTGCATCGATAGCGCTACTCTTAATCTTTCAACCTTGCTTTTTTGAAATCAGTGCCTCTACCGCTCAAATATAAGTTTAACTAGCGTTCCAATAACCAAATGCAGGTTTTGACTTGGGTCATTTGGTTTTTAAGATCCTAACAGTTCCGTCTACTTATCGTTAAAAACATGGAGTAAAGACCTTAAACCTCAATTTTATTTACTGAAACACAACTGTATTCTGCAGAGTTTTTGTGCGAAAAATCTCACGTCAAGAAAAATTCGTCAGTACCTAAATATTTCATAATTATTAGTAAGAGTAACATCTAGTTTGGCAAAGTATTGGAATCTTGCGCAAAAGCAACATGGTGTTGGTGCTATGTTTTCTATTTTGTCTTCAAATACATTCTTGTCTCAGTTTCAATCTAACCATACTGCACACCAATGATGTGCACGGTAGATTTGAAGAAACGGACGAGAAAGGTTTCGCTTGTGACGCAACAATGGAACGCAATTGTTACGGTGGAATGGCGAGAATTGCGAATGCCATAAACGAAGTTCGACGTCGCAAAAGCAACGTTGTCTTAATAGACGGTGCAGATCGATTTACCGGAACGTTGTGGAGCGAAGTTTACAAAGGAAATGCAACAGCAGTGCTCTTTAATGCCCTAAACTATACCACTATTGTAAGAATTTGCTGATTTTGAAGTATTAACTACTAATTGAATTTAAATTTGTTACAGTTTTACCGTAAATGATTCAATAAATGCTTTGTATCCAGTAAACATCACCTTGTACCCCCACCCCCCCAGGAAGCGTGTGTTTGTTTTAGATGTCTCTCTCAAAACAATGGCTTTCTCTGTTAGATATTCCCCCATTTCCCATCACATTAGTATTCACCATTGGGATAATATTACTATAGTTTGTTGTCAGAAACCATACGTTTAGTATTAGTTTTGTTTTCATTTGTTCAAACTTTAGACATTGTGCATAGAGATGTATTATGTTTGGGTGAAAAAATGACACTAACATATTTGCTGCATTTGTAGACACTGGGCAACCATGACTTTGACTATGGACCAAAAATACTAACTCAGTATCTAAGGAAGAACAATTGTCCTGTTGTTGTTTCAAATATTGACACCACCCAAGAACCATTATTCGATGCCAGTGTATACCTGTGGTTAGAAACAGCGTCGTAGTTAATGTTTCTGGTGAAAAGATTGGTTTTGTCGGCTATGTTTTGATTGAAACAGTGAAGTATTTAAATTTGACTTACACCAGAAATCTAAATCTAAACCCAATCTAAAATCTTTTAACAGATTTTTTTATGGCTTCAAAATTTTTAGTGTGTCAGAACCTGGTGAAAATATCAAGTTTATGCCATATGTTAAATCTGTGCAGAAAGCTGTTGATGACCTGCTGACAAAGGGTGTGAACAAAGTCATTGCAGTTGGGCATGCTGGTATTCGGGTTGATAAGGAAATTGCAAAGAAAGTTGTTGGAGTTGATGTTGTTGTTGGTGGCCATTCAAACACATTCCTTTATTCAGGTAAATGTTAAAAAACTCTTGTTCAAATATTGAATTAGATATCACTGAAAAGTATGGTCTTCACCCAGGAGTATGCTACAAAATCTTCATGAAAGAAATATATGAAAGTAGAATTTTGTCAGAATGCCCCATTGTATATAAAACTGTAATTCAAATGTTTAATGCAAAACTTATATGATGATACATTAAACATATCAAGTCTATAGAACATCTATTGTCAATACCATAATACATTCTGCAATGATTGCCTGAATAGAACTTAACTAAACTAAAATGCAAACTGTGTAATCTTAAAGAAAGGGCTCCGAGCCCCTCAACATATAGTTTTATTATGTTGGACTGTGCCCTGCCAAGACCATCCCCCAAACACACCCTGTTCAATACACCCCTGTTTTGAAAATTATTCTATATCATCTTTCAGGTGATCCACCAACCAATGATAGAGTTCAGGGTCCTTATCCTATTATCATACATCCAGATCACAACTCAACCCTCAATGTACCTGTTGTGCAGGCATACAAGTACTCAAAGTACTTGGGTGAACTTCATGTTATCTTCAACGAAGAAGGTGAAGTTATATCTTGGAGTGGTAATCCTATCTTGATGGATTCATCAGTAGCAAAGAATAAGAAAGTCAAGGAGCTTGTTAATGAAATGAAACAACTGGTTGATAAAAGAGGGCATGTAAGTAAGTTGTTTATGAAATAAAATAAATTTGCAATTAGCTAGTAATTTTCATTTCCTCGTATTTTTTCTTTCAGGACAAGATAGGTCAGACAAAGGTAGAGCTGAGTGCTATTGACTGTGCTAGAAAGGCTTGTCATCTTGGAGACATTGTCACATCTGCCATGTTGCATGAATTCAGACAGAATGATGCAACAATTGCTCTCTTTAGCGGTACTGGAATAAGGAAAGGATTACCAAAAGATAATGAAGGTCAATCACACATTAATCCACTGCAGATATACGTCATTTCATGGCTTAAAATGACGCGTGAGCAACGTACAATGACCGGCCAAAAATGCTTGTTGACCGGTCAATTGCTTTGCCTGTCATTTTGATCGATCTCATTTTTACATTTTTTCCAAAAATAATATAGTCATGCGATGCATGGTAACATCTCGAGAGCTATATACGTCCAAGGCGCGAATTTTTTGTCTCAAACAAATTATCTCCATGGTGCAATTTATGCACGAATTGAATGGTAATATCGTTACATGCTTGTTTGCAGATATAGACCGTCCAGGTTAGTGCCGTACGTCCTAACAAGGACTGTTGCTGTTGATACTGACTGCCATTTCGACAACCTTAGCGGTAGTCTTCTTCAGAGTCAAGCGAGGATTACAAGTAGAAGTTACTGCCCACTTACTCAGAAGATGACTACCGTTCGGCTGTCGTAACATCAGTCAACACTACCATCAACATAAGCAGTCCTACTCAGACACTACAGGACATTATGTGTATTATAGTGACCGGTCAAAAACCCGACTTTGACCAAGCTAAAATGAAGCGTGAAAGTCATCTTGACCAAAGACATTTGGGCTGTTATTTTGAGTCCTGCATTTCACTTTTCAAGGCGCTTTTTCAAACGCTGGAAGCTTTCATTAGAAATTCAATTTTTCAAATCCATTGCTTTTCACTATCAAGTTTTTAAGTTGCATTTGAAAGATGATATTTTAGCTAAATTAGAATAAAATTCCTCGAAATACTACGTTGCTTAATCTGCTTTTGTTTCCCAATGAAATTTTTCATCAAACTTAGACAAAGGCGTTGATATATCTTTCGCGGAGTTATAAATATTTGTCTTTACCACTTCAATATCTTCTGCAGGTTATGTCTTGTACAAGGATTTGTTTGAAAGTTTTCCATATCGCAACACGATTGATATGGTTGAGTTAACTGGCGCCGACTTAAAGAGAAGCTTGGAAAAATCTGGCCCTCTTCAAATGAAAGGTCGATACCGCTATCAAGAATATGTATGTTTAAATTTTGGTTCTTCAAATCGCTCGTCCTAATATGTTCTCTGCCATTTCAGGCTTGAAATTTCAGTCGTCTGGCACCAAACAACGCACAGTAAAATACCTCAAAATAAAAAAAGCTCATTGTCCAACAACGAAAGAATGTTATTTTCCTGTGAATGCATCAAAGATTTATAAAGTTGTTGCTGATTCGTATACCGTAACCACAGCTAACAAGGTGATTGCAAGCAAGGGTCAAAATCGTATCCGAGGGCATGCCATTTATGATGTTCTTGTGGCCTACTTTCAATTCCAATATCCTGTTCGCAGAAGGAATGCGAATTTCGCTGCTAAACTCAGCTATAACTTAGTCAGATATGTCCTTGCTTTTTATGTGATTTACTTTTCCAAAATGTAATGCTGTTGAAATTTTAGCTTATGTATTGAAGCAAAAATATTTTAATGTTTTTCTAAAGAATTTTAATTAAGCTGTGAATAATAGGTCAACAATTTGCAGAATTATCTTAAATGAAATTTTCACCATAGTAATCCTGTTGTCTACAAGGCTTGCCTGTCGCGTATTTTAAATTCAAATGTTCCAATAATGATGATAATTTTTTACTGTTACGGAAAATGGAGTTGCTAATGCATTTAGTTGTATTAAATGTACAATATCCAACAATGATTTTGATCGTTTAGTTCCACGTTGATAATGTTTGACATCATTATCGCCATCAGCAATGTACATATCAATATGATGAAAGCAGTGCTGTAGAAGTTGGGGGGGGGGGCGCTTGGGGGAGGAGCCCCTTCTACCTTTGAAATGGGTAATTTTTCATAATTTCATGGCTTTAGCTTCGTCAAGAGAGCCCCCCATCTGACAAATTTAGTTCTACAGCACTGGATGAAAGTATTTTTACGTACATGTAACTTGTAAGTGACAGCAGTTTTGTTGCGAATGGTATGCGTAGTTCGGAATTCTTTTTCCATTAAAACGCTGCATAAGTTTTTTTCCTTTTTTGGAAAGGAAGAATTCTTTTTTCCGTCTGTATTTTGGATTTTTTTTCAACCTGTATTTTCTTTAAATGCTTTTCAGTCTGTGCTGTGAGAGATAATTGTCATTGTCGTAGGAAGAATGAAAAAGAAAGACTTCACTTTTGTTCATGCTACCAGCGAGAGACAGTAAAATATTTCAAAAGAATGTGAAAAATCGCAAAAAGCAATAAAATGCACGAATGATTGTGGGAATGAGGATGACGAATGAAGAACAAACAGTGAGTATCTATCTAATTTATGTTTCCTGTGCTGTAATTGGGTGAATCAGACAATAGCGACGAACAGGAATTATTCGCTCCATTGATTTATCATTTCTGCAGCGTACTGCCAAAGTATAGAAAGATACAGTTGTCTCATTCCACAGTGCAACTTGGTGATGTATATTTAGTTAGATTACTGGCTGCGGCTAGCCATCTCTGCCCTCCTATTGGCCAAAAAAAAGGCAATTGACTGTCTGCCACCATCTCACCCATGTTAATTACATGCGTAATAAGATATGCGCTACACAAAAAAATTCTATAGAATGGGACTACTGTTTGTGTCTATACTGTGGTATTGCTCATTCATTGTATTTCGTTTCTGAAGCTTTTGCCGAAAACGACGTTTAAATAAAAAAACAAGATGCGTCTTGCTGGTTTGGGGATATACAAATAATGCAATTAATTCATTATGATAATTTATGTATGTAGATTTATTGTAAGTGCGCTCAGTCTCCGGGGATGAATACCCCCTAATGATGCTTACTTCCAGTTTGCCATGGCAACTGTACAAACAACGTAATTGAAATAAGATGATTATTTTTTTATTTTCATTCAAATTCTCGATGCAAGTCTTATGTTAACCTCTTAAAAGGATGGCTGCGAAAACACCGAAGAAAAAGGACTCGAAAGAACGCGTTTCTTCGTCCAATGGGCCTAAAATTATCCTCTTGAGTAAGTAGTCGCCATAAATTTTCATACCAGTGCCTATATAAACAACATATGTCTGGTTTTAATCAGTATACATTACTCTAATTATTTTAGGAATCTGCATTTGTTAAGTGATGAGAAAAATTTGAAAAATCTCCTTAGCGAAGTCGGGAAAATACAAATTTCTACTGATAGCTTGAAATATAGCAGCGTTTTAAAAATGTTTTCGACAAAATTATTAAGTCTATCGTGGTATATAGGTCATTACTGAAAATATAATCATTTGAATTACCATGCTGACGGAGATTGCAGGTCAAACAACAGCCCACCCCCAGATGTCAAATAAATGATTTATTAAAATTTGCCCAAGTTATTACATTTGTAAACAGAAATCTGAATAAAACGAGTCTATGGCAAGTAAGAGCCATAGGAAAACAGTTGAGCGTCGATGGAAAGGCAATTGCAAGTTACTTTGCAACCTAGTTTGTATTAAATGAAATCCAGAGAATGACTCTGTGATTATGTAAAAATGTCTCGTTTACGTTCTCGTTCGAATTCATCGCGACCCAAGTAAGTTTCAGCATGTTTTTCTTTCATTTTTCACATTTTTAGTTATTATGTAATTTTTTACACAAAATGACCTCATCGTTGAGCCTTTCGTCTTCCTTTTCTGTTATACATCAAAATATCGACTGCTTTCTTCGTAGTTTATGGGAATTGTGGGCTGTTCTACTATGTTAAATTTATAGTTAAAATACCGTGAGTATCGACCGTCAATAAGAGGATAACGTGTATTAAGCCGACACTGCGTAAAATCGCAAATTTAATCTCATATAGCTAATTCGTTGTGATAAATACTGTACTAAGCGGACAGCTTCATTAAGCGGATATTAGTCCTCCCCCCTCTCCCCGAGTGTGTCTGCTACGAGTTTGACTATAATCTATATTTAATTCCTTATTTATCTTTTTACTTCAATAATCCACTATTTGCTATCCAGTAATCCAGTATTTCACAACAGCAGAGATGAAGAACGAATGTTTTGTACACTTTTGTATGAAAGGTCGAAAGTTTAACTTATAATTAACATAAATTATCAAAATGCAATGGTACGTATTTCCATGTGCAAATAGAAATCACGACCTTGAAACTATCGCAATTACCTTAGCAACGAAAAATGATTTGTTTTCATAATGCCTTGAAAGTTTGTTCGCCATCTACTCGCAAACGACGAAATTCATTAAATTACTGTTTAAATGTGGTAATAAGCTCATTTGCGAGGGTATTAACGATCTGTCAAAGTGGGTTATGGATCGAGTCGCGTCTTTGGCAGGACCTCTACGTAATTTGCGCAATCGTAGGTAGAAGAGAACTCGACAGTAATTTTGGTCAATTATTTACTATTCTTTAAAACGAACATGGTACTTTTAAATAGACGTAGCTACGAAAATTTTCCTCTTTGCTGTCTTTTGTCTAATTTCTGTCATAAGCGGTTTATACGTAATCTGGTAAAACGTACGCCTAATCATCTACGTAAAAGGTTTTGCCACGGCATATGTTGTTATTTTGTCTTTACATTATGTTACATGACACTTTCTTTATCTCCATAGACAACCAAATTCTTACGTTGGGAATGATAGCAAGGTACAAAAGACTAAGCTTCCAATAACTATCTGGCCAGAATGGAGTGATCAGGAAATAGCTTCAGAAAAATGGGTATGTTAGTGATGAATCGTAAAATTTTAACGCAGAAAGGTCAATCACAGCAGTTTGTAAATGCTATTCGTGATTGATGTACAACTAATTCAGTGTAAATAACAGAGGCATCCACCCTCCACCCCCCTCGGATCATTCATCGTGGATAGAAGATTTGAACAAAGATATAGGTTGATGGGGGGGGGGAGGGTTGCTTTATTTTTATGTATTGTAATATAGCACTTAGACAAAAATCAATGGAGGTCACATAGCATCCACGGAATCATCCATAGAAAATTATCATCAGAGAAAAAAGTTTTATCGTTTTGTTTGTTCGTCATTTATTTTGTACTTGACAACTGTGAGTCATTTTTTCATAGATTAAAAAATTTTGTTTTGAACTCACGCTGATTTTCGCGTGCACACGAATGGGAATACGTACATACATACGCAATTTGACCGAACACAAAACAATACTTGAAATCCAGGCCCTGGCGGACAATGAAATTTCGAGAAGCGTCTTTTTCGAAGGTTGAACAATTGCTTTGTAAGTGCGTATTTGTCTCTTATACATAGGACACAGCTCATAAAGGGAAAGATAAAGAAAAGGGAAAAAGCCCAAATTTGGTTAGTATTTTTTTAGAATTTTTACTTAATTAGCAGAAAATTTTTTGAAAATATCGAGCAGATTTAGAATACAAGTGTATCGAAACGTAAACCAGATTACACTGTAATCTGTATTTTGTAAATTAACAGGCAACCACGAAAATATGGAGCAGATTTAGAATACAAGTGTATCGAAACGTAAACCAGATTACACTGTAATCTGTATTTTGTAAATTAACATGCAACCACAAAAATATCGAGCAGATTTAGAATACAAGTGTATCGAAACGTAAACCAGATTACACTGTAATCTGTATTTTGTAAATTAACAGGCAACAACGAAAATATAGAGCAGATTTAGAATACAAATGTATCGAAGCGTAAACCAGATTACACTGTAATCTGTATTTTGTAAATTAACAGGCAACCACGAAAATATAGAGCAGATTTAGAATACAAGTGTATCGAAACGTAAACCAGATTACACTGTAATCTGTACTTTGTAAATTAATAGGCAACAACGAAAATATAGAGCAGATTTAGAATACAAATATATCGAAGCGTAAACCAGATTACACTGTAATCTGTACTTTGTAAATTAACAGGCAACCACGAAAATATAGAGCAGATTTAGAATACAAGTGTATCGAAACGTAAACCAGATTACACTGTAATCTGTACTTTGTAAATTAACAGGCAACCACGAAAATATAGAGCAGATTTAGAATACAAATGTATCGAAACGTAAACCAGATTACATTAAGAACAACCACTAACTGCAAAGCGACACAAACACTTGTTTCCAATAGTTGTTCATTAAAAATTTTCGAACAAAATTTTGCAGATGAAATTTTTATTTTTGAAATTTACTGCCAGGAACTGAAGTACTTTATTCGGACTTCGTGATAAATTTACCAACGTCAAATTTTTTATCTAATGTTTTATGTCATCTGACTCTATTTATATTGAAAGAGTTGTTCATTTTTTCAGCATGCGTTTGAAGACCCTGAAGGACGTGTAGAGTTACCATCTGTCATTCAGTCAAGTGTTGAATATTGGAAAAGACCAATTGATTTCATTGAGGATAAGGTGAGCAATGTGTATACTTGTGGATAAGAAAAATTGTTGGTAATAAGCATTATTTGTTGTATTTTATTGTTTCTTGATCGTCGCCTAGGCACTTGTGGTTGTGGATCCCGACAGTTTTAAAGATAAAGAAATTGATTTATTGACCTGTAGTAGGGATGTCATTAGCGTTTCTGAGGTCAGTAAAACAACACAACGTGTGTCAATGTAGGTAGTGATGGATGAACAACAGAGAACGAGAACAGTCTTAACACAACATAAAATATAAACTACGATAACGTGTGACAGTGTAGGTAGTGATGAATGAACAACAGAGAACAAGAACAGTCTTTACACAACATGAAATATAAACTACGATAACGTGTGTCAATGTAGGTAGTGTTGAATGAATAACATAGAATGAGAACAGTTTTCACTACCTAAAACATATCGTAAGATAATGATATCAGGTGAAAAAGCTGTTGTTTATTTGCAGTTATTACGATGTATTATTGTGGACATTACAAACTTGTTCAAACTACGACCTCAAATGGACAGCATCGAAGCGAAAGTTGTAAAAGACAGCAAAGATGTGGGTCAGGCTGATGAGGGTATTTGGAAACCATGGCAACATATCTGGCCGAAAGAGAAATCAAAACGGGCATCTATCCTGTTTATAATCCCAGTGGGAAGTATGTCGTTAAAGTCTACTGGTTGGTACGTATTTGTTTCGAAAGTCAAATGTATTGTCAAAAGAGAGAATGGCGTGGATTCAAATTTTAACCTAAGCAAAAACAAAAACGTCGTTCTCTGCTTTAAATGTATAATTTTTTCACTCTCTTTATTTATCCGTGAAAAGAGTATGTTGTTCTTTTTTACTTTGTTGAGCTATATTCACACGTCACACATCACTCGCTATCCATTGTAATCACCGTTTTTACTTTGTTGAGCTATATTCACACGTCACACATCACTCGCTATCCATTGTAATCACCGTTTTTACTTTGTTGAGCTATATTCACACATCACTCGCTATCCATTGTAATCACCGTACTTTACACTTATGTATGAGACAGTTAACATTACTACCAAGAAATGATCGATTTTCTTGATCATGTTTAGGGTTGCTGGCGTAAGATAACAGTCGATGACTGGATGCCATTCAACTCCCAGGGTCAACTTTTACTTCCATTGGGTAAAAGACCCAATGAACTGTGGCCAATGCTCTTAACAAAAGCTTTAATCAAGGTCGCATCTTTAGAGTAAGCAAGAAACTCGTTTTTTTTCTTCTAGATTTATACAAACAGGTTATCCTCCATTGTTTGGTTTATTTTTAGTTATCGAGGTGGGGAACCTCCTTGTGAACATGGTGATTTTAGTGTCATACAGTGTTTGACGGGTTGGATACCTGAAGTTATACCATTAAGGTATTGTGAAATAATATATACCATTGATGCATAGTGAAGTTATACCATTAAGGAATGGTATGGTGAAATGATATAGCTACCATTGAATATCGTAGGTAACTTGATGATTTGACATTCTCCTTCATTTAATATACAGGCACCCTAATATGCATTTGTACTAAGATTGAATATATAAAAAAATAAACCCAAAAGTGAAAATAAAAATAAATGCATGTTGTGGTAACTCGCAGACAACTCGCCATTAACTCGTCGTCAGAACTTTTGTAAAATCACCAACATAGAGTAGACACACAAATAGACAAAAAGACAATCTGTATTTGTTAAAAGAAGAAGATATGAGGACAAAGGAGACAGATGTAGAACACAACTATTAGACCCCGACCTGGAAGAGTTGTGAACCGTACTATGCTCACCCTTTTGATAAAGAAATATGCTCTTTTTCATAGGTCGGAACATAGCAGTAAACTGTGGGATGCATTGGGAAAGATTCTCCCACATTGGAAAATAGAAAACTCTATCACAGTCGAAGAAGCAAAGGATGTCAATGTTTTGCCAATCTCAAGGAAAAGGGAAGAGAAAAAATCGCGCGAGAAACTGGAGCGAGGCGCGATTCCTTCACAAACAACTTCGGACCGTCACTCGGAACGCGACAGCAAAATGCGAGATAAGGAAAGCAAGGAAAAGTTTCTGAGTAATGCTGGTAGTAACACAGCGGTTAAGGAACTCGTCAAGGAACCTGAGTTTGCTGTGTTTGCTAGTTACTCAAATCCGCCTAAGATACCGCTTACTGTTTCAGTACTTCGTGAAATGGTAAGTTAAATGGTCACCTTGTTCTCAATAAATATCATCTGTTAGAATCACATTATGTGTAAAAATCTTTTTCTCGATGAGGTCCTGAAATGCACTTAAAGTTCCTTTAGAATCATGTTAAAACGTCAAGATATTATTAACGCCTGGTTTTCATAGTTTTTTAGTCAGTAAAGTGAGTTCTTTGGATTTCGGTTTAGGCAGATGCATCAGAGAAACTTCGTCAGTGCGGCCTTTCTCACAATCATCCGCACTCAGTCATGGTAACATATCGTCGTGATTGCCCTCTCGTTGCTCCTCCACCACCTGTAGAAGTACCACGGTGGCGTTTGATTAGGACAAAAACGCAAGATTCCTCAAGAAGGAAGTTTAAATCCTGTCGAACCACCGAAAGAACAGCAGTTTCTTGAAATAGCGTCACCTTTGGTTGGATTTTCTGTTAGTCCGATACCTGTATACAGTGTGACGTAAGAATTCTTGAGATGTTTTAAAAAGTATCATCTGGGATATTGTGTTCTTTTCATTAAGGGGTGTAATCAATATGAGAGGCTGTTATTTAAAAATTTGTTGGTCGAGTTGTCGTCTACAGTGTTGTTGTGAATGAGAAGTAGGGATGTTGTCAGTAGAGATGTTGTCAATAGAGATGTTGTCTTTAGAGATGTTGTCTATAGAGATTTTGCCAATAGAGATTTTGGGTATGATGATTTGTTGATAGAGATGTTGTTAATGGAGGTTGTCTATAGAGATGTTGTCAATAGAGATGTCAGTAGAGATTTTGTCATAATTCATGCATGCTTAATAACAAGGGTTCTTTGAATGATGAGACTTACTTTGTTACTAACTTTTACTATATCCTTATTCTTAACCCCCACAAGAACTCCCTCTCTCCACAAGCTCGACTCTGATGACAAAATAGAAGAAATCTTAGAAGAAGGAGACAAACTGAACAATATTAATGTGCATAAGGAGGCTGCCTCACACAATAAAGGTGACCAGAAAACTGCTGATCCTGCTGCTGTTGTAGTCGTGGAAACGCAGACTTCTTTAAAATATGATGTGTCTGACGAGGTGTATTTTTACTCTATTTTATCATTATAATCAAGCAGCACAAAGCATTTGACTATTGTGTTGCTCTACCTAGTATTTCTAATAGATATTTGCATGGCTAAAATTTTCAAGCATTCAGTTAAAGTGGATTGAACTACGTTTTTCTGCCTGTATTGTTTGTAGTGTTGACAATGTTGTTCATCATTGTTGTAATCGATTCACGCCCAAGATATTGTTCTAAATTGACAACAAGCTTGCGGTTAGCAAGCATAATATTGTTCGATCTTGTTATGAACAATATTGCTACAATCTGCATATTTTTAGCCGTGTGCAGTGAATCTTTTAACATTTTTTGCGCATACGTGCGATGCTTGTTCATAGCACGATCATTTTGACACACGTTGTGTTTGTTTCTTCATTAAACTTTTCTTTAAGTGGTAATCAACTTTGATCTGACTTGTAATCGACTCTGCCTTAACTTGTAATCAACTCTGATGTAATGTTTGCCATCACAAACTTATATTGTGTCGGTTCTGTCTTATCGAATGTAAAACACGCGACAGCAGCGACATTGATGACGAAAATAGCATTTCGACATCGGGGTTTTGTAAACAATATAAAATCATCGACGCTAAAGAGGTTGATTCCATTATAGATTGGCAAATCGGACTGTACGCCATTTCGTAGTGACAAGTCAGACGATAGCAAGGACTCGACAAAATCTCTGAAGGAATCGCACAGTAAGACTTCGAAATCAGCGAAGTCTTCGACATCGTTAATTCTAGAGAAAGCCAATAAGACGAAGAAGATGAGCAAAGATCAAGCAAACGAAAAAAGAAGTGATTCTTCGTTGTCCATCAGAACGCCTGGGGCACGGCGTTTGTCGAAGGCCGATCTAAAAGGTAATTGATTTCGCGATCAGGTGATTTCTTTCTGTATGAAAATCCAGCTTTTTTTAATTTCTAGATAAAGAGCTCAAGAAATTAGCAAAAGGTCTTGAAACAAAGAATGAAGTCAAGACGGAGGTCGAGCAAGATAACAAGGATACTTCTGGAGATCTCACTATCACTATTACTGGGGAAAATGGAGTACAATCTGAAGCTCAGGATGATATATCGAGTCAGCTAGAAACGGTAGCGAATAAGGGGAAGACATTTTGGATAGAATATGACGAGTTTTGGAAATGTTTCGGGTCGGTTGATCACTTTTGTAAATTGTGTCTTTTATTAAACTCCGTAAATATTCGCATTCTTTTTGTTGTTTTAGAACATTGTATGTTTATCACAAGCCTGTTACCTACATGCATAATAAATCATATTTGGAACTGAAGGTATTTCATACGTACTGTTTTCATCAGTTTGTAAAAATGTACAGTTGAAGAATGTTTTCAAAGAAATGTTTTTAAAGGAATGCAAACTACAACTGGGGTTTTACACAATGACTATGAATATTTTTTTTTCTAAATATTTCATTCATCCTGTATTTTTGTAAGTTTTTTTTTTGTTTTTTTTTGCAAGAACTAATTCACCTTTTCAGAACTATGCACCGAATTTTGCATCTTTTTAAAGGACATCGTAGAACAAATTTTGACGGAGTTAGCTGTTCTTCTCCTACCTACCAGGCATCACGTGTCATTAGAATGATTCTCTACACTATTTTATCGTTTTCAGAGTGTGATATGTTCAACAAACAATAAAAAGTCAGGCACTGGCCTGCACAATTCAATGGCCACACAGAATTCGAGCAAAGCTCAGTCTGTTAGTTCATATGGCCCAACTGGTCACCATGCTCTTGCCGGTGTATCTACAGATCCCCCAATACCCTATCTGCTTGTGGACAGTGTCGATAAGATTGAGATTGTTATATGCTTTACGTCTTTGTCCAAATGGCTAGACCCACCTCAACCCATTGTTCGGGAGAAAGGTAGAGATTCTGTCAGTATCTACGGTAAGGTTGCATTCTTGTTATTTGTCTTTTGTCTTGTTCTCAGTGTTTCCATATACAATATTTGCTCATAAAGCCACCGCTCGCTATTTTCTAGATTTCAAAGTAGAATCAGATACAGAGTTAAGTTCTGTTCCTCCTTCACCTGGGCTTCTTGTGGCCGAAAAATACGTATGGCAAAGTATGGTAACTGGTCAACCGTGCTTTAAAATAAAATCGACTGGTTCAAAAGCAGCCGTTCTGGTTCTCTCACCTGGGTTAGCAATAGAAATGTCTTGTAAAGTAAAATAGACGCTTTTTCGTGGTGATAAACATGTTTTAAAACAAGTTTTAAATGTCTTGTACTGATTATTTGTTCTGTTTTTTTTTCTACCTTGGATATTTCTTTCATTTACAGTCGGCACATGCTGAGATTTCTTCTCCAATCTCCATATGGCTATCACGTGGCCTTGTGTTCACAAACTCCTTTCACGTTTGGTGATGAAGACCAAATTATGAGTTTAGCTCATAAGGTAATTTGAAGCATCCTTCTGTTGTTAATTATTTGTGCTTGATCATTGTGAGATGGTGTTTGCGGGGAGGGGGGGCATCAGTAACTCTTATCTTGGGGGGAGGAGATCATTTGCATTTGTCTTGTGGGGCAACTTTGCATTTATTATTGAGAGGAGGGCATCATTAACTCTTATCTCGGGGAAGGGGCTTGCTTGGATTTATATCTTTTGGGCAACTTTGCACTTATTATTGGAGAAGGGGCACCATTAACTGTTGTATAAGGGGTGGAGATCATTCGCGCTTATATCTTGTTGGGCAACTCTGCCTTTTTTATTGGAGAGGGGGGCATCATTAACTGTTGTATAGTGGGTGGAGATCATTTGCGCTTATATCTTGTGGGGCAACTTTGCATTTATTATTGGAGAGGGAGGCATCATTAACTGTTGTATAGTGGGTGGAGATCATTTGCGCTTATATCTTGTGGGGCAATTTTGCATTTATTATTAGAGAGGGGGGCATCATTAACTTTTATATAGGGGATGGAGATCATTTGCATTTATCCTGTGGAGGCAATTTTGCATTTATTAGGGGGAGGGCGTCTGTAACACCTAATTGAGTTGGTCGTCATTCGCACCTGCTTGGGGTTAAGCATAATTTACTCTTGTTTGTGCAGACACCATTCACATGGGGGGGGGGGCATCGATTACACTTGTTTTGAGGAGGCCTCATTAATAACACTAATCTATGAAGGGTCACCCTTATCTTAAGAGAAGTTCAGAACTTGAGCTCACAACACAACTGTATTGTTTAACTTGTTATGGCGTTGTATTTTTATTTTTTCATTGTTGCCTTGGGACATAACTCTATATGTTTTTTTTTTGTTTTTGAATGTGTTTAGGAAAGTTGTCGTTTCATTGAGTATACAACAAGTGTCTTACAGAACATCGGCAATGTTATAATGTCTTTTAACGAACTGAATAAGAACAATAAAAAATGACACTTGACTTGGGTGTTAACGATCAACCACGTGACATGCAGGAAAGACATAGTAAGGTACGAATAACAGTAATGTAGAACTTGTTTCATGTTGTAGTTCGCTTTGAAGATGATTTTATTTGACTCTGGAGATGACTATCTCGAAGGATGTTGAAACATCAGTAAAAAACATGGACGATCTCTACATTCACAAACATGTAACGATACTTCTGTATTCAAATCTTTCAATTAGTAAAACTTGTCTCCAAAAAAAATGGAAGATAAGCACTATCGTACAATTAACAAGAGTGAATTCGAACTATTCGATTACCAAGCAACTTTCACACTTTCATTCATACATAAATATGATCATCATATATGTAGGTGTTCATGGCCTGTCTGTTGGAAACATTGAATGCTCAATTTAACGAGGACCTCACGCGGGATGTGCAATTTGCTTGGAAGGCCTTCGACTTCATCTCAAGAGTATATCTAAAAGAAAAGTTAGTTTTCCGACCAAGCTCTTCTGCGGAGATCGAGCGCATTGGTCGTGTGCATAAAAAACGTAGTGAGCTGTCACGATGCCTACCTTCGAAAACCAGTCGCACGTCGAAGATGGACGAAGATTATGCTGCCACTATAATTCAGGCTACTTTCCGTGGTTACATTGTGCGAAAACTCAACATGGCTTATAAACCAGGTACACCATATTTAGCAGTTTTGAATACGGGATGAATGAAATCTCAATCTCACAATCCAATTTGTGAGATTATCATTTAAAGATAATCGTATTTAACGCTATTGTTATTAATTTGTAGACACAGCCATTCATGAACAAGTTCATCTCAATCTCTCAAAATCCTGGACAACGATCGAAAACAACTTGGAAACCTTTTCTGTTCAATTATACCGCCGCATGTACGAGCTTGATCCACAACTATTCACAATGTTCCCATTTTATGAAGATGAATGGAAAAGAGTGATACACAATGATTACAATGGTGCCTTTCCTGAACAGCCTGCAAACATATGGTTTTTATTGTTCAGGTTCGCGCACGATTCTTTAAAAGCTTCTATTCTTTTGAGAAAACAAAATTTTTCCAATAGTACTTTTTTCTGAAGACATCACTTTGCCGTCGGTGATAAAAATTATTAAGAAATAAAAGATGTTTACTGTGTTTTCACTGGCCTATGCAAACTGAGGATACCTTTGAGAGCTGATCAGTGCAAGCCCGAGACCGAAGTTCGAGGGTTTGCACGTTGTTGAGAGTTCTCCCAAAAGTCTCCGAGGTTTGCATTAGCCAGTGCAAACACGAAAAACATCTTTTATTTCTTTTATAAAATAACAATAAAGCAAAACAGACAAATTATAAGCAAACGTTTTAATTTTTTCCTCTGAAGTATTCGTCTTTTTGTCATCATTAATAAGCAAATTCTCTTTGATTGATTGATTAAATTGATTGAGCTCAGATGTGTTTTGCACAGACAAACGCAAACACAGCTATAGACCAGTCAGCGCATGCGTGTTAGTGTATTGCTTTTATTTTTTAATTAGCAGTAATACATTAAGAAAATACAGTGATGTTATCAGTTATCTTTACTTAATATCCTTGTAACTTCATATTGTATTTCGTTAGGGAAGTGTTCTTTGTGGAACGAGATATCCTATCGTTACCTAAAATGTACACCAATATCCCTACGTGTTTTCTACGTGTTATCAATAACGATACTCTTGATGAAATACCCAAAGTGTTTCAGCGAGTTGTACCGTATGAGTTTACTAAAAACAAGGTTAGTGCCCAAGCTTAGTCAATATGTCTTCCCGAGAAGTCAAACTAGGAAATCCGAGAAGAAATGTCTCTCACTTTAAATAAGTATTTACTGTTTGTTGACGCATCTTTATTTTTTTGCAAGAAACAAGGAAGATAATTTAGTGTTTAACGCCTTTTTTGAGAAGAAATTACATATTTTTTTACCTCTGAAGCGTGGATACACATTCCTGGCTGAAGCCAGAACGATTCAATCTCCTCTCGCATCCGGGAAGTTTCGATTGCGAGTGATTGGCTCATCAGTACCCCTGCCTGCTCCTGAAGGCGATTCCGTGAATACGCAGTTTGTCACCAAGGAGATCAAGGAATATTATATACCTAACAAAGACCGTGTTATTCTCAGGTATTGAAGGAAAGCTATTTTTTCACTTGGTAGTTGTTATACGTGTCTTTCAAAAGTGGTTTATATAGAATGAAAATTTGGTTGAATATTTTTTCATTCCCAGAGACTGTTTTCTGCTTTTTAAGTTTTTCCCTTCAATACCTATGAGACTGTACATATCGTTGACCGCCTTAAGCCTTTGTTGTAGTTTCCTTGCTGTAGTTTGTATTTACTACCTCAAAATTGCGACTAAACATCGAGTTTTGAAACTGTTATTTCGAAATGCTTCTCTGTTTACCCCATTTTAGATATTCAATACTAGTGAGTGAAGATCAGTTGATTTCTGTGCAACTCTGTACATCCAAAATTGATGTTCTTATTAAACTGCAAGTACGCGCATCATAATTCATTTTTATGTGTACTTGTGACGATATTTTTGTGATGATTTTTAGTAGCAGATGATACTATGGGATGTTTATGGGTATTTGTGTTGATTTGCGATCGTTAATGATAGCAGATGATATTATAGGATGTTTACCTAAATGAAGAATAGACTTTTGATCAATGCATTCACAATTTATATATGTTTAACATTAGCAAATTTCTTCATTCTAAACTCAGCACTTGTTACAATTACAAACTCCTTCAACCGCTCTAAAGTAAAAAAGCCCCTAAAAAATCTCAAGAAATTATTTGACCTAACCAATTGATAACAGGCCTTTAAGTAACAGTTAAATCTAACTCGGGTTTCGATGTCTTAGTCTCCTTCAAGTTCACTCTGCTTGAAATGGAAATGTACGTATGTTTGAGGAGTATAATGAGGATAACTTCATACTTCTGTGTTCAGATATTAGATCATGATGTGGAAGTAGTGAGCTCTTGTGGTCGAGGACATGCAGTGATACCTGTGTACATTGTGAGGCGAGATAGAACTGTTGGCGAAGCAGACCATAAGTACCGGAAGCGAGGTAAAAGGTGTTTTCAAATGTGTCATCAACTAGACTTGACTTGCATTCATGTATGTTTACAATTTCAAACCATGAACACAATCTTGTCAATACGAGTGTTTATTATATGGCAAGCGTCACTTCCGGAAAAATGGCGCGCTTTGATTGGTTCAGAAACATTTTTGCCGGTCCATTATTTTCCCGTCCATTGTTTTCCAACGAAACAAAAAACCATTTTAGAATGTGAGTCGAAAGAAAAACACTCGGGAGACAGTTTAAATATCCAGACGATACAATTTGAAACAATTTATTTTTACTGACGAAAGCTAGAATGTGAAAGTGAAAGCCAACCCGTACAAAACAGCAAAGGACGAGAAAGAATGCTTTCGTTTCAGGTCAAATAATGCCATATAATAAACCTTTTAATAACCTCGCTTTCTCGGTCTTTACTGAGAAATATCGGACCTCTGTCTTTTTGTACAAACGGGCTCAGTCTGTACTAAAAGACCTCGGTTCGTTATTTCTCCGTAAAGACCTCGAGCTCGGTTATTAAGGGCTTATTAAAGTTGCCATAATGTACGACTTTTATTCTTTTGTAAATACTACAAATTTGAGGATCTATAGATACAAAACAATATATGTATATGGTTTATGCATTGTCAAGAAATTACGTTCCTCTAGCATTTAAATCTAAATAAAGGTATTTCTGTAAAACTATATCAGTTAAGCCTGGTGTATACGTCAGTATTCTCCTTCAAATAAATGATGTAATGATATGTGCTAGGTTCCAGACCTCCCAGTAAAGACAGCGGTAATAACGGTGAGCCAGCTACTGGTCGTGCTGGGACGGCCGTAGGCAAGACACCTAAGTCAAAACCTAAGAAAGGCAAAGATCATTCACCCGTTCAATCTAGACCCGGATCTTCTTTTGTAAGCTAACAATTGCCACGCTTCAAATCCTTTAATGAAATATTGTCATTTTGATATAATGTGGATTTGTTAGGAAAAACGCAGCCACAGTCGTAATTTGCGTCATAGTATAACTCAGGAAGAAGACATAAAACCTCAGGTAACGATCTCTTGAGTTACGTATAATTTTTGAGTATTACATATTCTTACACAAAATATACATTTATATATATATAGATTAAGGTGTGGGATTGCCATTAGAGCATCATTTCAAAAATTACTATCTTGTACATTTTAAATCACACATGTGGATGTAGTTTACAGTCAAACCTGTACAAAGCGGACACCTTCGGGGAACAGACTAGTATCCGCTTGAGAAATACTTTATTATTACGAATTGTAGTTATATGAGGTTAAATTCGGCACTTTAAAAAATGACTTAATACAGGTTGACCGCTTAATACAGGGTTGCTTAATACGGGTTTGACTGTATTATAGAAGTTTTATGTTACTCCTTCTGATAGCAGCAAGTGTTTTCTGGGTTTTATCATGTCTTTACAATAATCTGTTGGTCTACAGTCCAACTTCTACTTATAGACACCTCTCGGTACTCGTTAGGGTGGACCATTGAACTAAAATTCATGGAACGCTATCTGAAGCAAATACTTGAAGCCAAATCTTTCACCCAGCCACGCGAGATTACACCCAGACACGCGTGTGTATTGTCTCGAGATTCTCCCGCGGAGGAAAGTTGATTTACTACACACGCGTGTCCGGGTGTGAGATTCGGCTTCAAAAAATTACCAGGTTTTCTATTACAGGTAGCGTTCCATGTATTTTAGTTCAATGGGGTGGACATCTCTCGTAAGTGGACACTGCTATAGGGTTCTTATCAATACATTATTACCTCTCATATCCCTTTTTTTCGTCAGCAGACACCAGGTCGTTGTCGCAATGGTGTCTGCTTACGTGAGGTTCGAATGTGTAACACAATTACTTTTTCAATCATAGCTTCATAAATACATTATCCAAGCGCTTGTGTTGCGCGACAGTTGGCCTCTCACCAGAGAATCGTGGGATTTTGTCCTTGCACAGAAGAACGCTGAAAAACAAGATTCGCTTGACTGTAAGTCCTTTACATAGTATAGCCATAAAAACAGACGGCACGAGAATTTTGATGACATTGCTATCAGTTGATTGACGCTTGTACACACTAACGTTGCCAGCCTGCAAGTTTAGTTGTGTTATGTAAGTATTTAGGTGTTAACTTACTATAAAAACGATTGATTTCTAAAGAAATAATTTTGCCAAAAAATATTGCTTATCTGAAATACATTTAGCATGACAAAGTGTTGTCCATATATATATATATATATATATTTATAAAAATGGCTTTTGTTTTGTTTTATTTGATCTACCTGTTTCTAGATGTTTTAGATTCGTCTATTCGCGTCGAAAAGTCCGCTAGTCAAATAAAACAGAAGAAAACCAAAGACGGAAAAGAAAGTCGACTGGGTAAAAATCAATCCGGATCCCGTCCCAACTCGCAGCAGTTGAATTTCGACTTGATGAGACCGCATTGGACACTGAGGGTGATTGCTGATGCCAATTTAGCGGTAAGTCGTGTTTTCATGCCCTAGTTCTTTAGGTGTTGTGTGTGGAGAGGGGTTGTGCATGGGTGTGGGGATTTTGTATGTGTGTGGAGGGGGGATTGTATGTGGAGAATTGTGTATGTATGTGAAGGGGGAGTTGTATATGTGTGTGGAGGGGAGATTGTGTATGTTTGTAGAGGGGTATTGTGTAGGGAGGTTGTGTATGTGTGTGGAGGGGTATTGTGTGTTTATGTGTGGAGAGGGGTGTGTGTATGTTTGTGTATATTGTGAATGTGTGTGGAGAGTTGTGTATGTGTGTGGAGGTTGACTGTAAATTGCTAAAGAACATTTTAGAGCAATCTTAAACCAACAGGATTGTTTGTAAAATACTTTGAATTTCAAACATATTTATTGTCCATTTCAACCTATCATAAACCCGCTACTGCATTCATATTTTTTCAATAGATCGTTGTTGACAACATCCAAATATTACTAATCAATCATGTGCTTTGTTTTCGCTTGACACAACATAAATTGATAGCAGCAGCAACAGTTGTATTTTTCTTAGGATGATTTAGAGGTAAAGAAGGATACCGAACGTCAGGACGAAATACGCGCAATGAAAGCTGCTTGGGAAGCTGCACAGCCGGGTAGAGCTGCTAAGGTACTTTAATAGACGTAGCTATTAAAGGGGTTACTGTGATGTTCACTTCTTCTGTGTGTTTGGTTATCTAGGTGTGTTAGTCAATAGTTACTAGTTTTTTATTGTCGTTAAATATCAACTCTAGTAAATGTAAATTTGATGAAGAGAACTACGGTCATGTGCTTTTAAACCACAGATGTCACCTTTCTTCAATGAAAAAGGTCAACAGTGTAGCATCTTACAAATAACTTGGGATTTTTTTCGTTTGCCAGGCTTTTCAAAGTCGTCAGAGGTTCTTGAATGAAAACTTGATTAAAGTAAAATATTTTGAAACTGAGGAGGGTTATCAAGGCGATGAACACAGTGATACAAGTACGTCCGTGGATATTGTATGATAGTACGTTTACATTCAAATTGATCGTAAAATTTCTGTTGTTGTTTAGCTACAATTGAAGGAATCTCGTCGTCTACGTCAGTTCTTGCTGGTAATAATGCTGATCAAAACGACAGCTTCACAGAACCTCCAGCGAGGCAGCCTAGTCGTGTATTAAAACCATTTGATATCACTCCATACGTCAGGTGAAATATTTTTATCCCCGTGTCATATAACCACAAAATTATCCTTTCAAATCTACGTATACTATACAGATATTTCAACTTTTGAAATATTTATTGGGGTTTGTTATCATTGTGCATTTTGGAACCTTTAATTAAACTACACGAAAACTTTTGTCGTTGCTATTTTTATCCACGATAAGGAATACTGTTTTGTGTTTTTAATATGACTATTTATGATATATCACTGCATTCACGAGCAAAGTAGATTTATGATATAAGTATAAGCTAAGTTACATGTATTGGCGTTGTATGACATAACTCAGAACTATTTAGTTGAATCATTGCCTTGCTTCCTACACCATTGATTGCCTTTAGCTTGTTGGCTGCACTCCACGTCCAAGCCTGCAAACATCGTAATTGTTCTGTGTGCGGCTATGTAGCATACGATTCATTCTTTTCCTGTTTTATAAATTTTTTCCCCACTGTTTATTCGGATTAATGTGAAGTGTCATGGCGTACTCCCTTTTATTGCTTCTAAAGAGATGTCAACTTTGCTTTTAGGCATATCATCTAGCCTGCCTTCAATGCATAGCCTTAAGTTAGCATATATACATAGCCTTAGCCGGCATTGCGTCAGCTTTAATTGAACATAAACTAAATGTAATTGAATAGAAACTTTTGGTAAATTTCATTAACTTTTTTCAGTGGCGTTGTTATATCATCTTGTGTTATCATTTCAGATATAGAGGTAAGCGTATTGTATTAGATGAAGCAGAAGAGAACAGGCGACGACAGGAAAAACAGGAAATGTTTCGTCAACACAAAGTTTGGCGGGAAGAGGTCGAAAAGAGAAGAGATATGGACAGACAACTGAGAAATCTGGCGAAAGAAAGACAAATACAAATGGCCGAAGAGTGGCAGGCTGCCTTAGATAAAGTTCGTGTTGATATCAACAAGGCTCGAGAAGCTTACAGACAAACCTTAATTGTTGAGGTATTTATCTTTTTTCTATTATCATTGACAACTTCTCTAAAGTATAAACTAAGATAACGTTTGTTAGTGTAGGTAGTGATGAATGAAAAACAGAGAACGAGAACAGCCTCTACACTACCTAAAATATAAACTAAGATAACGTGTGTCAGTGTAAGTAGTGATGAATGAACAACAGAAATTGAGAACAGTCTTTACACTACCTAAAATATAAACTAAGATAACGTGTGTTAGTGTGGGTAGTGATGAATGAACAACAGAGAACGAACGAGAACAGTCTTTACACAAACTAAAATATACACTAAGATAACATGTGTCAGTGTAGGTAGTGACGAGTGAATAACAGAGAACGAGAACAGTCTTTACAGTTTACACCACCAAAAATATAAACTAAGTGTAGGTAGTGATGAATTAGGGTTAAGAACAATCTATGTTGCGTGCGCTTTGTTAAGGGACCACGGATCATTTTTTTATGAGTTTTGTGAGGTGGTGTTAAGTTAACGTCGAAGTTTAGTGCAGATAGGATCGCATACAAATTTAAAAATTAAAAAATCGCCAAAATAATTGTGGTGTCTGTCTTTCCTCAACCATCCCCGCTACCGCTCCACTGTCTCTACTGATGTACTACGTTGATAATTGATATAGGAACCACCAGCGGAAGAAGAGGTAGATGAACCCATTAAAGACCGTTCGCCTTCTGGAAAGGGAAGAAAGACCAGTAAAAGTCCTAAAGGAGCTAGAAAGTCTGCTAAAACAAAGAAGAAATGAAACAGAAACGGATTTTATCGTTGGATTATAAAATATCATTGTTCAGGACATATTTAATTTATTATATTTCATGACAGTTTACTATATTTTATGACAGTTTATTATATTTTATGACAGTTTATTATATTTTATGACAGTTTATTATATTTTATGACAGTTTATTATATTTTATTAAAGTTTATTATATTATGTGAACTATAGAATTGATTTCACTTAAACTTTCTTTTCACACTGACAAATGCGTCATTTGTAACTAGTATAACATACTAACATTGGAGATATTCAGGTTGTATAAGAAGAAGAAATGAAAAGATCTGTTTTGGAAATATAAAGAGTTAGTTAAAAAGTTCGACACGAATGTAGACAAAAAGTTTGATACAAAGGTACAACAAAAAGTGGAAAATGGTGAACACTAAGATTCACAATAAGATAGACATAAATATGAACACAAAAATAGACGCAAAAGTAGAAAAAGGTACACACAAAGGTATAGACACAAAGTTAAAAAAAACGTAGACATTAAGGCAGACTAAAAAGGTAGATGTTAACCTAAACAAAGGTACAGACACAAAGGTAGACACAAAGGTAGGCAAAGAGGTAGGTATTAAAGTAGACATGAAGGTAGACATAAAGGTAGACATAAAGGTAGACATAAAGGTAGACAAAAAGGTAGACACAAAGGCAAACACAAAGGCAGACGCAAAGATAGACACAAAGGTAGACACAAAGGTAGACAATAAAGGTAGACAAAAGATAGACACAAAGGTAGACACAAAAGTAGATGTAAATGTGACATTACTGTAGACATAAAAATAGACATAAAGACAAACATAAAGTTAGATATAATTTGTAAGTACCAAAACATATAATTTTATAAGTTAGACATGAAGATAGACATTAAGGCTCAAAAAAAGATAAAGACATAAAGTTGGACCTAAACTACGACTACCAAAACTTTAAGTCACCAAAATCTTAATGAATTTATGACTTAGCAAACAAGACTACGCTAGTTTTATTTCATAGGCTTAAGGAATTATATTTATTGATTTGCGTAATACCAAAGAACAATGGTCGATAAACATTTGCACTTAACGTATATTTAATGAACATAGAACTGAGTTCTTTTGCTTAACAACAATACCTTTTGTTTTTAAAGATAAGATTTGATAACCATTCTACAATTTGTTCGAGTGGGAACAATGAATGTTAAAACAATCATGTAAAACAAATACATGTTATGACGTACATAAAGATATTATTCACTTCAAGTTTTCGGCATTAATGAACGGCGAGGCGTCATAGTAAACACTTGTCTTTCGTTCGATGTTGAACAAGACTACACAAAGGTGACAAACATAACGTATTCAAAAGATTTAGTTGGCAAAGTACATAGAGAAGGTGCCTTAAACTGAACTAGAGACTAGTTCCGTTAATTTTCTGATGGTTACAGAAAGACGTCTGATTTGTTTTCCGATGTGTTTCAACGTTTTGATGAAAAAATGAAGTGTTATCAACATCTGGGAATGCAACTGAACTGGGACTGAAATCTATGATTATGAAGAAACTTGTTGAAAAGCATATAACAGTACAGTTCAAAATACGTCGGTTAAATGTTAATGAAGAGCAATGTAGCGAGTGAGAAATCAAAGTACACACGAAGAAAGGAAAAGGTTGGTTAGTAATTTAAAGGCTGCTTGGCATTACAGCCGACCAATTGCTGGAAAAAGCTATCAACAGCAAGAGAAACCATTTACTGATGTTTGTGACATTAAGGCTAATGAGATGCCACTCCGAGGTGGAAAACCAAGTCTGGTGAAATTTGAAGAATTTTCTACAAAACCTGCAGAGATGATCAACAAGAAGCCGTGGCTGAGTAGAGAGGATAAAATCTACAGTGTTATTTCATGTGGAAAAAGAAGAAATCTATCTAAAGGAAGGAATCGCTGCAGTTTTGTGTGACTTGACAAATATACAGCATTTCAATAAAATATAGCTCAATATCTAACACATGCAGCAACGACGCCAACATTCTTTATGATATGCTGCATTATATCATAGAATGAACTTCTTTGAAATGTTCGTAAAGCATGAAGAAAATTTACAATTGCTATTTGTAGAACTGCATGAACAATTATTAATAGCTGCTGTTATATTCGATGAACTAGAACCGAAGTTGTCAGCAGGCCGAAGTTAGCGAAGTCAGTAAGTCCAGTGAAGTTGAGGAATTTAGTACTGTACATAAAGCTTGCTAATGGCACTTCTCTGTCTTAATTCTTGACAATGGAATGCGACACTTATTATATTTTCAGGAAAAAGTTCACTTAAAACTGAGTCTTCTGCTTGGATTCCGGTGACTCCCTACGATAGCAGATTTTTAGTGGTCAAGAAACCCTAGGACAAACAGAACGCCTTACATGCTCTCCTAACCCCGTACCTTGCACTCAATCCTGAATTTACAACGCATACCGACAAAAGGACGAACCCAGGACCTCCTGCCTTAAAGGTCAGTCAAAGCCAGTTGAGCGACACGTTCAACATCGAATGCTTCTTGTTTCTGTCATGTTTGACCATTTTTATCAACCTTGAAGAAAATAAAAATGAGTTGGTTTTGAACCCTAGAAGGTTCGATTACCACATCTACCACTTTTCAACAAAAGATATTTGCCATTTTGGCAAATAGTTTCGACTGCATGATATTGAATCACAAAATATGGAATGCACAGAAGAGTCATTCATTCCGGGACCTTTCATGTTTTTCTCATCGCGCATGTTGTGCCGCGCATATCGGCTGCCATTATTCCAGCAAGATATTTAGGGTTTTTACTTGTTTCCAACCACTAAAATGACCTGACGTCATTTCTTATATTGAAATATTTTCGATTTCATTACATGGAAATGAAGTCATGTTATTGCAGTAGATGGAAACAAGTAAAAGTCCTAAGTATCTTGCTGGAATGATGGCGGCCGTGAGGACGCGGTGCTGCGTACACACTTGAGTTGCCCTTCTGTATAATCATCATTTTGTGATAGAACTATAAATGCATAGGCTTTCTCCAATTACAATGTCAAATTATCACAATATAGGGCCTGTTCATATGAGCCCGGGTAGCCGGGATTCAGCAAAGCATTTAATCATTTTAGCAAATGGAAAAGATTACTTCCTTTACAACAAAAAACTTATTTAAGCAATTTCTCTATGTTCTGAACTTGCAAATTCACAAAACCTTTAAAATGAAAACAAATAATTTGGCCAGATTACGACTAAAATGACTCATGACTTATAAGAAAGGTTGTAAGTTTTGCGTTTAAAGTTTTTACTCCTTTCAATATCTCAAAATCATTTCCCGCCTCGCTGAATCCCGTTTAGCTGGGCTCATGTGAACAGCCCCCTAGACAATTTATGTGTCTAACATGAAGCAAGAAGATAAATAATGTATGCACAATGCCATGCACATACATTGCCATGTGGTGAATCAAGGCAATGACGTAAATATCCATAGTCAATATTTTCCATTTTATACAATGTAGGAAAGATTGGGCATCTTAACTCTTTGAAATCTTTGAATGCATAAGCAAACCAGATAACACTCGCTTTATTTAATAGGTTGAATAAGGCGTCGTACGTTACATGCACTGAACGTATTGAAGACGAAAGAAAATGAGATGATCGTCCTCATTATCTTTTGTTTTAAACGCGTTCGGCTTTATATATGTTTGAAATACATTCGAAACGAGCTTAAATTGTATTGTTTACTAATTTGCGTCATACCATATAACATTGGTAATTTGCACTTTATGTATGTTTAATGAAGGGAATATAATCCTTTTGTTTAGCAATAATACTTATTGTTTTTAGGATTAAATTTGATAGATATCTTGTAATTTGTTCAAGCACGGACAATGAATGTTAAACAATCATGTGGAACAAATACATAACAATTGCGTAACACCGTACATAAAGATAATATTCATTTCAAGATTTTGGCAGCTATGATTTACGAGATGTCATTCCACAGTCATGGTCTAATTGACTGTGAATTATCGTAAATTTTCTTCTGATTAGTGAAAGATGTCTCCATTGATTGCTAATGTATTTGAACGTTTTAATAAAAAATCAAGATCTTCAACATATGCATAACGTCATGCATAAAGACATGATTCACTTCAAGTTTTCGGCAATTTTGAACTACAAGGCGTCGTGGTTGTTGTTCGTAAGAAGTTCATGAACAATACTATACACAAAGACGACAAGTATAACGTACTTAAAAGATTTGTATTTGTGCAAAGCTAAGCTGGTGCCTTCAACTTTGAAAGGTGACAAGTATCGTTAGTTTTCTTCTGGTTACTGAAAGTCTCGTTTGACTGTCGATGTATTTGAACGATATGATTAAAAAAATGAAAATCGTCAATATCTATGAATGAACACCTCAACAAGAAAAGGAATTTATGAGCTTTATTAAATTAGACGGAGTTTCTAAATTCTAACGTATCTGCGACAAACTTTATTAAATATATACGGAATTTCTAACATATTGGGTGATAAACTTTTTGAACTTGATGAAATCGTCCTCTTGTAACTGCGAGTTTAAAGTTTGCTTTAAATGGACCTTGTCAGTCGTGGCGCGAAGACTGGATCGAGTCTAATTCTGACGTCATCCAAGGTAGGAGGTAAAGGGCAAAGCATGTATTTTTTTATTGAACGATTTGAACAAACTCAAAAATTTTTGAACGGAAATGCAGCATGGATCTAGTTTTAAGATACCAGTTACCATATGAAATGCAAATTGATGACTTAGTATCATAGATGTGTGAACTTTTTGCTTTCTTCACTAACTTTTGATGAATATTGAAAATTTGTGAAATTTTTACGAACTTTACAAAATTCCCATAAATTATGTGTGTTTTATCGAAGTAATTGACGATTTCATCAAAATCATTGACGATTTCCGAGTTATTCCGGTGTTTTCCGGAAATATCCGAGGTTACCGACGTTTCTCAGAAACTTCAGAATGTAAGAAATTACATACATGAGCTTGTTGTCATTTTCGTGAACTTTTGACATAGCAAGCATTTTATTTTGAAATAATAGAATATTTTGAAATTTTATTTGGCAACAATGTTCACCACTTTTACGAGACACAGTTGTAATAAACGTTTCTTCGTCATCCAAAGATAATTAAAAAATTTGTTTTACCACTAAGCGCGAGCGAACGCTTAACTTGTGACTCCCGTTCATCACTTACCCGAAAAAATTTCAAATAAATGTCAAACGAAAAACTGCTATTTATCAATGAACACGAACTTTTATAATTTGTGAAAACGAATGCACAACTTCCAACAACTTCAAGTATGTCTCGAAAATGAATTATTTTCCGCGCACAGCTTGTCGCTTCCATTTTCAATTCAGAGGAGTTGGCAAATAAATGTAATAAAATGAGTTTAACTGGTATTAAAAAGAAATGTCATCGATGGAAAGATGTTTCTTGAATACAAATTCACCCTCTGTACGGTTACCAACCTTTATTCACTGATATTTTATCGTTGTGTACGTTATTTGAAAAATACTAGCACACAAGAACCCACGCATTTTCTCTTACTGCATCATCTTTATAATTCTCGCGGTTGACAAGCATGTTTTCTTTCCCTGTTACCGCCATATTGTTTTGAAGAGCCACATTTAGGGAAAGCTGAATTTTCAGATATAAAACGACGTAGTGGGCTGAACGGCAAGGAAAATGGTTATCATGTGCCTAAAGAAGTTAAAGTGGTTACTATTGCGGTGCTTGCTCTCTTATGATAACACGCATGCGCATAAGTCTATATTTCAAGGATCGTCAGTCGATGTTTTGATATTGATAAAAATTATCAACGGCAACGAATTATGGCATTGCAAGCACGACAAAGCCTAAAGATTAAAATTTCTGTCATTTTTCACATCTTCTGTTCTTAAATATAATCCGTTTTCATAGAAACGTAAAATTAAATCAATCAAACTGCTGCGTGATTCGTTGAAATATTAGAGATTAAATGAGGGATTAATTTCAACAAAGGAGGTTTTATTTCGGCTTAGATTTGTCTGCTTCGGTTTGCGGCTGTCTTTTCAAGCTCTTTGGGATTCGTAAACTCGAAATTAAACTTAAAATGGATGAACAAAATAGTGGATTTATTATATGTGATGTTAGTTTCAATGGACATCTTATTGCTGATGTTAAACTGCCTCGTGCGTGTAGCATGGGAAACATTGTTCAAGGTCTATGGCTTGACGACAACTTTCGCAAAACTGGCTTGGAGTATTTGAAAGCGAAAGATGAAGCGCTGAAAAACGGGGAAGAAGATGCAGCAACAAGTGGCAAAAGTTTTGGTGGAATTGATCGCTCAATATTGCGAGCTTACGGTAGGATTTTTGCTCTACTATCTATTAGTTAATCATTTTTCGTTGTACCAAAACTAAAGCCGTTGTGCTTTGAATCACTTCAACAGTTGCCATCCGCATAATGCCCGTTTGGAAATGGCTGGAATTCAAAGATTTCATCGTTGATTTTGAGAACCAGAAGGATTGTTACACTGTTGGTGATGTCTTGGGCACTCTCTGCACTGGTTTGCACAAACCTGTCATTAGAATTGTGCCAAAGAATGAGTAAGCAAAGTAACTTCTTTTCCAAGGAATTTGTCTTGGTCGTGATTTTTATATAAGTATGCTTATCTTCTATTAAGCAATGAGACTGAAGAGGTGCGGAACATGGTGAAAGAGCTTTTGAAGACCAGGACATTAACTTCCTTGACCACATCTGACTGTCCTTTATCAGCTGTAAGTCTCCATTACCATGGGGTCGTATCTTTGTTGAAATGTATTCGTTTTGTCAATAAAGCACCATGAAATCCTTTGTGAGCATGGTAGCGTTTTTGCATATTACTCCAGATTAGTAAAAATATGGGATTGGATTTCACATTGTTTATGTCACATACTAGTATTGTTTATTGAAGGGCATGCTGATGTTGATAGCCCAAGGTCGATACACAACTAACATTGGACGCGATAAATGTCAGGCATTCTTAAACTGGGTAAGGCACCAGGACCTCAAGAGCATCAACATTACAAGTAATGTTGTACAAAAGCCCACTGTCGCAGTACAAACACCGCCTGCTAATTCCCAAAGTACAAACAAAGAGATGGTGAAACAATTAAAGCCCAGGATTACGTTCTCGCAACACGAGATTGACAATTTGAATGATTGGTTTAGCGAAGAGGAGAGACCTAGCAAAGAAATCATGCTTGAATATACCGAGATTCTCAACATTCCAAGGAGAGCTGCATCCATGAGATTACTCACACCAGAGAGCATCTTTTTTTGGTTTAAAAACAGGCGTGCCAAGAAGAAACGCCAAGAATTGAGCTTGATTCAATCTTGGGAAGAAAAGAATGTGCCAATGGGTCAGGTGGCTGATGTTGCCATGACAACTGAAAATGGCAACTTATCTGTTACCATGGCAAATTCTGAAGACGAAGGAGAGGAGCAGAATCGCATTGCAAGAATCTTGACACAACAAAATATGATGAAATTGCAACTCATCACTGAGTCATCAGGAAAGACAAGGAAAATGACAAAACCTCGTGTTACCTTTGATCCTCAGACTGAACTGACAATGCTCCAGCAATGGTTTGAGCAAAATGAACGTCCCAATAAAGATATCATGATGGAGTATACAAATATCTTGAATGAGGCCAGAGCAATGAACAATAAACAGGATTTGAGCTATGACAGTATTGCCATGTGGTTCAAGAATCGTAGAGCAAAAAAAAGACGAATTGAAGAAGGTGGTTTGGTGCATATCAGTGAGAGCCAAGAGCATAATTTAGCCATGCAAGAAGACAAAAAAGAAAATAATGGAAGTCTTGACGAAGTAACAGATGTGAGCACAACTGAAGTAAAAAATTCCACATTGCCAATTGTTGCTAAAGATGATCAAAATGGTGATAAAGAAACACTTGTAAACAATGACAATGGTGAAAGAAATGTGTATAATGCTGGACTTGTTGCCATAGAAGATGCAACAATGTAGTTATCATTGTGTCATGAACACTTTTTAATTAAGATATCACATTATCTATATATATTGCATATGTAAATACGAAGATGAAATAAATGTCATGATTATGTCTGACTAGGAGTTTATGTTTTGAAGATTTTTGGAAGCATCTTGGATCCTGGAATGACTCTAAAATGGAAAACATTAAGTTACTATATAAATAATTCATGCAAAGCAGGTCTTAAGCCATAATTTTAAAGAAGAAAATTTCTATTACTTGTCATTAGTTACATGACAAATAAACTTCCAATAGCTTGGCCGCACACTTAAAGGATGAAGAAAGCACTAAAAGGCATGAAATAACATTGATTAAATTAAAATCATTTGAACCTGAAAGATTGACACTAACATAGTCAGGCCATAAGTTTTGGTCCAGCTATGTAAATTTTAGAGCATTGCTGTTATTCATTTCTTTAAAATCCATTGTTTTGCACCGAGTTTACATAAAAGGACCATATTCTGCAGTTGACTATGCCATTGCACAACAGAAGCCGCTTCTAGTCAGCAATCATGTTCCGTGGATTTAGGTATACTTGTTTGTAAAATAGTACCAGTGGGTAAGTGATTCCTATTATGAACACTTAATTATTTAATGGGGATGAATCAGGATTGAAACTGAATGGAATGAAACATGGTGCGAGGTTCAAAGAGGCCCTTGTTGTCCTCTGTGATCATACCATGTGAAAAATAGTGGCTGTTGAGATTGTGTAGACAATGACATCGACATGGGGCAGGAAAGGAATATATCCTTCAAGCTGACCATTTTTCAATACAATCTACAAAATCAAATAAAAATAGAAAATACAAGAAATATGTTAATGAAAATCTTGAACAACATTGACATAGCTAGACAATTTGTTTCAAGAACCTCTAAAACTTTCGTGAGTAAATACAAACTAATAGTTGAACTTCTGTAAAAGAGCAATGATAATCCAGATGCAGCACCTTCATGTAATAAAATAACACGTTTTGGCAGCAATGCATAGTTGTATATGAACATAAAGGTACATGCCTGCCATTAGACTATTAAGAGAATCTCTTTTCCTTCGGATTACAGTCATTAGGAATTCTATCAGCTAAAATATCAGAATTTAAATGATTTTGGAGTGACAATGTACAGGTAGCCAACAATAAATTATTGCTAAGTACTTGGAATGTGGAGACAAAGCTACCAAGAAAGAATCCCAAATAGAAGTTGCTCTTGTCCAAAAGATGCGTTGGAATTTTTCCTGAGTACAGAAATAAGAACAATATCAAAAATATGTACAAGCAATCAAAATCCATGTTTTGCAAATATTTTCTTACTGGGCATTGAAATGGATTTAAGAATTCTAGGCAAAACTTCCACCAAATAACCAAGTGAAAATGCTTTAAAAGGTGCTAACAATCTTAAATGAAGACATGTTGAATGCATCAACTAAATGCATAAATTATATATTATTCTTAGTGCATACACACCTGCGATAAATATTTTTATAGTCAATAACCAAGTGATTATTTGAAGGACCATTAGAATCACCATTGGCTTTTTCATTAAGAAGAAATCTAAGTAGGAAATGACAACCATGCTGAAGAAAAAATGTAGGAAAGTTCATGCAAGATGTCAAAAAGAAGGGAAAAATTATGCATACCTCACAATACTTCTCAAAAATCCATTGTTCAGCTTGTTTTTCCTTGAACAATTATTTCAGTTCAGAAAATCTAGTTTCACTTTTCTACGTATGATCATATGCCAATATTACCTGTACAAGTACATCAATAACCCAGTAGCACAACAGAATATGTACACCTTGAAAAAGATAGTGCATTTTAAAAGGCAACCCAAACATAGTGCAATTTTCATGTCTTTCAAATGCTAATGTCTTTTTTAAATGAAATGCATTTTGATCATTCTATTTGCTAGTAAGCAATTTCATTTCATTTCATTTCATTTCATGCTACCCTAGCTCAACGCATTTGTCATCTTAACATTACAACACCCTCCTCAAAATAACATGACAATAATTACTTCTCCATATGGTACTTTTTTGATGATGTTATTTTGAACAAGTGCATTGAAGACAGCTTCGATTGCCTGGGTGAAAGATAATTATATGTTGTAAGATCAACACTATTACTATTTCTAAACTTGCTTTGAAGTAGAATTAATTTGGGTTTTACATTATTGAACGTATATAATGCCAAGAGGCCACGCCGTTGAGGTCTTTCCACAAGGATTGCAGAGTAGCTTGCAATGGCTGCGGGTATAAAGCAAGACGTGGGATATGTTAAGACCCCAAGAATTTTCCTATACAAATTATAAAATTATTACTCAGAAAAAGAATGATTCGAAAATCACTTACGTATGTACATTAACAGTAATTGCTTACCGTACCTGAAAAGGCAGATGAGTGCCACAAAGAGACCTCCATTTATTGACAAGAATGTGGTGGATTGTAAAATTTCAGGGAGCAACTCTTTTTTGAAGTATTCCCAATTCTTGCGTCTGAGAAATGCGGCGAACTGGAATACACGTGCTTACTTTAGCGACACAATGTATCAAAATTAGAAAATTTTTTGGATGAAAAACCTACCAAGTACAAGCTGCCATACATTTTAAAAGATCGCCTGAAAATAGAAGAGAACACTTCTAGAGCGACATAACTAGAAGAGCTTGACCAAGGATGAAATGCTTTCTCGCTGGTAATCCTCGAACACTTGGAAAATGCAACCATGTTGACAGACCATTACGTTCAACAAATGGCATTGGCGTTTAGGTATCATGAATTTTTTACATGATAATCACATGCGGTTAGATAATCTCATACTTAAAAACATTTATACCGAAGTAAACTCGATATTTATAAAATAATTAAAATTACATATTTACAAAGTATATTAATTCATTGTTTTTATCGTCGGTTCACATAATGAAAGTGAATCTTACAAAAATTTATCCCACAAAATCAACCTAGCCGACTTAGCTCAGTTGGGAGAGCGTTAGACTGAAGATCTAAAGGTCCCTGGTTCAAATCCGGAGAGCTCGTATTGAGTTCTGAACATTCCCGGGAGTCGGCAAAGGTTATGTTTTTTTCTGAATATACTTTATTTTTAATACTTTTTTATTACACTCTTTTACTTTTTTTGGAATTTTTATATCTGAAATAACGTTTTAAATTATTATCATAACAGCGTTTTTGCGCGAAGAATTATGATTTGTTTTATGTATATTCGCCCCATTTTTCTCAAATGAGAATACGTCAACCCAAATTTTCACAGGAAAAGAAAATGTTCTGCATATTATTTGGGATGACCACACATAATTGAAGGGTAGTTCGCGAGAGCCCCCTGTTAAATATTTGCAATACACGCTTCTGCATTCTATGCCACAAGCACAAAATCTGGGTACAAATAGATGTGGGCTGACAGTAATGTTAATCATTTACTGTACTTTCTTGTACAACTTTTCTTTTCATATTAACCAGTGGTCGACAAACAGATATGTAATTCACAGCTCATGGAACATAACTAAACAGTCAAAATCCTGTTTGCAGGTCAGTGACACAATCATTGACTTTTTTTTGCTTTTATTATGTGTATTCGAATGTTATTTACAATTGGTGTCTAGTCTATTCTGATGGTATAAACACAATTCATCCATGCATATCATGAATATGAAGTTCGATTCTAAAATTGTCATGCCAGACAATTACTTATACAGCCCTTTACAGCATTTCTACAAAATAAATCATGTTTTTATTTTGAATTAAGTTATCAAAAAAGAATGATCAATTTTGTCAAGCTCACCTTGCATATGGAATGTATGATAAACAATACCAAGTCATCGCAAGGTATTGTAGGATTGCAAATAAAATTGCCAAACCACCATTTTTCCACTAAGGGAGGAATAAAGAAAATTCCTTACTTATGAGTCGAACTCTTTTTTAAAACCAAGCTACTTACCCATAATCCTGCACACAAAGTTAATGCAATGCAGGACTAAAAAGGATTGATAACAAATTATTTCATGTTATTGCTTGAATGTTTTAGTAAGCAAAAAATTGTTTTGCAAAATACCAGCATAACAATTGTTGCAATCAATCTCTTTTCTTTAAACATATTCTTCAGCTGTTTCACTGGTCCCGTAAGAAAGAATGAGCTACGAATAATAATTAAATATTAAAATATGGTAGTAGATCATGTAGCATTGTGCATATTGTGTTGTTCATACCTGCCTAAGGCTGTAAGATTGCCAAACGTATAGAAAACAGCAAATAGTTTATATTTACTTTGGAAAATCATCACAATCCCCTAGATAAGAAATTTTAAGTCATGGATGGCAAATAGACATTTATCAATGAGACCTTGGAGATGCAAAGTTACCCAATTGAAGGACAATGGCGGAAAACATATTTTTTGCTTAGTTGTAGGTAAATGACATACTGTTAAGTTTATACAACATATTTACTTTACTGACACAGCATAGCTCCTTGCATTTTATGAGAAACAAAATTGCTTTGCTCAGAATAAAAATGTTCAAACTCCGTAATAATGCTTTGTTTTGAATGTTGCATATCTTCCATCTTGTAACACTGACAGAAGTCATGCAAAAGATAAAGGCTCAAAACTTGACAAATCGTAAGTGAAACTGGGAAAAGTGATCCCAGGGGCACAAACGTTTATCTCATGGCAAAAATCGTGGGCTGTTTTGCCCAATTTCCAGTTCGGTAAAGGCCTAACTTAGACAAACATAGCAAATGTACTCACAAGTAAAGTAAAACCAATTCCAAGGAGAAAACAGATTATGAATCCCTTGATTCTTGTTGACCAACTCAAAGTAGTGGCATCAGAAATCTATTTAAGCAAGATTTAGTACGAAACATCATTGCGAAATTTGGAAATACCACTGGCATATAAAACAGGTTAAATCAACAATTAATCAGGCAGAACAAGATATAAAATTGCTTTGTAAGTGGTCGAACATTTATCGAGGACAAAACCGCGAAAAAACGTTGACCGACGATAAAAATGATCATTTATATTTCTCCACCTCTGTGATTAACGAGTTTTCGTCATTTTCTTTGCCAGTTACTGCCGACTTTAACTTTTGTATAGTACTCGGTGCCATCTTCGTCAGTTCGTTTGTGTGATGATGACGTAGTGATATCATGCAAGCTCCCTTCCCCCCCTGATATAAAACTATTCCTAATAGTTATTTGCATTGATTTCAGGTAAGGTTGAGAGTTTGAGATTATGTAAAACTAATTAACCAACAACATGCAAGTTCGTGTTTGTCTGCTCAGCCACTGTAAGTTAGTGAAATTACTAAAATGAATGGCCGGGAACTTTTGAATTCAAGAACTGTGAAATTGAGTAAAGTTATTTTAGCGGTTTCCTCCCATTCGCTCAAGTTTGTTATTGTCTTGCGCTTCATATAATTAATTAATTTGCTTTTGCAGATATCTTTACGAAATATTATAGAATATGACAAACCAGAGAATTATTTGGAGAACTTCTAACAATGCCTATGAAATAGAAGAGAATGTGAGGAGGAATTTTTGCCTAACGATGTTTTTATTATGACACTTCATGTCGAAACTTCACTGTCCATTTGACATTTCTCTTTCATTTAGGTAGAGGTAGAAGCTCCAACAGCTCACGAGGTCATAATCAAAGTCAAAGCGTGTGTCTTGGATGAAGAGCCAGACATTGAAGTATGTTATAACGGGATTATGTGTTAGTTATTGCCAGGGGTGCACATCCCCCAAAAGACTGGGGAGCTTCTTTGTTCAAGAACCAACTTTTGCAGCACCAATATGTAATAGAAAAATCCAAAATTTTTAGTCAAGTTAAATTTTTTTATCTTCTATCAGTTTCTGGATAGCTGGGCTGCTGGGGTGTCATACTACCCCCTCCCCCCCACACACACCCGTAATATACCTGCTGGTCATTGCATACTTGGTTTACTAGCAAGTGTGAAAAGTGCAAGTGTGCAAGTTTTTCAACACTATTTGATTTTCACACGATCACACCAAAAGAAATTATTGTTTTGATGGTGTGAAAAGCAACTTGTATTATGTAACGGCTCTCATAAACTGATCAATAATGCCAGATTATTTGTATTCACATAAGTTTAACACACATAATACCAGCTGTACTGAGTAAATTATGTAGCTATCCAATTCCAAGTTTAGCATGCCTCATTACTTAGTGAGTTACATGCATATCCATACACATAAACGCTGCTTGTGTTTAATCCAATCATAGAAAGAAAATTTCTAGATTACTTTTCAGGTTGGATTAGTAGAACTGAAGCTTTATCTAAGGCCTGCAGTTTGTGTTTTAAAAAGTGTTTTTTCACAGTTGTTACAAGAGTTCAAGATTATTGACAATGATGTAGTTCTTATTGGTCGCAAGATTTCTGGTGTTGTTACTGAGGGTGAGCACTGTTTAATAATATATCATGATAAAAAACCATGTTCTAATAGTTTTTTGTGTGTGTGTTTTTTTTTGTTTAGTTGGTGAAGGCGTATCTAGATTTAGCATCGGCGATGAGGTTGTGGGTAATTGGCCTGTTGAATCTCAAATATTTCCTATTGCTTACAAAAACTAAATGTTTCTGTGATGTCTAAGGAATGATTCCACCAAACACCTCAAATTGTGGTTGTGCTCATTTCTGTGCAATATCGGAGTTCAATATTGGTAAATATGATTTATATATCAATAGGGAACACTTGATATTCATCAATGAATCTAGTATAAATTTAGTATGTGTAGATCTAACTGGTATAATGCATCATCCATACTTGTCAAGTTATTTAGCTTATCTGGCATATAGCCTTATGAGTTTGTAGACAGTTTGTATTTGATGGTTGGGTTTTTGATAAAAAAAAACAATAAATAAAGTCAAGCTTGCGGCGCTTGCCAGCAGCAGCTCCCAGCGGTGTGTGAGAAGTTATTTTATCTTCATGTTAGTACTTTTTATTTCAGTGAAAAAGCCAGAAAAAATCAACTTTGCTGATGCCGCATGCTGTATTGGTGATGGTTTGAGTGCGTACACTGCACTGCATTATCAGGCAAAACTGGCTGGTGGCGAAACTGTGTTGGTCATGAATGGCGCATCTGTAAGTTGTTAATCATGAATAGCATTGATTAGAACTTGTTAAATGAATAGGTTGTATTGCCTTTTCCTTGTTTTGTAATGTTTTTGTCTTTCTAGGGTCCTGGTATCATGGCTATTCAATTGGCACAAAGTTGGGGTGCAAAAGTAATTACTACAGCTTGTAGTGAGGAAGAGAAATTGCTTTTGCAAGGCATCAAACCTGAAATTGGTTGGTATTTTGTATGTATGTTTTGAAAGAGATTTATTCATGTTTAAGTAAATTTTGTACTTTGAGTAGAAGAGAAGTGAAAAAAGGATCATTGCTTTAGAAAGAAAAGGAAAGGCAAAAAGGAAGGAGGGAGAAAAGGAAAAGGGAAAGGAAAGAGGAGAAGAAAATAAGGGAATGAGAGAAAGGAAAAAAAAGGAGAAGAGAGATGTGGTGAAGAAGTCAGTAGGAGAGATAGTTCAATAATGTGTAACAATCTAAACAACTTGTAAGGGTGATGGACAAGCCGAAGGAGGGAAATGTGGATCACTAGCTGCTTAGTGCATCTCTTGAAAATACATTTTTTAGTTACCAATATTTGATTGTTTGAATTGAATAGGAAGAATCGTCGACTTGACAAGTGGTAAAACATCATTGCTTAACATATGCTTGGAAGAGACGGGAAGCACTGGTGTTGATTGTATCATCGATTGTGGAGGTAAATTCACGCATTTTCATTAAACTTTGTTGTATTTTTACGACAATTTGAGTTTTATATGTAGTTGAACAGTTTCCGAACGATATCGCTAAAGAATCTAAGCATGGATGTAGTGTGTTACCATCGAAACATGATCTTATTCTAAGCTTAGCTGTTGGTGGACGATGGATAACAAAACAGCATGATCTACAGGTCAGGTTATGCTGTTTTAGAAAAATAAGATTTCATGATAAGGATCTTGATAAAATATATCACAAATCTTTTTTTATCTTCCGTATGTTCCAGTTAGACCCCCCTCATTCAAAGATGCTCTATCTTAAAGGGGCAACCATTGCGTTTCATTTTACACATTCATGGACATTGGCAAAAGGTTTGTAAGCTTAAACAGAAGTGTCTTTCTAGTCTGTTGTTTGAGCTGTAATATAAAGCCTGAATCGAAAGCGCCAGAACAACAACAAAAACAGGAAACGCTTTTCTTCATTTTGCCAGATTTTGTTATTTTTGTCTATACAGCAAAGGCGTGACCTTTCTCTGTCATTTCTCAAAAGCGTTTTTGTAATTTGGTAAATTGTAGCTATTCACACGGTCCTTATTTTAAATTTTGAAGACATTTTGCATGGCCGTATAAAAGTTCAAATGGGTTTCTTCGAGGGTTAAAACTTCGTCGAAACCAGCTGAATTTTTAACAGCAAAAGTTTCTCCTCGTGACTGGAAAAGGAGAAGCATCGAATTTTTCCGTATGTGACTTGTGACCTGTCCCAGACCCGGATCCAGTTTATTTTTTGTAAATGTTACCTTGTGATATCGTTTGTATTATTATACAAAAACAAGTCATATTTCGTAGACCGACTTTGCAGTTAACACGAAAAGAAATTGCCCCATTTCAAAAAGTATCATTGCAGCCAAACTCTCTTCCCAACATCTGCTTTGTATCGCCAAGTTGTTGCAAATATTTCAAGAATTTTACTGTTAGTAAATGTTGCGATAACCCCCGGGTTCAAACCATTTACTTCATATGTTTTTTTTTCATTAGTAAAATTCCAAGGGTGGGCGGAAACAACACAGCAGGAATTTCATTCATACAAGTTTGCCGGAATAAATGAGTTTACAAGGCGTAAAAAAATTTTTTTGAATCTACTATTCATACTACTTTAATGCCACAACGCTGCACCGTGCCTTTGGAAATCATGAACCTCGATTCAAGCGTAGATTATAGGAACTTTGGATACTTACGTCAATTCTAATGGTCAGCCTTTTTTGTTCATACAAAATGACACAATGGATTAAAATTGTAATATGTTATAAACGTTTGACTACCATTGTTTGGCTTTTTAATCAACAATAATTTTTACAGTGTGTAGAAAAAAGTCAAGCACTTGACGTTCATGAATTTATCCTTTCATTTACAATGCAAAAATGTTTGCTCTAAAACCTGTTCAATCAATGCCGTAGCCATCGTGATAATTGAGAAGGGGAGCAGTATTCATATATGCATGTTCCTCCGTATTAAGTTCATTTGAAATCGATTGTTTTCTGCATATTATAGCACGACACTATGTTCAACTGTACGATTATTGAATCCCGTTTTACAAGAAACCAAAAATCTGTTGTGCTTTAGAACAATGTTCATTTAAGAATATTAATGAAAAATCTTTTAATTTTTGACGCATCCTGTATTTCTTAATTAGTTATTCAACAGTGAACAATCAAGACGTAACTTTGTTTCACGTTAATACAAATTTACAATCATATTTCATTGGTTATATTTTCACAGGGCAACAAGGTCGTTTTCTGCGTATCCTTGTAACAAATGTATCTTGACGGCAAACTGCATGCATGCATGTCTTGTCTTGAGAATGACATTTGATGTTTCTTCTTTGACTGATGAAATGAAGACATTCTTACTGATTTATTGGACAAAGTGGCGACAGGAATATTGAAGTGAGTTTGTTTTTGGTTTGTCTTGTTTATGTATTACTTTCATTCCAACTTCACCATGTAAATTGAGTTGGGTATGTTTTTTTAATTACTTTGATTCCTTCACTCGCGCTATCTGTATTCGACAATTTTTATCATCTCTACTTAACTTATACGACGTAATTTTCAACTTCCATCTCATTTTTTTTGTTTGACGATTGTGGAACTTTTCGTGGAATTTTTCATTCTTAAAAAACCACGTCCGTTCTAAGAATCCACTAATTAGTGTCCAAGTCGTTAGAGTAATTGATATTGTTTGTTGTACTGTTTCTAGACCAATAACACACCATACTGTCAGTTTTGAAGACGCCTGCTTGACATTGGCAAATTTAAACGAGTACAACATTGGCAACGTCTTGCTTGTAATGTAGAAAATATTTTTCGTGTTGTATTTTTTATAAACATGTGATTGAAAATGGCTTGGAATGTAAACAATCGTAAACTATAATGAAAACTCCAATGGATTTCCGCGTTGTCACGCGCTTTCATTAATAAGAGTTTGTACACACTTCCGGACCTGTAGTTAATATATATATAGTAATTTCCTGATGTGTGTAGACATTGTTTGTAAAGTGTCTGCGTTGGGTTTTACTACACAGCGATGTCTTTATCCATCAATAACGGATCTACTGAACGAGATAGCGGAGTACCACTTTCGCAGGGGCACTCTTACGTTAATGGATTAGGCAATGATTTTCATGGCGATGTTTCGGTACGCATGGTTGTGCAGAACCGTCCCATGTGGCATTATGTGGACGATGGCGAAACAGTCGAACTTTTTGTAACATTTAACGAAGGAATCAAGGGTATGCCTTATAACGGGTCTTCACATGATAATGATGATGGCGAATGGGATTATGAGGTACTAACAACGTCGTACGTTTACATCTTATACCATGTATCCATCGTCTGAAGTATGAAGTTAAAAATTGATTTGAGGTGTTCGTTTCTTCTGCAGCAACCGCAAGTTGCACTTCTTTCCATTTTTTAGGTAGATCTTGCTAATGAAAACGTTCGTTTGAAACCTCTTATGTGCTTCGACAGACGTAAAATGTTCAAAGCCACGGCTGTAATAACTTCATCTACGGAAAATACCCTAGTATCTGGGCAACCCGTTCCCTTTCGTTTGGAATACAGAAAAGATGAAATGGCACCGCCGACTAAAGTCTTTGAAGTAACAGATCCTAACCTTCCTGTTTATTATCGTAAGTATATATGTGAATGGATGAGGGATATGAGAGGGTATATGTAAACGTTTTTTGACTTTTATACGTAATTGAGGATGGTGCATCAGGATATGTGAAGAATTAACGAGGCTTTGGCGAAAAGATAAATCTTTAGTTATGAATGCTTTTGTTTATAATCATTGATTTAATAAATATATATGTAAAGCAAATATAGATACATGTATTTGAACATTGTATTTCTTAATTAAGTTGAATATTACATACCACGGTCGGAGGAGGATTTTATTGGATTAAGGACTTCATGAAGCCTTTGCAGTCTTGTGAAATGACAAGATATTCGTTCCATTTTCAACTCGGTTTTATTTGGCAGCCTTACTCCGTAGTAAATATGAATAAATTGTCTTGTTTACCTTGACATATAAAACAGGCTGTGTAGTTAAAATAAAATATAACTGGACTGACGACGAAAGATTATATTCCTTTGTGGATGAAGATGTTTCCAAGTTTAATGTTAGCCTAATGCTATTTGACCTTTGTATAGTTTTGTCTACATAGTGTGTCACGCACTCATAAGCAACTAGGCCAATTTTTTACAATTCCATATTTTGTTTAGAGCCTCTTTGGAAAAACCTCATAGAGAGAGACAATACCATCTTAAAGTGTATCACAAACTACGAAGACACTCGGACTCCAGACGTTAGTAAAAACATTTTAACAATCTTTATGTGCGCTTTCTTACGTAATTTGAACTGTGTATATTTATTTTAGAGCGATGAACCTGACGGCCAGCTTCTCGACTACAATGACGGCCAGCCTGTCCAGCACAATGTAAGTTGTGAAAATGGGGCGAAGTTAAAGGTGCAAGAAATGGAAAACGAGAAAGAGACGACTTTCAATATGTTTGATAGTAACTCCAGAATATTAGATTTACTATATTTTATCACAGGCGTTTTTAAAAGCTCGTTGCATCTGTCTGTCTTGATTCGAGTTTTTATGTTTTTCGTGTGATTCGAGTTTTTGTGATTTTCGAGTTTTTGAGTATTTTGCGCTGTAAATATGAATTTGTTTTTTGTTCTTTTAGTACACTCGGTCAATCTCTCCAGTTCAATTAGCAAGCGACGACTTCTTCCTTTACTACACGAGAAAAGCTGTAAGCCGTTCTTCAAGTCACAGAATCCTGTATTGAGACTTATCCGGGAACTTATGGTGACACCGCTGACCAACTTTACCGGATTGAGCTTGTATTTTCAACTTTACCTCGTGGAAATATTTCATGTGAAATTTTTCACGAAAGTCGGTCATTATCTCTGCATGGTACGTATGTGGTTTTTCATTGCTCGCCGTTGTTGATCTAACTATGGTGGGTGCCTTAGTAAATGCTGTAACGGTACACAATATGTGTGTGGTAATTACATAGTTTTTGGTGGGCTTCATAGTGAATTTAGCCATGGTGCATTGTATGTGTGTTGTGTTTCACGGACCCATGTGTCTACATAACTTTTATGGGTGTCTCTGGGAATTTTGTAATGGTCCATGGTGTGTGTATGGTGTTTCCTAACCACTGTTTTCTTTATTGTTTTGATGTGTTTCATAGTAAATTTTGTAATGGTACATGATATGTGTGTGGTGTTTCACTAAAGAGTCATTGCCACATTAAAAACGTAAATGACGATAATGTAAGTCCATGAATTCGCACCACAAATGCGCTCATCAATTCAATTTTTCTTTATTATTAGCCACTAATCGTTCTTCTAATGGCGACGTGGTGTGCGCAGTGGCGTTTAGTTGGTGACTATGGATTTCAAGACGTCAGTGTATTCATTGTAAATGGAACATTCATATTTGTGTGCGTCCTTCAACTTTGGTATTTTATCTGGGGCTGTATTTATCATATGAAGTTATTTGTGGTAAGATAGTTCTTAATTTTTTAGAAAATAGAATCGTGATTGATTTTATCGGAAATAGTCATCAGCATCACAATGATCTGTCCATGTTTTAGATGTTAATGGCCTGGCCGCTTTTCTTTATATATTTACTGGCCAACATGTTTTTTCAAATCGCGGTTATCAATTCTTATTGGCGGACGGACAACCTAACCGTTAAAGACGTTAAAGAGATCTGTGGAGGAAAACGTGAACATTGGCATGATGTCATTACTTTGGCTCATTTCCATGTCCTTTGGTATTTGAATCCGCTTTACTGGGCTTTATTCTTCTCCTTTTTGCAAGCGCTCAGTCATGCTTTTGAGGGTACGTATTATTAACATAGAAAGCGACATCATTTGTTCTCTACCACTTAGTGACGTCATCTTACTCTAAACGTGAATTTAGTTGACACATTTAATTGTGACATGAATCATGTCATGGGGGGGGATGGTCTTTTCGTATCTTTAAAACATTAAATGGATATTCTGTTACATAAACCTAAGCATTTACATATGTCGACGATATTCGTGATATCGTAAGAGTTTGTTTTTTATTTTTGTTTTGAACTTTAGACAAACTTCCCCCTCGCGTTTCTCAAACTGCACATTGGTTGGATTTGACAACAATATTGAAAAAAAAAGGATTTGGTAATTTCTGTTTCATTATTCTTTCACAGTCCTTTTTTGGAACTATTAATGAGGTAATATGCTATTTGTGGATTCTGTCCACAGGTTTATGTTTTAGGTAGTGTAAAGAAAATTCTCCTTCTCTGTTGCTTATTGATCACTACCTAAACTGACACACGTTAGCTTAGTTTATATTTTAGTTTGTGTAAAGACTGTTCTCGTTTTCTGTTGTGCATTCGTCACTACCTACACCGACACACGTTAGCTTAGTTTATATTTTAGTTTGTGTAAAGACTGTTCTCGTTTTCTGTTGTGCATTCGTCACTACCTACTCTGACACAAGTTATCTTAGTTTATATTTTAAGTAGTGTAAAAGACCAAAGACTGTTCTCGTTCTCTGTCTCATTCATTACTTACATTCACACTATTGGCGTAGTTCATTATTATTTTACTTATCTTTCTTTATTATTTTCAAGTTTATAGCCAGCCCTCGTCTTTTGCCGCTGCTTTTGCTTCGTATTTGCTACAATCTGGGTTACGAAGAAAAACAATGGGTGAAATTTAGAACTTTAGTTGACGAATGCCTTAAATTTGGTGAGTACACTTTTCACCAACCGCTATTATTATTAGCTCATGTTATGATCTACATCTTTTTGAATCTCCAGTTTTGATCCACGAACCTTTAATTCTTTACTTTTGAACTACTATGCCCTAATTCTGTGTTTGATTTTTATTAAGTTTGGATGCAGAATCTTTTCGTAATCTTTTGCTTGTTTCTTATTTTCAGGTGACCCAGCAATCGACTATATTGGGAGAGGTGGTGCGAAGTGGCCGAAAAATTCAACGAGTCGAGTGCAGGTATTTGTAGCATTTAGTATTCAATGACTTCATGTTGGCCATACTGTTTGTTGTTTAATGTGATTTTTTTGCATCAAACATTTCAGATCGTATAGAAGAAAGCATAAATATGTTTCAACGGTGTCTTTGTGAGAAACAGAGGAGCATTTTAAATTATCCAATGTCTCATCAGGAAAATGAATGTACCGACGAACTTAAGTCCTTCATTTATCTCAGACATTGTCTGACAAAATACAAGATTCAGGCGGCAGCCTACGGGCCGTTCACACATAAAGATTCAGAAAATCTTCAACTCAATGATGATTTAATGATGAAAGACTTTCCAGATAATCCAGCTTTCATAAAATTTTTGAAAGAGGTAAGATCGCATTTCGCCGAAATGGAGTATAGGTTTGTGATGGATTGTAAACTGAATCGATTGTGAACGTCGTAGTAAAGGACATTGTATGGTCACGTTATATATTCTATTGTTTTTACTTAGTTATTCTTCGTGAAACTTTAAAATGAAAACTTTATAATGAATTATGTGCAAATTTTTGACAACTTTCATTTTCAATCATCGCGTCCCATGATTTTAGATGCTTTCTCGATTTATTTGATTCTAAAAAAGATCTGTTCATTGTAGTTGAAGAAATTAAATTAACATAATTATAAAATGACGTGGTGTCTGTCTGGTGGCCAACTTTTACACCTTACTTGTGTTAATTTCGTAGAGAGCTTATTTTATTAACGATTACGAAGACTGAAACGAGATTTCTAAAAAAAACGTTACACTTTTAGTACGTGATTTTAACTGGCACGATTGCCTTTAATTGACTTTATTTTCTACACTCGTCTCCAGGAGTCTTATCCGTGTCTCAAAACACAACATTAGCAATTTTTGTTTTTGTTATTTTGTTACACGAGACATATCCTGTAAAAAAGCGTGCCTCATTATGTTATATTTGCAGTTAAGAATTAAAAATGTGCATACTTCTTGTATTATTACTTTTGATAAAGAACCGCATTTAGATTCAGTTTCTTGCTTCAGAACCGGGGGCGAAACTAGAACGCTAATTGGGGGTTAAATATTCATATATTGAGCTCTGCCCTGCTGACTTCTTTTGAAATTAACATCGCAAACAAAGAAATCAGCAGGGCAGAGCTGAATAAATCGATATTTACCTCCCCCAATTATCGTTCTAGTTTCGCCCCTTTTCAGAACCTAGTAACTTTGAAATTCATGGTCAAAATTCTTGCATGTTATGTTTGTTTGTAGATTCCATTCACTAAATTCAATTCACTAAATAGAATGGTAACATTAACTCAAGTTTTAACATCAGATCACTTCTAATGAAGACACTAAAATGGGGGTCTTTAAAGACTAAAGTTCTCATAATAGATCACGACCGGTGAAGACACTATACTGGAACCTATAAAGACTTAAGTGTTAACATTAGATCACTTCTGATGAAGACACTATACTTCAGTACATAAGTACTCAAATTTCAGCATCACCTTGCTGTGATGAAAAGGAACTGTTAGTGCGAGTCACCGAAACTAAAATTTGTTATAAGTTTGATTGTGTTCGAGAAAAAATTCTCTTCAATTTCATTTTGAGCAGCAGTTATGAACAAAAATATTGCCTCATGTCACCTTTTTTGTGTGAAGGGAGAAAGGAAAATAGAAAAAGGAGAAGGAGAAGTAAATAAGAATGCAGAAGAAGTAAATAGGAATGCAGAAGAAGTAAATAGGAACGCAGAATAAGTAAATATGAATGCAGAAGAAGTAAATAGGAATGCAGAAGAAGTAAATAGGAATGCAGAAGAAATAAATAGGAATGCAGAAGAAGCAAATAGGAACGCAGAAGAGAAGGACGTAGAACAAAATGAATGGTGAAACACGGAGAATAAAGAACAGAAATAGGAAGAAGATCATGCAATGAAAAGTTGAAAAAACAGTACGGGAGAGAATTTTCCAAAGTGATTTCAATGTGACGTATCAATTTAGAAATAGTTCTAAAGATAGCAAATACCATAGCAAATACCAAGAACTTATTCTATTACTTTTACCATTCACTATGGTATTTGCTATCTTTAGAACTATTTTCAGATTTTTCACCACGACAAAGTCTCTGTTTTATTATTTAACAATTTAAAGTCATAATAGGGATAGACAAGGGGAAAACGTGGACAACTATCAGGTTCATACATCTCTTGAAAATTGATTTGTAAGTTACCAATATTTGATTGTTTGAATAGGTGTGGAATTGTCGACTTGACAAATGGTAAAACAACACTGGCATTGCCAGCCCGCAAATTCCGACTTTCTTTGCTAATTTTTTTGTGTTTACTTGTTCGAAAAACAATGTATTTCTAAAAGAATGAATAATGATGATGTTCTGAATTGTATATCAGGAGCAAAGCTTGCGAACTTGCTATACGCGGCTGTAAAACATCATTGCTTTAACATATGTTTGGAAGAGACTGGAGTCGAATGTAGCATCGATTGTGGAGGTAAATTCACGCAATTTCATTAAGATTTGTTGTATTTTTATGACAGTTTGAGGTTTGCATGGAGTTTTTATATCGCTGTAGAATCTAAACATGGATGTAGTGAGTTACCATCGAAACATGATCTTATTCTGAGCTTACCTGTTGGTGGACGATGGATAAGAAAAAAGCATGATCTGCAGGTCAGGTTATGCTGTTTTAGAAAAATAAGATTTCATGATAAGGATCTTGATAAAATATATCACAAATTTTTTTATCTTCCGTATGTTCTAGTTAGACCCCTCATTCAAAGATACTCTATCTCAAAGGAGCAACCATTGCGTTTCATTTTTCACATTCATGGACATTGGCAAAAGGTTTGTAAGCTTAAACATAAGTGTCTTTCTATCTTGTTATTGCAAATCCTGAGCCGAAAACCGAAGTCAAATCATTGTGACAGAATAAGGTTGATTTCCAAAGCTGTGCACCCCTGTATATTTCATCACTACAGCGCCGATTTTTAGTCATTTCTTGAAAACGGTATGGCAACCATAATAACTTGTAGTTGTAGAAATTCCGCCATAATGTTTTTTTGTGTTTTCAATTGTTCGCATTTATAAGTTTTGACAACTGAAAACAAAAAGTATTAAATAAAATTGCGACGCCTAATGATAATTTTAATGTCGGTGTAGGTTTTTTCCCTGGCTCTACACGTATTGTCACATTTCAAATTGCATCATCTTTTTTACACTGTCTCTACACGCATGGTCACATTTCAAATTGCATCATCTTTTTACATTGGCTCTACACATATTGTCACATTTCAAATTGCATCATCTTTTTTACACTGGTTCTACACGTATTGTCGCATTTCAAATTGCATCATCTTTTTTACACTGGCTCTACATGCATGGTCATATTTCAAATTGCATCATCTTTTTTACACTGGCTCTACACATATTGTCACATTTCAAATCGCATCATCTTTTTTACACTGGTTCTACACGTATGATCCCATTTCAAATTGCATCATCTTTTTTACACTGGCTCTACACGCATGGTCATATTTCAAATCGCATCATCTTTTTTACACTGGCTCTACACGCATGATCACATTTCAAATTACATCATTGCAACAAAACGGTACTTTTCTGAATCCAGATGTTTGCGGGGATATCCCGAATTGTAATTTTATAGCTTGTTTTTTGTTATTTGTAAACACATTCCGAGGATTAGGAATTTACAAAGATAATATTTCATTGCCACAACACCGCACTGAATTCATTCGACATTATTGAATTTCAATAAATTATTTCATGTTCTCGTTTGACATTAACGTGTGAGAAATTTTTCGTGGAAGTATTCGTTCTAAGAATCACTTCCGTCATAAGAACCATGCTGTTATTATTGCATCGATATTGTGTAAGTAAGTATTTATTGACCAAAATACACTCTATACTGTCGGCTTAAGACGCCTGTTCGACATTGGAAATTAAAGTGAATATCATATCTAGAACTACTTGCTTGGATTGTAAAAGAAATTATGCTGTGTTTTGTTGTAAATCATGCGATTGAAGGTTGTATAACAATGTTTCAATGTATTCTTTACACACTAAAAGGGACTTTCCCCATAATCACGCGCTTTCGCTGTCATGTCATGTGAGTTTGTAATCTCTTCCGGACTTGAAGTGTACCTATATAAAATACCTTGCCAACTGGAGCAGACAGTATTTGTAACGTCTGTGCGTAAGGTTCTACTACACAGCAATGTCTTCATTATATAATAAAGGGTTTACACAAAACGATAGCGGAGTACCACTTTCGCAGGATTACGCATCCATTGATGGTTTCAGCTATGATTTTGATGTTGATGTCACAGTACGCATGGTTGTAAAAGACCGCGCTATGTGGCATTATGTTGACGATGGCGAAACAGTCGAACTTTTCGTAACATTTAACGAGGGCTTCCAGGGTATCCCTTATGGCTACTTTGGTCACTCTTCATCGGGTGGAGATAGTGGCGAACGCGATTTTGAGGTGAGTAACCACGTCTATAACATCCAAAATATGGTGATAAAATTTTGCTCTAAAATCCAGCGTCATCTGCGACTTCAAATTGTCTACTGTGCACTTTAGGTCGATATAGCTGGTCAAAAAATCCATCTTAAGCCTCTTATGTGTTTTCCACTCAAACACTGTACCATGTTCAAAGCTACAGCTGTTATATCGTCATCTCCGGGCAATACTTTGGAACCTGGGCAACCTGTGCCTTTCAACTTGCAGTACAAGAAGATCGGATGTGATGCTTCTTATGACGTCATTGAAGTAACTGAACCCAACATTCCCGTGTATTATCGTAAGTTTATGTGTAGTGTACGTTGGCTATAATGGTGTATAAAAAAATCGGCGTCTTGTATACGTAAATTCGGAGAATACATAAGGACATTTGAGGAATTAACGAGGGCTTAAACAAGTAGTCTATGTGTTGTTGATGATTGTCAATTTACTAACGATATACGTAATGCAAATGAGTATATGCCTAAATGGTTTTGGCTCTTACTTAATTTACAATAATTATAAATAGACTGACGAAACTCTATCTAAAGATTCCTTAGGCAGATAAAGCAAACTGCAGAGGTTGTTTTCCATGTTTCATGTAAAATATTTGTAGACGTAAGACCGTTCATCAGGCGAGTTTCTGGACATTTACATATTTTGTTTAGAGCCGCTTTGGAAGAGACTCATAGAGAGGGACAACAGCATGATGCAGTCAATCACAAACTATGAAGGCACAACAATTTTTCGTCCAGACGTAAGTAAATGTTAACAATCTTTAGTTGCGCTTCCTTGCGTAATTCGATCTGTATGTCTCTATTTCAGAGCGACGAATCCGACGGCGAGGCTTTGGAACAAAGTGTAAGTTATGAGTGACGTAGAGTGTTGTAAGTTGTGGGTGACGTAGAGTGTTGTAAGTTGTGTGTGACGTAAAGTGCTGTAAGTTGTGTGTGACGTAGAGTGTTGTAAGTTTTGAGTGACGTACAGTGTTGTAAATTGTGAGTGAGGTACAAAATGTTTGTTTGGAGAATGGGAAGGCACACAGTTATTTTTATTGTTTTTGATATATATTATTATGATTGATATGTTTCTATATATTTAACATCGTAAATACTTCACTTCATTGTTATACTGAAGATGACTAAATGTAAGTCGAAACATGTTTATGATAAATAATTTTGTCGCTTATTTTAAGTGCATAAATAATAATGATAATTTAATTTTTCTTTTTCATTAGTTTGCGAATTAACCTGGACGATCATCATTTACAAACAGTTTGCGAATTCAATATTCGGTATTGTAATTATGAATTTGTCAATCGTTTTTAGTATGTGCGATCAACTACACCAGTTCAATTAGCAAAGGACGACTTCTTCCTTTACTTTACGAGAAAAAGTTGTAACCCGTTCTTTAAGTCACAGAATCCTGTATTGAGACTTATCCGAGAACTTATGGTGACACCGCTGACCAACTTTACCGGATTGAGCTTGTATTTTCAACTTTACCTCGTGGAAATATTTCATGTGAAATTTTTCACGAAAGTCGGTCATTATCTCTGCATGGTACGTATGTGGTTTTTCATTGTGTGTATGCTGTTACCCTAACCACTGTTTTCTTTATTTTTTTGATGTGTTTCATAGTAAATTTTGTAATGGTACATGATATGTGTGTGGTGTTTCACTAAAGAGTCATTGCCACATTAAAAACGTAAATGACGATAATGTAAGTCCATGAATTCGCACCACAAATGCGTCATCAATTCAATTTTTCTTTATTATTAGCCACTAATCGTTCTTCTAATGGCGACGTGGTGTGCGCAGTGGCATTTAGTTGTGGACTATGCATTTCAAGACGTCAGTGTATTCATTGTAAATGGAACATTCATATTTGTGTGCGTCCTTCAACTTTGGTATTTTATCTGGGGCTGTATTTATCATATGAAGTTATTTGTGGTAAGATAGTTCTTAATTTTTTAAAAAATAGAATCGTGATTGATTTTATCGGAAATAGTCATCAGCATCACAATGATTTGTCCATGTTTTAGATATTAATGATTTGGCCGCTGTTCCTTATTTATTTACTGGCCAACATGTTGTTTCAAATCGTGGTCATCAATTCTTGTTGGCGGACGGACAACCTGACCGTTAAAGACGTTAAAGAGATCTGTGAAGGAAAACGTGAACATTGGCATGATGTCATTACTTTGGCTCATTTCCATATCCTTTGGTATTTGAATCCGCTTTACTGGGCTTTATTCTTCTCCTTTTTGCAAGCGCTCAGTCATACTTTTGAGGGTACGTATTATTATCATAGAAAGCGACATCATTTGTTCTCTAGCACTTAGTGACGTCATCTTACTCTAAACGTGAATTTAGTTGACACATTTAATTGTGACATGAATCGTATCATGGGGGGATGGTCTTTTCCTATCTTTAAAACATTAAATGGATATTCTGTTACATAAACCTAGGCATTTACATATGTCGACGATATTCGTGATATCGTAAGATTTTGTTTTTTATTTTTATTTTAAACTTTAGACAAACTTCCTCCTCGCGTTTCTCAAACTGCACATTGGTTGGACTTGACAACTGTATTAAAAGAAAATGGATGTGTTAATATCTGTTTCATTATTCTTTCACAGATTTTTTGTGGAACTCTTAATGAGGTATGTCTTATGTGGATTCTGTCCACATGTTTATATTTTAGTTAATGTAAAGACAATTTTCCTCTGTTGCTCATTTATCACTACCTAAACTGACACACGTTAGCTTAGTTTATATTTTAGTTTGTGTAAAGACTGTTCTCGTTTTGTGTTGTTCATTCATCACTTCCTACAGTGACACACGTTAGCTTAGTTTATATTTTAGTTTGTGTAAAGACTGTTCTCGTTCTCTGTTCTTCATTTATCACTACCTACACTGACACACGTTAGCTTAGTTTATATTTTAGTTTGTGTAAAGACTGTTCTCGTTTTGTGTTGTTCATTTATCACTTCCTACACTGACACAAGTTAGCTTAGTTTATATTTTAGTTTGTGTAAAGACAGTTCTCGTTTTGTGTTGTTCATTCATCACTTCCTACACTGACACACTTTATCTTAGTTTATATTTTAGTTTGTGTAAAGACTGTTCTCGTTCTCTGTTGTTCATTTATCACTTCCTACACTGACACACGTTAGCTTAGTTTATATTTTAGTTTGTGTAAAGACTGTTCTCGTTCTCTGTTCTTCATTTATCACTTCCTACACTGATATACGTTATCTTAGTTTATATTTTAGTTTGTGTAAAGACTGTTCTCGTTCTCTGTTGTTCATTTATCACTTCCTACACTGACACACTTTAGCTTAGTTTATATTTTAGTTTATGTAAAGATTGTTCTCGTTTTGTGTTGTTCATTCATCACTTCCTACACTGACACACGTTATCTTAGTTTATATTTTAGTTTGTGTAAAGACTGTTCTCATTCTCTGTTGTTCATTCATCACTATCTACATTGACACACGTTATCTTAGTTAAATTTTAGATAGTGTAAAGACTGTTCTTGTTCTCTGTTGATCATTCATTATCAACTACACTGACACACGTTATCGTAGCTTATATTTTAGTGTTAGGAGAATTCTTCTCTGTTGTCCATTCATTACTACCTACAATGTCACGCGTTATCTTAGTTTATATTGTAGGTATGTTTTCTGGTTCTCTGTTGTCCATTCATTACTTACATTCACACTATTGGCGTAGTTCATTATTATTTTACTTATCTTTGTTTATTTATTTCAAGTTTCTAGCCAGCCCTCGTCTTTTGCCGCTGCTTTTGCTTCGTATTTGCTACAATCTGGGTTACGAAGAAAAACAATGGGTCAAATTTAGAACTCTAGTTGACGAATGCCTTAAATTTGGTGAGTACATTTTTCACCTACCGCTATTATTATTAGCTCATGTTATGATCCACAAATCCTTAATTCTTTACTTTGGATCCAGATATCCCTAATTCATTGTAACATTCTTATATTTTGTAACATTTGTTGCTTTGTTCAGGTGACCCAGCAATCGACTATATTGGGAGAGGTGGTGCAAAGTGGCCGAAAAAATTCAACGAGTGGAGTGCAGGTATTTGTAGCATTTAGTATTCAATGACTTCATGTTGGCCGTATTGTTTGTTGTTTAATGTGATTTTTTCATTTTAAACATATTCAGGTCATTTAGAAGAGAACATAAATATGTTTGAACGAAGTCTATGCGAGAAAAAGTGGAACATTTTAAAAGATCCAACGTCACTTTTCGATACAAGCAAATTCAACCGTGAACTCAAGTATTACGTCCATCTCAGGCATCGTCTGACAAAATACAAGATTCAGGCGGCAGCCTACGGGCCGTTCACACCCAAAATTTCAGGCAATCTTCAACTCAATGACGACTTAATGATGAAAGACTTTCCAGATGATGCAGCGTTCAGAATATTTTTGAAAGAGGCAAGATCGCATTTCGCCGAAATGGAGTATAGGTTTGTGATGGATTGTAAATTGAATAGAGTTTTTTTGTGATATTCCATTGTTTCGTCGTGAAACTTTTTAAAATGAAAACTTAAGTTTTATGATGAATTAAGTGCAAATATTTTATAAAACTCACTAACTTTTTTTTTTATTTCATACATTTTATGACCATCTTCAAATTGTGTATTCAATCGACATATCACTTCAATGTATTTTAAGTAATTATATGTAATATATTTTTGAACGTACGTTGTAAACGACGTTAACCAATTTTAAACGTTAATTTTTTAAAATTTTTCTGTGAAAGTGATTTAGTTATCGACGATGAAGACTGAAAAACAGGGGGGGCGTAGTTTGTGCACCTTTTCTTCACCTGGGGGGGGCGTAGTTTGTGCACCTTTTCTTCGCCCTGAAGGGCTGCACGAGGGGGGTTTCCCTACAAAATATGGAGTACACCCGCAAAATTATTTCCCCATCATGGTATAAGAACAACAAGATCTAACAAAAAAAATTGACAAGCCTCCGAGAGTCCGCAGAAAGTAGCCTCCATTAAAGTTTTATCCTAACTTTGGCACGCCCTCCTCTCTTATGCAAAATCATCCAGAATCCATCCTTGATTGAGAAATATATACGATATAAAATGCATAATTCAAGTCTTTAATCTTATCTGTTTTTACATTTCTAACATAAATTCATTGAAGAGCATAGTTGATGGATTTCACTGTATGAACGTTTGGGAGGTCAAAACTACCAAAAAATTTTGCCGCGCTGCTTTTTAATCAAGAGTAGGAACACTGTTTTCTGTAGTTTCTTGCTAATTAGAATCAGCTAAAGACTTTAACAATGAGTAAGAGAGTTTCATAAAGTTCTTTTGAATGTATTATACATAGCGAAATCCATCTTTACCTATAATTACACAAGATTGCCACGTTACATTACTTATTTTATTGAATGCTTTCATTTTGTTCCATTGATGATTGTTGGAGTTCTTGAACGGAAGACGTTTTTGGTGATGACGCATTTCCGACTGCTGGACGAAATACGTCCACGACATTACACCACCAACTTTTCCATAACTGTCGAGCCGTTTTTTTGCCAGCGAGAAGTATGAACGTGCCACATTGGAAAACGTTCCCGGACAAAATAAAGAGAACGAACACGGCGCACGACACGTTATAACGGCGAAAATCTGCAGAAAAAAAAGATGAAAATTTTATTTGCTTCCCTGTTAGCTACTATTTCGTCGTAGACAATCGATGGTTGGTGAAACACCATTTTACGCTTGGCGAAAAAATTTGTTGGTATTTTCTTGAGTGCTAAAAAGATTCATTCTTATTTGTACGAATCGATATGATTGTCTGAAAACGATCACAAGTTTTGCTTGATTTCCCAATCGAGGTCTCTTTGCTTTTCAAACATTTTACCCAGCTATGACAAACTATTTTTACGAAGTCAACATTTACAGGACATCGCTGAAAAGTTTTCCACATGCACGACAGCGAATTCAAATTTTTATGAAAGACTAAATCTACATCCCAAAAACGTGTATTTACGGTGTATCATACCTTTGGGGCAATCTTTCATGAACATCAAACAACCAAAATATCTTTCTAGGAATATTCTGTAAGCCTTTCTGTTGTGTAATGTGATACAAATAACGCCGTAAGTGAGGTAGCTACAAATCACGTAGGATATTATGACCATGATGAATTGTATGGCTATCTTTTGAAGTTGTACTTCGCGTCGTTTTGCCTGACTTGGAGATGCAATCAAAGCGGATTTTCTTTCCTATAGTTGCGTATATATCATGATTATATCGTTATCGTCACTTATTTCTGTATTATATCGTAGTAGCTAATTGCCCTGCAAAAATGCAATGTTTTTTCACCATATAGATACGTTGACTTTAGTTCAACATTAGAAAGCACAATAGTCCTCAAGTTGAACATCGGATCACTCCTTATGAAGACACTGTAGACTAGAGTAAATAAGAACTCAAGTTCCAACATCGGATCACTCCTTATGAAGACACTATAGACTAGAGTAAATAAGAACTCAAGTTTCAACATCGGATCACTCCTTATGAAGACACAGTAGACTAGAGTAAATAAGAACTCAAGTTTCAACATCGGACCACTCCTTATGAAGACACAGTAGACTAGAGTAAATAAGAACTCAAGTTTCAACATCGGACCACTCCTTATGAAGACACAGTAGACTAGAGTAAATAAGAACTCAAGTTTCAACATCGGATCACTCCTTATGAAGACACTATAGACTAGAGTAAATAAGAACTCAAGTTTCAACATCGGATCACTCCTTATGAAGACACAGTAGACTAGAGTAAATAAGAACTCAAGTTTCAACATCGGACCACTCCTTATGAAGACACAGTAGACTAGAGTAAATAAGAACTCAAGTTTCAACATCGGATCACTCTTTATGAAGACACAGTAGACTAGAGTAAATAAGAACTCAAGTTTCAACATCGGATCACTCCTTATGAAGACACAGTAGACTAGAGTAAATAAGAACTCAAGTTTCAACATCGGACCACTCCTTATGAAGACACAGTAGACTAGAGTAAATAAGAACTCAAGTTTCAACATCGGACCACTCCTTATGAAGACACAGTAGACTAGAGTAAATAAGAACTCAAGTTTCAACATTGAATCACTTCTTATGAAGGCACAGTAGACTAGAGTAAATAAGAACTCAAGTTTCAACATCGAATCACTCCTGATGAAATCCCTGGACTGAAGTATATAAGGACTCGAGTTTTAGCATCATGTCACTTCCGAATTCCGATGAAGACATTAGGCTGGAGTATATGACCCAAGTTTCAATAACAGATCATTTCTGCGGATCAAGTCACGTCTGACACTATAGATTGGAGTATATAAGGACTCAAGTTTCAAGTTTCAACATCAGATCACTCATGATGAAGACACTACACTGAAGTACCATATACATAGACTCAAGTTTAGTTTAAATGATTATACATAATAATCCTTCCACACACCTTGATAATTTTAAAAATCACCAGTAACAAAAACGTCGTTCCCACGCAGAAGAAAATTTGCTGCGGTAAAAGTGTGGAGTAATATGCAACAGTTGCGTCTTTCGGAAAACAGTGTCGTAAATTCACCGCTAAATAATTTCCTCCGTATTTAAGAACATAAAATGGCGCAAGTAGCGGAAGAATGAAGAGTGCTAAAAATATTGCCACCAAAATTCGATTGTTTTGTGTTTCTGTAGGAATTTTATCAATGACCAAACGCTAAATAGAAGGGGGAAAAAGAACAAATAATCAAGGAAAAAACAATGTCACGAAAAAAGAACTAATTTTTTTTATTTATGTTGCCAAACAAGCACTTGTTACCTTCATTAGAACGGCGTTATAAAGCACAAACATTTCACCAATTACCAAACTTGTGTAATGAATAAGAAAACCCTGCACTTCACAGTATGTCGACGGCGTCTTATCAAGAAAAGGACTGTTGCAATAGAACTTCGTTGTCTTTCCAAATTTCGGTATATTTACCAGCAAAACTGCGTTGAATTGAAAACGTAAGTCAAATGTTCACATAGTGTTTACAGTCAATCACATTTTCTATGTCTAGATTCTTTTGGACCGTTTCTTATACGCAACCATTTTAAAATTTAGAAGAAAGGCCGCCTGTATGAACAAATCTTACCAATGAATGGTTGCGATCCAGCCATTATCAAGATGATGAAATGTGGGAATTTCATTCTGAAGAAACAAGGTTAAGTTTTCACTTGTGGATGTTCTGATGATCAAACTATCCGTTAGAATTGTTTGGGGAAATACTTAGGATTAGCTTATGATGGAATAACTAAGAATATAAGCCCGAGTAGTGATGGATAATTATGCGGTTTTCTTGTATATCCACAGAGGAGAGAATTTTTGAAGCTCAAGCAATTTTTCAAGATAAGTAAAGAAAAGTGTTTTGAATGTGCTTTAGCGTCTACGCAACCCTCCATATCAATGTATATCCCATTTTACTCACAGTTCTGGCAGTTTGATCCATGTAACAAGAACGATACCAAAGCATGTGATACTGAATACGGCTGTGAACCAATCAGCAATCACGATAGCAAGTTGTTCACGTTCGCTATACGGCAGCCAATCGCAGGGAGGCTTGCAGATAACCGACTGGTTGGTGAAAATCAGTGGAGGATTGCATGGAAATGAGAGGTTCATTTTGAAAGGTGAGCTGTCAATGTGAAAAACACAAAGTGCCTTAGTTACATTCTGTTGGACGCAGAGGCGTAACTAGAACGTTAATTGGGGGTGCATATTCATATATTCAGTTGTGCCCTACTGATTTCTTTTGAAATTCAAATCACTTTCAAAAGAAATCAATAGGGCACAACGGAATATATGAATATACCTCAATTAACGTTCTAGTCACGCCTCTGGTTGGACGTATTCTATGTCCTTGTCTTTCTTTTTTGTTCTCCGCACGCATTATATGAAAAATCAAAACACAACAGACATGCTTACCGTTTTCTGTGGAATTCAAGAATTTTTTGTTTAGTTATTTGAAATTAATTTTAACACTCTTCATAAATCTTCCTGCTGACATTATTTCATTTCGCCATTTCGCCGATTTGTTTGACGAGTTTGAACACGTCTGTTTTTTGATAATTATCCAAACAAAGTTGAGGTGTGCTTTGATTGAACCTTTTGACACATAAATCTTTTTGGGAAATTTTGTAACTAATTCAAGCATGAAAAGACGAAAAGATGAACATGTACAAAAATGTATTTTATTGAAAGAATTGTGTTTATGTGATTTTTTCACATTTTACGCTTGCTAGTTATTTCGTTTTGCCTCTTCCTGGAATAACGCAAGCACGAAAATGAAGAAAGGCCGAATAATTTTAGTCAAATTTTTGCATTACAATATGTATCGAAATATTTTCATTGCACACAGCGCTCGGATACATTTGAATACGTCTTTCTTGGAACTTGTGAATTGTGGTCACTGGTTAATTTTTCTGACAGGACTTATAATGAAAGTTTGCCTTATAAGAAAGGCTACGGGATAAGAGGATTAATACATACCTGTTGTTTAAAGGAAGGTCTGTATCTTTTGGTATTTCTACAGAATACGCATAAAATATCGAAGGTATAAAAGACACAACACAAGCGCATAGTATCACAACTACGCAAATTATGCCTGTAACTATCATGCGTTTTTCCATCGATTTCGAACGAGATACACCGGTTGACACACTCGAGTCAATCTCCGTTAGAGCTGTTTATCGTGCGACAAAGATATTCTTTATGAAATTATGACCCGATGTCCACACGACAAACGTCAACATGGAATATTAGATCTTGAGTGGCGGAACTCCTGTGTTTCTGATATTGATTTACTGAGAAATGACTGGCTGTGTGTTTATGGATATTCAATTATTCCTGGGGAACAATTGGTTTGGATAAAGGTCACAGGTTTTGACATAAGTGGACATTGTTAGAAGATCCGAAGAAATCGAATAGAAGGAGTAAGGTTTCATTCAACATCGAATCACTTTCAATGTAAACACAGGACTACCAAACTTAGAAGACCGACAAGGACTCGCATTTTATTTGTGTGAAAATTTCATTAGTTGCGTGTGCGCTTACCTTGCTGGTGTGCGCTCAAATATTTACGGAAATTATTTCAATATTTGCAAATTGTTATTTTAATTTAATTTGACGAAACCTGAACTGCTCCTGCTAGTGCTGCGCCAGGTATTTGCGGGAATCTTTTTCTACGAAAGCATTGATTATCCATTCCTTTGGATCTTGGAATGTTTGTTTGTGGTGGGCGACTTTGATTAGCTCGATACGCTAGTACTACTTTTCTACCAATACTTTTTGATTCGGATATTGATTTTAAATTAGGTCCTTTGTATCCTAGTGAAGAAGGATACGATATCGGTCAGTTAAACAGCACTCAAAGGGATATAAAAAGCTGGAAAAAACTCAAAACATTTATTACACGACCCTATCATAACAAAAGCACTCTTACCGACAAAAATATTCGTTGCGTATGAGTTCGTAATAATTGTAGACCAGTAACACTTCTTCTCTTTGGGCCGGCATTCTCAACAAGCTAATCATAATTAAATTTGTTGAAGGGTTAGAGGATAAAATTAGAGGGAGCCAGGCCAACTTTGAAAATTTTTTTGAAAAGGTAATGCTTAAGCGCCCCTTGGTCCCGCCGTCTCAACCTCGTATCTTTAAATCGATAATGCGTAAACCAACTCCATTGGAATACATTCCATGTTCAATCTTCCTTAAGAAAGACAATTTTCATCCAAAAATCTCACATCATAAAAATGACATTATTAATTTCTTTAGAAAATTAATTCGATTTGTATTGTGTTGGAACTTGCTTAACACGAAAGAGAATCGTTACATGAAAATTTTGTTTTAAAGTAATTGCCATCATATGCAATTACGACATGCTATTTTATATTATCAAATCAAATGCCTCATCAATGAATTGACGTGTTTTATATAGTATGAAATTAAGCATAAACTTTTTGACAACAAGGTCCAGCTTATTATCATTTTATAATCACATCAACACAATAAAAGATTCAGTTCACTTGAAAAAATGAGGTATTGCTTAAAGTAGCTGATATAGAAATATATAAATTCTTTATAAATAGTATAAAATAGAATTAAATTAAAAGAAATAAGCTGCTTCTAGCAGATGTCATGTCACTCAAGGATTCCTTGACTTATGCCATCACAGCATAATGCCACATTGTATGATAGTGATCTACAAATCTATTCAATAGATTTGCAAATCATAACACAAAATAAGAATGTGGTCATTATATTTTTATTTTTCAAAGTCTATTTGATCAATATCCTTAAGACTAAATGTTCCAGATCCTCTTTCTGCAGGCTTTGTTTGTTTCTCCGATGGCTTCCAAGCAATGAGGAACAATATTTGAAATGTCGCTGGTATGTTACCATCATCACCACCATACATTTCTCGGTATATTCGTGATGCAACCTCAGTTGTCTTATATCGTAATACATGTTTTCTAGACCATGATGCATTGCTTTCACCCATTCCTCTTAAATCATCCATAAGTTCATAGATACTTGGATAATTCACTATTATCTCATCATAATCAACTGTAATCAAACTAAAACCTGCCCGACTAGCTATATCCCCTATGTCAGTCATTTGGGTGAATGGTGAAATATGTGGCCCAAAGCCACCAAGCACTTCAATCTCGGCAAGCTGTAATGAGCATCGCAGCTCAAATAATGTCTCGCCACCAAGTAGACCCATTAAAAACATCCCATCATCCTTCAGGGCAGCATTGACTTGCCTGAATACCCCAGGTAAATCATTAACCCAGTGTAGACTCAAACTGCTCAAGATAGCATCAAAGGTGCCTTCCCAGAATGGAAGAAATTCTTCATCTATCACAAGCTTCTTTGTGGATATATCGGTATTTGTGAAAGATCTTTTTAACATTTCCTCGGACATATCACATTGGACTAGCGACGTCACGTGAGATGACGTCAAGAATTTTGCAACATGTCCTTTGTTACATCCCAGATCAAGGACCAGAGGAAATTTACGGGAAACATCGCTGAGACGATCCACTAATCTTCTCGCTGCTTCGTCTTTAAGATAGTCGTAATCGTCAGTGTTTGGTAGCAAAGATGCGCGATTTTTCTGCAACCGTTTTGCCTGTCTATTGAACACATTCATAGGACTATTCGTCGCTTTATGACGGGATAATTTCCACGTTTGATGATGAAAGATAGCATTTGAGTACTTGAAGGTTACGCGTAAATACGTTAGCATTACATACAGGTTTCTAACACAATTTATAAAATAACACAACAGACCATATATACGTGGAGTTACACGAGATCGCGCGCGTGACAAATATTGCGTAACGAATATATTTACATAAACGATTACATAGAACCATTGAACTCCATATATATATATATATATCTGGAATGACAACGACAATACATTTTATAGATATAAAATTGAAGCCAAAGTCCTAGTCTCTTGCGCGGTTTGTACGTCCGTTCCAGTCCTTCAAAGTCGAATATTCACGCGGTTTGTAGGTCAGTTTCATTCCCCTGAGTGCCAAACTTACACGGCCAATATAAATTTGACTACAAATTGCAAAAGCATAAACATATAAACAACATCACGACTAACAACACACGAGGCCAACTCTTCGCCAAAGGTTATTTTTTACAGCTGAAACTTTACTACAGTGAGTTCGTTGTAACTTACAACTTGTAACGAGGAAAAGCCAACTGAAAATTACACTGTATGCTAAAAGACAATACAATAAGGAAATATGACGAGAAAATATTCAAGCAAAAATTTTTCTTACATCGGAAGGTAAATTTTCAAACGGTGTCAGACAGTGTTTGTCTTTTTTGTCATTTCAGTGGATTTAAAGATCTGTTTTTCCTAAGAAAAAAGAAACTTGAATATCCAGTTTCATAAAGAATATTTAGTCTATAACTCGAATTTTTACTTTTTACAGAGCGATTGTATTTTTCATCGATTTTGATAGTGCTTGAAATACTAAATGGTTGTCATCTCGATATCAATAATTGAATATCCTTAAAGACTTTGATATGTTTTAAAGGAAAACCGCAGCGTATCAGCAGATCGACTAAGTTCACCTCACTTTGCTTCTCGATTTATCACTTTGATTCACTTTCCGTGAACCTTTTCATTCCAAAAATTTTGTTATTTTTACGCTCTGATCAAGATCCGAACTCTACCATTACCAAGGGACAAATGATTTAAAAAAATTAAAATGAACACGCGAGAGACTAGAGCCTGACGTGTCATGACGAATGATGACGACAAATATTTTTTTGGCTTCAATTTTTGGTTTCGGTTATCATTCCAGTTATTTAAATGTCGAGTTCACTGCATAGAACCTTTTATTGTCGATTTCAGTTAACTTTTCAAATGGCGGTTGCCAAGTTACTTTCTAATGCTGCCAATTACATTTCCAAATATGGAATATTCGATATATCTTGTCAACAAGTTGTGTACTTGAGTACTGAAGTTGTGAACTAAAGTTGCGTAAACACACAAATTTACAGGGATTTTGGCGATATAAAAGTTTGTGTAATTTCATTGGGACTACACCTGACCGTGGTGTAGTTAATGTCGGTAATATTTTTGAAACCCTTTCCTCTCAACTGTTTTTTGTTGCGTACAACATATAAAAATTGTCAAAGAAAAATTGCTCAATAACGGAAGCCAGGAGAGATGGCAAGCTTTGTACATAGAAATATTATGAAAACGTTATGATTTTGGTTATGTTTGTTATTTAGTGCGAAAACGTTGAAATCTGTGTTTCGTAAACTTTCGTTGCAAGCCGGTTTTCAGTCCTCGCTATCGCGGAGTATATGTCATAAAGCGGTGAACCAAGAATTTTCAAGGGCTGTTTTCGAAGAGCACCCCCCTCTCTTATAACTGTGCATAAAAACATCTACTTAGCAATTTCTAATGTTGTGTTCGCATTTACAGATTGCCCGCTAAAAATGTCGAGGTAAATGTGTACGTGTATGTTGTCTTATGCAAAGTTTCCACGTATCTTGTCAGTTGTGTCATTGTAATCAGCTGCGAAAATTCTTCCGAGTCATTCATTCAGGGATACAGATGTAATCATTGCGTAAACTTTCCGGGGGGTGTAATGATGCTTGATTTTGATTCGTCAATATTTCGCGATATCATACCACACATCCGCCAACATTATCTCCCATTCTTTCAAAAATACAACTTCCATTCCACCATTACCACCCCTTCTTTTCAACATTACCACCCTTCCTCCAACATTACCACTCCTCGTTCTCAACATCACCACCATTTTACCACAATCGCCACATTGATATACATGACTAACCTGTCTTTCTTCGTAATATAGACTTTCTTGTTGGAAGCCTTACAATCTCTGGCAGGGATATCTAAAACTATGTCGTTTTTGTAACGACACAATCTCTCGGTTTTTTTCTTTTCTTGGTGAGAAAGTTGGTAAATATCCTTCGAAAACAATCCTGCTGGCGGTTTTCTTTATGGCGATTTCAGCATCTGGATTTGCCTTTTTTCGCGTGGAAAACAGAACAGAGATCTTGTATGCTCCTAAGGACAGCGAATCAGTAAAGAATCTGAGAAAGGCAAACGACTACGGTTTTTATGACCCTGCTAGAAGGGCAGAGATAATTATATTAGGAAAAAACGAGTCAAACGTTTTGACAGAAGAGTGTTTTATAGAAGCATTTCAACTTCACCAGGCGATTGTTTCCATTCCACGATACAAAAGCGTCTGTCTTCCAAACATAAAAAGCGATCCTTTAGCGGCAACGAGCTACTGTAAACGGGAAGAACCGTTTTGGATGTTTAATTACTCGCCAAATTTCGTTAATTTGTTGCCTATATTGAACAATTACACGAATACAAGTGGTCGGCTGTTTTCACGGATTCTTGGTAAAGCTGAGTACAGCAGAAATGGATCAATTTTGTCTGCAAAAGGATTGAGATTCGTTTACAACATCAGAGGAGTTGAGATTGGTGATGACGTTGATCAATCCTCAGAGGATTGGGAGAAAGAATTTTTAAAAAAAATGGGAAATTGGTCCTCTTTAGACTGCGGATCCTTGGTGTACAACGCAGAACGCAGTATCGACGAAGCAATCGCAGAAAGTACCGGGAACGATGTGAAGCTTGTATCCTTGACATTCACGATAATGATAAGTTTTGCGTGTTTCATGTTGGGCAAGTATCGTAATCCTTTGACTGGTCATGGTTTGTTAGCTTTGGGTGGTATACTGTGTGTTGGCTTTGGTATTCTAACTGGTTTTGGTTTTTCAATGTTGGTACAGACACCGTTTACCAGCATTGTTGGAATTTTACCATTTCTTGTCATTGGAGTTGGTATAGATGACATGTTTATCATAGTTGATGAGCTCGATAGGACAGAACCAGACCAGAACATTCCAAAGAGGCTTGGCATTGTCATGAAGACCGTCGGCCCGGCAGTCACCATGACAACGTTGACAGACTCTCTCGCATTTGCTGTTGGTGCTTCATCAAGATTTTTATCCATTGTCTACTTCTGCACATTCGCCGCACTTGCCATTTCATTTGCATTTGTATTTTTCATGACAATGTTTGTGGCTTTTATGTCATACGATTGCCGTCGTATGCTTGATGGGCGCCGGGATATGTTCCCTTTTATCAAAGCACCACCCCCACCTGCTGGGAAATCTCGTTGGGACGAGTCCCTACCGCAAATGTCCAACAAATTTATGGAGTACTGGGGAAATTTCATCATGAAACCACCTTCTAAAGTGATCATTGCTCTTGTATCGATGGCCTTATTAGGAGCTGGTATTTATGGAACAACATTTTTAAAGGAAGATTTTGATCGTCGAAATTTGGCCAAAGATGGTTCAATATATATACAATACTTGGACACAGTCGAAAAGTACTTTAACACGGATGCACCTGTTGATATCATCGTGGAGTCTGGAGTGAATTATTCCAACCCTTTAACGCAGAGTGAATTGAGTAGTTTGATGGGAATTGTGAGGGAAAACAAATATTTACGCCCTGACTTTGTATCATGGTTTACAGAACTTCAGAAATGGCGTAACAAAACTCGAAACAAAACAGAAAATGTACTGGGTAAGATGTTTGTAGTTGTATATGCGTCCAACAAAAAGATTGATAAAACTGACATTCTCCTTTACTCTTCTTTCCTAAACTCCTCCCTGTCTGACTCCCTCTTGCTCCGAAAATCCTTATGACATACCAACTTTGAAACGAGTTTTTTTACACTAGAAAATAAAGAGTTTAATATTTTTAGCTAAGGATTTGGTTGAAATCGAAACTGAGTGGATTGCTAGTCACTAGTCAACTGCTTTTGTTTGCATCAAGTTTTTAATAAAGGATTTTTTCAATATTTTCCATTTGTGGTTGGTGCACGTAGATGTATTGTTGCAAAAGTTGTTTTGAAAAAACTCAACTTGCAACATTTAATCACCAAATATAGCTATCAAAACTATGAATTTGAAAATCCTAATTAAACAAGTTTGTGTTTTAAATGTCAGCACACGAGTTCTAGAGTCACGGTTTATGAAAATGTATAAATTTTTCAACTCATTATTCTCTTGACTATCCTTGCAATTTGTTTCTACATCTTTTTCAGATTCTCTTGATGATTTTTTGCTTAGTCACCCACAGTTCAGGAAAGATATCTTCTTTGCTGAAGACAATACAACGATTCTTTCTTCGCGATTTTATTGTTATATGAACGGAACATCGCATTCTGTAATCCGTCGCAAAGCTTTGGAATCCTTTCGCAAGGATTTAAAGAATAAACTAAGCATTCCTATTTTTGCAAGCTCCTATCAATTCATCTATATCGAGCAGTTCATAGCCATCCGAAGCGAAACCACGCGTAATCTTGTCATTGCTGCTATTGCCATAACTATTGCAACCAGTTTCTTTTTGGTGAATCCGCTGGTCATTCTTCTAGTGCTGGTTGGGTTTGTGTCTCTGATATTTGAGCTGCTAGGTAAGACGTAGCAATCATGGTTATTAGGCGACATTGTAAGTCCATAAAATCGATGGCGAGTTTTTTTTTTCATTTCAACTATTCTGTTTTTTCAGGTTTCATGTATATATGTGGCGTTTCATTAAACTCCATCTCAATGATCAACTTGGTAATGGCGATCGGTTTTGCTGTTGACTACAGTGCTCACGTAGCTCATTCGTTTGTATTCTCCACGGAAAACAATCCTGAACAAAAAGTTATCGAAGCTCTTAGGACGACAGGGGCAAGTGTAATAATGGGCGGTAGGTGTTTTACAAATTCGTATCGTATCATACCCATTGAGCTCTATAAGACCTGGAGGGGCAAAGGGGCCTGGACCCCGTGGTCAAAAACATGGCGGTAATGGCGGATTTTGGTTGTCAAAACTTCCACTTTGAGAAAAATTTTTAACATTCGCTCCCTCCCGAATCCGGAACTCCATTACTGCTTATATCAATGACAACCAGCGAAAACAACCACGATACCGTAAGCATAAAATATTGAAAATAATGCTTCAGATTTTTGTGAAATAGACACACACATTTAAATGAGGTAAATCTACTGTAAAATAGCGTATATGTTGTCAAATAATGCTTTAGCTATGTTAGAAATAAATATCAAACGGCATTCTTTACACTGTCAATGTGTCGTTGCTTTAATGCATAATCCCATGCGCAATACTTGTGTTTTGACTATTTTTAACAGCTTCGTGCAACTGTCTTTCTTGAATAGATGGGTAAATATTAGTTAAAATGTCCAAAAGGAGTTAGAAAAGTTAGCTTACCCTACGACTTAAGTCGACTGGAAATATATTATAAGTAGGTATGTATTTTTTGAGTTTTTGGTAGGATTGATTCTGGGTGTCTTATAAGGTATTATGATATTCTGATAAATCTACTGAGAACTTATGAAGAAAATATCTCGAACTAGGAGAGCAAAAGAACGAAATTCAGAAATTCTATAATCATGTTGCTGGTTCTGTTTTGAGCCAAGATATTAGTAACTGGATTGTCATTGACAACCATGGATCTACTATTGAACAGAACTACATTAATTTCCCATTGAAAATACGATTTTTAAATTAAAGTGCATTGGTTTCTCTGACATAACACTTTTCTTATTGCTGCATGAAGGCAAACCTGTTTAAATAATTATAATGTAGGTGAAGATATTTAGCATGTTGTATAATTGTTATTATACAGACATTATTTATAATATTATGGCCTTGTGTAATGTATGTCAAGAACTTATTAACTCTCAAAAATGCTAACCTTCTTGCACTACTTTTCTCTTGTGTCCTTACAAATTACAGTTACCTATACTAATTTTTTCTAGGTTCAAACAACTTGACAAACTTTTGAATTTTACATTATGCCTTGGAATTTTTGTTTTTGTCTTTTGGTAAAAATATCAGTAAATGACTTAAAAATCAAGTTTATCTAAAATAGTATTTTGTACAAAATAACTATACATAATTGGAAAAGTCTCATGTTGAAGGCCGATGTGGCTTCTTTTACTAGATTGCTACTCTTATTCTTTTAAATGATATCGTAATTCTTCAAAAGACATAAAAAGTTCTTTGTCATCAATTTTTGCTTCTTCCACATTCAACTTCATTGCAAACCAATGCATCTTATGTGAATTTTAATCACCTGGAATTGAAAACATATGGACTTTGTCAGATGATGCAGTACTGTATTTAATGTTTCATGCATGTCATGATAAGCTTTGCTTGAGCAAATATTTCAAGGTAGGAGCAAAATTTGGCACATTATTGAACAAAGTAGTTTTATCTTGATTTTGATGTACTAACCTGTTTACTACACTGTGTAACAAACAATTCATTTACAGAAACACCAGATGGCATTCATAAAACTTTTAGCATAAAGCAAACCATTACACACCATCATCATGATTGTCCATAATCTGTCAAATTGTCCAGGCTAGCTGTTTAATACAGGTATTTTTATTGTACGACATGTACCAAAGAGCTCATTAATTAATCTTGCACTGCATTTGATTTCAATACAGCTCTGTCCTTAATATTTGCTTCATATTTTCAGAAAAATATCATGAAAAAATCCTCCATTTCAACTCAGTTGAAACAAGGAGTTTTAAGATATGCATATCTCGATAAGAACTGGTTGCTTTGCCTCGTCCAGCAAGCGATTAAGTAAGTAACAAATAAGACTGGATATACATAACTTAAATTATAAGTTAGAAGTAAAAACATTCACAAAATATATACCATCACACTTCAAGTATTGACTTAAAACAAAACACTGAACACTTTAAATGGTAAACAATCTTACGTTGCTTACCGGTATCATGAAATGTTTCCTTTTCTGGCAATACTTCAGCATCCGTCTACCAAACAAGTTTGCAACATGTTTTAAAGATAAAATTTCTAAAAGTTTTTGTGTTTGGCATTGATATTTTATATAATCGCTATTGTGGTTGTCAAATCCGGGTGGGCGAAAAAAATTTCATTTTATGAGCCCGCGTCTTTCCGCTGACTTTGACAACCAAAATCCGCCATGTTTTTGACCACGCGGCCGCGCGCTAATAATTTATACTAATTTTGTTGACGTTTCCCCTCCAGGTCTTATAGAACTCAATGATCATACCGCATCTTATCCTTACCAATGTTCTTTTCACCTCCATTAAACAACTATATATTGAAGTGATTTGAATCATAGATTTATACATATGGTTTTCCTATCCGTCAACTTTTATCACTTAAATTTTTTCCCTTAGGTTTCAGTACGTTCCTAGGAATGTTGGTATTAGCTTTTGCGTCTTCAGAGATTTTCCGAATTTTCTTCAGAATGTTTGTAGGAATTGTTGTTCTCGGTCTGCTTCACGGTCTTTGTTTTCTGCCTGTATGGCTATCCATCTTTTGTCGTTGGCATATAAACCTACACCCTGAAGATGATGATGACGTGAAACAGAATTCACCTGCTAAGAGGTAAGGTGGCTTTTGGTGATGTTTGTAAGTCCATATTAGAGCGATGCTGTCCGGGGCAAAACAATATTGCATATACCTAAAGCGGCAATTTTCCTTTCTTTAAATCAGTGAAATTCAAACAGTTGTCAATCAAAGTAATCACTAAATGATAAAACACACTCCAAAAAAATCATCTTGTAAACTCAAGATTCGAGTTATAACAGCAGGAGGCAAGATTTATCATTTATCGTGTGTTTTTTCATGTATTTTTTAAACTTGTCCGCTTGAAAAGGATTTTTGAAAGTAATCACAAAAGTGAATGGTTTGAACCCGAGAGTAACGTTAGATGTTTGTGGATGTAGATCGTCAAGTTTAGTAGAGTCTCCAGGATTGTTTGTGTTTATGTTGATTAACGTTTCGACAACTTTAGCGGTTGTCATCTTCAGATGATAAACTCACCTTCAGACGATAACCTTTGGGGTTGTCATCTTCAAAAGGACTGTTGTTGTTGATGTTGACTAACATTTTGACAGCTTTAGCGGTAGTCATCTTCAGTTCTCAGCGCTCTACTAACCTGGACGATTTACATCTACAAACAACCAAAGTAATACCTACTTCGTATTTTTATCTTGGTGTTGTGTAAGTAATGCATGATTGATATAAAAGATTTGATTATTTTTGTAGCTGAGTTATTTATTCTTCCAATCATTACTTCATATTGCGTTACTAACTCATAGCAATTATCATGATGTCATAACCACCATTTTGGTAAAAGTGTTAGGACTTTGCGAGAATGGGGAATAGCTACCATGATGCCTAGCAATCATTTTGTTTGCGCTGTTTCTGCTCACACAACCTACTTGAAATGCTATTGTTTGCTTTCTAGGGACGCAGATAAAGATCACCCGTCATCCAAGAATAACTCAGTGATGATTAAGAATGAAGTGGAAAACAATAATGCTAATGAAGCAAGAAACAACAGCGCTAATGAAGTTGGGAACAACAACGCTAATGAAGTTGGGAACAACAACGCTAATGAAGTTGTGAACAACAGCGCTAATGAAGTTGGGAACAACAACGCTAATGAAGTTGTGAACAACAGCGCTAATGAAGTTGGGAACAACAACGCTAATGAAGTTGGGAACAACAACGCTAATGAAGTTGTGAACAACAGCGCTAATGAAGTAGGGAACAACAACGCTAATGAAGTTGTGAACAACAGCGCTAATGAAGTTGGGAACAACAACGCTAATGAAGTTGGGAACAACAGCGCTAATGAAGTTGGGAACAACAGCGCTAATGAAGTTGGGAACAACAACGCTAATGAAGTTAGGAACAACAGCGCTAATGAAGTTGGGAACAACAGCGCTAATGAAGTTGGGAACAACAACGCTAAAGAAGCAGGGAAAAATAATTCAGTCCCACCTTCGGAAATGTCAATGCCAGGTTTCGAGACAATGGAAGATAATAATGGAATGGATCATAAGATGAGTGATGTGAACAGAGCGTTTGAAAATCCTCTTGAAAGCGAAGAAGGGGAACTGCGAGATAAGGAGGAAACACATCTATGAAGTTGGTACATGTATTCTTTGCTTTTAGGAATTAATGATCAGTATACTTCTACAAGACACAGACTTCACCCATTATAAGTCAATGAATAAATAAGTGCAAGACCATCACTTCTTAGCAAGACCAACTCTCTTTTTATCGCTTTTTATTTATTTTATTTATATTTATCTAAGACTAATAGTAGGATGTATAAAAAAAGAAGACCTCTCGATTGACGTATTGTGAATCATAATTTGTGATAATTGCAATGCCTATCACTATTTTAGGCTCACGAATGCATAAAGTATTGTCATCTATGCGCATGTGTTACACATCTTTGTCATATTAGTGGAAAAGCTTTCCTGCTGCTGGGAATTCAAAGTAACCCTCAACTCAAGCAGCAAAATATGCGCAGTAATGCACCAGTTAAATTAGTATATCAAACATTTACATTTTACCATAGGTTTTCTTCTTCTAAGGTCTTTTTTGATGCATCTGTATAAAATATCTAAACACATTTTCATCAGCTAACGGCACAATAATGTAAATCACTATGTTAATTACCAAAACTGATATATTTATCGTATCGTAGATTAAAGAAAAATACTCTAGCATACACGTTCCATTTATTGGCTTAGCCAGCCCGCAAGTTTTAGTCTTGCTATGTAAATTTCAGAACTTTATCATTATTTTTTCTATAGAAATATACTGCTTTTGGAGTCAGCTTTTGTAGTCATAACCGGGCTTGCTTTGCCTGTGGTCTATTGATGTTTCATCGTCACGAGAATGATTTTATCCGAGAGTTTTGGCGTACAAACAGACTTAAGACAAACTCTATATTTCTCTCTGTAAACTGGTGGCCACTTAACGAATGGTTCAGCGATCTCTAGAGTTTTAAGTTTTCCTCGATGTAGGGATGAGCTTTGTTCCACTTGCTTTGGCAAAATTACTGCTCAACTAGAGGCACAAAAAGGTATTAGGTACATATTGGTACCTAACTAAAAATATAAAGTAAACTTCTGAAAAAAGTTCCATTCGTCTTTATCTAAGCACCAATAAAAATACACTTTTCTGAATACAAGCTAGAGATCTGTTTACTTATCTATCAATGAAGCCTATATTTCTTAAAGGCACTAATGTGAGTCTTACAGTGTTTGTAAAGATGAGAGAAAGCAATTGTATCACCAACCACAACCTAAATTAATGTCCTTGTACTTTGTGGTTGATGGAAACGAGTGAAAATCTCACATGCGAAACATGTCATCATGGAGGGATTTTGTTAGCGAAAGTCATGAAAGTTCTTCGTTATTTTGTTGGTACAAAAAGAAAACAATGGCAGTTTCTCATCGCTTGTGTTTTTTTAACAGTTATTTGTTATATTACGTGGGTTTTTGAAGGACAAAATGCAAAGATCGGACATATTAGATTAATATTTAAAAATGTATCCAAAGTGATGGCGTCCACAAGACATGACCTCCACAGCTACAGGTATGAATTAGATCAAGGAAAACTCACATCACAATCAATTGATGATACAGCTCGCAAACAACTGCAAGTTCGTGTAGATACGGTGAAGGGAAGGAGAAAAACAAGCATGGTATTTGTCAACAACAAAGCACTAGATGAAATAAAATTTCAACGAGTTTCACCCAATGTTCATATATTTTACTACATTTGGTATGGGAACCCAAAAACAGATGGCAAATACATACACTGGAATCACAAATACCTGCCACACTGGAGAAAAGAAATAGAAAAAAGGTTCCAGAATGTGGCTCACATCCCTCCTGATGATATTGGATCAGACTTTTATCCACAACTTGGCTGCTACAGCTCAAGTGATGTGAGTACGATAAAGAATCACATGGAACAAATACGTTCATCAGGAGCAGGAGTAGTAGTTGTATCCTAGTATCTCCTGCAGGTAAAGCTGATGATCAAGGGATCCCTGTTGATGGACTTGTGCCAAAGCATCTTGATATTGCTCATGATTTTGGTCTTAAAGTTACTCTACATATTGAACCATATAATGGTCGTAATGAAGAAACTCTAAGAAAAGATGTAATTTACATACATGGAAACTACTTCAAACACCCAGCATTTTATAAACATAGAACTCGTGATGATCGTCTTTTACCCTTGTTGTACATATATGACTCTTACCATACATCACCACAGGAATGGGCCGAATTATTAAAACCTGAGGGTAGACTGACCATAAGAAATACAAGATTTGATTGTGTGATGATTGCGTTAATTGTTGAGTTCACGCATAGGGTTTTTATAACTATTGGTGGCTTTGATGGATTTTATACATATTTTGCTGTGAATGGGTTTACCTATGGTTCACGTTGGAGTGCATGGTCTGCTCTAGCATCATTTGCAACCCAAACTGATACAATCTTCATTCCTAGTGTTGCTCCTGGCTACACTGATATAAGTATCGTCCATGGAATTATGAGAACACTAGATCACGAAATAATGGCGAATATTACCGAAGGAGCTTTCAAGCAGCTCTTGCTGTTCAGCCAAAAATCATTTCCATAACATCATTTAATGAGTGGCATGAAGGCATGCAAATTGAAACAGCCATTCCTAAATCAAGAAATCATGGTTTTAGCTATCATGATTACTTTCCAAATCAACCTGACTATTATCTTAAAATTACTTCAAAATATGTTGAAAGATTTTTGTCAAAGAAACAGGATGGCAACTAAAATATTAGTCAGCTGTGTATAGTACTTTTCCTTTCAATAATGTAACACTTACGTTTTTACATGAAATTTTATGATAAAAGCAATGGAAAATTGTATATGATGAACGCATAGGAAGGAAAGCGCAAATCACGTTAAAATAATTGAACGAGGATAATTTTGAAAGAGACTGGGTCTAGTCCGTTCAGTGAACTCGACATTTGAATAATATATATGGAGATATATATATATGGAGTTCACTCATTGAGTTCTATAAGACCTGGAGGGGAAACGTCAACCAAATTACTATAAATTATTAGCGCGCGGCCGCGTGGTCAAAAACATGGCGGATTTTGGTTGTCAAAGTCAGCGGAAAGACGCGGGCTCATAAAATAAAATTTTTTTCGCCCACCCGGATTTGACAACCACAATTGCGATTATAAAAATATCAATGCCAAGCACAAAACTTTTAGAAATTTTATCTTTAAAACATGCTGCAAACTTGTTTGGTATACGGATGCTGAAGTAATGTCAGAAGGAAACATTTCATGACTACGGTAAGCAACGTAAGATTCTTTACTATTTAAAGTGTTCAGTGTTTTGTTTTAAGTCAATACTTGAAGTGTGATGGTATATATTTTGTGAATGTTTTTACTCCTAAGTTATAATTTAAGTTATGTTTATCCAGTCTTATTTTTTCTTTACTTAATCGCTTGCTAGACGAGGCAAAGCAACCAATTCTTATCGAGATATGCATATCTTAAAACTCCTTGTTTCAACTGAGTTTACCTTCAAGAAATGGAGGGTGTTTTCATGATATTTTTCTGAAAATATGAAGCAAATATTAAGATCAGAGCTGTATTGAAATCAAATGCAGTGCAGGATTAATTAATGAGCTCTTTGGTACATGTCGTACGATAAAAAATACCTGTATTAAACAGCTAGCCTGGATAATTTGACAGATTATGGACAATTTTGATGATGGTGTGTAAAGGTTTGTTTTATGCTAAAAGTTTTATAAATTCCATCTGGTGTTTCTGTAAATGAATTGTTTGTTATAGTAAACAGGTTAGTACATCAAAATCAAGATAAAACTACTTTGTTCAATAATGGGCCAAATTTTGCTCCTACCTTAAAATATTTGCTCAAGAAAAGGTTATGATGACATGCATGAAACATTAAATATAGTACTGCATCATCTGACAAAATCCATACATTTTTCAATTCCAGGTGATTAAAAATTCACATAAGATGCATTGGTTGCAATGAAGTTGAATGTGGAAGAAGCAAAAATTGATGCAAAGAACTTTTATGTCTTGAAGAATTACGATATCATTTAAAAGAATAAGAGTATCAATCTAGTAAAAGAAGCGACATCTGTCTTCAACATGAGACTTTTCAAATTATGTATAATTTCTTTGTACAAAATACTATTTTAGATAAACTTGATTTTAAGTCATTCACTGATATTTTTATCAAAAGACAAAACAAAAATTCAAGGCATAATGTAAAATTCAAAAGTTTGTCAAGTTGTTTGAACCTAGAAAAATTAGTATAGGTAACTGCAATTTGTAAGGACACACAAGAGAAAAGTAGTGCAAGAAGGTTAGCATTTTGAGAATTAATAAGTTCTTCTTGACATACATTACACAAGGCCATAATATTATAAATAATGACTGTACAATAACAATTATACAACATGCTAAATATCTTCACCTACATTATAATTATTTAAACAGATTTGCCTTCATGCAGCAATAAGAAAAGTGTTATGTCAGAGAAACCAATGCACTTTAATTTATGAAATTGTATTTTCAATGGGAAATTAATGTAGTTCTGTTCAGTAGTAGATCCATGGTTGTCAATGACAATCCAGTTTCTAATATCTTGGCTCAAAACAGAACCAGCAACATGATTATAGAATTTCTGAATTTCAATCTTTTGCTCTCCTAGTTCAAGATATTTTCTTCATAAGTTCTCAGTAGATTTATAAGAATATCATAATACCTTATAAGACACCCAGAATCAATCCTACCAAAAAAAACTCAAAAAATTACATACCTACTTATAATATATTTCCAGTCGACTTAAGTCGTAGGGGTAAGCTAACTTTTTCTAACTCCTTTTTGGACGTTTTAACTAAGATTTACCCATCTATTCAAGAAGACAGTTGCACCAAGCTGTAAACAAACAGTCAAAAACACAAGTAATGCTAATGGATTATGCATTAAAGCTTAACAACACATTGACAGTGTAAAAAATGCCGTTTGATATTTATTTCTAATATAGCTAAAGCATTACTTGACAAAATATACGTTATTTTACCTCATTTAAATGTGTGTCTATTTCACAAAACCTGAAGCATTATTTTCAATATTTTATGCTTACGGTATCGTGGTTGTTTTCGCTGGTTGTCATTAATATAAGCAGGAATAGAGATCCGGATTCGGGAGGAGCGAATGTTAAAAATTTTTCTCAAAGTGGAAGTTTTGACAACCAAAATCCGCCATTACCGCCATGTTTTTGACCACGAGGCCCAGGCCCCTTTGCCCCTCCAGGTCTTATAGAGCTCAATGAGTTCACTGAGTCCGCTGCATTGAGTTCTATAAGACCTGGAGGGGAAACGTCAGCAAAATTACTATAAATTATCAGCGCGCGGCCGCGTGGTCAAAAACATGGCGGATTTTGGTGGTCAAAGTCAGCGGAGAGACGCGGGCTCATGAAATAAAATTTTGTCGCACCCTGATTGACCACCACAATTGCGAGTATAGAAAATATCAAAACTATTTATTTTCCTAACATAAACACTTTTAAAATTTTATTTATTAAACTGCCAACTTCTGTGGTTTGCGGATGCTGAAATAGCGACAGAAAAGGAACATTTCTTGACTCCGGTAAGTAGCACAGTATTAGTTTTACTATTTTGTTTTAACACGATACTTGAAGAGTGTTTCTACTACTAAGTTTTAATTTAAAGTTATTTTGGTCCAGTCTTGTTTGTTCTTCACTTAATTGCTCGCCAGACGTGTCG